AAAGGGATTCGAAATGCAGGCTGAAGTACAAAGTACCTTGTCTAGGCCATAAGACCCCGACGGTGGAGGGTGTGTACCTATAGAACAAGCTTAGATATGGAGATCCCGTTCAAGTTAAGTCACAGGAGTCCTCTAAGCTGTGTGTGCTTCTATTAGAGTTCCTTTTACTTGGCATTCCCAAGATGCCGGTATCACACAAAATACCTTTCCTTCCTCCCTCCTTTCCCGGACGCATTAAAGGATGCCCGTTTCCAGCCCAACATGTCCTATTTTGAAGGAAAAGTTGCGTATTGCACTCAACCGAGTTACATTTGGGGGTGCTGCTTTAGCTCTCGGGCGAATTCTACCTAGAACAGGGTCCTCCATCGCCGTTAGGCGAAAAAGTAAGATGGGGGAAGGAAGAAAAAAAAAACGAAGCTCGGCTTGTTTGTAAGATGATCCACCATGCAATCATACATGATAATAGCCCATGTATTAGGTTGTGGTAATACATAATCCATACACAAAGAAATAATTTCAAGACAACGTAGCTTTTCGTAATGCTTGTCTTTTTTTCAGTCTTCACAAACCTCTTCTCCCACCGGATGAGGAGAACCGCATATACTGTAGGTAGTAAGATTATCTACCTGTTTCATTCCGACACTTCGTTTTATGTGGAGATTGATCGGGTCTTTTTTACCAAAAAAAGCGCTAGACATTTCAAATGGCTTTAAGAAGGGATTGTTATATTGATTGTATATTGGTTTGATACTTTTGCCCCTACAGCTGCAATTCATGAAAGACATGATTTACCTATGATATTCCTTCAATGTTAAGTTACCCCGCCAATGCTCAATTTCATATAAGTGGTATGGAAGTAAAATATGTAACATGATTGACGATATCATCCCACGAAGTAACTTTCTTCTTGGGGGTCAACATGACTCTTTGAGTTTAGCATTAATAGATGTGGCATTTGAATTGCACATGCCCATACCTACTAGGTACCTAGGTAATGGTGGCGGCGGCGTTATCATAACCGGTTGTAGTACGTACAGCAGTATATTATAATATCTATCCATTTTTTTGAGTATTTTACTATCGGAATTGAGAACCGGCATCATTTCGATATTCTTCGGACCTTGGTACTCTCGGTGCTTACCCACCTGACAGTAAAACACAAATAACCCTGGTACGGTTTAATATAAAGCCTCCTCAGGCAACTGACTAGGCTCCTCTGCGGCCAATGCGCCGTGTCGCGGCTTGAATCTTGATTGATGATCGATCTCGAACAGTCTAGTGTGTTGTTTGAAAGGGGGCTATTACATATGTATCTACACCATAGCGTATTTTGGGCTGTACTATAGACGCGGCATCACCTAGCGTACTGCGTAACCTTCTCGTAATGTAATCTACTGCCTAGCTATATCGCTTACGTTACGCATTTACACGGCCGCACGGCAAACTCAGGTAACAGATGGCATTAAATGTTACCTACACCGTACGACTAACATGTAACCGTGTAAGACTGACTGTATCATGGATATGGACATAGTAATACTCCGGCATGTCTTCTAATCATACATCCATGAATAACACCCTTGAAGGATGACAGGGAAAGAGAACACGGGATATTGCAATGTAATGTGTCTGTCTTGTGCCTCTGCCGTGGACTGGGCAGTACGTAGGTTGTTTCAATACGATCTTCATGTAGCATGTAGCATGTAGTAACGAAGGAAATGTAAGAGGATAGAATTCCGTCGGCGTCTCGACGGAGGTATGATGTATCATTATAGGTACTAAGTTACATAGCTCGCATAGTTCTACGCTAGTGTGGCGTACCTAGGTAGAATATCCTGAATGGGTATAAGCGAGAAATTGATTGGATACGAACGAAAGAGTTTAAAAAAAGGGTGTGGAGATAAGAGTTCAGAAGCGTGTCGCAAGCGGGGAGCCACTTTCCACTTCCCAATTCCAGTTCCATTTGCATTAACTAGGTACATATAATATGAATGTACACCTAAGTAAGTACGTACAGCATTTAAATATACGTATATACATATATCCGCAGTAGCAAATGGTCCGCCCGCTTCCTACTGCCACTGCCATTTAGGCCTTTGTTGCCCTTGCCAATCTCAATTAATTCCTCCGCCCACCCCCTCCCCTCTTTCCCTCTTTTCCTCCCCCTCAGCCCCCCCTTTATTGTGCGCTCCGAATTCATCCCTGATACATTGGATACATTGTTTGAATCTTCTGGATTTAGTGAAGTAAGGTTCCGTTTCGGTCATCCTTCTACTTTGGCCTTCCATGTCGCATGTTCCGCCTTCTCTCCAACCAAAGCAAACCGAGAGCAATTAAATTTCTAAAGTTCTAAAAAAGAAATTCATTATTGCTTATATTTTAGGAGGGGGTTTTATAGCGAATTGAGTTTAGATCGTCTCCAACGCATTGTGAAGTATTTTTGCCGCGCACATTCATTACACCTTTTATTCCAATCTCGTATCTAAGTTCATGCTATATATTTAGGTACAAAGATTTATACCCATGCGGCCGTAGGTGGCTAAGTACCTTTGCAAGCTACCTGGCTGATAGACAACTACGCCATAATTATGCGTCAGTGAGGTGCTATTGATAAAATTATTGTACTGGGGCTACGGGCTACTAACAACTAAGAGCTCAGACCAATATCGCCGTAAGGAAAGACGCTAAGACCTGTAGTCACCATTGAATGTACGTAGGTACGTGTATCTAATATGAATTCATTCCAAGTGGGCATTTAATCCGAAATCCACTCTCACCGTCACACTAAATAATAATAATAATCCATCCTAAGACCGAAGTTTATGACGCATTCAAAGCCCATAGAATACAGTATAATTTGGTATAAGAAATTGAATAAACATACTATAATAAGATGCACCAACCCACCGGATAGGGATAGTACGGACTTACCGTATGAATACAAAGATACTTGAATACTGATCTAATGTATTGTCTGTACATAGCAGGTGGAGACGGTAAAGGTCGGAACAAGGAGGGGCTTGCTGCTGACTTTTTTTACTGCTTTTTTTTTTTTTTTTTTCTTTTCCTTCCTTTCCCTGTGGTTGTGAAGCCAATCATCATAATATACTACTCTTATACATACACCCTTGCCAAGTTTTCGTTAGACAAGCCTTCCTAGGATGAAAAAAAATACATCATTTATCCATAATAAACTAAGCTAAATGTGAAGTACTCTTTCCAGCTACGCAAGGAAATTACTCTTTTAAAACACCCCCCTGTTAAGAACCCAGTCGTGACTACCTGGACCTACTTAGGCAAGTGTGCTAGGCTTGCTAGACGCCTGTTGCTGTGGTTGTTGCTGCTGCTTCGCTCCTGCTTGACACGATACACACCCAGACCACACGATGAACGTACCTACCTTACACACCCCCTCGTCGGTCAAGTTCAAAGCCTTGTTCCAAAACTTTTAACCCACTCCAATTAACCCACGATCCACCTTTTTTCTCTCTCTTTCTTTACTATACACAACACTACACCATCCACTACGCACCCAGGCACCCAGGCACCACACCACATATACACACACACTTACAACATTCAATCCAATACGTAACGCACGAACCCACGCCTCTAACCTCTGCTACTACATACAATGTATCCCTCTCACACTACCACCTAATAAGCCCTTGGCCCTTGAATTATTTTTTCGAGCCGTATCCACGGCCCCACGGCCCAATGGTTGCTGCTCCACGGTCCAACTTATCCACTCTCTAATCCACGGTCAGCTTGACCAGTCACGGATAGTCAAGGTAATCAAGGTAGTCAGGGTGGACAGGGTAGTCAAGGTACCATAGTTATGGGCTTGGTCAATGGCATGCGCCAATCAACGGAGCCATGAGCAACCACACAATCCAGCCAATCCAGCCCAGTCTCAATCCGGCTACCTGCTACCTTGTTACCACGCTGCTACTGCGACAGTACCTGAGGTAATCACTGCATCCTCCAGCATCGTCGTGTAAGTCGGTTGTACATACATACATAACGTACATACAAACAAGAAACCCTTCCTTCCTTCACCTTACCTCAGTCATTCATTCATACGTACTTACTTACATACATACATACCTATTTACATTCATTCATCCCATAATAATATCTAATCCATACCCTGCTTCTGCCCTGTCCCGTGCCTGGAACATTCGTGACTCTGCTATTTGTTCTGTATATTACTTATTACTTTCATGATACCCCCAAGTTTCAATTGAATCCTGTTCATGGGTCCCGCCCAACACTAGGAGAACCCTGCCGCACCTGTGTGAATATAGGGAAAGAAGTAAAGAAGGGAAAGAGGAAGAAGAAAAAGGCTCCAGTCGACGCACACACATACACACATACACACCCACCTACGCAAGACAATTCGGGAAAGGAGGCATACAGAGTCACCTTGGTAACCTAATAAGTTGCCCGTCTTCCTTGTACAACCGCGGTACTGCAGCAGCAGCAACAGCCAACGTTTGATCTATTTGGATTATATCGAGTCTGTTTTCCCTGCCTGCGACCTACCTTCCTACTGTCACTCTACCTACCTACCTTTACCGTCGACTATCAACCTATCCACATCTCATCCGTAGCAATCCACACCTACCAGCTGGGTTTTCTGGAATCAGGAACGAACAAACTTCCTCCGACGTTTGCCTTCTTCCTTCCCACGACCTCCATCCCATTCGACATGGCTCATCAGAGATGACCCATCACCTAATCATATATTGACCTGTAGCAACATCATCTCTGTCCGGACGAACCTGAAAGCTCGACCATCGTGGTGGAATAAAGCGAACATCAAAAAGTGAATGGAATACGGTAGTCAGGAACCCGTTGCCTCACCAAGCCTTTCCAGATACGCCTCCACAACGCCACGGTGACCTTCACAACCTTCACCAACGACCCATACAAACAATTTCTTTGTTAATTAACTTCCTCTCCTCTTCCTGAAGACGTCAAAATCGAATTGATCCCACATGTCTTCAGCCGTTGCGCCCTCGACCTTTCGCCCATACCTCCCTTCTCCAACCCATACTGCCGCATACCCACTACGGCATACACTGGGTCCCGACAAGCAACAAGACTACCTGTTAGCTCGACAAACCTCCCTGTATAGGGGTGGTCTGCGAACGCCTCCCGCCGAAAACATGAACGCTACATACCACCACCCCGTGTTGTCTAACACGTATAACAGCCATGTTGCCCTAGCGAGACAGCCACATGCTATGGTCCAGACAGGCCGGACGGGAGGATCACTATGCGACATCGTTATGAATCAATTCCATACGACTCATCCGCCTCAACAGCTTCAGCATTCACAATATCAGCAGCCACATCCTAATACTGCTCAGGTGATAACTTCTCAACCGCAAGCACATCCTTCCTCAAAACCATCGACCCAACCCACGACACCTGCATCTACAGGCCCACTCAGCGCGCGTTGCGAAGGTACGGTTTCGAAGAAAGACTCGACCATGGTAACGCACAACCTGCAACTTCCATCATGTATTAGCCTTAACGGGGGAAACCTGGACGATTTTGCGGCGCTGGTGAGTCTTGACTTGTACTCCCCAATCGTATACATGGTAGCTAATATTTTCCTAGATGACTTGTTTCTTTTGGTTTGAGACCATGGATACGATTGTTGCCGCTGAACACATTAAAGACCGTTCACCATCTGATCCGATACCTCCGCTCTCCCAATACACACAACCCTGCCCCGCCTACAAGCAGTGGGTAAATAAGATTCTATCCACGACCCAGGTGACGCAAAATGTAATCCTATTAGCTCTGCTATTCGTATACCGGTTGAAGAAGGTAAATCCAAAAGTGAATGGGAGCCCGGGAAGCGAGTATCGACTCTTGACTGTAGCCCTCATGCTAGGCAACAAATGTAAGTTTTCCGATGTCAGCTAGGAATTGTCGGTTTCTAACAAGAATAATAGTCTTGGACGATAACACGTACACGAACCACACGTGGGCCGAAGTCTCGTCTATTTCTGTGAAAGAAATTCATATCATGGAAGTGGAATTTCTCAGCAACATGCGATACGGACTGTTGACATCGAAAGAAGAATGGGAAGATTGGTTGAACAAGTTGTCATGTTTTCATGAATATTGCGAGCGGGCGGTGATCGAAGAGAGACGCCGTAACGCCGCACCTATCATGCAGATGAATGTACCATCGCCGACACACCACGCAAGATATACTTCGCCATTGCCTTCCCCGACCAACATCTTGCCATCAACCGGACAAGGCGCGCCGTTGTCGCTTGCGGCCGCTTATTCGCCTAACTCAGCGGTCAATGCTCACAGCTGGAACAGTTACCACCCTACACCATCAGTTTCTCCTCTCGCCGTTAAACCGAGCTTAGGCCACGCTATGGTGCGAAAGAGAAGTCTAGAAGGCGGGGATGCGGTCGAACCCGCCACCAAGAAAACCCTTCGCCAACCCACTCTTACGAGAATGCAACCGAATCGGTCAGCTCATTCGGGTGCTGAGCCAGTACGTCTGCCCGTGCCACATCTTACGCTCGACACTAGCCAGGCTACTCTCCCGCCCACGTATCCACCAACTTCGGCATGTCCCCCTCAACAGGCAGTGTCGTTGCCTCCTCTCGGGCATGGTATGAGAGCAATGTCAACGGTTTATCCAACTGCTACGACTAGTTGGGCACCGCAGGGTCCTGTGCTTGCTACATGTGGACCACAAACACCGTCCTATGTGCTGCCGCCAAACTACGGCACACCAATCAAACGACAAAGCCCCACTAGTCTGACACCATTTGGTTCATCGCCATTGGCCGAGGCGTATGGTGTGCATACGCCTATTTCAAACTCACCGCTTGTATATCTACAACAACGAGCTAGTCCTTACAAGCCGGTTCGCCGAGTGAACCATCTTCTAAACCCCCCTCCATCTATGCCGCTTTCCCAGTATCATTTGGGTTCGAACCAAATGCATTATCAACCACTTGGTCGACGAAATGATCTCCGTTCTGGTATTGTTCCGGAATTTCTCCCTGCTTACGCCAGCCATCAACCTCAAAATCATCCTTATTGATTTGTCCACTCGTGTTTCAGTTTGGCATTTTCGGGGTCAGCACAGCTACTGCATATTTTCCTAGATTCTTGTACTTATCATCCTACTTGCATTGGCACCGGCGTTAGATGGTTCATGGCATACAGTCGATATGAATTCGACACCTCACGGATAAGGACTCCGTTCCTGATTTATTTTTCTTGTTCCCACAACAACTGGCATCATACAACAGGCGTTCGGTAATTTAAGGCGAAGGAGTTTCGCAAAACGCGAGCACATGCTAGAGGGCCAGATTTATGGCATATTTTGTAACTGTATTCGGGATTAAGATTTGAAAACAGGCCTAAGAAGGTAGTTTACAAACCGGATTGTGGAGGAATTAGAAGCTATTTAGATGGCTTCAGGTGATCTAGTCCCAAGACGAGATATCACCTAATTCCAGGAGGGCAGCTTTTCTGTAGTTGGTATTCTTATTCATGTAGATAGAACGATTACCAAAATGGTGTCAAGCTGAAAATACAAAAGTGCCCCTGAGATACATTTTCTGTCTTTTGCATCCATTCTCACGAGATTGACTTATCATAAAATATTTTATATGATGTCACTTGAACCCCGAATCTCCGATTTTCTTTTTCATGCGGGGAAAATGGTGGGGTAATTCTCCAACAAGAAACAATCAATGCATTTTTTTCTATTGGCTAATTTGTTCAGCTAACGGAAATACTGTTCTCCCGTATCGTCAGGACAACACAGATCAAATAGTACGTACCTAAGAAGCAGTTGAGCCTGGGTACCTAGTTACACATGTACTTATCACATAACATCGTCATCATGTATCTGTTCATTCCCTATGCCTAAGCGCTACCTGTATCCCTAGCAATGTCCACGCCTAGCTAGAAATGGAGGATTTGAGTAAACAAGTATGTTTGACACTTAGGTAACTCCTTACATAACCGTACTTTTACGTGCATACAACACCATTGTATATAACCGACTTCCCCTTATATCCGAATGGATGGGCGGGGAAGAGGGATTCGACTAACTACATACTGTAGCGTATCCAGTTAGCATTTCCGAGGAGTTGCTCTTTTCACAGCATTGAACCAATTTGTCAATGGTTTCTTAGATATATTATTGAATTAGGGATTTGGCTGCCGTCAAATGCTACGCTGCCCCGCAAATACATGCCTTTGGGCATGTCTGAATTAGACATTTTACGTACTGAGCGAAAAGCTATTGCCGAGAAATTCAACATGTATAAGTAAAATTCCAAATTCCCTTACAATAAACTTTCGGGTTCGCTACGTAGCCCTCAAATCAACGGCCAAGGGGATGATGGAATGGATTCCCTAGACCTTGGTGTCCCACATATCCCGGTTTTGTCTGTATTAGTCACAAAGGAATCGCCCATCAGTAACTATAAGAAAGTACCGACACATTATAAAGAACTCTACCCTAATTGCGTGGATTAGTTCAAGTAAATCTCTCTTATACATATAGACTCACCTGTGAACCTAGATGAATATAGTCCGCCGTACATTAACGACTATGGCTAGCTCACGGATGAAGTCGTGGTTCCCAACCACATCCTACCCACCTATTATCCTTGCGCCAATGGCCGGCGTGACGAACCCGAAGCTCGCTTCTGAGGTTACTAAGGCCGGAGGTTTAGGTACGTCTAAACCCCCACCAATGTAGTTCAGGTTCTCGCCAGAAGTCCTAAATGATCCATCTTATCTATAACTCATCGTCATCGTCATCGTCTTCGCCCTAGTTCAACCGAGCTCTCTTTAGCTAGGTATGCTGACGTGCAAGCATAGGATTCATACAGGGTGGTAAAGATTTCGAACCGGAGTCTAAAGGCGTCGAAGACCTAGAGAACCAGCTCGCACAAGCGCGCAAATATCTCGGCCTGGGCGCTCCCGCCAACGATGACGCTAGCACCCTACCTATCGGCGTAGGTGCCCTAACACTTGCGCCGTCGACGAAGCATTTTGGCGAGACGGCTGTGCCTATCCTGAGGCGTCATAGACCTGCTGCTGTATGGCTCTTCGCTCCACCACCCGAAGTCCCGGATACTATCCCGTCTGTCGTCAAGGCTCTAAAATCGGGATCTGGTTCCGGAGCTTGGGTGCCGAAGGTCGTGGTCCAAGTCGGGACGGTTGATGCCGCAAGGGAAGCAGCTAAAGGCGGTGCTGATATCATCGTCGCTCAGGGCGTTGATGCTGGTGGTCACCAATGGAAGCAAGGTTCTGGTGTTATCAGCTTGGTGCCTGAGATCTCAGATCTAGTGCACAATGAATTCCCCGATAGGGATATCGCGGTATGGGCCGCCGGTGGCATTGCAGATGGGAGAGGTGTGGCTGCGGCGTTAGCTTTGGGGGCTGAGGGAGTTGTTCTTGGTACGAGGGTGAGTAGGCTTGTCACTTGACTTTAAGTTACTAAGTTAGCCACTAGGCTATTGTAACTCACAGTATTTTTGCTAACGTCGAGGATTCATGAAGTACATCGTGGCTTCTGAGTCGGACGCAGATGCGCTCAAGAAAAAGGCGATTATCAGCACATCAGATGGGGGAAAGACTACAATAAAGTAAGTCAGATCCTAGGCTCTGTACTGAACAGAGACTCATGCTGAGTGCTAGGTCGCAATTCCATGATAGCATCCAGGGTACTACGTTCTGGCCCGGGATCTATGACGGTCGCGCCATTATCACTGAGTCTTATCAGGACCACGAGAATGGCGTACCGTTAGATGAGAACGTGAAGAAGTTCAAAGCCGCTAAGGAGAGCGGGGATGCTTCTAGGATAGTAACTTGGTCGTGAGTAGCCCCTTTATCCGATTTTACCCCATATAGCTTGCCTCCGAAGGTCATTGCTAACTGTTGCTCTTAGCGGGACGGGCGTCGGTCTGATTAAGGAAGAGCTCCCGGCTGCGGAGATCACGAAGAAGGTGAGGGAAGACGCGCTAAAGGTCATCACGGGCTTTAAGTCTTTAATTTAGATAGCTCAAGATTCGAAGAGGAGCGAGGTAAGTGTTCATACCTGCCTGGACAGTGTTTGGATTTGGATTACGCGTCGGCTTTCGACATTAAACCGAGACCTCATATCCGCTGGTGTAACACAAACTGGAAATATATGCGGGATGTGCGCCACTCGTCTTGAGGGAAAGACGAGTTTGGAATTTATATAGGCAAATGCTGCGAGATAAACTCGACAAAATGTAAGAGGGTCTATTCTGTGAATCAGTGCTATCGTACCGTGAGTTGCAAATTTACATAGTAAGCTTCAAATCAAAATATAAACCAAACACATTTAAAAATACCGTCAAGGAGAGTATGATATCCCCTCAAATCTATCTGTGCCCTGGGATTATTCAGCCACCGACCCAAAATGCAAAGATCACCGCGTATGGCTGGCTGGGAACTCCGAAACTCCGAGACAGAGTGTGCAGTTGTCTAGCTGAACCAAATTTAAGCATAGGCACTTCCTTAAAGAGCAAGCCAGGGTGCTCAGATCAACTTCGATTGGCCAAAATTTTGAGCTTAAGCCTCTTAAGGCATAATGTGCCACTGTTATTATAGAAAGTAATCATTTCGAAGCATATTATTCACATTTCGTCAAGGCACATCATTAACATCGATATCATTTACTAACGCTCGCTATGACTATTCAAATATCAAATGGGGTATTAGGCATAGTTATTTACAATAAAACCGCACATGCTAAGCTCATCAACGCAATCATTACGGCCATACCGCTAACCAAGCTTCTCGTGGCAGCACTGTCATCGTCGTCGTTTGTAGCCTGGTTGGCAACGTCAGAATACGGAGGGCTTGACTGAATGCCGTTTCCAGTATCAGTCCCTACGAAGTACTCGGTACCATCGTAGGTCTGCACTCCAGCATCCTTGCTACTCTGGAATTCGTCCAGCCATTTTAAACCGCAAACCCGCGCTGTCTTTCCCTCAAGGTTATCATCGTCGTCGCAATCCGATAATGTACCCTCCCAACACCGCATCATGGGCATGAAAGCCACGTACCCGGAATCACCGACACCAAAACTCGTGATTCCAGCTGTGTGGTTCATGACGATAGTCAAATTGAAATTTGTGGTAGCTGATGCCTTATCGCTTATCATTTCTTGTACTAACTCGAAAATATCTTCGCGATCGTCATCATCGCTGATTGTGACGTTTCGGATTTGAGGGTGCGCTACCAACCCCGCTAAAGGTGTGTTAGCTGGAATTTATTCCGTTTATCTCTAAGATGTGGTCATAGCATCGTGGCCCTCGCGTTCAAGATGCACACTGGGTGATAAATAATGGGACTATCACGTACCTCCGTAAGGTTGATATTCGCACACCGTCTTGTTTCCACTAACTTGTGTCGCAGTGTCCGCCGTACAGTTGATGTATGATGATATTGTGAAGTCATTGTTATAGTACTCAGTTTGGCCAGACGCATCAGTACCGTTCAGAAAAGTAAATTTATCGCAGTCCGCCGCTGCGAGAGGCAGCAGCAGTGACGCGACAGAGAAAACGGGGGCCCAGTTCTTCATCTTTTCGTGTTATTGAGATATTATATGACTGATGAAATTAGAGAATAAGACTCGTTGAATTAGAGATGCCAACATAGTCGATGATGATATATCATTGAGGTACAAGACGATTAAAATAATGAAGACCTCGAAAAGCGGCACAGCAATGTTGAGCCACCTGAAAATTAGGCCAAGAGTTTCGAAATGCTGTTGGTACAAAAGGACAATGACCACGAGGCATATTAGGCGGATCCTGGCCTGATTCGACGCTTGGCTTCAGCTACGCCGCCGTTGACTTTCATCCGGAGCGGGTATCTCAAGGGTATCTCAGCCTTCGCCTTTCCATGCTTCTCCATTAATAGATCGCATCCCAGTATAGGGGCATTGACGTCACCGCCTATTTCCAAAGTTACATTAGTTAAGCTTTCTATGCCAATTAAGAGATTTGGCATTGATGCTCAATTTAAACCTAGCATATAGCGTTGAAGACATCAAAAATGGTGATTCCTCCGAACAAATAGTGGTAAAACATCATGCGCCCCATACCTTGGTAGTTACCTAAAGCCGACCAGTTTTAGAGGCTATCGTTAAATTAGGAGTGATGATCTGGAAGCAACGTTAGTTGGGAAGCTGACTCACTCATCAACATCGTATCAGTAACCATATAATTATATCAATAATCATATCAGTAATTCGATACCTAACCCCTGAAGTATACTTAAACCAACGGTATTTGAAGAGTCAGCTTGGCATGGCATATTTGTCTAGAAATCTTACTTTATTCGCACTGCCGCAGACGTTCCTACATTACAATGCAGTTAGCAAAATAGCCCGAATAACTAAAGTTGTATTATCAATCAATGAATATGATCTTTCAAAGATGCCTATATTGTTTATGACTTTGCAAGGTGAAATGCCCTGTAATTATATGAATACTTCCATACTTAGAGAAACCGATGACCCGGGCCGCTCCTTATATTTGACGAGCCTTCCGAAAAAGTAACAGAATCGGATCCGAACCCCGACCGGAGGCCACGTTAATATAAGCTTATTTCTGACCCATTAAAGCCGTATGAAGATGGTCCCGCCTTCCCTTGTTGTCATTTCATATTACGAACGTGTGTTAAGTCCTACTTATGTAGGCTTACAGCGGAGTAGTGAAGGCTTAGGCGGAACCATATCGGTTGGTTCAAGGTTGAATTGCGCCATGATTGTTGGTTGGGTATTCCAAATTCCCCGAGAGGGCCTCACTTACATATAATCATATATTTAGTCGGGATTTCATTTCTTTTGACCCATCATAAGTTCCGATGCGCTATTAGAGACTCGGTTTCTGGCGGCTCAGATGCATGTCTACCTTCAAGAGAGTACCTAGGTAATAAAAGCATACCATGATGTTAATATGGAAGACGCTTCGGTGCTTCGCCGCAAAGTCTTAGGTCTCTATGGTCGATATCTAGGCCACGTCGCCTTCACCTCTTCATTGTTCCTACCTATATACAATAGGGGTTAGGAAGAAATCTTTAGCCAATCCAAACTGGGACACATCAGAATGGGACTTAGCTGTGTATGTTCACGATGTAACACAACTTGATCGTATTTGCGGGTTACTACTATGAAAACGTATATTGGCAACAGCGTTGTTCATCTCGAGCCAAGTGTCTACCTAGGTAGACTCATAGTCCGTAAAAGGGAATATCCAAACATATCACGGTCACGTCAGGCAGGTAAATATTGCCCGGCTTTCATATGCGCATCTGACGGTGTGGAGATTATTGGCGCGAGCAAAGTCGCCACCAGTAGGAACACACCATCTTTCCTATTTCAACTCAGGGAAATCCATGTGATAGGAGCGCACAGAGAGATCTACCAAATACTGACATCGCTTATTCGGAATCGGCACATATAGACGAGCTGGCAACCTGGTTGTAGGATCGTATCAATAACGACCCACCCGTACCTGATGCATAGAAGAATCTGTTGTACGACAGAACGGGTCGTGGCAGGAAGCCATCATAACTGACAGAAGGGAGCATTGATAGCTGGCTAGGTAGTGTTACAATTGGTTGCGCATAGCGATCTCGCGCGACTGAGGGGCTGAGTTGGCATAAGATAAAAATGTTGGCCAGGAGCCTGATACAATTGAGGATGGTTGCACAGGTAAGCATTTCCGTTGGGCACCAACGCTAGAAGGTCGATCAACGAGCGTGGGGGAAATGAGGCGTTCCAGAATCCTTGGTCAAGCGGCTAACACTCACCTAGCATCTAAATGTTCGGGCCGGTTTCCATATGGAAACTTCATCGTAAGAATGATTATGTAGAAATTTTTCATCAGAATGATATCGTGAACAATCGTCACTCATTATGCCAATCCCATCCCCAAACTCCACCCATGCCTCGTACAAACCTTACCCTCGCATCTTACAAACACAATAAACTTGATCCAAAACACCATTGTTCGTAATACAAGACTAGAAGCCACCAATTCTGTTGTTGGCCACTGTGTAAGCCGGTCTGTAAATGCGCGACAAGCTTCCAATGGATTGAGATGCCCTCTTCATGCTGCTTTCCCACTATCCCTTGGAGGACATTGGCATCCAATCTCAACGAATTTTCCGAACCACATACTCCGTAATTAATATCCAGGATTGGAATGGGCGTCAATTATTATGTCATGCAGCTGGGGGATCGCCGCCGGCGCCCGCGGTACCTTCAGAATTCTTGGTGCTTCTCGATGCAGATGACTTGCGGTGGCGATGCCTCTTTTTCGTAAACCGAATTGACCTCCCGTAGAAATATAAAAACACCCCGGCGCCAATTAAGAAAACTGCTAGAAGTACGCCGACAACGACGCCAATCGTAGTGTTTATGTCGGCTCCCGATCGCTTCCCTAGCCTTGACGTGGGGTCAAGTGTAGCCGAGAAGAGGCTGAGGCTATCGGTAAAAAGCCTCCGTACCAAAAGTGGGATGGATTCGATCGATAAAAGGGAATTGTGACATCTGATAAAGTCGTGTGCGCATGTCAGACCGTCCCTTAATGTTGTGGTTGAAGCCAAGGGGTTAGGATCGTGATGATTCGTTTGGGGTATATACATCGTGGACGATCTGTGTACCGATGGGGCGGGAGATTATGAATAAATTTGTCGAAACAAAGGGCGCCATGAGGCGCAGTGAACGTAGAGAAGCGAAATGAAGCGAGACGGTGCCGAAGGGGAATCCTACCTAAGAAGGAAGAGGTTGGGCGAGGAGAGCGATTTTAATCTCGAGAAGTACTCCAACTCCCTCTAGCAGGGTCGCAATGTGTAACTAGCGATCATTGCGTGAATGTGTCTCGCGTGGACCGGCGACCACTCACTCTCGAGACCTACATTAGACGTACAGCCGAACATAGTGACGACGATAGCGGGGTCGCTGATGAGGGTTGACCGGATCGCTATTCGTCTGCCGCTGTTCGGCAGCGACTAACGATGGAAAACTTGGGGACGCAATACCTACGGCACGGACGGGGAATTTGTGATAGGATCGGTGCATACATACTCAAGTTACACGACGATCTTATTTGCCTGCAGGCTCCTTGAGTTGGCAGACTGTAGGTTCCCGTGTGTAGATGCTGATCCAGCGCGTAGAGACACTACCCTAGAGGCAGGAAGCAGGATCTGACTGTATGCAGAGCCCAAAACCGTGCAGGCACCCATTGCGAAGCCTTGCCCTCTATTGCCAATTAGACTTGTCCGACCGGCTCGAATGAGAAGAACCGAACACCGGACAAGAGAGCCTGCATGTAATAGTAGGACGAATATCCACCGGGTAAAAGGTGCAATGTCCACCGACTGCGGCAGGACTGCAGGAATGATTTCACAGTACGTCCACGACATGGAAGATACTGAAACAGGTCCAAACAGAAAAAGCAAAAGGTCAAGAACGGAATCTCGGGATGTTCTGCGTGCCGCTCATACAGAGGGATAATAAATGTTAGTCTAAGTCAGGAAGCCCGAGGGTTCGACCCAATGCAACTTATGCGACCTAGGTTGGACGACGACGATGGTGACCCGGTCTCAGGGTATGAAAAGTACCAAGTGAGAATAGGTATATGCTGTGATTCGTTGCATGCAAAGAGGCGATTGGATTAGAACTGGCGATACTGCATGACCCTTCTTCCCCCTCAGGAAGATTGGAGAGACTCCCGCATGTGGGAACATGGGTTGAATGCCAGCTCATCGTTTAACCCATTGACCATTGTCGATAGAGAAAAATGATGAAAGTGGGAAGAAAAGAATTTAAGTAATAATGAGGCGAGCGAATCCAGCCGTGCAACCAAAGCTAATGGGAGTCACGAGCGACCCGGCATGCTGCATACTTTCGAATAAGCCGAAGGCGTTTGGTTTTTAAATGCAATATTACCTGGGTATCTTGAAAGGTAATGTTATTGCTAGAATTCTTGGTCGGAGCTCAATTTTGTCAACTGAAAGGCAAGAAAAACAAAATCATGAATGTAATTTATTTGATGTTTGATTTTGGTATCTGATGGAAAGAGACAATTCAACTGTCTAGATACCTAGGTACTTAATGACATTTTCTTTTTTCTTTCTTTTTTGAGGTATGATAGGCATAAGCTATCGGAACATTTCGCTTACGCTCAGGGGTAAAAAGGGGGTACATTTAGATGGAAACGATGGAAACTAAGAACAAACAACTCGTGGCGCTGATTGTGGCGTAGATTAGAAATCTTACTCAGTAACAGAAGAAAAAAAAACGATTCTCACCGAATTCACCTTTGTAGCGTTGGATAATAACAGCATGCAACTTTTAATGTAATCAATTCATCGCGAGGGAATTAATGTGATGCAAGATCTCCGCTCATTTCCTCATACATGTATCTTCTTTATGTATTTCTTATATTATTCTTCCGATTTTCTATTTTTTTCAGCTACGGTTGCGATCATTGGATGCTAACTAAGCGCTTCTCTGGGTCATCCACAGCAGCGGCGCATCCACAATGGTTCGGCCTTTTCACCTTGGGGTTACAGCGAGCCACAGGGTACTTGACCCATCAATGCATGGCCTGGAATTTATAAGAGACATCATTGGCCACTGGGTGTCTGGTCTTGACATCACACACTTAGGGTCTCTTGCTGCGTGCGTCGGTGCGGCTCCCGCAGTATGGAGATTTTTGAGGACAGCTTGGCATGAAGCCTACGGTTGGATCCGCCAGTTCTTCATCTCTTCCATAACAATACCTGCTCATGACCCGCTCAACCGACATGTGACGAATTGGATCATAGCCAACGTTGTACAATTTCGCAGCATCCGGTCTTTCACAGCCCGCACTCAGATTCAAGCCACGAGGCAAGCCGAGTTATTTAAAAAGACCCGCTGGGATATACAATACCTTCCTCATTTCGGAACGACCTGGTTCTGGCATGATGGCAACTTGTTCGTGGTAAGACGACCACTCGACAGCTTTAAGACGTCTACGTCCAATTCCAGCTACGATGGCGTCGGAGGGGAAGAACTCACAATCGGCTGTCTTGGACTATCGACAGAGGCTATCAAAAGATTAATCCAGACATGCCAAGAATATGCGGACGACCAAGCGCAATACTATGTCATAATATACTCGCGATATAGGATGTCCTGGCAACCAAAGTCCCGAAAGCCAATTCGCCGACTAGAAACAGTTCACTTTGACGATAAACTCAAGCATGAGCTCCTTACTGATATCCGGAATTATCTTGACCCCAACACAAAGAGATTATATCTCAGCCGATCCATGCCATATCGAAGGGGTTACTTATTTTACGGACCACCTGGTACGGGAAAGTCATCACTTTCGACTGCTCTAGCTGGTGAATTTGGTCTCGATTTGTACGAAGTCAAGATCCCGAGCGTAGCGACTGATCAGGATCTGGAACAGATGTTTCAGGAGGTACCACCCCAATGTATTGTACTTTTAGAGGATATCGATGCGATTTGGACGAAACGCGAGTCGCCGGATAATGAGCAACATAACGAAATCATATCGAATTGTACCCTTTCAGGTTTACTTAATGTTTTAGATGGCGTGGGGTCTCCAGAAGGTCGTATTGTTATCATGACAACGAATAAACCGGAACGGCTCGATAGTGCCTTGGTACGGCCTGGTCGCGTCGATATGAAAGTTATGCTAGGAAACATTAGCCAGAAGTCAGCCGAAGAGATGTTCCTCCGCATGTTCGCACTAGACATCAGCACTCCTCCGTTACCGACTTCGAGAAAAGATGTTGGCGAGAAAAAGGAGGAAGATCCACAAATGGATCGTGAAGAACTGCAGCGACTTGCTTTAGAGTTTTCGTGCCAAATCCCGGAAGATACATTTACGCCTTCGCAATTACAAGGCTTTTTCCAGTTATACTTAGATAATCCCGTCGAGGCTGTATCGAATGTGTCCGCATGGGTGGAAAGAGGACTATCCGGCATGTCGTCCGATGACGAGATTGAAATCGTCGGCAACGGACATGCTCGATAAGCTACAGATATGGGTGTACCATAGGTGGATAGCTAAAGGATGGGATGCATTATAAAATTGTACTTTAGGGTTTCCGCATTGGGATAAACAGGACTGGAGTTTGGAGAAAAGGTTGGATAGATTCGTGAACAATGTATTTGGACTAGAAGCATTAAGGTATCAGCATGCATTTGACAGGAGTTTAGACCTAGGGACCTAGATTCTATTAGAAGTCGCTTCGGGGCCGGCAGGTTTAGACGTGCCAAGCAATGCCTACCGTCGGTCGCATGCCCCATGTAAATTCCTCGATATGGCATGAGAGTTTATTTGCAATCCTAATGTGCGCTTATACCTACCCGACATCAAGTTTCCAATGTACTTATTCAAGAAAAGCTGGATTATATCTTGACGTGCTCTGCTCGTGTTGCTGGAAGGAGTAGAATCCTAGCGCTGTCTACCTTGCGATACTCTGTATTCAGGGGTTGCGGTTATGAGGCAGTGCTCCTGGTGTCGTCGCCCGATTAATATACGGCATTTTTACAAGGCATACTCATATGCCTAACCGAGCAACATATAACATTTAGATCAAAACCTGATTTGCACTTCTTTATTCGATATTCACTCTTCATTCACTTTGCTCGTCCCCCAACAGCTCACCTATCTCTTTACGCTGCTGTTGTACTTTACGTAACCCAATACCCACCGCCTATCCACCACCAGTAATGCTAGGTGACGGTAGAGGAGGAGATAGCAATGGAGACGGTTACGATACCGGCACGTTCGACCACCCCGGAACACTCGCAGGCATCGTAGCGGTGGTAGCCATCGTCATAGGGATAATATTAATCTTGATATGTTGTCTCGTCATGCGACACCGCGGAAAGCAGCAACGACCGAAGACGACCGCCGAGCGAGGAGCGGACGACCGTCGGACATGGATGATGTATCATAATAGAGGTCCGCTCGGTTGGAATGCGCAGCGGTATCCCGACGGGATACCATTGGAGCGATGGAACGATCAGCCTATACCCCCGGCGTACCTACCTAGGTAGGTAATAAGAGTCTGTAGTGGTCAATGAATGGTGGGGTCCCCAATCAGTAGACGAAGCTGTGGTGGGTAAGTCGAACATAATGCAACTTATAATATGACGAGTCTATATAATCGTTTTGTTAACATTATCGTATTTCTAGAAGTCGAAGGCCGCGACCGAATACAGTACCTTGAGCGTCGATACTTCTGGAAAAGAGCTTTTCATTACATCCAGTTTTCTAACCCCCAGAAATCACCACTAGAAAAAGAAGGAATAATATATATTATAAGCAGTAACTCTGATAATGTCGGGATTTAATAAATAAGGGGTTTCGAATTGTGTAGAAGGTGCAGAAGAGAATCAGTAACCCAGATACTTACCCACCCAGGTAGTGAGGTTTCATAGGTATTTATATATTTTATACTATATGGCCGGGTATAACATCTTTTTACCTTCATCATGAACCATTGCTGGGAGTATAAATAAAGCGAAATAAATCTGAAGGATGAGGTAGGCGTAACAGATGTTACCACCCGTGGGAGTTATGGTAACAGACCTACGGCTCCACTATGTGACCTCTAAGTCCCTAGTTCAGTTGTGCAACGTTACCAGGTATCAGTGTAATTACCCCATCCTTCATGGCAATGGGAGCTTGAAAGAAGAGTATAAATTGGGGGATTTTTTAAATACAACATGAATTCATGACATAGCACTTGATTATGAAGTGACGACTGTCAAATGGATAAAATGAACATCTCACCTACCTTCGTTACGACCATCCTCGCCGCAAGCCTTAGGGTGACATTTGCAGTAAGTGAAATTTCCATACCAGACTCCCTCCTAGTAGAATGAAACTTAACGTATCCTATGAAAACCTTAGTCACCGACCCTCTTTAGCCGTCAAAATGACTTGTGTGGCAAGCAATGTTGGATAGACGACGACTGTTCGGGGACTTGTCAATGGTGTTCTCAACCAGCACAATGGAAGTGGCAATGCGTCGATTTTGACCCACACCCTCCAACCACAAGTGCATCATAGGGCGCCAAAGCTCAATCTCCCATAGCTGATAAAGAAGGGTGATTCATCTAGCTGGGGTGCACGGTTCGAAGCTGGGACCTAGCCAGAGTTCGGATAGTAACGAGCGGCAGCTAAGCTTAACTAGGAGTTAATCGAATCGATTCTTCGGTGATATCCCGCATGATCAATAATTGCCTGCATATGCACTGTCGGGTGAAGCCACACTTGTGAAACTCGCAATTTACACCGGGACTATCGGATTTCCGAACCATCTTCTCGGGTGCTTAAAAGGGGGACGTAGAGGGGGGTGTTAAAACCAATTACCTTGCCATAATATCGCCTTCTTTTTGGAAGGTCCTTTAACTATAATCCTCAAGACTTAAGTCTGATGACAATTGACCGTAAATATCATGGATCAAACAGCCACACTGCCACAAGAACAAGTTCTAGATCCTGGCTTTCTTTTAAGAGTTGGTGGAGTTATACATAGTAAGTTCGTATTGTGGAACTAGATGGGTGGGGACTCCGACGTCAACTTACCGCATAGGGCTTACAGCAAGGTCTCTTATTGGTCAGAGTAGAGAAGTCTGTCAGGGATGGCCGACACACCTGCGTCGCCTCATGATGTAAGTGCCTTAAAATCAGGATTTAGTCCCAGCCCATATGTATATCGTCTTCTTTTAATCCCTTTCATCAACTGTTCAGGATTTAAGGGGTACATCGGGATGGTGACGTTGGAATCTAAGCTGTCATCGACGATTAACATAAGTAACGTAAGGGCTAGAAAGCTTGACATTTTCAAGTTTTCAGCCACGCGTCTCGGTGTAGATAAGTATTAGAAGCGCCCCCGACTCATGTCTAGACTTTAGTGTATTTTATCTTACTGTCATATTCTTTTCTGACTCCTGTGGCTTATCCAAAAGAAAACTTAGATTTACCTAGTAACTATTCAGTCATCAATTTCTAGTCGAGCTTTACATCATACCTAAGACACAATGTCTTCCAGCGGTGACGAGCAACAGCAGCAACAGCAGCCTCAGCCTGAGAGGCAACAGACTGCGACTCAAGAAACCGATCACTCAGACAGCTCAGACCAGATGTCTGAGGCATCGCGACCACCCCGCACGCGCCGTCGCAACCGTCGTCGCCCTGGATCCGTCCAGCCCCTTCAGCCACAAGAGGATCAACAGATGCTTCAGCAGAGACAACAGCAGCAAATGATGCAGCAACAGCAACAGCAACAACAGATACAGCAGCAGCAGCAGCAGCAAGGAGGAGGGGATGATAGCAAGTCCGATACCCTCCGACTTCGTCTCGATCTCAACCTCGAGGTCGAAGTTACCCTCAAGGCTCGTATTCACGGTGACTTGACATTGGCATTGCTGTACGTTATTCCCTAACTCATTTTTCCCAATTACTTGAACTATGACTGATTATTTCTTCTAGTGACACTTAAACACACTCCAAAAGGAAAAGCGATACGAACATGACGAAATGTAACGACGAGTTTTCACGAATCATTAGTTGTAAAAGGGGGTTGGAATTTGTTTATGGTTTAACAGGGAAGGAGTGTAATAAACCCGAGAGCCACACCCATATTATGCTATCGCATCTTCACGCCGCTTTGCCGGCTGTACTCTCCTTTCCTTTGTCGGCGACATTCATACCGTATAATTTTGAATTTGGCTAGGTCTGGCGATATCACTCAGAGTGAGAACTTCTTGTCAGATATTATTTACGTAATAGCAATAGACTTCATGTTCCGTGAATTGCTTGATGTTATTACATATTAGCTTATAGTAGACTTGTTCTATGTGCACTATCTATTCAGGAGGTTGAGGATAGAGCTTCAATGCCTCCCTGCAACCATCCACGACTTTATAAACGGTCGGACAATCGTATTGCAGCGACACTGTAAGATCCATGCAGCGGCTTTTTCTCACGGATTCTGGAGCCCGAGAACGGGCGTAGTTGATGAAGGTCCGAATCTTTCTAGCATCCGGGTGCTTTGAGTATGATCCAAGAGGGGAGGTGGAGGACTCTGGACCTTTTTCTTCCCCTGGATGCAGTGAAACAATACCGGTCGGATACTCCAGGTTTTTCAGGATATCAATTTTATTGTACAGTGACATAATCGGGTGTGCCTTTGGTGGGTTTGCTAGGTGACTTAAACCCTTCAAAAGAGCCGATTGCTGCAGGCAGGTAAAAATATGCTTCGAGAAGGCAACGGAGATGAGTTCCTTAACTATTTCGGGGTATTTAAAAAAGGCATCATGTAGGAAAACGACGTAAAATTCAGTGTCAATCTCCATAGATCCAAGTGAATCGTGATTGTGTCCCTTCCCAGTCCACATAAACTCGATTTGATCTAGAGCGTCCTGGGTGATAGCGATTAACTTGCCAGAGCTGAGTAATCTCATGTATAAGTCACCGGCAACTTTGTCGTTTAATAGGGTTGCCATACTCTGTTCAGTGAAATTTACGCATTCGAAAAGGTATTCAATCCTTCCTACCATACGTAAATTGGTCATATGCTCGACTTGAGGAGAAGGAGCGTCTGGTTGCTGTTGGGACTCCTCAATAATTGACTCCCTACGTTCTGCAAAATTGGCGGTGCTCGTTGGTGGACGGATCCAATCGGAGATCCTATCCCGTATCGAATAAACGTTACTTTCGAGGTCTAAACTGACTTCGTCATAGTCTTTCCCAGTTGCTAAGCTCTTCAGTCCTCTCAAAATAGAAGGCCGATAAATATCCCTTGCCCAATCCGCGATGTAATCAATAATCAGTATGAGCTGTAGGGCTCCATCATGGGTCATCAGGTCGCCACCCCACAGAGGGTGAATATTCTGTTCTGCTGTGAATACTTCGGTATAGACACCCATGCAGTGAATTCAAACTAAGATACTTACATGTCGAGGTGTATCTCCCCCATCTACGTAGCAGCCGTAGACCTTCCATTCACTTCCTCTGTTTGCGAGAAACCAGACCAAGGGCTCTTCCGCGGCACTCCGTGTCTTCAATTGTAGTTCCCTCTGAAGTGTTAAGAACTTCCAGATAGGGAAGGCAGTCTGCGTCTGGATATCATGGAAACCGTTCTTGCTAGAATCGGCTTTGGCTTCGAGGATGAGGAAAGGGAAGATGGGCGGATTCAGCGCCGACTTGAACGGAGTAACCTCTAAGACTTCAGCGATGGTGGTGGCTTGAGTCGATAGTCTCATGAGGAGTTGATCTACTTTTTCTGTGGATTTCAATCCAAAGGTACGATCGGGTAGTTTTTTCTTGGGTAAGTCTTGGAGTGCGCTATCGAGTATTACGATCTCTTCCACGCGATCGTCAAAGAGTTGACTAGTGCCTATTTCATAGCTATCACTACTGTAAGCATTGTGTCTAAGCGGAAGAGGGATAGGTGATCATACTAATCCTGAGGACGGGTCTCAGGAGGACATTGACACGGCCTGCGATTTTTCCTGCGCTCTTCTAGTGCTTGTACCCATTTACTACCCGGTTTAGAATTGGATGCTTCGATTTCTGACCGCCAAATGCGAGCCCGGCAATTGGGACTTCATGTAAATGTAAGTCAGACGACCGTTCTGTATTCAAACGAAGACATAATCATACCATGCAACCTCCACCAAGAACCTATGCATGACATCGTTCTCGAGCCCCAACCGCCATCCGCTCTCTTTTGGCTGGACGTTCATGGCTAAGTCGCAGGCTCGACTTACTAGCCATCGGGTTCGGGATTTAATCTGTCGCGTCCACGGCTCTTGTGATGATCTGACGGTGACATTCTCGGAATAAGTGCTGAAATTCCTATTCCCTAACTCTAAGACATCGCGAAAACGACCACTATGAGCATCAGGCCACTTATCGGCTGGCCTCTTGAAACGGATACCATAATTCTTAGCAAGCCGTCGAAGGGTTCTTAATTCGTCTTCTTTGCTGTCTGCCATAGCGCAAGTGCCTAGACAAATATGTACCTACATAACTATCCACCGGTCGCAAATAGAAAGATGGCTTTCCTCTGAATTTTCTTTTCCCGCCAATCCGCAATGGGAGGCCCCCTCATTTCAATTGCCAGCATGTTTTAGTAGAGCTGAAATCCCTCCTCTCTAGCGAGGTAGCACTGATCCTACAGGAGCAACCAAAGACAAAATATTGAACCTCAAATACTCTAAATATCGTTCGTTCGCCGTGCGTGAATTACCAACACGTACTGGGATATACTTCCGTGTGAACACCGTCGGCCAATATTTCGTACCAACAGATTGCCAACTTACCAATGATAGATCCTGTTATGGAAATAAAAACGAGAGGCGACCAAGGAATATGATCTGTCGTATTTTCATTTTCTTGGCAGAAAGACGTCAAAAAGTACGATAAGTACGGTCCAAGGTAACAGTATCAAACGGTACATTATATGAGCCTTCGCATAACTGGCTGCTTTTTTTTCCTTCTTTTCTTTCCTTCTTTCTCTGCCTGGCAAGACAAAATCCGTCTTCTCATCTCCAGAAACCCTCCCGTAATCCATGAAGTAAATTTACATTATGCATTCAGTTATATATCTGCGTAATGAGTCCGGGACGAACTAAGAAAACATAACGTATAGGAAGTCATAATCGTAACATTTCGTGGTTTTTCGTGGTATCGTGAGTGAGGTCGGAGCACGTCGTTAATCAAACTGAGATCTCTGAAGTATCCTTTTTAGGCGTTTTTTTATGTCGGTACGTAATGTAATACCATGCAAAGAGAGTGATAGCACTCAGCCCTACAGCAAACACGGCGAAAACCCATATATACTTGGATACCACCGAGCCTCCATCTTGAGCACTCCAATCAAACATGTTCATCGAGAATATGGACTATTCAAATTTAGCTTATGTTGTGAGACACCCTGTAGCTACTTACTGCAACGCTGGAAAAGGGCAGATAGACCATCGTTAGCAGCGCGATTGATCTCATCTGGACACCATCTCGTTTGGTTTCAAGCGCGATATTGGTGTTGGCACGTGCAATCTGAGTATTGATACCCGAATCATACCTTGCAAATTGATTCCACACCTAACAATTCTTAGTATTCTAGGGCTTTAGGGAAAGGGGTAGGGATGACCTACTGTCTGCATAGCTAGGGTAGTATTGCCCACCATCATATCACATTCATCTATCTTGCCATCGTACTCATTCATAATGTCTCGTAATCGTTTCTTCATCTGAGACCCCGCCTTTTTGAACCGGCGCGCTCTCTCATCATCCTGCCGAGAAACGAAGTCCCCAAACTCATCTATTTCGGTCATAAGCTTCAAGACTTGGCGCTTCACCGCCCGGATGTTGTCTGCGATCGTTCGACTCCTCAGGCAGAGAGAAAGATTTTCTTGGGCCTTCTTGTCGTTCATATCCCTCGTCGGATCCCATGACTTGCCTTCGAGATGCTCGGACGTTAGGGCAAAACCATCGAAGAGTTGGTCTGCCATGGCTACTAGCCTTCCCCGTTCCAATTCGGCAAATATTCCAATCATTAGTAGTGGATAGTTGATGCTTTCTGTCGCTGCCCGGACACGATTTTCGATTTCCCGCAAATGACTATTGTCGCATCCAAACATGACGGCGAATGTTGAGTCCGTGCTCGGAATATAGGTAAGTGATAACGCAAGGTCTCCTGGGAGTGATGATGACATCCGAGCGGTAAAACCTTCAAACGTAGGTTAGACAGAAGGCCATTCAATATAAGGCGGCGATCAAATACTCACTTATCTTCGACTTGGTCCAGTCATCCTCGTTCTCGTAAGACGACGCGAAACAAGAAACCTCTCGAGTTATCGTTCGCGTAATGCATCGATGGACATGAAACGACCCCGTAAGCCTTCCCCATGTATCCCTAGGCATCGAGATATACGAAATCGGTACATGTCCTTCGAAGATGGGCGAGGCTCTACTACAAAGTCTAGTTAAGTGATAATTAGTAGCCACATATAATTAAGTAATTGGTATTGCTCCTACACAATGTGAAGCCCTGCTTTCTTAGAAGTGGCGCTCGGTATCTGCATTTCTTGATTAGCCCCCGAATGTGGTTCCACGGATAGTCGCCATACATCATGAAACCAATTCTCCCAATCGTTCTTGTCTAAAAGCACCTTTCTTATTAATGCCTGGCATTTAATCTGATTAGTACATGAAAGCGAACGATGGGGGACGCTGCACTTACCTCATCAGATTGTAGCTTTCGAAGCGCCACAGTAAAGCGTTCTTCAAACCCGAATATCTTCAAATCGTGATAGGTCCAGGGTGTATCTTCTATGGGCCAGTCCATAACTTTGGGTGCATGGGCCTCCAAATGTTAATAGCCCGCACTTCACCTGAGGCTTCTAGAAAATTCAAAGGATTCAAATAAGCTAGCCAAAAGAAGGCTTGACAAATCTCGAAAGATCTCCCTCTGGAGGGTGACATCTTGCTTCCTTGCTGTAAGTAAGGCGTTCCTAGAAAGCCTTGTACCCGCCATTTTAGGCGTCCGTGCCCGACGCCCGGCTTTGCCTGCATCATGCAACACCCGATTGGTATTTTCTGTGCGGGTTTTCGCGGCAGCAAGGGAGGTACCTAATCTCCCGATGTACCCTACATTTTCGCTTAGCATGGAAATTGGTTAGTTAAATAGTCTCACATGTACACAGTACCTAGGTATGCAGTAGATATGCAGTAATACCTCACCTGACGCTCTGCTGTTGGTCGGATGTGGTAAGAAATCCCGATCGTCTACCGTCCATTGCAAAATTGCCTCCTCTTCCTCCTTGAACATCAGAGTTATTTCGGTCTTCACCAAATTTGGTCTGTTATACTGGGAAATTTCTAATACAGGCTGTCGCTGGGCCCTGCGCAAGTTTAACATTGTTTTCTTAAACCAAGGATGATTAAGTCGCAGGCGGCATTAGGACAACAACAACCATGGCACGATATCGTATTGAAGACGAAATACAATGACCCATTAAAACTCAAGAGTTCTCTTGATAGCATGTATGGAAAAGGGAAATATAGGGTAAAGGCAAGCAACTTTTATTCTAATCGCTGAGACAGCGCATCGACTCATCCGCTTTACAGGTTAGAGCCAACCGATATATTCTGCAATTACCAGAACAACCGCAACGGGTACAGTAACCTATCATCCTGATCGCGGATGGTACTAATTTCCTCCAACTATATAGGCTCAAATAGTCGAAATAGAGAATACAATCCATTCCCACTACAATGGTTGAAGTCGAGAAAATCGATGAAGGATAGGGATAACTACCACGAAATTCGCACTGGTTTGAGCGTCAGCATGGTTATTATTTGATGGAGGCACCACTAGGACTTACAGAAAGAATATGAGCCTGGGTATCAAATCAATCAATCCTCTAACGCCGACGTAATCTATATACGTCAAGAGACACGCCTGTCCCCTCCGTGAACCCGCCTTTTGTTCACGGAGTTGAGTTTAAATTACCACCAAATTGCTTTAGCAAAGACTACTCCTCTTGCTTCGCCTTCAAATAGAAACTTGGGGTCCTTTCGCATGTTTTTCGGAGTTTCTCCATGTCCCTAATGAGCTGTAGGACGTTAATCCTTTTTTCACGATCTGGTTCCAACATCTTGTCTCTTATTATCTCGAGCAGTTGGTGGAGGTACCAGCTGCATTTCTTGTGCCGCTGAAGCTCTGATATCCAACCTCTGACACTCGACTTTAGAATTGGACGGTGGTTCCCTTTTCCTTGCTCAATACTAAAAAAAGTGTCTGAAAGGAAATCATGGATGTCCTTAGCTGACCGTTGCTCCGAAAAGTCATTTTCTACGCTGTGGATGCCTAATAAGAACCACGAGATGTGTTCTAAGAAGACACACCCAAGACTGAAGATGTCAGATGCACGCGAAATCATGCCATCCGGCAAATCGAATTCTGGTGCTCTGTAGGTGGCTGTCCAGGTGAGATCTCTAGGATTTTGCTTCGATCGCGATACTTGGGTGTGCAGTCTTCCTAGCCCGAAATCGGATAAGGCTAAGTGGTTTAAAGACGCTTTCGGACGGAACCAAAGGAAGTTGTCTGGTTTTATATCGCCGTGCCGCCCATATAGGTCGTTGACGTCTATATCTCGTCCGTTCAGGCCTTTTTCAAGCGTATCTTGGTCGATGGTCTTTAAGGTCTCTAGCCGTTCATTGTGTACACACTGCAGGGCCAGACTAATTTCGTGAAATTGCTCTGCCATCCATTTGCAGTGGTTCATATTCCCAACTAAACGTTCGTTCGTCCTCCAGAAATCACTTAGGTTCCCTTCGGCCCAATCAAAAAGGAGGTAGAAGGTCGAATTTCCGGTCGAACGATCCACCACTTCGAAGGTTGCTAAGAGCTGGATCAAGTGCCTGTTAGCTTTGTCGGAAGTAGCGTTATCTCTAGAGAAGAGCAAGGATGAAAGTTCTAAGTTGAAATTCTCGCGATTGTGGGAAGTGAGTTTCTTCAGCGCAAAGAACCCAAGGGGATGGCGCATCTGGAAAAGCGACGGGTCAGCTACATTCGCGATGCGATTTTTCTTTTTTGGACAACGTACCCCAACATTTCCGAAATCATAATGACTCATATCCAATCCGACTCGGTACACCTCACTGAATCCCCCATACGCATTAATTATGGGTGGCACCATGTTTGTTGCAATCCCTCGTTCCAATCCGGCAGTCTCGCTGTTTTGCACTTTCTGAATGGCTGTCGCGGGGAAGACATCCCTGGTGTCTAGAACGTAATGCAAGTGTCTCTTTTCACCGCACCTAAGGTACGGGGCAACCAAGGCGTAAGACCACTGTGCGAATTCTCTTAGCTCTGAAAGTCGACGGTCCTTGTTAACAATGTCATGCTGTTTCTGGTGACGTTCGCAGTAGAGTGGCATCCCTTGTATAGATTCCTCTACTACCATAGGGAGGCATTTGTCGTCTACGCCTTCGTTGATGAATTCCAAAAGATCTGATACTATACCGATGCCAATAAGGACGGCCAATAATTTCAAGCAAGGGCTGGAGTCTGCTGTACCGAAACAGATGTATGCTGCTAATCTATCCTTGTCCCAGTGATGACTGAGGCCCGGAAGGTCCAAGATAGTCCGGACCCTTTCCGGAGTGAGGATCCGAGGGAGTTCGCTCCTAGGAATATAGGCCTTGGTGGAGTCAAGACCGCTGTTGACATGTGCGTGGTCGAGCTCCCGTTGTATTTTTTTCAAAAGTGGGTGAGCATCGCCAGAAACTTTATTGGAGGTTCTAGATTGAAGCATAGGCGAGCGAGAAAAGCTCTCTCCTCGATCGTGGACCCATTCGACTCTGGTTGGGTCGTCTAGCTTAAGTCGCGTAGACATCCGGAGTGGTTTCTCCATCGCGATAGTCATGGAGCGGGTAGTGGATTTGGGCGCGTACGAAGATTTGATTAAGGATTCAGTATCGGGCACGGTAGAGGGAGCTAATCACCTATCGTTCACTAGTGCTAGATGAACAAAGGGGCTTATTGGCAGCCCGGCTCGTCTGGGGGAGAGGCGCACTCTATGTTGTAGAAAGGGGTAGGGGTATGGCGAGGCGAGTTGGATGTTTGGAAGGAGAAACGGCTGCGTAAAAGGTAAAAATAGGGGCAATGGCACTTTATTGGGAGGGGGATTTAGCACTCCCACTCAGTCTTGTATTTCTTACATCTCCTATGCAGAGGATAATAGGCTCCCTCAATGACGAGCACTTCACCTTAGCCATGTCTGCCTACAATTATATCAATTGCAAAAAGATTGCCTTGTAGGCTAAGCAGAGATGGTACGCGAACCACCATGCAAACCGCAAGCAGGCTGGCAAGCCACAGCGTCACAACGGTGAACTTAACTTGCAGCCGGCCTGGTAAGTAAGCGGCAGCGACAGGGTTTTATCGACTTTTATAAACTATCTTAACTGGTTGCAACACCTTTCCCGGCCATCACATCCAGTACAATAATGCCTCACACCATTGTCCGAAAGGATCACCGCCGGCTAACGTTGTGAAGCCGTACAAGGCTTTCTTTGCTCGGTGAGATAGGTGAGGCTCCCCTAATATGCCCGAAAGCCACATATCGTATTAACGATTTGTTATTGAAAACATAAGCGATGCGCTCGATCGTATACGGCACATAAGGCAGCATCAATTTTTCCACTTCTAGTCAATAAAACGACATAGCCACTGAGGTAGGCAGTACTTGCTCATGGGGTGACACCGAGGTAAATATTGCCACGAAGCAGTTCTTGGCGTCTTCGTATGATTGGTTATTCTAATTTTTCTTTTTCAGCTGTAATATGCAAGACTATTTCCATATGGCTCAGTGTGCCTTGCGTCGGATGTTTGGCTGACACCGCTTACTGAGACCGAATCACTGCATGTTCTGCGTACTTCCTTTTCGATGATATCGCAGGCTTGGGTTGAAATCGCGCTCGTTGATCATAAACTCCAAGGTTGTGAGGCGCACCAAAATTGTCGAAGGGAAATTCTACACGTATGGAGGGCGATGGGCAACATCTTGTATGGCCCCAGAGCCGTACAGAAAAACCTCTTGAAGTTCTATAAGAAGGTCGGGCGGTTGAAATTATATTTATGATGGAGGAACAACCCCAAGTGAGTATCCGAAACCCGCGCGGAAGTACGGAAACTGTGCCATGGTAGGCCCCATTTTATCGTCCTAGACCTACCTAACTCCGCCACCTCTCTTTGCATATAAGAGCCGCAACGTTGTCCTTTAGGCACACCCATCGGCCAATGACAGAGATTCGACCTTCCACTCGACAGACGAAGAGATCGAGGTAGTCACGTTATACTTTACCATGGCCTTATCAGAAAATTTTGCTATGGGACAATTACGACCATCCAATGCATCGATAACAGGATGCCACGGGAACTCGTCATCAGCATTTAATGAATCGAAAGGAGGGACCTCATTGTCTTTCTCAGCATCGAAAATCAGTTCGGGACAATTGAAAGAATTGCTTGATAGCAGGTATCCAGGCCAATACTCTGTGCAGGTATGTTGAATGTGACTTCAGAACGCTGATGTGGGGAGCATTGACATTAGAGAAGTTGAAACGGGATAGATTTACGGTTACGGTATTGAATGACGCAAAACAAGAATTTATAGTATGTGTGTTAACAGCAACGCCTGTATAGAATGTGTGCTAACTGATGATACCTAGCGGTGATTGGTGCTGCTGTTCCTGTCAGACTCTTTGATATAATAGGGCGGCTGGTTGGCACCTACACGTAGGATGATAGATAGGCCCCGAAACCCAAGAATATGTTCTGAAAACGACTCAGATTATACCCCCCTGGTACGAGTTCTACGAATTATATACTTGACGAAGGGAATCGCAAACTCTGCAATAAGGCTTGCCTACCTAGGTACCTAATAAAACAAGATATATGCCTATTTTGTGTAGGTTATAACTGGGATATTGGCTGCGGCGGTGGTTTTCAATTTAAATTCTGTTTCTGGCGTTCCTTTATTGTCCAGGGGCTTACTATGGTTCATCTCCTAGTCAATCATATGCTATCTCGAAGCAAATTCAATGCCAACTCTTAGTGCTTCTGCTGGTACTATTGGCGTCGCCCTACTCTTTCTATACTGCCTAGAGGCAACAAGTTGCAGAGTAAATGTCGATGGGAATAATTCGGTTCAATATGAACGAATTGAACAATATCCATCTATCAGTAGCTGGTAAACGGTGAAATAGGGGACAGCACCTGGAATTAACTAGGTGAGCCTCCCGTCCTTTACATTTTAACCTCTTAGTGTATCCCGTAAATCTACTCCAGGAATAATTACGCGCCGACAAGGTAGGATGTAAAGATCATATTTCTAGGTAATCATTTAGACGAAGTTTAATGATGCTTCAAATAGAGGTCTAGTACGTGAATGGAGCAGCGTAGATAAGTCTCGGGCGCGAACTGTATGGGAGCAGGGACACCTAGATATAAAATTCAAACGACTTTGGTGAATTCTTTGACACCTGGGTTTAAAACTAGAGTGAAGATTATATTAATTTTCAACGGACTAAATTGTCCTAACTTCCATATCTTATAATGCCTTAGACATATTGAAATGGTCATCTGGGTATCATAACTTCCTTCTCCTTCGGCTTCTATTACCACCTTCTCGTCACTCTCAACCTATTAAAACTACCTGGGTAACTTATTTCAAAGCGTATAGCTCCCTCGGCCTACCCCCAGCACAAGAACTAAACCTCCACCACCGACCATGCCAGGCACCCGCAATATTCACCAAGCCCCAACGAATAGGCGCAGGCATAGGTGGCCAATTCGCCCAAGCGCCCTCCTCCGCCGTGCCATCCAAATTCAGTAAAAAGAACGGTACAACGTCCAGCGTACCAGCTTTCGTCACCGTATTCTTCCCCCAAGCACGAAACGTATTCGACGCATCCGTCTCCTCCTGCGACCCGGGTTTCGGGGCATTCGCATGGTCTGCCAATCCCGCAATCGTGCTAATCTCGCTATGAAAATGGTTCTCGAACGATTCCTTAAACCCATCCATGATCTTAACTAACTCCGTCCCATCAAACAGCTCACTAGGTTTTGCCTCCGTACTCCTTAAATATTTCTCAAGTTTCGCCAATCCACCTAAAAATGCTTCATGTTCCTTATGCGTGCCCTCCCATACCGATTCGTCGTTAAGCAACGCCGCGACTTTGGGGAATAAAACGGTTTCTTCGTCATCGTGGTGCGTAGCGACGAATTTATGCCACGTAAGTGCGTATCCGACGAAATCAGCTCGGTCGCCCGGGCGCACGTGTGGGGCTTGTTGGTAGACGGAGTTGAAGCCGCGGAGGATAGCGTTGTGGAGGAGGGCCATGTGGGTTGCGCCGGTGGTGAATATGTCGGTCTATATGATTTCAAAAATCGGATACATTAGCTTATGCTCAAAAAGTCGGAGTAAAAAAGAAACAGAAAATACCTTCTTAGTCTCAAACTGCGGCGTCGTAACCAACTTAATAGGGGCATCAGCCCAAGGCTTGCCGTCCGCGGCAGCGAGATCTACCGTAGGAGCCGACATGAAGAACGGCGATCGAGTGAGGAACAATCCGATAAGAATAGGTATAGCTATAAGTATAGGTCTATCGAGTATACTTCGCCGCGGTTGGATTTTCGCGGGGGATGCCATCTCGAAAGGTAAAAAAGGAGACGGAGATGGGTGTCGGGAATGAGGGGAGCTTTTATTCACGAAGGTACACACCACCACACCATAGAGGAAGTAGACAGAGGTGTGTAGTGTTACTAACAGCTCAGCACATACATATGCAGATACAAATACGCAATCGTCCTGTCTAGAACACACCAATCCGAACCGTACGAGAGGAAAGAAACATGCCACCCATGACACCATCCAGCATAAGAAAAAGGTAGCCAATGTTGAAGCTGCCCCTGTCAATTCAGAACTTGCTGAGTAAATCTGGTCATATTATTGGATACCAACAGAGCCTGGTCCAGAACTAGCAGGGATCGTCCGTTCCACACCCACGGGTAGAGGCCCCGAGCGGGTTCGGAGTTAAGAATTTCTTACGATGTACGGCGATCCATGAGATTCCATGTGAACATTGAACAATACCTTTGAGACACTTATTTTCGTAAAATGTGATATGTCATCGTAAAGCCAAGCAATTTTTAAATGAAGTTTATTCGTAAGTAGTATCGTGGTTTTGGGGGAAGCTCATGGTCTTGGCTTTCTCAAGCACCACCAATCATCCATTGCACACCAGATTGTGCTTCTCTCCGAAGCCAACCCATCCCACTACATCCATAGACAACAGTAATGTTTATTTACAGTACCATTTCCCTAGGCGTCGCCATTCCGCAAACCCACTGTCTACTGCCCATAGAACCGAACCAACGCCATCGAAATGCAAAAGACTCGGGGGTATTTGAATGACCTTCCGCGTGTTGGCCAACTTTGGCCTATCAAATCACCAAAAAAAACCGATTGCAAGCTTTTCATCAGCCCCTCGTAATACTCGTAATTTGTTATGGCCCTATTCGGATAGTATGAAAAGAAAGGGAGAAGGGGGGTTTTGTTTCGTGGATACTTTTAGGTAGTTGGTGTTCACGTATATTCGACTCGAGCATCATGCTCAATGGCCACCCGACAGCAGCCTGAAGAGGAGCCCAAGCACGAACCTGCCCTCGGTAGAGTTTTGGAAGCGAGTCGACAGATATTCAGAGCAGCATTGATAGTGTTGATGGTTTCGTCATGAAAAAAAAAAAGCCCGTATTTATTGGCTAAAATGTAGTGTATCCTTTGCCGGTCGAATCAAGTGGGTATCGAAGGGAATATGTTAATCGTCGGCATCATCGTCTCCTTTATGCTCGAATCGTAGTTCCAGCACCCATTTATCGTCAAACTCGATGCCTCGACGGATCTTGGTTGCCACCTTTCGCCATATGACAGGTCCAAGTCCAATGTCCGCGAGGAATAACTTCCATTGCTCGACCATGACAATATCTCCTTGGTCGTCTTCACCCATCTCTAGAGCCTTCAGCAGACCGACTTTAGGCGCCCCAAGAGAGACCACGTATCGAGGGTGAACGTAGAGCTTGGCTCCATCAATGACATTGACCTTACCGGATTGCGGCTCAATGCCGCTTGGCATATCGATCGCCATGACGAACGCCTCGTTCCTGTTCGACCATTCCATCAACTCATACGTAGTGGCCTGGTCTGACTTCCGCAACTCCTCAAATGGTGTCGTTAGTCCTAGGAGGGCGTCGATAATTAGAGTAACGGAACCTTGAGATGTCGTATCTAAGGTGCTACTAGCTTGACTGACGTGTTCAAAAAGTTCCGATTTGTTGAAGATTACGCCACCAAAGTTTCGGAAGAGTCTAGATTGCTTTCTGACGTCCTCTAACAACTCTCGTTCGCGTTCAATACCGACTACGCAGACGAGAACGTTAATACTGCGGTTCCGAAGGTGACGTGCCGCTGCTAGAGCACGGACTCCTGATTTATGGTTGCCTGCTAAGACTACGACTGTAGTGGTACTCGGCGGTGAAGTTGTAGCAGCGCGAAGTTTGACAGCGGGATCATCGAGAGCACGCATAATAACCTCTACAATGCCACGGGCAGCATTTTCAGCCATAAGGTCTTCGGTGAAGCCAAATTCATGACGTGCTACATTCTCGAGTGTTTGCATCGGAAGATGAGGGATCGCTTCAATTCGACGATTAGAACCCACGGCGTAGAAGCCGCTAGTCGAGGCTGTAGTCTATTGAAAAATGATAATTAGTTAAATTGTATCTAATAAAAATGATAATAAAAGAGATGCTCACCCCAGAGTTGACTCGACTTGAACCAGCGACACTCGCAGTTGTACTAGCTTTGCGTGATTGCGAGCGTCGGCCCATCGACATCCGGGATTCTCCTCGTAATCGAGAGTTGCGACCACTACCCTCTACAACAACACTTGGCGGCTCAACTTCTTTAGGGATCTCATCATCGGCTTCACTTTTCCAGTAGTCATTAGGTGTCTCTTTCGGCTTCAACAAAGTTGAAGGCAGATCCAAAACGTTTTCGGTATAATGCAAGTTCTTACCACCTGCGGTTCCCGGTTTTGGTCGAGGGAGACGGTTGTGAGATACTAAACGTTCAGCTTCATCAATATTGTCCTGCTCCTTCATCTCGTCGAATATTCTTCGCTTATCAAATTTGGCAAGACCTCCTTCGAAATCGAAATCGCCTGCTTCTTGCACGTCCGTAACGTCCTCTGAAGCCCATCCGTTTGCGGCGTTTGCTTCAACTCGACTTTTCTGGCTTTTCTTGAGCGATGCGAATGGTTGAAACGATTGGGTGGACTCTAATATAGGGGTTTCTCTCCAACCTGCACCCCTATTGCTTAACTGCGATGGAGATCCATTGGTATCCGCTGCTTTGTTCTTGCGCCGTCCCCGGCTCCGTGTTCCGCGATTGCGGTCCTTTCTGGAACTCGACGGTTCGTTAGTGGTAGCAGAAGCTAGTTCGACCGTCTCTTTGGATCCGCGCACGGTTTCAGCGCTAGGAGAGATCCTTAATTGACCTATAGACGCATTGAGAGTAGAAGTAGGCGCGTCGGTGATTTCATCGGGCGAGGAATACGTCAGGTGGTCGGCGGGGTTAGGTATTATCGGAGGATCTCGTTTCTCTGCGGTATTCGGTTGCGCATGAAACTGCACGTCGGGTCGTGACGTAGGTTTCGATTTGGGAGTGAGACTCAGTATAGCAGGGTCTTGGAACGCTGCCTGGCGTGTTGGCGGCTGAGGTACCGCAGTAGGCGTCGAGAAAGCGGGTTCAGTAACTGGGAAAGGGTCCGTTTGGAGTGGTACAATGTCGGATACGTTATCCGCGGCGATATTTAGTCGTTCATAGTATTGGTTCGTACCTATCACCATAGCTAACTTTACGTCAGCTAATACTCATTTGAAGTTGCTTTTTTTCAGCAATATCTATGCTTAGCCTACCTTGATCTAATGTAAGATATTGCTCAGGTCTGAGGCCACTTAATAGCCCCTGAATACGTTGACCAGCCGGCTCCTTGAGAATTATGATGTAGTGATTGCCCAACCACTGGGATAAGGAAACAGGTGCCTCCATTCTCGCTCGTTTAACTAGCTCTAAAATAATAGGTTGTCCCGAAGTCCTCTAGTACGAGAAAATGAGAAACGAGGCAGCACCGATGACTTTGTAAATAAGCTATTGATGTAAGAGTCATCAAAGTGTAATGGCACACGGGGTAAAGGGGACAACGAAGATATTTCGTGTCTCTGTTGTACTGGGGAATTATTTGGAGACGCGAGATCACATGTGTGATGTTCGCGATACCAGAGCAGGTGCACCTCATAAAAATGACTCTTGACAGAGGTTGCTGCCCGTTGTTTAAAACCGCAAGGTAGAGTGGTACCCCTAGAAGTTGACTATGAAGGTAGGTGCAATCAAGAGTGAGTCTCGGTCGGGATCGGTGATGTCGTTGAAGATAGTCGCTAGCGCAAGGAGCTAACCTCGAGGATGGACGGTTATAACGGCCGCTAGGAAATATTAACGATGCGAAGTAGTGTTGGTCGCGATGTTGTCTTGGTTTCCCGAAGATGGCAACGAGAGTAAGTTCGTGACTAACACGGATTTGGTGTAGTAGGGACTATGACGAGAGTTCTGGAGGCTTGATGCCGAAGGGAAAATGACATGTATTCACAATGTGAACATGGGAATCGATATCCCTACAGTCGGTGGAGCGTCTATCGCATCGGGTCGCATCGACGTCAGGCGCAGAGGGCGTTTTCGAAGGAATCGTCGTCGGACGCGGCTAGAAATGATCTTTTTAACCCTCAATTATGACCAATTGAGAGTGGAAGATGGTGGTAAGAAGCTGGGTTACCAGGCGTAAGGCGTGATGTGAAGGAAGTGGAAGAAAGTTGGAATTGTAACGATTCTAAGGTATTTTTTAGTTGCTACTGCAGGCACACGACGGCGAAGTTTAAGGTTGCTGGGCTTATCGATAAATACTAACTAGGTACGCCGAATGACCCATAATGACAACACCAATCACATGGAAAGCCATTTCCTACCTGGGCAATATGTGGGCCTACCATTTTACATGATCACCTATATGTACCCAAGTACCTACCTTATATACAACATCGAACACAAGTGCCTAGGGAGATATTAAAAACAATTAGACAGCAGCAGGGATTGTATATAGCATATTATAGAATATCCTTTTTGATATAGCTACCTATTCACTCGATATGTTCTAAGATAGCTACTTGGTAAGGGTTTCAATATCAAGTACCCGCCTAACACTGACGCCGTGATAGGTGGTAGAATTCTCATATGGATGGGTATGTTGGATTCATTCCATTAGGGCTCTAACAAGTCATTAAGCCGAGTGTCTAGAGCTTCCGCCCTTCACCCTCTCAAAAAGCCATTAGTAATGCATACCAACCGAACATCGCCGGAATTCCCCAATATATATGCATGATTATCCATATGATGCCATTGCTTCCTCTTCATCGTCGAAGTCAATTACGTTCGTATCCTTCTTTTTCGAAGGCCCCGTCGATTTCCCAAAAGCAGAGTCTGGTATCGGAGTTGGCTTCTTTGTCTTCACCGCTGATTCTGCGCTATACAGTTTGTTGTAGAATTGAATGACCCGAGGGTGAGCCATGACTTTGTTCTTGTCGAAACGCAACACTTGAAGACCTTGCTTGCTCACGGCTCGACTTAGCGCAACGTACGCTTGTCCCTTCTCAAACACCTTGCCAAGGTCAACCTTTACTCGTTCTAGAGTTTGACCTTGAGCCTTGTGGATAGAAAGTGCCCACGCTAAAATAAGAGGTAATTGCTTGCGCGACGCTTGAACTTCGCCTGTGGGCAATTCAACCTTCCAGTCCTCTGGGATGCAGAGAAGAATTCGGTGAGTTCCATCTGTTGCAGTAAAGCGAACAAGAGGATACTCTTTGTTGTCCTTTATCTTTTCAACATCGCGACTGAATGCCTGAATCTTCTTTTTAGAGCGCGGGTCCGCCTCGGTTTCGTCTCCTGACCCAACCTCTTCTTTACGCGCACCCCACAACTCGAAAGTAGTTTCATTCATGAACCCAATGACCTTGCCGAGAGAGCCGTTTACTAGTGTGTCATCCATGTTCTTGATTAGCATAACTTGTGCGTCTTTCTTTAGATCCATTGCTTTAGGAGCCATCATATTTGCAAGCAGCTTATCTCGAATATTAGGATCGCCTGTGTCATTGGCCTCGTAACGGTATACGGCTCCAGGCAAGTTACGCAACCGGGACTCGTTAGACCTTTCGACTTCTTGACGGGTCGGGAACCTGGAAGCAAAATTAGAAAATCATCATACATCATTTTAAGGGGACTCAGAAATACAATTCAGTAACATCAAGACCATCGTCAAAACTTAATGGGCGTGAAAGTTCCTTGAATGTGCGAACAGTATCTTCGCTGATCCTGCCAAGACGCATCTCGTTCAACATGTTGGCAAATTCTGTTATGCTGTCAGCAAACCAATCAAATAGCGAAATAAACACTTGGTGATATCAAACTTACGAGGATCCCTTTGACGGAAGACCTGGGTTAATCCAATGGTGTGATCTATAGACGTGTTCCACGTCGCGGCTTCAAATGCGAATTTAGCATATTTTTTTCCTCCGTCAGGGACAGGAGGCAACTGGAAGAAATCGCCTGTTATGACCAATTGAATCCCACCCCAAGGTCGACCATCATTTCGGATAGTTCTTGCTATTTGAGCAAGCTTATCGAAGAGGTCACCATCAACCATAGAAACTTCATCAATAATGAGAGTCCTTGTTCGGAGCCATCGGGTTTTCGCCTTGGCGTTTCGACGGATCTTCTTGACGAGAGTAGGGACATCTTCCCTTCCGAGGCCAATACCAGCAAAACTATACAACGTCATACCCCCAATATTACACGCAGCAAGACCAGTAGAGGCGGTGACACTAAGACATTCCGGATCGCGAGCCCATTTTTTCCTTAATTCGGCGATAATCGCTCGCATCAAAACGGATTTACCAGTACCGGCAGGACCAGTGAAGAATACACTTTGCTTCTCTCGAATGACTAGGTCGATAACATGCTGCTGTTCAGAACTTAGAGATATCGCAGAAGCTTTAGCCTTGTGTTTAGCATGGTCATCGGTAGAAGCGCGAATTTCGTCGGCAGAGTACCCAGGATCGGTTTCGGACTTTTTATTCTGATTTTTGAGCTGTTTTCGACGCTCTTTGATAGCACTCTGTGACATGTCCCAAGACATATCTCCCTTCTTTTTAGCCGCCGGAGTAGCCAACTTTGCCTTCTCGTGAACATCATCATGGTCCCCATCCCGGTCAGGTTGCACCGGATTGCCCCGCTTGTAGCTCCCAGGCAGGCTCCTCTTCTTGGCCGGTGGTGGTTCAGGTCGCCGGACGTCATCCGACGAGTTGCGTTTCAACGCATTGTTCGGGGGGTTCTTTGGATATAAATGCGCCCGTGGTGAGGAAGACCAGGGTATTTTTTGGCTGGTAGGTGGTTGGGCCAAAGGAGCCGGAGCCGGAGCTGCAGAGGGTTTCGAGGCGGCTGGTGGAGGAGGAAGATGAGCAGGAAGTTGGTATTCCAAATCCAACTCCAGAGTATTATCGTCACTAAAGTCACCGTCGTCAAAGTAGGCCGGATCTGTCTTGCTATGTGACGGAGCACGAACAGATTCGGGTTCGGGTGTCTCGAGGAAAGATGTGGGATTGGTACAGAGGGATGCGAAACTTTCGGAACGCCGAACAGAGCTGGCAGCGGTGGTAGAGGGAGTAAGTGATTTGTATTGACGAAGTTGTTGTAGATTGTTAGAGGTAGGCTGTAATGTATGATCAACGCCTTTTCCTACTGCCTTCGAAGATCCCGACGCGGCACCCAAAAAGGGTTTGACACGGCTTTTATTGGAGGAAATCCATTGCGCAATGTTTCCATCATGAGCAGTTGGACTACTTGAAGGAAACAATTCCTTCGCGAGGTCATTCCTGGCGGGGGGTGCCGTGGGCGCGTCCGCCTTCCTCCTCTCTACAGCCCGACCTAACATCGTATTAAGAGGGGAGTTTGAGAGATACGCGAATGCATGAGAGTGTAATGGTGGGAAGGTATGTCGTAAGCGCAAGGGTCTTGAGGGCAGGATTCGGAGAAGGCCTGCAGTCATACAGGAGATGGAGATGACTGCGTCTCGTGTTTGTGTTTTTTGTTTCGAGGGGACCAATTGGGTTGCATTGGTTTAAGAAACTAAAAGCTTAAGAAAATAAAAAGTTGATCTTACGCATCACATGGTAATGTATCTAGTTAGACTGCTCCTGCCCTGCAAGACCAGTGCTGTTTGGATCGACAAGTGGGTACAGGGTAGGTGCAGTGTCGATGTCGCGTTGAGGGTTTCCCGGGAACGCGTTGATTGGTCTCCACATTAAAATGTGCACAATCATCTACTGCTATCGGCCAATGAAACTTGGTCCCTTTTCCAATTTATTACGGTTTATCATACGGTATTTTATCCTTTATGTGACTCCGTAATACGGTACCTACCTTCAATTCAAACAGGCAGAACTCTCTCCTAGGCAACACCTTCACCAACATATCACAGCTTACACACATCCAATCATTTTATGTATCTGGCATATAAGTAAATTTTAAATCCAAGAGATGATCCTACCTCAAATATCTTGGTCAATGTCAACTTTTTTCTATCAATTTTCAAAAGTTATCCCATGACCTAGCTTCTTGAGCAACTACACCGGACCATGTGACGAAACAGCAAAACCATTGGATGATGATTAGATAATTGATGCTCAAATCGGAATTCACAATTCACCCTATCCATTGAAACTTGGGATATTGATGAGAATGAGTCAGAGACGTGAGAAGATTCGAGATGATGGCGCCGGAGATGAAGAGCGTCGCCAATATGCGACAGGAGGTCAAACACTTGACGATTTAGACGTGAAGTGAGCTACACAAATCAACCTCGCACGTACGTCCATATTCACGCCAAGCTAATATTTCATGAAGATATCCCAACCGACCGAAGAATCATTCACGAACTTTATTCTTTTCGGATTTGTTCAAAGATCTCTTCGATCCTCTAAGCGAGAATAAGAGTCAATCCGGTCCTAAAGCTGCTCGTTCCAGAGCCGGTCCTCATAAATCTAATAAACTCTCTCCACATGAGCAGAAGCGCAACATCATCGAGCGCTTCATATCAAAATGGAGGAACGAAGTCGGAAATGACTTTTACCCTGCTATGCGATTGATTTTACCCAGCTCAGATCGCGATAGAGGAATGTACGGACTTAAAGAGAGCAATATTGGCAGACTACTTGTCAAATTGATGAGGATCGACAGAAATTCCGAAGATGGATATAGTATCTTACATTGGAAAGAACCCGTCCGATCAGGAACCGCCCGCGCTGCCGGCGATTTCGCTGGGAGATGTTTTGACGTGTTATCCAAAAGACCCATGCGCATAGATCCTGGGGATATGCGTATCGCAGACGTTAACGAATTACTAGACAAGCTAGCTGCATCATCCGGCGAGAGCGAACAACTACCAATATTCGAGACCTTCTATCAGCGCATGAACGCAGAAGAGTTAAGATGGCTCATCCGTATCATCCTGAAGCAAATGAGAGTAGGAGCTACGGAGAGAACCTTCATGGAATTATGGCATCCCGATGCGCAGGATCTATACAGCGTATCTTCGAGTTTACGCCAGGTCTGTTGGGACCTCTATGATCCTAAATTCCGTCTCACGGATGGCCAAACAAATGTCACATTGATGCAATGCTTCCAACCCATGCTTTGTCATTACCAAATGTCTGCTTCTTTCCAAAAGATGGTCGATAAGCTCAATGCAACAAATCGCGTTGAAGGCGATGACCAATTCTGGGTAGAAGAAAAGTTGGATGGTGAGCGAATGCAATTACACATGGAAGAAGATGATGATATTCCTGGTGGCATGAAATTCCGCTTTTGGTCAAGAAAAGCCAAGGATTACACGTATCTCTACGGAGAAGGTTTTGAGGACCAGACAGGATCACTCACTCGCCACCTCAAAGATGCCTTTGCTCCAGGTGTACGAAATATCATCCTCGACGGCGAAATGATTGTGTGGGATCCAGAAATCGATAAGGTATTGGGATTCGGTACCCTAAAAACAGCAGCTCTTGCGGAACAACGAAACCCTCATAAAGATAATGCGCCACGACCGGTTCTCCGCGTCTTCGACATACTCTACTTAAATAATCAGCCTTTAACCCAGTACACCTTGCGAGACCGGCGAAATGCGCTCGAGAAAGCTGTACGAGGTGTGCCATACCGATTAGAGGTACACAAGTATGATAAAGCTACCTCGGCTGATGTGATTGAGCCAATGCTTCGGCAAATCGTTTCTGATGCTTCCGAAGGTTTGGTCATCAAGAATCCGCGCTCCATGTACTCCCTCGCCGATCGTAGCGACAACTGGATTAAAGTCAAGCCCGAATACATGAGCGGTTTTGGCGAGTCGGTGGATGTCGTGATTATTGGAGGATACTACGGGTCTGGTCATCGTGGTGGTGCGATAGGTTCTTTCCTCTGTGGTCTGCGCGCTTCGGAGAACGATATCAAAGCAGGTGCCAGTGCGGAAACATGCTTCAGCTTTGTGAAGGTTGGCGGCGGTTTCAGAGCTGAAGATCTTGCCGAGATTAGACATCACACGGAAGGAAAATGGAATATTTGGGACCAGAAGAAACCACCGAACAAGTACATCCAACTTGCCGGCGGAGATAAGTACCAATATCTCAGACCCGACGTATGGATTCGCCCAAGCGAGTCCATCGTCATTTCGGTTAAGGCGGCCAGTGCGGGAGAATCCGATCAATTTGCTACTGGCATTACGTTACGATTCCCACGATTCAAAAGTATGCGGACTGACCGAAGCTGGGACTCATGTCTAGATTTCCAAGGATTTGTGGATATGAAAATCCGAGCCGAGAATGAAAATAAAGAAAAGGCCATGAAAATGGAGTCGCGTAGGAAGCGCTCCGCCAAACGGACTAAAAGGGATATCGTCATTGCCGGTCAGGATAATACCGCACTGGCATTGTTTGATGGACCTAAAACTAAAGTATTCGACGGCTTGGAGTTTTGTGTTTTAACGGATTGCACGACACCAGTCAAGAAGACCAAGACACAACTCGAAAGGTTGATAAAAGAGAACGGCGGCAAAATATACCAGAGAGCAGATCCAGAAAGTGGCATGCTTCTCATTGCCGAGAAAAAGGTCGTCAAAGTCGCCAGTCTAATCAAGGCAGGGGACGTGGATATTATCAGGCCCAAATGGATACTGGATTGTCTTGCGCAGCGTGATGAGGATTTCCTACTGCCTTATGAGAGCGGTCACTTATTCCACACTACCGAAGCTACGGCACACCACGCGGAAGAAAACGTAGATGAGTTCGGTGACAGTTATGCAAGAGACCTGGATTTGAAGGAGTTACGAAAAGTGCTGAAATCAATGCCAAAACAGGAAGCCCTCATCGAAGAACCATTCAACAAGGACGAGTTTCTAAACCAACTAATTCAGCATGGTCACGACATCGGCAATTTGAGGAGTTATATCTTCAGAGGCGCACGAGTGCATTTTTCGGCTACAGACGATATCACACCTATTTCGTGTCTCAAATTGAAGAATTGGGTTAAATATGGAGGTGGTTCGATAGTCGAGGAGCTAGACGACGGAAGCATAACTCACGTAGTTATAATGAGTGGTAGCGAGAAAGGGGAGATGGAACAAGCAGCAGAAGTGCGTTCGATCATCAGTGCCCGGACCCCCGTTCCGAGAGTAGTCTCACGACAATGGGTGGAGGATTGCTGGAAGAACAGCACAACAGTTGACGAAGAAAGGTATGCGCCATTGTAATAACTTAAACGGATAGCAACCCAATACCTAGTTGTTGCCAATCTAGCCAATGTCTATTGAATCCATGCATTTCCCACTGGTATCTTTACTTTCCTATCGTCAAGAATAAGCGGTCACCCACGTCTCCCACACCAGGCTTTACCATGCCGTTTGGTGTGAGTTCTGCATCGACACCCGCAACCCATATCTCGACGGCCTCAGGCCACTCCTTAGCGGCAACTGTTACACCTGGTGCTGCGGCGATGACCGATAGAACAATGATTCTCTTAACACCCCATTCTTTAAGTGTCTGGATAGCGGCAGCACAAGTTCCTCCGGTCGCAATAACTGGGTCCACAATGATAGCCAAGCTAGAAGCATTGGTTCCAGGCTCGGTAGCCGATGTGGGGATATGGTGTGGCAAGTTGTTGTAGTACTCGACGGGTTCGAGTGTGCTAGGTTCTCGGTATAGCCCTAGGTGGTGCACGGGGACCGGCTCGGGAAGAAGGGTTTGAATTGCTAAATTGCCTATGCGTTAGGACGAGTCGTGCTGGTGAAAAGGGATTACAATGACTCTCACCTTCTACCATGCCCAACCCCGATCTAAGAATGGGCACTATTGATAACGCTTCCGGCCGTACCGTAGTCGTGGTGTATTCGAATCCGATAGGAGTCTCGCCCTATGTAGTAGAGCCTTATGTTAATTACTACCCGATAAGCCGCTTATTTTCGTATACAGGTGCAACATTCACAAACTACCCACTTTTGGTCCATCGTGAGGTGTCAATGATGAAGCTAGAGCTTCGCACCCGAGAATCAGAGCAATGTCGTTTACTAGCGATTTGACTTCCCGCGAATCCGTGTTCTTGGACCGCAGACGACTCAACTTTGCCATAAGGCACGGGTGTTTAGACACATGGACGTTGGAAGGTAGCGACATTTTGTAAGGTATAGTATTATCGCAACTATGGTGTATAATGGTAGGTGTTCGTATATAAGGTATTCGTGGTAGTCCAACAAGAAAGCAATGCTTGGGTCGATACAAACACAAACTGATTATTTTATGAAGCTTCAAGAATCACAAGTGAATGAAGGTAAAAACTATAAAATATCTAAGTTGAAGATATAGAGAGAGAAAGAGAGATTTAAGATTAGAAAAAGAAGAAAAGACCGCTACTTCCATTCGTCTGACTTATGAACTTACGTCGGGTTGATTTTTAGTTCGCAAGTGCAATGCGAGATGCGGCATGCATTCATTGGCACGGGAACAAATAGAGCCTTCCCATTCCTTTACCAAGCACTATCAAAGAAGCTCCTGAGCTATCACAAGACGCGGGGCAGCTACCACTAACCCCACTGCCCCGCCATGACAGCCGCGCTTGGACTCTATTTACGATAACGGTGATATACATAGATAAGACTAGCTGCCCAAGTGGAAGCGGTGCCTAGACTAGGCCTAACGAAGCAAGGCTAAAACGCGTTTGAATTACGGTGCCTTTCAAATGACAGTCCCTTCATACGGTAGACCTTGACTAGGAGCACCGTAAATTGATCCGTAATTACCTAATACACATACTATCCGTGCAATGACCGAAAACACGTGCCAAGAGAAATTAAATGCGGCGACGCCAATCCCAAATTCTTCAACTTTTTACAACGTCAACATGAGAGAGATACCAAAATAGCTATCTCTAGCTATTTTATACACCAATTCTTACTCTAGTTGGTGATACAAATAATTGTTTTAATCTTTAATATCTAAATTACTTCGACATTCATATCCTGGAATTTATGAGTTTATATTGCGAGGGAGGACAGTGAGATGGACGGTAATCGGTCGCATGTCCCCTCACGATCAAATGCGGAACGACACACAGCACCCGAAGATGGCGCCCAATCTGTGTCCGGCCAAACCATAGCACAGCAGGAGGCCGCCCATTCAAGGCAACAGCATAATACTTCAGAGCCATCTTCACCCGATTACGACGCGCCAGAGTCGTACAAAAACATTCATGACGTGGACGAAGATGCAGATCGACTAGATCCAGCAGGTCCAGTCGATTTCGAGGAACAGAAGCGTCTGCAGGCGCGGGCACAACGGAGGCGTTCGTCTGTGTCTCAAACCAGTTACAATATCCCGGACTCCTATGCAAATGTCCCCGAGCTAGAGGAAATTGCTCCTATCCCAAGCCGAGATGAGCGTCGGTGGCGTCCAAGCCCCTCGCTCGAAGAGGAAAGAGCTCTTGAGCGGACATATTCCACTCACCAAGAAGCTCAAAGACGGAGTGGGGGTCAACAAGAAGAAACCGAAAAGCCAACAGTCGAAGAGGTTTCGAGGTTAGCAACTGAGATCTACACCATATCTTATCTCATACTGTTCGCACTGCTTGGTACTCTCGCGCGGCTCGGACTACAGGCTCTAACATTTTATGCCGGTGCCCCTGTCTCTTTCAGCTCCGTGTGGCCCAATTTTGCCGGTAGTCTGGTCTTGGGTTTCTTGGCGGAAGACCGCATGCTATTCCGCTTTGAATGGGGCACTCCGACGTATGAATTACAACTCCTTAGGGCAAAGCAAAATGGCTTGGATGAGGAAACAGGAGGGTCCGGCTCTAACTCCGATATTGACCTAGCTGCTGCGAAGAAAGCCCACATGGCCACCAAGAAAACCATACCGCTTTACATTGGTCTTGCAACGGGGTTTTGCGGTTCCTTCACATCTTTCTCGTCGTTTATACGCGACATCTTCCTAGCCCTGTCTAACGACTTGCTAGCACCAGATGCAGGCTCGATCACTACCCCACGAAATGGGGGCTACTCATTCATGGCCCTTATCGCCGTAATACTGACCACCGTCTCTTTGTCTATTGCCGGTCTCCTCGTCGGAGCTCAACTCGCATTAGCTCTAGAGCCAATCACACCTTCACTCCCCTTCCTCTTCACACGCAAATTTCTCGATCGGTTTGCTGTCTTCCTCGCCTGGGGATCGTGGATCGGAGCTATCCTCTTGTCGATCCTCCCACCAGACCGGTTTAGTAACCCCGGAGCGGCGGAGATTTGGCGCGGCCGTGCGACTTTCTCCTTGGTCTTTGCGCCACTAGGTTGCTTGGGCCGCTTCTACGCGTCGCTCTACCTTAATGGTTATCTTCCCTCATTCCCATTAGGTACTTTCGCCGTCAATGTCTTCGGTACTGCGATCCTAGGAATGGGCTGGGACCTTGCGCATGTTCCGCTTGGTGGTGTCATTGGTTGCCAAGTCCTTCAGGGGATTGAAGACGGCTTTTGTGGCTGTCTGACTACCGTGTCTACTTGGGTTGCTGAGCTGACTGCTCTGAGGAGGCGGCATGGCTACATATATGGCTGTACAAGCGTTGTCACGGCGTTAGCCATTATGGTAGCTATTATGGGTGGTCTTAGATGGTCCGATGAGTTCAGCGCGTTGACTTGTAAGCATTAAGTGCGTCCATATGGGCTCGGGTCTCTGTTTATTATACGTGCATGTTTAAAGCGAGCGAGTCAAAATGAGCGGCCATGGTCTTCGCAAAAGAGCTGCGAGCTGGGCTGGGCATAGTCGATATATCTAGACTGTGGTGCTATCTCAAAACTTCTATATATTGGAAATCACTATTATTTAATCTACGCTTAATATAGAGGAGTACGTCCTCGTTTCAATTACGAGGTCGCAATATTTCCAGTCTTCTTATTCAGCTACACGACAGATTGCTCGACCGTCAGAAGCCCGAGCCCTAAGGGCCTTTAATATATAATGCTTTTAGCGCTTCGGCGTGGAAAGTTTAGGTGCATGTATGTATGTACCTAGGACGCTATGTATCCCTTCTATCAGTTCCATTAATGGATGGATTGGCACCCCGGGAAGCCACATAAGCCACCACACTGTCAATTTACACTGGGTTTTTAGCGGTTGGGTGGTCTATCCGATGCTTAAAGATAGAAGCCATTCCCCTGTCTTACCTCCCGTATACAGTATATCTACTAAACATATTAAACAAGGATGATGACCGTTACTGAACTCACTCCGACACTTAGGCTTGTACACCTACATCTCAGCATCATACCATAGGGACTTGAGTAATTGAAAAGCGAATTCATTTCGATTATGTTCAAACTATTGTTTATATACAATGATGACTGCTTGGAACAGATATCGCAGGCCCAGCTGCGAGCCTTTCACCTCACACTTTCTGGCGCGGCACACCTCTTCTCGAACCATTTAGCAAAATTCGTTGAAGGGACATCGACCCCTCTCCAAAATACATCGGAAGCCCACATCACAAGCGGGAAGTACAACGCGGAAGCGATTGTGAAGCTTATAGCATATGGCCAAAGCCCCTCCTTACCGATCACATCCCAGCAAATATCAAGCAGCCATTTGCCGATCGTCCGATTCCCAAGACCGTGAACGAGATAGAGCGCGAAGCTTATGCGCCCAAGATACCGAGCAGGCCGAGTGAGAAAGATGGATTGAACAGATGGTAGGAATGCGACAGGGCCGACAAATAGCATCGCACCGATCGCAAGCCAGAACCGACGACGATATGCACCGAACGGCCAAACGTATTTCGACCACATATAACCAGGGGTCTTGGTGTTATGATCTCGAGGGTAGCCACAGAGGAAAAGACCGAGTATCATAGCAAGCACAAGCAATACGTTCACTACCCTCCTTGCTGATGGGTTGTTCGGCTTCTTCAGCAGCACTTCTAGTTCTGCTAAGGACATGCCGGCAATAAACAGAGCAAGGTCCCAACGCTTGTGAATGAAAGAATGGACTATGAGGAAGCTTTGAACAAACAGTCGAACAGCAGTCCTCGTCTTAGCTAGTCCGACGATGAGAAGGAAGACAACCATGGAACCACGGAACTCGACAGCAATAGACCATAGTTGAGGGTTGTAAAAGCCAGAAAAGTCCATCGTCCAATCCCACGGGTTCGATTCCATGTCGAGATACTCGATGTATGAAGAGAAGCTATGTTCGAATGGCTTCCCATCTACCTTCTCCGGTACACTGATTAGGCCGAGGTAGGCACAGACGAAAGCCATCGTGCTGGATGCAAATGCCGGCAGGAACAAACGGATGGCTCGCCGGAAAGTAAGCGAGGTCAGCCCGGATAACAAGTCATTGTACTCATGGCGGTGCATGCGCTGAACGAATCGATGAGACAATACAAAACCAGAGACAACGAAGAATACCGCGACCATCGCGGCGCCCGAGTAAATTATCCGGATGAACGGAAGTAACCAGAAAGACGTATTGTCCTTGAAACCCCATCCTGAGTTAATGGACGGGTAGGGGACGTGAGCCCAGTGCAAGATGAAAACAATCAAGGATGCGACGCCACGAACGCCGTCGAGATACTCCGTCGAATGTGGTTTCCTTGGCGCATTGGATTTCTCCGATGCTTCTGAAGTTGGCGACCGCTTTGCTAAGAAGCTTGGCCTTAGGAAGGCGAGACATTGCCAAATGGCGACCCGGAATGAAAATGACTGAAAATTGCCCCTCCATGATGATGACCACCTCGTGCGAATTGGCTCTTCTACTGAAAGTTGAGGTAGAAGAGCCTCTTCATCCTCCCTGGATTGATGACCTAAATGCATGGCCGTTGAGATACCGTTTAGTCGACGCTACCCGGCTGATATTTCGAAATTCTACAATCTATCGCAGAGCTATGTATAAGCTCTAAAACAAAAAAGGATGTGAGAATCCAACTCTCCGTCTGTTGCTTAGCAGGCCCCTTTCCTATTAGCAAGATTCGAGCTTCCTGACATACGCAATGATAGGCCGGATCGCGACAGCCCCGTTCGCACGTCATATAGCATAAAACACGGCTTCGTAGCAGGACGGACTTTGATCGCGCGCCGAGGCCGATTCTATCTGATGGCTCCGTTAACGAGTGTAGTAGACCGACGATTCAAATTGGTTAGATTCGCGCATTGCCGCAAGGGACAGATTTGACAAGCGTCAACCGGGGAAAACAACCAATATAGGAATGTTTGTAGATGGTACAATGCAGCCCCTTCACCGAAAGTTGCTGAGAAAATATAAAGGGTAGGGTATGGTCTAACAATAGGATCAAGATGCTAGATTCCGTACCTCCCGAATGCTCGACATAGGCCAACGAAACGTCACATGAAAGTACCTGTAAGTCGAGTCAAACCTAACACAGGAGGTCTCTTTGCAGATAAGGGGATCCATGGGCATCGTCTCCGAGCCCGAAGCTCGAACTTCTCTCAACGTCCTTAACACCCTCAAAATGAGAACCGCCTAACCGGTAAGAATCCAAGACGATCACTTCAGATGAAGATGCAGGCCAAGAGACTACACGATGCAAGCCAAGACGGGAAATCTCCAATCAGAAATAACGGTAATGCCGGATCTGCAAGTTAAGCTCTTTAGCAGCCTAGTATGCGTCGTGCCAAGACGTTGCCAAGACGTTGCGTTGTCGCAGGCTCGTGAGCCCTGCAGATATTATGGTATTTATCGTGGTATTAGTGGTATTAATCAGACTTGTATTCGTCCAATTCTTCCCTCTAAACTTTTATATCTCTACTAGCCCCCTGGTCCGTCAGCTACCAAAGGGCTGATCATTTCTCTAACCAAACTAGTCCTTTGCGATAGTCATGCGTCCGGTCAAATAACATACCTCCATTGCAATCTTCAATAGCCCCATTCGGAAGGTCTTTCAAAGGGGTATCGCCGCACGCGACTTCAAACAAAACTCGAGTTTGGAGTGGCACGTGTGCTATTGCTAAGAAGAGAAGGAGGCAGAATTCAACGACCTTGATAACTTTTTGATAGCATAGCACATCAGGATGACGAGATCAGATAGCAGAGAGTTGCCTCGGGAGTCAGAAATCCGAATGAGAAGATCCCCAACAGTCAGATACAGATATTCAGGACTTGAGACGAAAAGAGGAGCAAAAATGAGGGTGATCGAACACAGTTAGTTCGTGCCAAGTACCACGGACCAATATCTGCGTTACTGGTTTGACATATCGTCTATCTCCCAAATGCCGGCATTATAGGACGATGACCAGGGCTGTTGTACGCCCTCTACACTAGCCACTAGCTTGTGTGATTGGGTAGCAGCAACCTCTCCTCGACCATCGGTACCTGACTCATGCAGAGACGCCTATTACATTACTCAGGTACCCTAGATCTTTTGTAATTCATATTATCGCTACTTTCATGACGTGTGGGGGTGACTGTTTGTTCTCCCCACCCTCCACTCAGTAGGCAAGCTATTATCTTGGCAGTTCTGGAAACCTGGACGGGAAGGCAAATTTCTATATCCCAGAAGTTGGGATCTTCGTCACGCATTTCGGCCCCCTTCCACTTACCATGGACCTTGCAGCGCCTAGTTCTACCCTACACCCTCTTTGTCTGATTCGTGGATTTTATGGAATTCAGGGACGCCGGCATGATAATGTGAGTCTAAGTCAACTAGGAAAGTGGTCGTGTGTCGTCGATCTGTTTCCTATATTGTTTACTTGTTAGGTCTCCTACCTGCCTGTGAGAATGCTTCATCGTCCGGAGGTGCAACCATAGTGAGACCTTCCACTCCGATTTGATACTCCGGCTTGATAACAGATTCAGCTCTTCGACGTCGAGATTGGCTTTCCGCAAGGTGATGCCCCTGTAGTTATCCGGACCGAGCATGTGAGAAACAGAGCACGCGATTCTTTTCTCGTTACGTTACGGCAACTTTGTTTGTCATTCCACTCTTTTACTTTTGCACTATATCCGAGGCAGGAAAAACCTGAAAACTTTTTCGAGATTCTCGAAAGGGAAGGCTGCTAACAATCGCTCGAGGTTGGGTCCGATTGACGAGTACATTATCGCAACGATAAGACAGGCCAAGTCGAGAGAAAAACGTGCCGGATCTCTCAAGATGGTGTGGGCAGGCGGAAACATCTCTATACCCAGTCGGAGCCAAAGTCCAATCGATTATTCCAAGACCATGTTGTCGCCAAGAATGCTACCACGACTCCTCATAAAAGTCCCAAGTTCTCCTATAGAACAAGGCACATTTACATCACGGCGTATACGGAGAATAATATTTCTAGTCTGCTTCCTAGCATTGGGGTGGATATTCATTGATACCAAATGGAGCACAACACATACGGAAGGGCAAAGTTATACGACGTTTCAACTGGTACGGCATGCTACCTTCGATAGCAAGCCATCACAATGGGTCGGCGGCGGTGCTGTCGTATTGTCTCAGAGTAATAACGAGAACACAATACACGAACACCGCCCGGCTAAGGAAGAGAAGACCCTTTATCATGTACTACCAGATGTTATACGAATATCATTCGAGGAGGCGGTGAAGAATATCAAGCTAGAGGGGTGGGAGGACGAATGGCTCTCGTCAGGACACTTCGACGCCGAAAAGCATGGTCCGCTGGCCGAGCCAAAGATCGACTTCGTCTACAATTGGGTTAATGGTTCCGAAGATGACTTCAAGAACATACGACATAGTTACGAGCTGGATTCCCCCCTCAATGACCGGGAGGGTAAGTGGATATCACAACATAGTATCAACAGATACCGCGATTGGGATGAGTTGAGATACTCACTCCGCAGTCTCGACGTTTATGCTAAGGGTTTCATCAACAAAATCCAACTTCTCGTCAATTCAGTCGGCAGCGGCTCATATGGAGAGAATATGCGTCCCCAAAGACCTACGTGGCTCAAGGATGATGAAAACACCAATGAGCATGTACAGGTCCTCAGCCACGAATCATTCTTCCGCGAACAAGAGAAAGAATGCCTCCCCACCTTCAACTCACTTTCCATCGAATCTCAAATATTTATGACACCGTCGTCGACAGACCAACTTGTCGCACTGTCTGATGACATGTTCCTAGGTATGCCTCATGAGGCCTCAGACTTCTACTCACCTTTATTTGGACCTGTCATGGGCTTCAAAAGCGATCACTATAACGTTAAACATCTTGGTGGAAAAGACCAAATTCCTTCGTTTGGCGAGAAGCCTTTTGTCTACTACACCTCATACCTCTTGAACCATAGGTTCGGTCAACGTAACCGTCACGTTCAAGCTCATTTCACCCATTCCGTCTCACGGACAGTAATGGAAGAGGCAATGTCTTCCTTCCCACAACCCTCTGCCAAGGGCGCTTGCGAGCGATTCCGTGGCGAGTCAAAATACCAGATATATCCCTGGTACGCTAGCTTCCACTACACCATTGAGAGATTTAGGGAAGCACTGCTCTGGTCCTTTATCATGTCGCGCTCTGATGAGAACTCGGACGGATACCTCGACTGGACTGAGAGGCAACACATTCTCCAAGCAGTCGAGCCTGGCTGGCGACAACTCGCCGTCAAGGATTCGTCCAAGCCCGCGGCACAGAGCCCAGACCGGGACCGGATGTTTTACAAGCTACCGCAGATGCTACAGAAAGCGGGGCTCCAACCACCTAACGTGAACATCAATGTGTTGTGGACGTCACTTGACGGGCCGGAAACTATTCGCAATATTAAGTGTGGCGATTTCAGCGTGGACAAGTGCTTTGGCGATTCATTTGCATCGTCGCTCTCAGACACCACAACACCCAACCCGGACTTTAGTGCATCTAATGTCTTCTCTCGATTATCATACCAACGACCACAATGTGGTGACTGCCTCATTAAATTCTTATTATCGACTCAACCACGTGGGCTTGAACCACTACTCCCACTTAAAGCGACAAAGCCACGCGACCGCGAGGTTATCGTCAAAGCATTACGGAAGTATCAACATACTATCGTTGACACAGACGCTATGAAATTCGTCATGGTCAAAGACGCAGAGCAAGCCGAGATGGAATTACTAGAGCGCACAACACGGAGAGGCAAGACATTCGGGCAATGGTGTCTAAACGACGACGTCATGACCGAGAGCGCCCAAGAAGTTGGTCGCGTGCGCGATGTAATAAATCAAGTATTCGAAAGCTTGTGGCCCGGCAGAGGCCGATGGGAAAAGGGGGACGATTACGAGGAGAGTTTTGAAGAGATAGAGGATCTGAGGGATCCGTAGGTAGGAGGTATATGGTATATCTTGAATGCAGTATACGGAGATGCCTTACGCAGGCGTACCCTTTTTATGCATAATTATTTGTATTTACTATTAGAGATACCACGTATTTTCGCATCACTGTAACTGTATAAATCGATCATGAATTTGGAATTCACGCCATTCAACAGGCATACTTTGACTCTGTCGTTGTCTCTACATTGATAATATGTGATTGTATGGCGTGACTTACCTAGGTGTCCGTCATCCAAACTTTAGAAAGTATGTGAAGTCTAGCATGACTAGGGAGAACTACACATCATGACAAGACGTCCATTTAGAGGCTGACGTCAACTTTCCAGTTGGTGTCCTCTTCATATCCGGACGTGCCGCGGAGAGTAGCACGACACATAACCGCCCACGTATGTCGCGTAACGCAGTGCTGTGCGGTTCCTAGACCGAGATCTGTCAGTGGTTATCAAGATATGGCGTCAGCAGGGGAGCTTCAAACTCGTATATTACAGCATACCGGACCGAATCGGATTCATTTATTGGGGTTCCGAGGTTATTGAGATGGGGTATCACAAGATGCCTCGATCTTGAAGAATGGAAGTAAGGGGTAGGTGATAAGATTTATGATATCAGTTGGATCTGCATGCTGTCAAACCCTAAGATAATTAACTACTGCATGATATATGCAGTGATTGATCTGTATTGAGTAGGTTCAAACGACTTCGCTTCTATGCGTTTGGATCTTCATCTCGTATCGTGGATGTAAGGGGGCTGGGAGAAGATCAACGTTAGAGGCAAAGTCCGCAAATGTTAACTATTGAGCAGCGAGTCGCAATGAGCGAAGAGAATAAACCTGGGGCCCATGATAGTTTGAATTAGGAAAGCAGCGGTATGGATATAAACCGAGTGGTCGTAAACCTTCCAAGAATCACAACGGGTACCCGGGCTGGACTAGAATATTTATCTAGATACCCAGGTAATTAAACTCGATATTAATGAAAGCAATTCCTATACTATAGAAATACGTCTGTTGATATTCTATGAGGCTATGTTTCCTTCGATGAGGATACGATAGACTACCAATCCTGCTAGTGAGATGCTCAATATTTGTGGCGAGGATATTGGGGTATTTATGTCTAGTAGCAGAAGGAAAAGGGGGTGTCTTGGGCGATGTTTATGATTAACATAGAATTAAATTTCAAGGGGGTAATGTTTCTTCATACATGGGGAGTAGATATGAACACTGGTTATCATCTATGAGTACGAACATTAGGCAGGTCAATTAAGATCAGCAGTGTGGCAGCAGTACATACGAGTCGGTAGATACCTATTCGATAATTTCATTTAAAATGTCGCTTCTATTTTGAATTTAATAATATCGCTCTCTAATAAAAATCACGCTATGGTAACCCAGAATGCAATCATGATCAACCCCATCCACCATTCAACCCGTTCTTGGGAACTTGACGAATCGGCCACTGTCGACCCTCCCGCTCCCGCCGTAGTAGTCGTACTCGCGGCAGATGGAGTAACCTTTGCTGTTCCAGCCGCAGTCTTAGTTGCGACGGGAGCACTACTCGTGCTTGCCGTAGTGGCCGACTCGCCCTTCACTGAGGGAGGAGCGCAGTCTCCTTTAATATTCGCCATATTCATCTGATCGGTGACTTCTATCTCGTTTGTGCCACAATTTACGTACTGGGCGAGGTGAATGGCGTTGTTAGTCTGGTCGAAAACAGCATAGGCAGATCGCAACATAGTGTCGCCAAGGAGAAGAAAATCGTCACTGGGGCTAATACCCAAGAAACATTGCACACCGAAACTTGTCTGTAGTTCCCGGACTAGCTCATTGTACGGAACCCGTATCATCAGACCATTGAAGGCGAAGTTAAGAGTACCCGGTAAGTCGTTGAGAGAACAATTGACCGGGTAAAATCCGTTAGCATCCGTAGCTTCGGCACCGAAGTCCGCCGCGATCGAATTCGCTAGGTTCGTCGGTAGTAATGTGAGCGTCGCGCCACTGTCCAAGAAAACGGCCATCGTCGTGTTCTCGTACTGTTTCGTCTTGCCACTCGGAGGAGTAAGACTCAAGGACGTCATGTTTATCCAATATCTTGGAACGCCGTCGGGGGACTCCTGCGCGGGGATGATGGGTAACGTCGTAAGGTTACCAGAAAATTTGCCAGTATCCAGTCCGCCGAAGATAACAACACCCTCTTGCTCATCCTTACTACCGAGGGCTAAGCTAAACGCTTTCGTCTCCGTCACTCCCTGGCTCTCCAACTCATCTATAAAGTTCTTATAGCGGATAGTCACATTCACCCCATGACCTATCCCCAAGATACCAGCGAACTCATCATCAGTTTGCGTTGCGACGCCGAACTGGACTCCTTTCAGCTTCGAGTCTAGCCTAATGTTAGATTTGATATGCCACTCCTACAATTTAAGACGAGAACTTACTCGTGCCCGTAAGGCCAATATCATCGGTGACATATTGTATGTCTGCACTGCCAATACCATACCTCAATGTTTTCGTAGTCTCCAATTGAATAGCACTGGAAGAGTCTGTTGGCTCATAGTGTCCTATTGCTCGGCAAAATCTAATATCCGCCGAGCCTTGAAGATCGGAACAGTCCGGATTCACCCACAGTTCGAACGAGCCTGTATCTAATTGTACATAGACTTGTTGCGCAGGTGTGCCGATATCCACTTTGATGACTTAGTAAGTGACTCGACGGGAGGAGGCGAAGTGAGTGAGGGGTTTACAAACATTGTGCATAGTATGCTACGTCGGATCGGTTGGCGAGTGACACAGTGGTTATCGCTCGCTTATCCCCAAAATCAGAGAATACCTTTCTGTTCGTGGAGTGCACGACAGGTAGCTTGACGTAGTGATCATTGCGGCGTTCTAGAGCAGAGGCGAAGCTGCAAGCTCCTATTATTAGGTGAAGGATCGATGTGAGTCGGACTGCCATCTCTGGCAGGATCAGGGTTTTGTAGATGCTACCCGTTCGAACCCCTGCATGGATTCACCACGGATTTACAAGTACAATTCAACCTCAAGATGCGAAGGATGATTGACTTGAGGCTTTCACCGCCCGCTTCCAGACCTCCCGCTACTCGTCAATCCGTCGCTGGCCCAGCAGCTATTCTCTCGCTTTCGGGTCCCTTCGTTTACTTCACAGCCCGGATATGTAGGTGAGAAAATGCGAATGAATAAATCCTTCTAGGATACCCGAATGAGGAAACGAACGGCGGTACGGCGAAGGCAGGGCGGGAACCAGCAAAAAAAACAAAATTAAATAAAAATTAACAAATACACCACCAAGAGCCGACCGGTCGGACACCTATCCAAAGAGAAAAAGAGAGAGGGAAAGGAGAATGCCGTAGCGAAAGACTACGGCGAAGCAGAAGCGACAAGTAAACTAAGAAAGTGAGAGGAAGATCACGAGGAACGTTGACGAGAACTCAATTGGAGAATATCGCCCGTCCAAGACCCCGGCGCACTTAGCTGTCCATTGCCGAGACGCTCTATAGGGTATGGCGCAGGGGCTCTGACTTGGTGCGGCTCTGGGCATCGCCAATGGTACCTAGTAAGGCTCCAAAACACGCAGTCTGTTTTTATTTACCACGACGTTTCAGTGCAACTGGAGGGAATTATCATGATATAGGTAAGCCTCCATTGAATAATAAACCCGGTGGTAATTCCCGGGTATCGGCTGAAGGCCATTGTTCATATTCGTTGTAACATCAACAATCCTAATTATTGACCTCGAGATGTTTGATGAAGCATTATTGAATATGACATGTTTGTTGAATAAGTAAAACCACCATCAAGGAAGGGAAGCAATTTGCGGTTTCGTATATGTGAGAAGTTTAATAGAAACTCCCCAGGCCACGCCATTATTCCAGCCGCACCAATCTCTAACCTAGTACGAATCCACGATAGTGCAGGGATTCGATGTGGTTCAAGGAGGTGGCACGAGCCATAAGGAATCGCAAATGATCTCCAATCGGGCAATTTCTGTCCATTTATCGTTAGTCGGGTTATTCTTTTTTCCCTAGAACTTCCCTTCGTATATTCCTTCTTAGACAAACCATTCGCGACGAGGTTCGAAAGTGAGGAAGACGGGAGAAGTTACCCCTCAAGTCCTCGGAGTTAGAGAAATGCTTACGTATTCCCACATTCAGCCAAGAATGTCTTAGATGGTAGTGCGAAGTAGAGATATTTCACACGTTGTTTCTACGTTGTTTCCACGTTGCGGGTTAGACCGTCTCGTCTTAACCAAGCTAACTGTCGTGTCTCAGGTAGAGACGAACTTATCCGCTTTTCCACGCCACCGTCTACATTAGGGGACCATGGTTGTATGGGAAAGAAAGTGTGGCGCCGTTGGTGCGGCCCATAACTCCGCTCAGATTACTGTACGGATACGTGTAGTCAATAAAGGATGCCAGCTACAGCTACCACGAAATCCGCAGAAATCCGCAAATCCCCCGCGTCTAACCTGCATATCATGAATGAAGTAAATGTGACATGAGCCGCGAGCCCATAAATCGCATCGCTTTGTCCTAGTAGCATTGCATATTGCAACCTTAATAATATGCTTGACATATGTCTCGCACGTTGTGTCCTAGGCGGGGGGTGAAAGCAGCGCCGCATCCTGTTCAGCTTCCCACCCTCTCATAGCTCAGCTTGAAAGGGCGAGATTCCTCCATCATGGCGTCTTTATTAAGAAGCCTACATAACTATACATACCCCTGAGATTCTCCGAATCGCCACCATTTGTCACTTATTGTCCGGTTCGAAAAGCACTACATCGCCGGTTTGTTCCTATCGACTTGATTCCCACTTATCTCGATCTTCTCGAGTATACCTAGTCGTTCGGGTCACAACCAATACAATAGAGATGTCGGGCACTTTGCAGCATGTACCGTATTTTGTTATATCTAAGGCGAAAATATCGATAAAAACCCGGGAACCCCTCCGAGGAGAACCGTTGGATAGACCTTACAAGCATGTTTGTGATGCAGGCAATATATGTAAGCCATATCACGTCAAAGATGCTTCATGCCATAACTCAGAAACGATATTGTCCTTTACCCCGACGGAACAGTGATTTTCCCACAGTATATCACACACTAGTTTTTCTTCTGATTGTTGGTCTCCGGTCTTCCGTGCCGTGGCCGTTATCTCCGGCAAAAAGCACAGTATGTGGCTTTTCACTAGATCTTCTCCTGGTTCTCTTTCCGTCTTCATATATGGCTTACTCCAGCTTTTCGGTGCCGATGACAGAAGACTTACTAAAATGATATTCTCAACGGTGCCCTATTTTATGTCTTATGTTTCTAGACTTTTGGTCAAAATGCCGTGCTTTGCCGAGTAAGGATCTCTTGGGCATATTACGAAAGTATAAAATACCCAGGCCTCGAAATAAAAACTAGTTGCCTAGTTGTTCGAGCCGAGAGAGAATTTAGTTTTGTAAGAGCTGGGGGCTAATTCCAGCTGTGATATACGAATGCCAGAAAAGTCATATTTTCATTGGCACGTATAGGCATCTGCTTAGAGGTAGACAATTAGGTCATACAATGTTACATGGATCCATGAATACCTAGATATGTATATAAAATCTATGGTAGCCGTTGGTATATACTGTGTCATAAGGCGGCATAATTATCTAGGTATATATGAAATAAGTGTCAGCATGTGGAAGAATGAGACCGAGTCAAAATGATAGATACCTAGTGGTTAGATGATACGTCTGACGAGACTCCATATGCATTTTCTATAGATTAATTTAATCATGCATAATTTATTTACCATAGCCATGGATAGATCTCGTGCCCTCTGTTTTGGGTTAGGGTAGGCACCTACATATTACATATCACAGTTGTATCTGTATTTACCTCCTTTACATGTATATATGAATGCCTTTTATTGTTCAATCACATGAAAGTTACATGCTTTTGTAGCTAGATTTAGGTGCGGGGTCATGTACCATAAATGTTACCTAACAACCCCGCCATCACCATATTGCGCGAATAGTAGGAATGGCAATAACTACGGTATATGATGCGAATAGTGTTGCTTTAGGAGGAATGCTAGGCGTAAAGAAGGAAGAGGATGATTTTTTGAGTTTAGTAAAAAGTCTCATTTTCATCTCCTTTTCAAGATTGACTCCTTACGACGTAGTTAACTTATCAGATTGTGGCGCGATGGTTTTCTGACAACGCCGCCATCTCCGGCTTAAGACTTACAAGACTTACGACAGCATTACACACGTTTTTTTTTTTTTTTTCGTGCGCTTCCGAAGATACAATGCCTATTATGACTTAGACAACCGCAGTTTCAATCTCCTCGGAATAAGATCCTCAGCTGTCTTTGTCTTTTGTGATATCCCCTGAGACCACCGTTGTCAAGTGGGTCTCTTTGAAACCTGGTCAATTAGGTCAATATTGAATGACAGTTGCCTGAAACTGTTGGTTGGACAAATGTCGACGATAGCTCCACTGAGTTTGCTAGTGATAGACGGATACGGAAAAGAGGGAAAGAAAACACTCAGGCTTCAGTGATTTTTCTATCAAGGTATATTCAGCCTCACCCCGTTTTACGGAGGGCCTAAATGTGACAAGTCCCCGGTTTTGACTCGTCATTTTTCGATCAGTTGACTAACCCGAAAGATAGAAGATTCCGCCTCGGCCCTGGACGGACGGGGTTGTTAATTCGGGGGCCTGGGTCACTTTTACGTCTTATATATAGAGGTGTGGATTACCATCACCCAACAACAATTCCAGATCATTCAATTGTACAGCGCCAATTAGACAGCTAAAAAGAAACTGATCTGCTCGTTTGTTATACTATACCTTGTCATTTTTTTCTTATTAAGCGGCGCGACAATCTGCCACACATGGCCGAACTAGCCGGAGCATCCGCGGGATCAGCGCCGTCAGCGCCAACTGCTTTCACTTTCTCGCACACTGTGGCCGCCTTCAATCTGACACTTAGGGCACATCTGGACAGGCATCCGGAGTTCGATGGTATAGCTGTCGGTGCTTTTGTCTTTAATCCCGATGGTAAAATGCTCCTGGTGCAACGAGCAGCACATGACTCGTTGCCACTGCTATGGGAGATCCCGGGCGGCGCCTCTGACCCCGAAGACGAATCTCTGCTGCACGCTGCAGTACGCGAGCTGTGGGAGGAAACTGGATTGCACGCTAAGTCCATCGTTGCCCTTGTGGATAAGGGCCAGGCGTTTTTGATCAGGGGGGGTTTCCGCATGTGCAAGTTCTCCTTCTTGATTGAGGTGAAAGGGTACGATGTCAAGCTGGACCCGAACGAGCATCAGGCGTACTTGTGGGTCACCGAAGAGGAAGCCCAATCCGGGAAGTGTGGCGAAATCGAATTCGAGTACACGTTCAAGGAGCAGCAACTTGCAGTTTACAAGGCTTTTAAGTTGAGGAACGGGATGTAACCTTGAGTGGATTGTGGCTTGCATGAGTGTTGGTTTTCATACGGTAGTTCTGTAGTTAGACGAGATGGGAGACCATCTATTGGTGTTTGGCTGTATGTGTTGGTGTACATACATTACCTAAGATAGGTGGAAGACTATTGCTATCAGAAATCATATATGCATGGATCTGGTCAATATTGAGTGATACCTGGTTTTTTTTGCCTAAGCCATAGTCGCAAAAGATTGGGTAGTTTCAGTTGATAGTAGAATCCTAGCGTTCGTGGCGCTTACTTGGTAGTGTATTGATTTCGACATCGTAGCCGTTGATTCATCATCATTGCTTTTGTTCCCATCTAAAAACATCCGATATGGGGTTGCAATAATAGCTAAAGTAACGGGTCGCCTTGACACTAGCCTCTAGTTGTTAAAACGGAAGGTATCCTAGGTAGTCATGCCATGCGCCACATTGATGCCCGGCGTAAGAGAGGGCAAAACATAGGTCAGACGACCACAAAATGTGTGTAGTTTAGGCATCTCTTCTTCGTCGAGGCATAATCTGGTATATGAAGCAATACAAAAATCGCAATCTAGACCATCGGTATTGCCACGGTCTAGACTAAGCTGTCGCAGATAAGTACTGGGTAGGCATATGACTGAGATGAGAGAAATAGAGTCTTCGGAGAAATAAAAATGAAAAAGGGTGTAATTGATGTAAGTATATTCCGTGCCAACACATACTTGCCGCGCATATGTATGTAGAAATCAGCTCAGGCATGCAATATGGAAATGAATGTCACTTGTTAAGAATTGAAAAGAAGGGGTGGGAGGGTAGGATGGGAAGCAGGGCCGCTGTCGCTGAGATAATTGGCATATATGTCATGTGACTGAAGTTTAAAAAAATGGATGACTAAGGGTATCTAAATGGTGGGGTTCATAGCTCGCCTAAGCTCCAGTAAATTGGAGTAATGGATTGGCCTAAGGAAAAGATACTTAGGTACATACAATGGTAAGTTCGCCCGGGCGGCTTCCAAGCTTTCGGCAGCAATTCCTCAAATCAGACAAATCAGACCACTAGGAAATCCCTCTTTTCTAAACATTCAATAATTCAAAAAAACGTCACCGACAACAAACTTACCCTCATACCTCTACAACCCCCAATTGCCGACACCATGTTCCTACAACGATCCGCCGTGGCCATCGTTCGCCGGGCCGCTATTTCTCCTGCTGTTAAGAGGAGTTTTACCGTCTCTGCTATCCGCCGTAAGAACACAATTACCATCGTGTTGCGACCGAACACGCATCGTACGATGTACCAGTCACCACCAACGAAGCTGACTTTTTACCTTCAGGAGATGCGAAGAACGTCGAGCCTCAATCCACTGTCGGTCAGAAGATGAAGACTTTCAACGGTACGCCTTTATGGACCTCAATTGAACGAAATTGATCTCATGGACGAATTTTATTGACAATGGGTATTTTTACACAATATAGATATTAAGGGCGAGGAGGACCTACTCGGACCTGGTGCCGCACCCGGTACCGTCCCTACCGATCTCGAACAATCCACCGGTCTCGAGCGATTGGAAATTCTCGGAAAGATGGAGGGTGTAGATATCTTCGATATGCGACCTCTAGATGCCTCGAGGAAAGGTGCGGATTAAGCCTGATCAAGTGGATAGTTCGGAAGCACTTGGATTGACAATGCGAATTAGGAACTCTCGACAACCCCATACCGGTCAGATCTGCTGGTGACGAACAATACGCTGGTTGCACTGGCTACCCTGCTGACTCTCACGTTGTCACTTGGCTCGGTGTACGTCTATCCCTCGTTCTAATGACATCTCCCTTTTCAAGCGGATATGAAGATATAATTTCGGTAAAGATTCTGGGACTGACATGAAATAGCTTTCTCGCGAGCGACCGATAGAGCGATGCCCCGAGTGCGGTAGCGTCTACAAGATGGAGTACGTCGGACCTCTAGACGATGGCCATGGTCACGGCCACGACCACCACCACGGCTACGAAGAGCCCAAGACATTCGCCAACTTTGTCAAGCCGGAATACTGGTGATCGAACATCCTGAGGACGTAAAAGTTTGGTTGGAGTTCGAGGCTGCATAGGTCATCGGTGGAGAGGTTGGGGGCCGTAGACTTGTATATTGGTGAAGGCTGTATAGAATTAAGTTAAAATCTGCAGCACCCATCCATATTGATTCGCTTTGCTTGTCTTCAGCTTGTTTTTTCTCGTTCATCCCTTGCATGATATGGCTGACTATAGTAGATATCAATATGATGTGTGACGATGACGCCAGATAGGTATAAACTTGCCTATCCATATTTCCATTATCTCTGCTTACTCACTACATTCCTACCTACTTCTATACACCCACATGAGTAAGGATATATCTATCTATATATATACACGACCATATAGGAATTGATGATTAGGAATGAGGTGCATATGTGCATGACATAGATGGATGAGATACATAACCTTTCTATCCACATATGCAGATATATGAGGTAACTCCAATCCGAGATCGAATCAAATACTGATTTATTTTAAATAATAAATACATGTACCTTTATGTGAGTACAGGTACATCTCATCTGCACCTAACATAAGGTGCGTAGGACCTCGGATAGCGGAATACTACTAACACTAACACGACTTTGAGGTAACAAGGGGGGTGGTGATAGAATGCTTTCTCGTTAGGCTATTGGAGAGGAAGGTGAAATGCATTGCTTCTAATAATTGTATTGAGTGAGCCAAGTCTGATAGATTAGATCGGATACGGGAATACGGGAGTGGTCTAATAAGAATGATAGATGATACCAGCCTTGGGAAGTTGTGCAACCTGACCTTCTCTATTTATATCGTTCTATTGTGACTCTCAATACGTCCTTCAAATCCTACTGCCTCGAGAAACAAATAGTGTCGAAGAGATGTCGATATTGTACCTACCTAGGCAATGTAGAAGGTAGGGATTCTACATATGTTAGGCACTGTATATACGATAGGATACGCTAGGATGTTGATGTAATACAATAACAATGCAATTTGATTATTATGCCTCCTTATTATACGATGTATGCTATGTGGCTTGTAGAGCCTAAGCCCAGAGTAGCAATAAGAGGAAATCAAATTAAATAGCAATAACACTTAATCATTACGACGATTAACAAAACAAGAAGGTTACGAGGCCACCAACGAAACTAAACAGCGATGACCGGCCTAATTTAACATTCGACCAACTTGCGATACTGGGGAAGTATAGCGAGTATCAAATTATATATACATCATTTATGTAGATACCTGCGTAGATTATACATATATATTCTACCTGGTACATACCTAGGTAGGTATATATGTGTATGTATATAAGCAAGTACCATTTACCACGTTAGGTCTTAGTATACACAGCATGTTCCGTATATGTTCCCTCCTCTAACTTCAAATGGGTACATAACGCGCCCACCTATTAATATTGGGCCATCTATTACTATTGTAAACGTGATAAGAAAAAGCCAGTACCAACCTACCCTTGTCCGAAATTTCCGCGAAGACGAGACGAGACGAATGCGAAAAGAAGCATTAATAGATAGATACATTTCTTGTACCACCTCAGCTGGCCCAATCGCGCATCCATCATGCTGCTCCATGCTCCATGAGATGCATGTACTCCGTGCCAACGGGGAATACACGTACTTTGTGCAATGTATGTAATGTAAGAAAAGAGAAATAAAGGAAATAGAAAGAGATCAAGCATACCTAGGTAATTTAGGTAGCTAAATTTGATAGGTAATAAGTAGCAGGTAGTAATACCATATACCTAGTGCTCACCTTTCAAACCCCAACCCCAAAGAAATCATGCATGTATAGTCAGTTCGGGGTTTGAACTTATCTGCAATTTGGGCAAGGTCTAACCAACATGAGTTCTTGGATGGATGACATGATATGACAGACGGTACAAGACACCCTGTATATTTTGTCTTTTTGTCCTTAGAGACTAGTAAGATTTTCTATTTCCTCCTAGTGTAATCAACTTATAGGTAAGAAGATATTTCATTCGTCGGAGTTACTATACGAACCACCTTTACTTCGTATAGACCAAGTTTTTTTACGCGATGGGATGGCGTATATGAGTTATCGTGAGTAATGCGCTGATATATAAATGGATACATTAGTCTACATGAGCCACCGTATATGCGTAAATATACCTAAGTATATGTTTACGTATATGCCTGGACCTATGCGTACATACATCATACATGTATGTACGTAAGTGCCTGCATACATAATGTGATGTACATATGTACCTAGGGTAAGGTTTATGTATTTGACCGAACAGGGTTGATGAATAAATATACTTAGGTACATCATCATCTTTGTAGCTCTTTTGTGGGTCAAGTTATACATTGAAATGGATGCAAATGTACATATATGAATATGGATATAGGTGTAGCTAGATTCGTTGTTTGTTTTTAATAATTGTTGACTGTTTTTAATGTATTCATATGGATGTTTCCTTACCTATGCGTACCCGTGGCCCGAGTCTAATAATGCATGGGTTACCTTCTACTTAAAACGTCAGAGAAATAGTGCCATACCGTACCCAATTATATGTCGTAGTTAGAACGCATCGCCGCCTATCGCACTCCCGTCTATTTCCCCCCTTACCTATGATGTATGTACCTCTAAAAAGGGAAAATGCTAATTTAGACAAATGAGGAAAGAAGTCGAAAAAAAAATAAGAGGTAACCAACCTCCTTATAGGTAGTAACCTTACAAAAATATTTATAGGAAGTACATCCATATAGATAAGTAGAACACAAGCATGTATTCTAGGTTGTGGAAACGAATATTTGTTAGTAACAGTTTACGATATGCAGAGTTAAACGGAATCTAGGGAATCGCAAGCATTGATGTACATACATATAGAAAGTAAGATATATAATGTCAAATGTCGTGTCATAAATGGATGGATGGGTGTTTGGAATAATCAATTACAATAGGTAACAGCTGGAAATGTTCATATTGATAGGCTAAGCTATGTTATATTATAGGTAGGCAAGTACGTACTCGTATGTAACTACATAATGGTAAAAGTACCTACTACTTATAGCAAGGTAGAAATACATTATAGGTATTCAAGCTGTATTACATTTCATAGCATGTACTCCCAACTCACCACCTACTACATGTACCAACATAGGTTTTAGGGGATGCATGTCTTTTTACTTTAGTTCTATTACAATTGAACCTTTTCTGCGCAACCTTTCGCGATTTTTTGTTTTTGTTTCTTTTTTTCCCTCTCTCTTAATGCTGCACGAGTCATTCGCGTGGCCCTCCAACTCAAGACGTGAGTCTCCATTTTCTATTTTGACTAGGGGCGGAATTTAATAAGCTAGGCTATTCCAAGATAACTCCCCGATACCACAATACCAAGATACATTCAAGCATAGCGGTCTAAAAAAACGAGATCTGGCGACTATTCTATGCCACCCATCGACGCTAGTGGGTACCTAGGTAGTTAATCCATGTCTCCCACGCTTTCCACGCTTTTTGCATGCTGCTGCCCATGTCGACAGGTTCATGTTTCCCCATACGATTGCGCATTCTGCATTTCCATTTTCCACCATCAAACCCATTCGTTCCGTTCGTACCCATCATATCCTTTGCCTTCAGCTATACGTAACCTATGGTACCGCACTTACCGTACCTACCGTACCTACATGCAATGATTCTCCAAATTTTCTGTAGCTGAGACAGAGCCTTTTTCCAATTCACCCAATTTTATTTTTTTACTCTCTTTCCAGCCTGCCAGCTGCATTTTGCCAAGCCTTGTTCATCATCAAGCTATTATTCCCCATCACCTACCCCGGTGCCCTCCCTTTCTCCAAATCACGTCTACCAGCTGAAAAAGAACATCTTACTGGTATCATCGTCATCGTGTAAAATAGAACCCCAACTTTCCAACACGACACGAGCGAAAGCCGCAATAAACCTCCTAAAGGGGAAAACACCTTCAGCTAGGGGGGGGACTATCTATACACGGAGGAGTCCTCTCCTTTTTTTTTCTCTCTCTAATGCGAGGCTGGGCATCAGCATCAGCATCATCTTCCTTATCCTCGTTCAAATCAGCATTTTGCATTAACATCAACATCAACATCAACATCAGAATTCTCCTAGCACCAACGGATCCTTTCTCCCCTTCGCCCGAACTTTTTGATCTAGTTGTTGACTAGAAACATCGTGACTGGGTCCCTTGTACATTTTGTATGTACATGGGGAGCCGCATCGACAGGCCTAGTCGAAACGGGGGACCCAAACTTGGAGAGATCGACCACAGGTCCCGATTCTCGACTATTGGATTGGTTCGCTGAATAACTTAAGAGCTAGGTATTCGATTCGCCTCGCACACGAATACCTAATTAAACATTACCTACGGGTACTCACCCTTTTTTTTTTTTTTTTTTTTTCTTTCTCACTTTTTCCTCGGCTCTGGCGATCAGTTCATACGATACCCACCGTTGCTATTACCGATCAGTAAACTAAAACTGCAAAGGTATACCCGAAAAGTAAGCAAATATCCTATTCCTATTCCGTACTCATACCCTTTCCCTATTCCCCAGTCTCTGTTTCTTCTGTCACTTGTTCTTCTTACGATGACAGTGCGACTATAACATTGTTGTACCTATTCCCCGTCATATCCTTCCCTAATTCTATCTTACTTACCTTGTCCTTCCATCCTATACATGTGCATACCTATACATATACATACACATATACACATATAATATTGTCTTATATGTCCTATATCACTTATACACTCAGTCCTTTTCCCATACCACGTGCCACCCAGGCAAATTAGTATGTATCTTATACCCTTCACGCATACATACATCCATCCACATATTCCAGGTGTCTAAACATAGTTCACTTTCGTACAAGTCCTCTCCATTGTCGCGTTTTGTTTCCGCATATTGTGGGCGCATATCCTTCGGCGTATTCTTGACTTTGCGCCGGTCTTGTTTCCGCCTACTACGTTTATACCTGCGCATATTTTCCTCTTTCGTCGTTCTTGTTTCGCCAATAGACCTAGCGAAACTTGTTGGTGCTACTTATGCTAATCCTTTTCCAAAAAGCAAGAACTTACCAACTAGGGCGCCAACAACCCCCTATTGCATCCAACGAACTGCTTTGACTCGGCTTGACTTGACGCATATCTCCCCCCCGATCCGAGAGAAAAGAGACCATCGAGTCCTAGTTCTAGTTTTTCGATGATTGGATTAACAGATTAGTCACTTAGGAGGCCGGTCATCAATAATTTCCCAGCCTAGTGCTCCATCTTACAGGCGGTTTTATAGGCAAGTATTTTATTATTTTGTTATATGTATGTATCTCATCGAACACGTATATCAGTCACATCCACATCTCCATCCACCTCCCGCATATCACTTTGGAATTATTCGGTATCCCGAACTTACTACTACTATTTTGTCCGCCCCTTTTTTGTGTCATTCTTGCCGACTTACTATCCCGTTAATATTTACCATTATATCATATATACCTATATCCCTATTGCACATATTATACCTGTGTAAAATATTAAGGAAGGTACATTGGTATCCTACGCGTTCTTTCCCTTATTTCCTTTCCTCCAAATTGCCCAATGCACCATGCAAACTTTAGTACTTTTTCCCTTTTCTCTTCCCGATTCTACCTTTCCCTTCTTTTTTTTCTTACCGTGTAATCATCACGAACCCGTCACCAAGGTGATTACATACGACAACACCTTTTTACACAGTTTATCGACATGCTACGTGACGCGTACTTGCTAATTTATAATTTAGTTCTATTACTTTCCTACTCGGAATTCAAACGAATGACCATACTTTAATATTTCTCTTTTCTACTCCAGCTTTGTTTTTCAATTCTGTAAAACACGACTGTCTTTTCTGTTCCTCTTCACCAATGAGTTGATCAACACAACCCTCCGACTTCGCGCATGTTGTCTTCAAGTATACATAATATATCTAGACTCTAGCTCGAACAGTTTTTGGGTAAGTATACACCTACCGCTTATTCGTTTTTTTGCCTACTTTAGTCTTACTTCACCCTTGCTTCCTACCCTATCCATATGTCATGATGCGATTTGTATTACTCCCTAGTAACTGACTATACTATATCATATATGCACCTCATCCTTCCCGTCATTCCCTCCCCTCCACTCCGCCTCCCTTGATTCCTCTAGCTCCATTGGAACCTTTCGTATAAACCGAAACCCTACTAGTACACACGCACATACACACACCGCCCCGTTGCTTGCACACACACACACACACATGTATATATGCCCTCGTCTACCCGCTATATACTATGTCTTATCCCACATTGACAGTTCGACTTGATGTTTGGAACTCGAGTATATCTTTGGGGTCGACGATAATATTTGCCAACAATATTTACTAACGTACATTATATAGCGAGCGAAGGTTGCGGTGGTACTTGGAGACGCGCACGTCAAGCCGCCGTCATGGCCGCTAAGAAGGAGGTGTCTAGCCGACAGGAATTTGGCGAGATGGGGAAGGCATCTTGGGAGACCACGAGGTATGCTCGAGAGAAAGAAGATGCACAGCGACAACAGGACTACGCCGCTCAGCAAGATAGCCTACGAACACAACTCGTGCAACTATATGATAAAAAGGCACATCTTAATCACGAACTACAAGTTGTCAACTTTAGCATTCAGCAGTACGAGCACCAGCAAGAGAAATTAGCTCACGAATTCGAAGAAAGCAATGCTCGAATCTTAGCACAGCGTCAGGAGGCTGATCGACTGCAAGAGGAATGGTTTGCGCGCTCACGCGAGGATCCAGCGCAAAAGGAGAATGCCCGACCTAAGAGCAGTAGCAATCGCCGTCAATCTAATCGCGACGCGCCTCCACAGACTAACGGTTTTGGTTGGACGAGTATAAACGGTTCACGACGACGAAGTCGCAAGGAGGAGGAAGAGGAGCCTCCTGCCGATCCAGGAAATCTGATGAGTAGTATTTATCACAATCCTGTCGAGGAGTCTGACACCCTTAACGGTAGAGCTATGCCTCTGCGTAGTGGCGGCGGTCACCGTGCCCGGCCTGGTCCAATCCCGAATGGTGTTGCAAATGAGATGGAGTCAGGTGTTGGCGAGGGCCCTCTGGCAGGCCGCCCTAGAGATAGGCCCCTGAAGCCTAAGCAGCGACACAGCTTACCCAGTTTCCCAGCAGCTCGTTCACCAAAACCACGTAAGCTTTGCTCTAATATGCTATGTGCGTTACGCTAACTTACTTGTTATAGTTGGGTCCGAACCGCCTTGCGAAGTTAAGCCTTCTAAATCCCCGTCAGGACGAAGATCTTTGCCCAGTGCCAAGGGTTCTGTACCGCCCTCGGAAACCCCAGCACCAGAGACCAACGACGTTCGAGACATTAGCCGTGAGAATTTAGTTCTTAAGAATGATGGTAAGATGATGGTCGAACCAGCGATGTTCGCCGGGATTCCTTTAGAACGAATCGACAAGGGCCACCCCTATTGGGAATCAGAATGGGAACCATTAGAAGATATCATCGAACCACAGTTGAACAAGTGGAAAGAAAAGCTAGAACAACTACGACGAACGCCCGATGCCATACGCCATACCGTTTTCCTTGCCAATCGTCAGGTCAATCGTGGCCAATCCGTTATCGACTTCCTCAAAGATGGCGATTGGCACCCGTACCAATTCGTGAATAAGGAGGTGATGAACAAGTTCTACAAGACGTTTATAAACTATGACACTATGTTTCGATTAGTTAACGTCCATGAGGAACTTAAGAAATTCGACCTTGAAGTAACACCTCTAGAATGGCTACGTCAACGCATGTATGATCTCGCGAGTATGCAGGGGGACAAGTTCAACCTCTCTAAGAAGACACATGATCTATACCACGACGCCAATCTAAAGCTTCTGAGGGAGAAGCATGGGTACGGCAACATAGGAAGGCCATCCGGGTATAAGCTACGGGACAAGGATCCAGAAAAGACGGCAGCCAAGAAGATCAAGCAAGAGTCAACAGGTTCGGTACGACGCAAAGCCCGCCGATCTATTGGGCAAGTCGACACGGATGATACGCCAAGTGTGGAGGATATGCAGAAAGGACTCGATCAGCCACCGGCGGAATTCCTAGAGCCTGTGACACCTCGATTGCAGAAGCGCATACGTTTAGAACCAGCACCCCCCAAAGAAGAACCTGAGGAAGATAAGTTGGAATACGATGGTTGGACATCAACTGATTCATTCTCGGCCGGGCGAATAATGCACCTCGATTGGCGCGTGTATCAGATCAAGACGAAAGACCTAACTACTAGCACAGAGGTAACCCAGTACTGGACTTGGAAGGCAGATAAAAATAAATTCGAACACCAAGTACTTCGAGATGTCCACCCGAAGGTGACTTGGGGGTACTACCAGAAGCCCATCAACTTTGATCTCTCGTTAGAAGAGATTAAAGAAATTCGGTACGCGCCAGACAGCCAGAAGATTCTCGTAGTTGTCGCCGACGAAAAGCGTGGTAACGTTTTCGCTCACTTCAAGCGTGAGCGAACCAAGACAAGATTCCTCTCATTTGCCAAGAAGAAGGGTATTAAGTTGGTAAAGAGCTCTCAGTAAGTGTTTCATCCCCATACCGTTTCTATCCTGCAAAGTTCACGACTCATAGGGGTTTTTTAGGGTTGTAATGGAAGATTCGTGGGATAATATGGTGTCGAACACACTACCGAACGAGGATTCCGATACGTGAATTCGTTACTTGGACGTACTCACCGTTCATCCACCAACCATGTCTTCGATTTGTTTCTCTTCACGTTACGATTTATGTTACCGACCTGGACGCCGGGAACTTCTACACAGTACGAAGATATTTAATATAGGGCCACCGCAAGGAATCTGGAAAGGTTTCATTGTTCCTCTCGTCTCACATTTTCTGTTTTATAATGATCTGTTTCTTTTTACTCGTCCGGGCATCAGCATGGATGAATTGGCAAGGATAGGAAAATCGGCCGGACGAATGGATGGACTTTCTAAGTGTGGCAAGGTGGGACAAGTACATACGACTTCGGCTAATTAAGAGATCAGGTATCTGAGAGAAAGATATATAGGAGGGACTAAGAAGAGGGGAGGATAGGAAAAGAAGTACAGGGCGGCAATACCCATCTTCTCATATATCCCTCTCTATATTTGCACGGAGGAAGTGGTTTGATCTCGCCCACTCCGTTGCGTGTTAACACTATTGACCTCTCTTACGCGAGAGAGGATGTACGAGTACTACTATATTTGTACTGTATAGGGCAGGTGATGAGGGCAAAAGGCAGCATTGCGAAAAACTGCATAAAGGGAATGCGTTGTTTTTTTCGGATGTTTTCAACTCCACCAAGATACCTACTCTGTACCTACTACTTAATGAATGATCAAGGGTTCCTTTTAATTATTTTGTCTTTGTGGATTCGACGTTGACAAGGAATGTAGAAATTGTTCTGGAGTTTTTCTCTACATGGGGGTTTCCACAGTTCCCACAGTTTCCACATGGCTCTTGTTTCTCAAACATGGTCCACACGTGTCTTCGCGATTCATTTCATCGGGGTTATCGACCGAGACCGAGATTGCGCATTGAAATTAGGAATTTAAAGAAGACAAAAGGAACATTCGAAAAAAGGGTCAAAAAGGGAAACCCCACATACTACCTAGGTATATCAAGGGTACCTAGGTAGGTATGTTCTTAGTGTACTCCGTATAAAAAGTTCCCAAGTTACCGGCATTTTGGGTATATGGTAGGTGGGTATATCCCTGCCGAATCTGTGATTGGAAATGCGTTAGGCATATCCCGTACAGTAGCGGCAGATCCGTGTGTACCTTAGTAGTTGTATGTACCTATCTGCTAACCTAAGTTCCAGGTTATGTAGGTACCTAAGGTAACTTTTAAGGCAAAGCAAGGCTCCCTCGTGGCAGTGGGTGTGTGCGGGCAGGCAAAATAGAAAGAAAAAAAAAAGGGGACATTGCGCTCGTGCATTTTGACGTCTAAGGGTCGTTGCGTCGGTGTTGGCCCCCAATTTTTTTTTTTTAAAAAAATAATTTGGTTATAAAGTAGCGGTCGGCCCCCAAAAAGTTCCTTAACTTAAGGGTCAAAGCGTGGTGAGTTACAGCGCTTTTCGCTTTTATTTCCCCTGATTTTTTTTGGGGGACGGGGGAGGCTTGGGTGTTACTTTTCCCCATGTCGGCTTGTATCTTCGGTTGACGTATTTGTATACATGTACAAGTTATGCAGGGAGGTACTTACACTGATGTATATAGTTGAATCCCTGTTAGCCAAGCCGGCAGGAAGCGGGCTTGCGTTATGCATAGCATAAGGATAATGCTTCTTATGAAGATAATTCGGATTGATTAATTTGATATTTCGTGTCGAGGTTATGAAGTAGAAGGGTTTAGTCATTTATTCTTCAGATTCATTATTTATTTTCTTATTCATTTATATGTAGAGATGTTTTATACACCACATTAACCTCGAAGGTTCCTAGACCGTCTGAACTATTATTGAAATAGGTCCAAATAGCCGTGACACTGACATAGTCTGATAAATTCAGCTGACTGCTCGCGGCAACCTTATATCACAGACCTCCAAGCTATATCGAACTGGCACTTCCTGATATAACTCTGTCCACAAATTCGACAGGAAGAAGATCGAGTTCTCATATCTCATTATATACCTAGACAACGAATAGTCCTACAGTAAACTGGCGGAGGATAATGCCAACCTAAATTAGATCAGCCATCTCCAAAACTGTACAAATGAAATAGACGTGAACTTCGCCAAGATTCTCTATAATCGATGGTCCACGAGACCAGGCCGGAATCTACAATTGAGTTCCATGCTAATGAACGTAGTTTCTACACGATGGGGGGATGGTCGTGATCAATCTACGTCGTCCGTAAGACAATATATGGCACGGATGGGATTCACTCTCATCGCCCCTAACCGTAAGTTTAGTTTTGACAACTATTGAAGTTAGAGAATAGACCAAATTCTGTTGCTTATGTATAAATATGCGTCTTGTCACGACCTGGAGAAAAATCACTCTGGCTGATTACTCCATCTTGTCATCTTTGGTTTCCATCAGCAAGACAGTTCCTCTCAAGTGTCTTGTCAAGGAAATCAACAAGACACAGAAAAGAAAACCGAACAAACCAAAGATATACACACATAACAACATACCCGCAATAGGACAAGCCTATACCCTCCATCAACATGGATGGTATGAACATCTTCGACGGACTCGAGCTACTGGCCTTCCTTGCTGAACAATCTTCTTTCGGAGGTCCTGATGTTGACCGTATCACTATCGGGAGGTGGCAACACCTCTTCGGTTACACGCACGATGAGGCGGTACTAAGAATCCATCAACATAGAACCGACTTTACCGACGGTACTCGTATGAGAGTCACGGAATCGCACTGGCGGAAGGTTCGCGCCAAGAAGGAAGTGGCTGGTCACGACTGGGAGTCGTTTGAACACGAATGTAACGTGAGGGCACGTACTGCTGGTCCCTCATCTCAAAGGTTTCCGAAAAAGAAAGAGAAGCCCATCGATCCAGACGTTACTTATTTCCTCAAGATCGAATGGCCGTTTACAAGCGTGGAGCAGGTTCAAGAAGTCGCTGGTCTTAGCAAGCCTCCCCTACGGCTCGATGGTAATGATGACGAGGGAGAACCCACTACTTTTTGTGGGATCGACGATGCTGCTAAGGATAAGGTCCTTGCTTGGCTTGAACGACGGGGTTACTTCTTTGAACCTATGTTGATTCCCTACTCACTGGCGAAGAAGAATTTATCATCGACTTCGGTGTACCCAACCCTAGGCGTCGACACAACCCTACCGCAACACCGCTTGAACTCTCTCGACGATCCTAAATTGAGCCCTGCGCAAGACCAACACCCTGTGTGGTACTTCTTCTACGATGATCTAGCCGACCGAACCGTTCTCTCAAAACTTCTTGATATCCAGTTCGTACTATTCAACAATGCTAGCGTAACGGGTGGCACTTTAAAGACGGGGGTTGGCGAAAACAAAGTCTTGGTAGACTCTCCAAACAGCAACGAAAAGGTGTCAGGTCAAGCATACCTTGCCTTTACCAAGGACGAAGAGGAATGTATCCGACTATACAAAACGGCCAAGTACGAGATTGTTCGATGCGAGATTCAAATCGAAGGCATAGGTACAAAGCAAGGACTTACCTTTCGATATGTCGGAGAAGTTGACCCATGAGACTTCTTTTCGTTCTTATTGAATAACCAATAACCAGCACTATGCCACAAGTTGCGGCTTTTCCGATGATACAACATATACACTCACGTATCGTGTGGTTCCCACATGTATACATTTCTTGCGATATTAATTCTGAAGTTTGGCTAAGGTGATAACATTCTGGAAACGGACCGGCGCAGGATTCATTTCAAGGAGGAAATAAGAATTTATTCGTCAAGTTTCTGTAAGATAAGGCGATGGGTTTGGATCGTTCTAATAATGGGAGGGAAACCGAGATAGATTGACCTTTAAACGGATTGTTGGTGTTGTCTCCCGTTGAGGATATTTCATTTGTACTTTATATACTATAATTTAGAACCTAATACATAATAGTAAATTCAAGATGGCCTTATGAATAATATTTCATCCCTTTGTGAAAAAGAAGACTGTCATGGTGGAGGTTGAAATTGATGAGATCGGTACGGAGGTACATCAGATAAACCAATGACGGAAGAGGCTTTATAAAGTTATTCCGGGACCCATAAAAACATTGTGCGACCGTCTTATCGATTAATCGATTTATCGCGATCAGCTTGGAACTCTGCTATCCATTCTAGCATTCAATAATATCTCAATAATTATTTGCGGAAACAGCGATTTGACGCCATCCTATCCTAAATATACGAGGGGAGACTAGGCTGATATTGGACGATACAAATTTGAAGTCATTGCGCTCCGAGTGAGCGAGCAGCCGACAAGATGCTGTACGAACTAATTGGAATCGTGAGTTTTCTTATTCAATTCCCACCGCATGTAGGAATATGTACTAATTGTAAAAAATAGGTCCGACCTGGCAATCTCGCCGAGGTGAAAGAGTATGTCCTACTCTCCTATATAACGACTTCAACATCCGAATTGTTTCGATATGACCTCTCCACCGTTTTCTACCACTCCCATCCAAATCGCACGACGAAACCACACCCCACCGACAAAACCAAAACCTATAGAATCCACATACTAACTCTGTCAAAACAGAATCGTCCTAACAGCAGGCCAACTAATCCTCCAAGAGCGAGGCGTAATCCGTGGAATATCCAACTGGGGTGTCTTCCTCCTCCCCCGCGCAACCAGCGCCCACCAAATGCGTCACCACTCCGGTCACTACTTCGCCATGCGCTTCGACTCCAGTTCCAAAACCCAACAAGCCGTACGTAACATGTTGGCGCTCGATCCGCGGATGATCCGACATGCGTCTGTAAAATTGGGAGATGGCAAGTTAACTACGACGAGTCGGTTCGGGGCTCCGGAGTGGTCGGCTATGTAAAAATATGAAAAGAAGGAATTTGAGACTTGGGTAAGCCGGTATTATATCGACTTTATCAGAGCAAGGGGATATTCGACTTATGGATATACATGGGCTACGTGCTACCCGACGAAGAGCGATATATGGCACGAACGAATGAATTTCACGGCTATTAGGGTAGGCGACAAATAATGCCTCCTATAGCGGAATATCAACGCAGGAAGCGATTAGCAGGCGACGAATAGGTTAGCTAAATGCTGGTCTGCTGTACAATACCACACGGCATGAGGAACTTAAACGGATATCCATGCATTTAGGAGGAAATGAATGGACGTATATAAAATAGAATCAAATCTCATATATCTAACCTCCAACATATTTAAATGACATGTACAAAACTCGCGATTTATTTCATTCACTACCTTCATACAAGTGCATACCATACAATAGTCACATCAGCAACAGTTAAAAATAGAAAAATCATATATACTCAATAACTTCTTCAATTCCGCCTAGTAATGCTTAAAAACAGGCATCTCATCGTAATGAGTTACCTAACGTAACGCCATTCTGCCAAATACAACTCTGTTCGTGTAGAACCGAGAGCTGCAACGCCTCGGACTAATCCTGACAACAACAGTCTGGTTCACTGTTCGTGAGAGAAGTCATTTCTACATCACCACACTTTCCGTCTTTTTCGTGGTCGGTAATCCGTAAATCGCGTAGACCATAAGCGTAAAACCCCTTTTCCTCCTCACCAATCGATTTACATCCAGAGCAGGTATTCGCCGTGATCCGGGCAGCACGGGCAAACTCCAATAGGCAAAGACCCCCTACCTAAGCGTCAACGTCCATCTCTGACTTGCGCCGGTACCAGGCCACGAAGGAATCGATCACGCCGGGCCATGCGCCATCCTCCGTCCAGAAATTCAACGACTCATCTTCGATACTCTTCACCGCGAATTCGAGTGTCTGGTTCCACATATCGCGACTAACAGATCGGGTCCAGTTCTCTCGCAGGAATGCAATCCACTCGCTCAACCAGTCGACACCGGCTACTTTACCCACCCACGGCAGACCAGGTTCCTTGAATAGCATTTCCCAATACAAGATCGAGTTCTCTAGAGAAAGAGCTCGTTGCTCGGCGTCCTTGCCCACGACGAATGCGTGACGATAGACTTTTCGGAATAGATCACGGTCCTTGCTTAAGAGATCAACAAGATACTTGAATTGTTGCTTCTGAGCACCAATGCTCCCATCAATTCTGGTTTTCCGATTAATTCCATATTTCGAATTGGACAGCAAAGTACTCTCTGGAAAGGGATAGAAGTAGAATTGACCTACCCCGGTTGGGCTTTCCAGCCCTTGACGAAACCATCTCGAGTGATTTCACCGATTGTAGGAGCTTGTACAATTTCCATGGCAAGAAATAGAGAGGCTCCCTCGAGGTCAACTCCAATAGAATTCAAATAGGTCATGGACGAGTCGGCACCAAGTTGATCTCTAGGGTCTTCTTGCTCATCTGTTTTCATATTAGCAAGGTTAATTACTCCATGATAGTGCCCTGCGTAACGCACTTCTCAAACTATCGAATAGCTTCGTTAATTGTGCGTCTTTGTTTGTGGCGTGTGATCCGCTGGAGTTTTGAGAAAAGTACCTAAAAATCAATGATTAGCGACACGAGCTCAAACTACGAGGCTGAGAAAATAGTTGTAGCGTGCGATAGGGGAGATGGTACTGAAATAGGAGCAGCAGCTAACAATACGCAGATAAAACGGGATATGGTAGCTTGGGCGCGATTTATTGTACATGGTATTCTTTAATGTTGTAGTTATCTAACCGCTTTATATGGAATGTGGCTGTGAAGACAGACAGCAAGAAAATAGTAGTACTTTCAAGCACATCCCATAGATTGCGCAGGGCATCGTAATGATGGTGCCTGTTATGTAGTGGGCTATTACAATAGAATGATCACGCCAATATCTTATAATAAACGCGCCTAGGTAGCCCATGATCCATCGCAAGAAGAAACAAATCAGAAGTATAAAATGTGTCGTTTAGAACATTGGGCGTATTAGGTGTAAAAAAGGGTTATAGTGGAGGAGGGTGGAATATGGAATTCACTTACGAGTCAACAGCTTCGTTAAGCTTATAATTTGCACTCTTCAAAAACTATATGGGATATCTAGTCAGCATGAGGCCTCCCGAAGGACTCAAATACTGGTGATAAAACATGTACTAAAAGACATGTATAGATCTTGGTATGAGGAGTTGCCTTAAGTAGATGAGTAGAGGAGGGACCTACTCTCGTAGCTGTCCTTTCTGGCGCCCCTGTAATGGCCACGAAACTAGTAATAGCCGCCTTTTGGGCGGAAGACGGCGGCATCGTGACAGGTTGTGGTACCGATTAGTCGGTGATCTCGAGGAAAATAGGTATCAATCTCGTTGTTTCCCAGGTTTCTCAAAACTCCAAATAGGATCTCTCTTTTTCTTCCTATGGTAGACGGATACAAGGGAACTCTATGGTTGCTGTGTAAAAAACCACCGCAGTCCTTAAGATTATGTATGGGCGTGCAGCGCTACGCGTTCGTGGCTGGATGACTTCGGCGGATTAAATATTGAGGAGGGGTCGTGACTCGTGAACGCGGTGAGGGGCACAAACGAGGGTGATTTAGTTGGCGACGGACTTGACAATATTATCCCTCGGAGTAGACGCTTACGCGTATTGAAGAGTTTGTGTTGTTTACGGATAGATGTCGTTTCGGATGGAGATGGGTCATATGGCGTCGGAGGTAGAGGTATGTAAATAAAATAAAATAAAATAAAAAAGAGAAGTTTAAGGTCTTTGCCGTTACGGTTGGAAGCGCCTGAAGTTATGGTGGGGTTGATACCTCTTACGTATGGTACCGCACTGCACTTACCCTGATGGGATGGTGGATGGTGAAATCAGAAAGAGCACTAAAGATGTTGGGCGTCACCTAGAAACCCTGCTAGTACATCATATCATGTACCTCCACAGCTATTTCCAACCTTAGTCACACCTGCAGGTGGGGGCGTACATGTACAGCAGGGTCACATCAACTTAATGGAAGCAAATCATCTCGGTACGTACCCAGATACTATTGAGCTCTGAATAAAACAACATCAAACACTTCGCTATCATACCAATGCAATAATCATAACTTGAAGCTCATATGTTAACAATTTTCCATTTTGAGGGGTATGTAAGTTCTGAATGGCTATTGCTCCTCATTTTCATTCTTGTCAAGTCTCTTCTCTCCTCTCTCTCGTCTCTCTCCTGATGATGCCTATCCACCAGTTATGTGAAGAGACAAGCACCAACATCGTACAAAGGGATTATTAGTAATATGGGACTCGAAACGAAAGAAGGGTATCGTGACAATAATAGCGTCCTTCCTAAGAATATGCTCAATCCCCTTGAAAATATTGAATTGGGGGTGATGAAAATGAAAGGGAAAAAGAGTATCTTGTCAACTCCAAGATGAGGAAACATTCTAAAGGGCCAGAAAATATGTAGTTCATGTCGCGATATCACAACGTATTAGTCTCCGAGACACAATGACTCATCCTCGATGTGTAGCCACTCCCCTGTTCCCTCTGGTTCAACAACTGATCGTACACCTAAATCTAATATAATCGCCCTAGTCACATCTCGTCGAGAGTTCTAATCGCCAAGCGGCATGCCGTCGAGCTCGTCTAGGAGTCTGCGCCAATTGTCGGCCAACATCTCGGAATATTTGACTCGCTCTTGCGCCCAGTCCTGGTTCCATCGGCTAACGTGGAATTGAGTTTGTTGGAAGTAGATGAGTTCGTCGCGCAAGCATTCCTTGACGAATATAGAACGGTTGTGTTGGTTAACTATAGATTCCTTATCCTATCTCAGTTGTTAATATTTAGGTACTCGTACGCGTACGCTACATATAAATTGAAGGGGGTGAACAAACCTTGATAATGGCTTCGACGACCTTTTCGATTTCGCCTGGTCTGACTAATCCGTCTGGCTTGGATCGCAAGTTGGCAAGCTTGGTCTCGTTGTTCTGGATTCTTCGTTCTAGGGAGGGGATGTTGTCCTTGTCTAACCTCTCACGTCGGTCAAATAGTTCTCTGAGGCTAACAAGGGCATCGCGCTGTCTCTTCAGGTCCTCCAGCACACCCGCATCCCATGCCTTGCTTTCGTCCTCCATCAAACCCTGTGTTGTTTGTAGGTGCTTGCTCATCGCGATCAAACCATCATTGAGGAGGGGCACATCGTTCGTGTCGGTGGCGTAGGTCTCCGAGCTTGTCTCGGTCAGGGATGTAAGCGACATAGCTAGACGACCATGGTCCGCTGCTACTCCTTCACTTCGCTTAACAAGGCGGTCCATGATGTTACAGGTAGAGATATATAGCTCGGCGGATCGTTTAACGCCCTGTCTAGTACGTTCGAAAAGTTCTTCCAGCGAGGGCGGCAGAGATTCTTCGAGGCCAGGTGGTAGAGGTCGACCCGTAAACTCGTCTATCACCGAGATTGCGGCTTGTTTACGCCATACCGCAAGCTCCTATAATTCATCAGCTATGAAGACGGTAATCATACTATCATTTTGTACATACCGTTGGAACAGTCAAGAACATTATTACAAGCTGTTCCTGACCCAATACGGGATGTCGGACTAGAGTGTTTAGGAACCTAGCTAGACCGCGTCGTCGCTTCTCGATGAATGCGCCATCGTTGGAGAGATGGTTGCCATTGACGGCAACTCGCTTGGGTGGAAGCAGAGGTAGTGCTCGGAAGGGATATCTCTTATGTAGGCAATCGAGTAACCATACAAAATCGCTATATCTGCGAATGACTTTGCTACCCCGGCGCGAGCTCGTAACCTCATAGTTGTGATGTTGAAACATGAAAACACCCTCTTTCTCCGGCATTAGTGTCACCAGGATATTTTCCTCAACCGCGCCGCCAGTTCGACTACCGCTAATAGTCCGAGTATGGGTGATGGGAGGGTTAGTATTCGGGTCGCGTCCTTCTCCGCTTCCCGCGCCACCAAAAGGACTCGTCGGATGATTCGAAGGCGCGTCGTCAAAGTCGCCGGCGTTATTTCCGTCGAAATATCCCCAACCGCCAGTGTTTGAGGATACAGTGCCTCCAGATTGGGGCCCGGGGCCACCAGCGGAAGCTGTGGAAGTAGTCGTAAAATTAGAGGTAGTTCGAGAGTGCATGTCGGGGACATCGGGATGCTCGTAACCATTGCCATTGCCATTTACGCTCAGGTTGGCATGGCCGGTCCCGTTAGTTTTAGTCTCGGCATGGTGATGATTTCGGTGCAGGTCGGACGAATTCCATGGGTCGTCCTCAGGACCTTCCATGGTTGATTTTCTAGATCGGACCTGGGAATTAATTGGCGCGGGCGGAGAATCAGGTCGCTGAGGTGGTTTTGCAGCAAGTTCTGCTGTGTTAAGGAGGACAGGCGTCTTGATGGAGGACAATAATAATTGGGGCTGCGGCAAGTCTACAGTAGGTAGTTGTTTGGTTAGTTACATGTACAGAGCAGAATGTAGTAATTTATGGGCGAATAACGTAAATGTCCCCGCAAGATGATGCACAGGGCAACGCAGCAACGAAGCTACGATAAGCCTAGCCAGCCCATTGGACGATGAATGCGATTCGTCAACCAAGTGACTGGACGAAGGGAATTAAGATATAGTAGTGAATACAGAGTCGATATTGAAGAGGAAGAAGAGAAAAAAAAAAGAAAGAGAAAGAAAAATTGGAATATTATAGACTTACTGCGTCTTCGCTCGTCGACTCCATCCAAACTAACGGATTCACCCTCTTGCGCAAGCCCGATAAGAGCCAATAACACATTGAACTCATTTCGTCCGATCACATCAAGATTTCCAGCTGGTGCAAGTATTCCCATTATTTGCGCCTGGTCATCGGCGCCTAATTTGGCGGCGGCTAGTGTTTTAGTGACGCCTGAGGACGTAACCTTACCATTAATCCCATCTTCTTGCACGACACTATCGAATGTTTCTATATAGCGATCAGGTACTTCGACACCGTCGAGTAACCTCCGGATAAGGTCGGCACGCGATTGTTGTTTTCTCGGGGTTGGCATGTCCCAAGGTGAGGTGGCACCGCTGCCTCCGAAATCATCGTCATTAAAGAGGGTGTCCGAGGTCGACCGAGTCATAGGTCCGTCGTCGTCGAACAGTGAATTTCGAGATCGCGCCATACTTGGGTTTGTCGAGGATGAGGATTCATTCGGGGGAGAAGTGCCAAAGAGTGACATTGTTCTAGTTTGTCGGTTGACTTTGCGATAATCGTGAATTGAGAATGTGATGATCGACAGAGTCGAGGACGATCGCGAGCTCGTCTTAAAGCTATTGGGTGTCGTAATAGACTCGTAATAGCTAGACTAAGCAAATCAGACCATGTAGGGAATTGAGGATGCTTGCGACGCAGTATAATGTCAAGGCTAGTAGAATTGATAGAATCACTATGTGGTCCAAAATCACAGGAATAATGACCAAAAAAAGTTGTAAATGGGACAAATTTCGAAGCTCAAAGTGTAACAAAAGCTACAAAATCTATAAATGGGAAGAAAAGGTCAAAATGGTCTTGTTCGCTACGGCGCCCGTGCCTTCGTTCCTTCCCTTGGAGTAAAGCTCTACATATACGTGCGCTGAAACGCTGGGGGAAGCATAGGTGGGACAAGGTGGGACGTAATGGATCAGCGTTTAGCTAGCAAGTGCGGAGCTGAGAATAGAGACGGGGCGCGACGGAGCAAGGGGGCCAGATACATATGTAGGTACATCACAATGCGCTAGTCTCTATAGCGCATACAGTTGCAGCCATAACTGTCTCACAACCATAAATATCGCTACAGAATACCTCTATAGGTACCTACTGCGCTATGCTTCCAGTTGTCAATAATGAGTACTCAAGTACGCAGAAAGGACTGGATCTTCATAAAGTCTTGATAAATATGACTGTAGGTGTAGTACAAATATGGTACATTCCTTAAATACCCTATTATAGTTTGTCCCAGAGTCTGGTTTCTTCTTTCTTGTCTCCCTTCTGTCTCTGTTGGCGGTGTCTTGAAATCTTCGCTGGCGGCACCCTGAAGAATAAACTTGGTGATTCGCCTGGTTGCAATGTGTGACTTAAGTATCCTCGGTGTGCAGGATCGCGATAATATTCGATATCCCATCGCGCCGTTGGGTCTGGTAATCTGTAGAAGAATGCCTTCTTTCGAGCCTCTTCCAGAACAGGCTGTACATGCTCTGGTCCAGTTGGCAATGGCTTTTCTGTGTGGAAGCTCTTGCCCTGCACCAGTCGTGTTATGGCTTGCTTAGTGTAATATCGTGTCATGATCTTTCCTCCAGCTTTCTCCACGGCATCAATCGCTGCAGCTGACGCTCGAGATACAACAATATCAATCGGTTGCTTCAACGATTCGGCTCCTCTTGCCAGTAGCTTGACACCATCTTTAATCGTTCCGACAAGGTTGGACTGTATTAATTCTTTCGGGGTGATCTGTTTTGTGGCATCGATGCGACCGGAATCAATCCATTCTTGAAGTTTGTTGAGATTGACCTCTGACATTACAGGGGCGCGACTATTCAAGAGTTAATTAGAGCCACATTTGTAAGAACGGAAGAGTATGTGAGGACGTACAGATTTTCGAATCCAAGTTTTCCCCTCTGAACAACCAGAGGTGTCTGACCACCTTGAAACCACGGCTTGACTTTTCCATGCTGCTTTTGACCTTTATGACCTCTTCCGGATGTTTTTCCCTTTCCTGAGGACGGACCGCGACCAACGCGAATACGTTTTTGGTGAGCACCTGGATTATCGGATAGGTTTGAGAGAATAGAGGCGTTTCGGGTCTGGATCGAGAGTGCGTTAAATAATCCTACAAGGGATGAAGGGTTGGATTTCTCAATTGAAGCCCTACAGCATTGCGCCGTAAGCCGTATCGGTATCCGTGGAGGCATTTTTTGTGATATGCGCCGGTGCCTCGTGGGAGTTGTAGGTGACAGTGATAGCTCTCGATATAAGAATTCAAGAATTTCCTATTTTACATCTTTTTTAACGTTGCACGAATCTAAGTGGTCCAAGCTTCAAAATCGAGGTACATCTGTATCAAGCTTTGATTTATACCCAATATGGTTAGCGTGTCACAAATCCAGCAACTCCGATAAGTCCAGCCAATGAAAGCTACAGCTAGGTTTGTGCTATGGTGGTACCTGGGTACATGTATCCGCCTAGGTACCGTATAAAAGGTTCAAAGTGAACAATGACGGTCTCAACTCCGACTGTCAAATTAAAACTTAGAACTTAGAAAATACAAGTCGGCAAGGTTCGTTCACGATATGCCAAAGCCTCACACCAAGTCTCGTTTCGGTTGCAAGGAGTGCAAACGACGTAAGATAAAATGCGACGAGGTACGGCCTTCATGTACCAGATGTACCAATTTAGGGCGACAATGCTTATATCTTGCCGCCTTCAGTGTTTCCACACTTCCTACGCTCCCTACACTCCCTACTACACTACACTCTTCAACAGAACCCAGCCGTGAATGCACCCCAAGCACCTCGTTATGCACCTCTCAATCCAGCCCGCCAGAAACTATTTCAACTACTTCAGCTCCGTCATATGTGCTTGTCGAGTCGTACAGTTTATTCCACATGGAGTTACTGAATCATCTTAAGAACCAAATGGTGAAGCTTGTTCAACCAATTCATATTGAGCTCAGTCAACTTTTCGATCTTGCGTATGAGGAAGCCCTCAAAATTCCATATTTGATGGACGAGTTGATTGCCTTTTCCGCTGCCCACAAGAGCACTCTTACAGGCGAAAGTCAGTCTTCCTACCGGATCGAATCAACTAGACTACAAACTCGCGCACTAAATCAATTCCATACTCAATCTCCAGAAGTTACCGACGATAACTGTCTGGCTCTCTTCGTTTTCTCCACTATCCTTGGGCAGCATGTGCTCTTTGACGCGCTATCGGCCTCCTTGGAACTTTCAACGGTCCTAGACAAACTCACACAATGTATCGATATACATCATGGCATCCGCGCTGTCGCTGGTCAATCTTGGCAGAAAGTCTCCATCATTTTTCGGGATCGGATATCTTTAGACCTCGCGTACGCAGGGAAAGATATTGCAGCCACGTCAGGGATTGAGTGCGATAACCTCTTACAGCGGCTTGGCGAGGAGGTGTCGGACCAACCCACACTCCGGGTATATGTGGAGGCCGTCAAGATACTCCAGTATCTCTTCGATTCTCTGCACTCTTCCGACGCTCGACGATTCGTTGTCGTGCAGGAGTGGCTCGTGCGCGTCTCAAAGCAGTATACGCAATGCCTACGTCAGAGGCGGCCAGAAGCTCTTGTTATCCTTGCCTACTTCGCGGTACTCTTGCACCGCGCCAGCGACTACTGGGTCGTCGGTCAATCTGGAAGATTTATAATAAAGGCCATCACCAGTCATCTGGGCCCATATTGGACCGACTGGCTCGAGTGGCCGAATCGCTCCGTATGGAAAGTAAATTAACACCGTCATATAGCACCAATTACTATCAAGCGTGAGAATATAACGACAGAAAACAGCCAGCACCTTAAGATACGTGCCTTCTCCGCTTTATCCTATTTGTTTTATTAGCGATCACAATCCAGGGGTTCTAAGGGGTTAAAAATTGCTCCAAATTTAATAGTAAAAATACCCGGGAGGGGTATTTCGTCATATTTATACGAAATAGAAAATATGATAAAAATGCGACAAGGTGATCCGACAGAAATCTGCTTCACCTATCCATATAGAGCATATGGTTCAAGATACCTGGATTACTACAAAAAAACCTGCTCTCATTCCTTAGATTTCATCGAGCGTGGACTCGGAGGTACGTGGACCTACACATGACCAACAGCTAGCCTTTGCGGCATCACCACAGGCTGGATTTAGGCGGGCTACCTGCAGATATGGACATAGAATGCGGTCATGTGTCTTTTCAGCTACAGTGAGCTTGACCGGCGAGCTCTCCGGCGCTGTACCGTTCTCGACCCAGTTGCGCAGCTGGCTGAAAAGTTGGTCCGGCTGGCCGCTTGCCCCTCCGAAGCAATGGCTGAGACCGGGTACTTCATAATATCGATAGAAGTCGTGCACGTTTGGTAAAAGGTCGAATACCCGATTGTAATACTGCTCAGTACCCTTGGTGGGGATCACATTGTCGGCCTGTCGGATGCTGCGTTAGTTCTCTATCAACGAGGGGAAACGCGGTTTAAACTGACTAGTCCATGGAAAGAAATTATCTTCCCTCCGACTTCTTGAAACCGAGACAGATCCGGGTCTGTTGTACCGATGATGGAACTGTATTGTTGTATACCTGCGTGGGCCAAGTCATCAAACCCAGTTCGGGTCAGATTCGTACAGTCTTTGTCCGGATTTCTCGCCACGAACAACTGAATCCATTGCAAACCAAGAGAACTGGGGACACCAACGCAACCAGTTTCGTTGCAAGTTGTTGCTGCAACTCCAGGTTGTTTATCAATTCCCGGCGAATCACCAGTCAGATCGGAACCAGGATTCAGGCCATACCAGATTTGCTTTCCATTCCTCATTGTCATCCCATTCCAGGTAGAGTTTACCACTATTGCGGCTTCTTCGCTGATTCTCACCTCTGTGCCATTGGTTTGGGTGCACTTGACGTTCTGGCCAACAACCGAAAAGGGGTTAAATGTAGCCAGACAGCTATCTGGACAAGCGATGACGTCATCCACAACGCCGTCGAGGTTATCGCAGGCCGAGATTGCTGCAGCGGTAATGGCGTCAATTTCACAGCCGTAAGGGTAGTAATCGAGCTCAGCCATTACTTGCTGTGACCATTGGAGACTTGGTAACATCTCTGTCCAATAGATTGCGGGTGCCCCAGCGATGATGCCATCGTATGCTGTTGGGTATCGTTGAGCTATCATAAGACCCTGTTGACCACCCTGGGAGCAACCGGTCCAATAGGAATACTCCGGAGCCCTACCATAGAAACTGCTTATAAGAGCTTTTCCAATGAGGGCCTATATTGCGGATAAGTTAGGGTTTCCTAATGACATGGCCTAGGAGAATTCATTAGGTATGCACTTGGTCATTGAGAGAAACCGAGCCCAGATTCTGCAAGTTGTATAGATTCACATTTCCGGGACTATCAAGAGCCCATGGATTGGCATCTGGGGCGGCGCCTAGCCCAGCGTCTGTTGTGGTGGTCGCGAACCCGTCTGCAAGTGCGCCGACCATAGCTCCATAGGATATGGCGAATCGTCCGGCTACCCAGCCACCGCCACCAACGGCTTGGAAGCGACCATTCCAATTACTTACTGGGAACCAAGACTCGATTATGATATTATCGCCCTGTCCGGGGTGGGTGTACGAGACGGTGATGTTGCAGAAACTGGCGTTCTTTAGCTGTACCGAAGGTGCGACATATCTGAAAGCGTCGGGAGCATTTGCGCTGTAGTTGGACACTAGGTTCGCCTCAACGGAGAGAATCTCGCCACCAAAGATAGAAGGGTTGAAGCTCGCAGCATTACAAGCCGCCACCAAGGAGGAATTCATATTGACAGCGAAGTGGCTTCATATGGTATGAGGGGAATAGGGACGCGTATAACGATCGAAACATCTTCGTTCGACTTATATAGGACTCTTTGATCCGGGATCTTGATGCAATAAGCGGATCTATATCTACATGGTGCCGCTTAGGACATCCTCTTCGATCCGGTCTACGACCCGCGACTTGGAGAGAGTAACATCTGAGTCAGCCTAACTGGCATTGCGATGATCGTAAAGTCGCATTTGACACTTTATGATTGGGCCCTCGCCGACCCGGTAAGACGGGAAGCCTCTTAGCCAATCAAAAGCTGATGAGAGCGCTGATCCACCTGGTTCCACAACGCATCGGTGAGAGACTGATTGCTCAGTTCGACATCAACCAATCGCATCGTTAACGATACCGTGCGCCGTGTGCCGACTATGTGTCGAATCGTCGGATACGAAGTCTTAGATGAAGTTCAGACTTACGTATACACAGGTTAGTGGCTGAATAACCCCTTTTCGATTCATGCCTGGATTCCTAAACAAGTAGGTATATAACGACAATGCCTCTTACAAGTGTAAGAATACCATATCACAACATGCTTCTAATCCGCATCACCTAGCATTCTACCCGCCCTTTTTTTACACCTTTCTCTTTCTGCGGGCTCGTTGAGGTTCTTTATCTAGCGCCATCGTCATCCTCATTGATTTTTGGGCTGCCTTTATAAGCTTGCATACCCGGATACCTACCTGGGTACACAGCACGAAGCCATAACATTCTACAAGTCTTCGATTGCCACACAAATAACCGGTAGCGAAAACTAGTAACAATGGCTCAACTTGAACCCTATAAGCATGGATACTATCTTTGGAGATATGTACCTTCCATCGAAGCGGCAGTGATTTTCTGTATTTTGTTGCTACTAACAATTGCACACTGCTAGAAACTATGAAAGACCCGCGCCTGGTTCCGCATACAATTTGTTATAGGCGGCTACAGTATGTTTGATCTCATTCTATTCTCCCTATGTAGGTAAATATATACTAGCCTTATTGAGTTGACACGTCTTGTAGTGGAGTTCCTAGGCTACGCATTTCGCACAGCCGCGCACGATAAAACAGGCCATCTGATGCCCTACGTGACGCAAAACAACAATATACCCTTTGCTCCCGTTCTATTCGCCGCCTCGGTTTGCATGACATTGGGTAGAACTATCATATCAGCATGCTCCGTGACCCGTTAGTGGGGGCTATCCCTAAGGAGGTAAAATGGAGACAAGCTTTGCTCATGATGTATGTTTTAAGTGCACTCATCATGATTTCGATCTAGTAAGTGCCATTTGTTAGTTTACATACTGCTACCTTGGAAGTACTCATTTTAAATTCCTGGCTGATTTCGGTACTAGTCTTTCGGATGATAGAGTTGAGGGTGGTGACGGTTACTTGCTGAGTAACGGACGATGTACATGTTTGATTCGGTTCCAATGTCTACGGCTATGATGATATTTTTGAAATGGTTCCCGTCGAGTGCTACGCTATCAGATTGTTACATTCCCATGGATTGTTTCGCTGAACCTGCCCCTGAACCAAGTATCGCGAACCAACGATCAAGCCTAAGGGCTTAATTACTTTGAACAATAAGGAATAAAATCCATGGAACGCATATCGCTGGATGGGCCCCCCGATTATTGGTATAAAGCAAGATAAACACGGTATCAAAAAAATGCATCTATCTACCTAGGTACTTAGGTACTTAGTCCCTTTTCCACCTCCTTTTTGACGTTGCACCAATTTAATGGCCCGAGCGTCTGGTTGATTCCGAGGGTACATATCGATAAGATAAGATGATACATGTACCTAGTACACAGGTACATGTAATTCCCCGCCATCTAATTTACCATTTCTCAAAGCTTCAACATGTACAACTCGCAACGGAGCCATTGAGATAAGCCATCTAGGCAAAGGCTCGGAGTATAGAACCACGCCAACGCAGGTATTATGGAACATATCCAGAGGATATATTCCACGTATATTTCGAGTCGCGCATTTACTATGCTTCCTATCCCCTTGGCATCAACTGTAGCACCAATAGACGCTTTGAGACGAGATAGGAACCCGGTCTACCTACGACCTTCCCCGCATCGGTATATAACCACGTCTATTCCCACGTCGTATCTAAGATGGAAATCAAGTCTAGAGCTGTACTGCTAATCATAAGGTAACATTATACACTTCCATGTAAGCATCATTCAGGTGCAGTTTTGCGAATATGTTCTAGGCTATAAAAGGATGGTCGGTCCGTTCCGACACCACTGAAAGAATATGAGTGGATGGAAAATATATATATTATGCTTTCCTTATTGCTCTAAGGGAAGTAGTTCTTAGTCAAACATGTTATACAGTTATTCAATCGTTACTCGGAATCATGAGTGAGAAGGCATCGGCTCAAGAAGCTATTCCAGATAGCGTTATATACGTCTCCGATCCGGACCCTGCTCACTTGAGAACAAAGCCAGAAGCTTCTTCCAAAGATCTAGACGACGCATATGAGCTTTACAGAAGACAAGATGCTACCGATCTCGATCCTCAGGAGGCCCGCCAGGTCTTGCGAAGAATTGACCAGCACATCTTACCACTTTTGATGGGAACGTATCTACTCCAGTACCTCGATAAAGCCACTTTCAATTTCGCGAGCGTCTTTGGGTTACGAGAGGGGACGAATCTGCATGGTCAAGATTACTCGTGGTCGTTATCTATATTTTATTTCGGTATTTCGTCTGCTCATGAGCCGGGCTACCGTGCATTGAACTAATCCATCACTAGGTTACTTGATAGCACAATGGCCTGCTGGATATCTGCTTCAAAGACTGCCCGTTGGGAAATTTATCGGCGGTTCTGCTTTAGGTTGATAGCCCCCCTATCTAGACCTACCACCTGACTAACGGAACGCTAGTCTGGGGTATGCTCACTATTGTCACTCCAGCTTGTAAGAATTTTGCTGGAATAGCGATCAATCGGTTCCTGCTCGGTTGCTTTGAGGCTGTAGTAAACCCTGGATTCGTGCTCGTACTCTCCATGTGGTGGCGCCAAGACGAGCAACCGATGCGATTAACAACTTATTATAGCATGAACGGAATTGCTGGGATATTTGGTGGTTTACTTGGTTATGCTGGTAAGTATGATTGTTCCAGGAAATACTTTCTCTGTTAGAGCAGGAGCTGACTTAAAGAACTTCTAGTATGTCTTCAGGCCCTAGAAAGGGCGGGGGTGATCAGTGGAAGACCCTTGATTTCTCTACCTAAGGCTAATGCATATTAGATTGGCCATATAACTTCGGGGTTACAGCCATGGATGTATATCTTCCTCATATTCGGTTCCATAAGTCTGGCTTGGGCAACCGTTTTCCTCGTCTTTATGCCTGACCTTCCTTCCACAGCACGATTCCTAAATGAAAGGGAGAAAATTGTGGCTGTCGAACGAGTAGCAACGAACCGACAAGGAGTAAAAAACCGCCATTTCAAAACTTATCAGATGTGGCAATGCCTTGGGGATCCCAAAACTTGGATTCTATTTGTTATGGCAATTGCTTCGCAGATCCCAAACGCCGCCCAGTCAAGTGTAAGCATCTCATGTTTGGTGACTACTAGGATACTGACGAATCGATAGTTCACCTCAATCATTCTAGAGACATTTGGTTTTGACGTACTCGAGACACAGTATTTACAGATCCCGGGGAATGTGATCCAATTTTGTTCTCTTCTCCTATCTGGTTGGATCAGCTCTCGATTCCCTAACATGCGCTGCGCCGTCATGTTGATAACCAATTTAGTCTGTGTTGGTTGTGGCGCAGCTCTCGTTGGCCTACCAGTTGGCCCAGATGGAACTGAAAACAGATGGAGTCGGCTGGTCGCGCTTTGGCTGTGCTCGTTCTCGTCGGTAGGGTTTAGTCTAAGCTTGACGATGGTAAGTAGCAACGTGGCTGGATACACTAAAAAACAATTGACGGGTGCTTTTCTATTTGTGGGCTATTGTGTTGGAAATATTATAGGGCCACAGACTTTCATCGATTCGGAAGCACCATTCTATACGTCAGCCTACATTGCGTAAGTTCCCCAAAGTTAAGCAGTTGATGCGAAACTGACTCTTAGCTTTAGGATCCTGATTGGTTATTGTGTGAAGACAACGATGGTGATCGTACTATATCTTTACATGTGGCTAGTGAACAAGAAGAGAGATCGTGACGCGGCCACATACGGCTCAAGGCTTTCGGCGGAGCAAGAAAAGGAAGCGATTGAGCAAGGTATGCACGATGTTACTGAGTTGGATAATGAGGGCTTCCGATATGTACTGTAATTATTTATCGAACTGGATTGAATCTAACGTTTGAGTCTTCTTTTTACTTGCCGATCACCATGTTTTAGGTCCCAAGTTTTGGCGTTCTCCCTTCTTCGTACGTGTGCATATCTCCATCATATTACCACCGGTACTACGCAGGTTAGTATATCAACTCTAAGAATGCTCATTCAAAAATTCTACTTACTCGAAATTCCTTATTCTCGCGATCCGTCATATCGAAGAACTCACTATTCTTCTTATGCTCAAGGCCCAAGTGCAGTCGATCGCGTCTTCGATTCTCCCAGGCGTAATAAGCCATCAATACGCCTGTCGTAACCGCCGCTACAGCCGTTGATGCCACAATTACGATTTTCGCGGGGAGGTACTGAGGCTTGTCAGAGTCGCGGAATGTCTGCGGCCCAATGATATTCCCCGCGCAAAATGACACGAGGACGACTGCATTCATGGTAACTTTCTTCGTGTGACCTGCATAGTTAGCTGCTGAATATGAATAGACTAATGGCAGCGCTGCTCCGATGACATTGGTGAGGTAGTTTCCCGCCAGCAGCGCAGGCTTGTTGGTCGCATCTGAGAAGGCTAGAAGAGAACCACCGAGTATACCTCCTATAAGTAGGAGGATAATGATGACGGGCCCGCGAGCGTTGAATTTGGCTGAGCTGATACCCCCTCCGATGACTGATATACAGCTAACCACGCCGGAGGGAATGGACAGCAGGGCGGTTTCCTTGGAAGTATATCCAAAGCCTTTGATAATCGTCGCTTGATAACTGCTGACAGCACCGTTCGGTATGTTCATCGTAATTGTCATGAGAATGATAAGCCAAGTTTGCGGGTCGGTAAAACAATCCCATACTTGGTTTATCTTGAAGTGCTTATTCTCGATACCGGTTTGATTCTCGCGGAGACGCTCAATCGCCCATATTTTCTCCTCGCGAGTGAGACGTGACTTCATCGGGCTATCAGGAAGGAATATCATTGTGAGAATGCCGACCGCAATGGTAATGAGACCGAATAGAAGGAACATAATCTGCCATGGTGTGAATATTTCCGACTCGTAATGTTGGAACCCGAATGATGTTAAAGCTCCGATAATCGTGCCTGTTCCTGTTCCGACGTACCAGAAACCGACACGAGCAGGCTGTTCAGATCGTTTATACCACATGCTTGTTACCAATATGAGCGCTGGTGCTACCGCAGCCTCAAAGCATCCCAGAAGGGTCCGAAGGGTTGCGAGAGCAGCCCAATTCTTTGCGGCGGAGTTCAATGTGATTATCAACCCCTAATATATTATCTATTAGTTACTTCTAATGATTTTTGGCTGAGTTCGCGTGCTGCCATCGGGAGCGTGAGAAAAATCGAAGGACCACCGCCTGACCATCGACTTAGAGGCACAATACGTGTCCTTGAATGCCTAACTTACCCAGAGAATTACATTCGCCCCAAGGTATTTCGCAGTGGGGAGTCTTTGCATAAGATAACCCGTAGGAAACTCGAATGCCAGATATGTAACGTAGAAAAGTGTGGCGAGAAGAGAAAACTGATTTCCGGTTATTCCGGTATCTTCTTGTAGCCCCATAACATTGGCATAATTGACTGCCTTATGATGAGCTTATGGACAGGCCAATGATTTGAGTAATTTACCTACTCAGTGTCTTGTCAAGATATTGAAGATTGTAGCAAGCCCCTACACAGTCGTTAACTAGCTTTTCGTGAGCAGGATTAGACCTTGTACGAACACATAAGCGGGACAATTGTCCAATCAAGTTTTCTAACAAGGGCCTTCTCATCGATCTCAGTCATCACTGTAATGTTTTCATGATTAAGATATTCCAGTGCCGCATCGACGTCGGTTGCTTTAGGCGCTTGCCCTTCACTATCTGTTTTTTCTGCCTCCATGGTAAATGGTACGGTCGCCTTCATTGTTACACCTAGGGAAACAAGGTGACGTAGATTGTTGATATATGAGAGTGAGTGGAAAAGAGATAAAAACAGGAGAGCCCGTGATATTCCTTGAACAATGTTCGGTACGTTGAGGGTATAATACTACCGAGGGTTATAAGAACTCCTCATACTTTCTGCGGAGTTATAGGAATACGAAAAGAGATAGCGGAGTTACCCGACTGCTTAACTGATAGCTAACTCAGGTACTCAGGTAGCTGATGAACAAAGGGAAACCTCACTAAACTGGCATGTTAAAACCGACTATCCCCAATGGAATGGAAATGAGGAGGTAGCTATCAACCATGATAGGAAGGACGAGATAGGTAAGGGACAAGGTCCAAGTTCCAAGGTTGTCAAGATAAGCCGACAGCTCGGAATTCAGATCAAGGACCGGTGGAGATAATATGATAGCTAGCTCTGATAAGAAGCTGGTGTGGGGGAGGCTTGAGCACATCGCAAAACTGAACTTAGCAAGGACTGAGAAGATATTCGACGGTTATCAGTGGTCGATTCCATCCGCGACATGGAGGATGTTGCATTGAACGGATAAGACTAACGGTAGCATGCGTAGTGGCTGCATGAGGTTAGAGCTTTGATGATCTCGAAAACTACCATCACCATATTTCCATATCCTAATAGACCACATACGCGAATGATAGGACTTGCTGCAATAATTTAAGAGCTTACTCGCCCTAAAAATGGTCTAAAGCCTCCTTGCGCATGCCCCGAGATTAATCCCCATTTACCTCAACATGGGGTTTGGCTTATCTGCCTCCGAACGGAGTTCCGACACTCAGAATTCGAACCTCGGTTCATTTAATTGAGCATGGAGACGAAGCATGGCGTTTAATGGACGGCCCAAGTAGGAACTATACGTTCCATGTCGAATCAAAGCGAATTCGTAGTTGATAATTCACGATGAGTTCTGAGGTGAAACGAGGACGACACTATCGCCTAAGAATAGATGTTAGGTGGAAATCATAACAGGTGCCAAGGAAAAGGGTAGTAGCGCACCTCGCACAAATAACATTTCGGATTTCTTGGTCGTCGTCTAATAAGATTAGTAAGGAGGTATACTATGACAGGAAAAGGGTATTTACTCTGATCTCTTCATCTTCATCATCCTCATCGACCGAGTAGATGGTCTCCACCACATCACCTAAGACCAAGTTCATATGACTATCATAGGCCTTAAACACCATCAATTAGCTGAAAAAATACTCGTCCGTTTTCAAATTCGATATACATACGTGAAGGCGTCCTTTCAATTCCCGATCGCCTCGTAACTTCACAAAGACAACCTCATCGAGTAGAAGGCGCACAAGATCGAGGGGTTCGGATACTGAGCCGCCAGCTGGGCCTTCTTCGCCACTGGCCATATTTTCGCCTTTACTAAACGTAGTCCGGACTGAATTAAGGCGTCGTATGGCACGGGTAGTCGTGTTTGGTATTGATATCTTGCTTGTTGTAGAAGCTTGAAGATTGCAGCCCTAAAGAATGAGAAGAATAATGAATTGTTAGTGAAGAGAGGCACGGACCATTGAAGACCCATAAAATAAATTACTTAATTATTTTATGTACCTTGGTATCGGGAGCCATGACCACCTGACGTAACTCTATCTGATTACATAACTTAATTATGTCATTCGGTACGTAAATACTTCCCCAGATTTTGAACAGATAAGTCGTCTCCGTGCGAATATTTCAACTCCACAACTCCACACAATACTAAATACGATACCCCGGAATATCTTCACTCATTTTATTTACTTCCCCGCAAATCGCCTACTTTACTTATGTATACCTAGATTCGTTATAAATCACTGTCCCGTCCTTATGCCGTCATGATACTGCTAGAAGATCTGTATAATGTCCCCTGTCGCCTCAATGGCGGCCTTCGGTGGGCATCGCGCCCTTTTTTATACCCCTCCTAAAGGAACCTGCTCGCGAATAATTAGTCTTCGTTTACATCGGATCTCTCGAGAAACCATCCGTATTAATGGCAAGCGTGTACCGAGATGCCAGAGTACTTACAACCTTGCCCGTGGTATCACGACGACGGCGCGTCCTGTCGATGGGGTCTCGGCGCCCGAGTTCATGCTCTTTCGTGATCTTCTCAGTCAGAAACCAAAGCATAATGATTTTAATGCAGTTTCTACGAGCAAAGATCCCGGTGTTTCCGATGTGCCAACAGCGCAATCGCCCGTTAGTGTAACAGCCGAACAGTTCTCCAACTCGTTTCAAAGGGCTCTCGATGCGTTGCAACGAAGAGACACCCGAAGATTGCTTATGCATCTTCAACGCATTTCGCTCATGGATGATTTGGAACTACAAGAAGCTGTGGATATGCTGCCTCGAACCACATTTACTGAATTCTTCCGTTCATTGGATCCAATGTCTGTTGCTAAATACGCAGACCCTACTGATGGGACGTATGTATCCCCTGGGATGTATCAGACGCTGAACATGGATTCGTTTATCGACGATTGGGGCGTGCGGAAACTTTACACGGGGTTACTCCAGCGTATGATGGCCCTCGTGGTAGCATTGAAAGCCTCCGGTCAGATCCTGCAGGTTGAAGAATACCGCTATCTACTTAGATTCGCAGGTGCCGCTTCGGATCCGGCTGGCGCAAGATGGTTATGGAATGAGATGGTTCGTACGGATACCGCCAATTTACGGCATAGCGAAATATATCTCGAATATATAGCAGCACGCTTTCTCACAAGGCCTATGTATACGGGCTACGACAAGACTAGGATGATGGTTCAACCTCGAAATCTCCACCGCACTCGCATCAAACTAGATCATAGCTACGTCTATAAATTGGACCGGCTGAGATTAAATACTCGACTTAAACGATTGTACTTTGGTCTTAATAAGGATGTCCGAAACGCCGAGGACATTATGCGCCAAATGAGGAAGAACAGACCCCTCACAAGGCTAATTTACAGACTTATTAGAGACGGCTACCCAATGGACGAGAACTTGTTATGCGCTTTCATTGTTGGCTTGGGGCGTGCCGGATCACTGCGATTTATTGGTTCCCATATGCTACATAAGTACTTCGGCATCCGAATGAAAAAATTAACTTATGAAGAGGAGGCCGAATCCCAGGCTGGATCCAAAGAGCTCGAGATCAAGCAAGAGAAATACATTGTACGCCCTACGGTGCGCCTCATGCAGACCGTCGCCGAGACATATGGAGGGAATGCAGAGATTGTCACTGCCATCCGATTGGTCGTCCACATATCAGAAACTTTCAGTATTCCAATTCCACGATCTGTCTGGCAAGACCTTCTAGAGTGGACCTACGTTATGAGTACCCCGCCAGCATCCACGGCGTGGAAGCACGCCGACATGCGCTTTAAAATACCTGACTCTACAACGATGGAACTTATTTGGAACGCTATGGTTGCTCATAACGTGGAGCCAGGCTTCGAACAGTACAACATACGCATTCGAGATCTTATAGGGCGGTCCCAATTCAGCAAGATCCTTCCCATGATGAGGCGAGCGATCAAATTTTATAACGCCCACTGCCAGGAGTACGAAGATGCGGTATTCGAATACGTTCGAATGATCCGTGATGGAGTACGTCTATCCGAAACTGTGCACCGATACGAGCAGGCTCGGTTTAAGAAGGCAACGATGTATGCAGATATTCAGAATTGGTGTAGCCAATACCTAAACAATATCCGGAGTTTTAACCACGAGAACCCGCTCGTAACCGTCGCGGTCCCAGAATTCATTGAAGAATTCCGAGATTTTATTCCAAACCCAGCTCGCTACAAAACGGCTGCGGGATACGTCTCAATAGTGGATCCTGCTCGTGAGATTCAGAGAAGAGTTAAAAACCGGCGTCTTTCTATGTCCATTCCCATTAGATGGAAAGGGAAAACAGCAAGCCGAAGAGCGACACCGTTCAAGTACCGCGGAGATCATAAGCTAACTCTAGGAGGCCATGCGCCAATTTACAAGATCGGCCTTGAAACCTTGCTCACAAGTACATCACGAATGCTCCAGCAACCAGCAAATAGTCGGCGAAGGCGAAAGTCAGGGGAAGGAGTGAAGGTGGAGGAAGCAACCCCTAGTGGTTCAACGGGAGATTCTAGTGCACAAAGTACCTTCGACGATGACGAGGACTATTTTTAGGATGGAGCAGTTATATACTTGTACAATATTTAACGTATTTATATATATGCAATCTTTCAACGATGTTAATTTGTTTTGGTTCTACGTCATTCATAGGATCTTTCATCCCGGCTTATTGTGGAATATGGGTTTTGTAGCATTGTGAAAGTCATGATTTGACCTTCTCTAGTCTCAGATCATTCACATACATATATCGACTTAATGCAATCCATCCCCACCGGAACCAAACCATCTGGCTCTTGTGTGCCTCCGTCATGGCTGTTCTCGCTGCGCCGTAGCTTTCTCGAGACCCGACTAGAGTACTCACACTAACTAATACACCCGGGTTCCCTCTATCGCTTTTCTTCGGTGTATTTCGTCCGAAAGCAGAAAATGATACGGCGGCGACAGTCGCGAAAACGTCTAGGAAACTGCTATACTTTCGCAGTATTCCAACGCTTGTTAATGTGTATAAATCAACAGGAGAGGCCCAGCCGGGACGTCCTTTTGTGAGGGAAGATACGAAGCGGCGAGCGCCGTGGTATAGGGATATATGGTTCGGATGCGAGGATACGCCGGTCGCGTCGAAGGTTATGAGAACGTCGATGGTAGCGGTTGGAGCGGTGGAATCGTTGGTCGGTTTTTGGGAGGAGAGGTGTGGTGCGAAGGCACTGGTTAGGACAGTGGAGATTTTGGAGGCGTCCCAGGTTGTTGTCATGGAGTCGGGGAAGTCACTGTGAAACCTAGGTTAGCCATTGTCCTCGAATGGAGTATTGAAGGGGTGGGCAGGATTAGTACTTACGGGCTTTCATAAACGAGGACATCGTTTTCACTGCGCAGGCCGAGTAGTACGCCACTCTTCGCAAGCTCTTTCTTGCGGGTCTCTCCTAGACCATCTGCATTGCCAGAACTAAGACATAGGATCTTAAGCTGATTGCCAGATTCAGGGCGTGTGAGGGCTAATACAGAGGGTGCAAAGAACATAGCCTCGTCATCTGGGTGTGCGATTAACAGGCATATGTGCTTCCCCCGCAACGTAGGCATTCGTGTTTGCGCCACTGACGCAGTATATATGTAGAGAAGAGGGAAGATGACGACGAGAATTGCGAATGTGGAGAGAGCTGTCGGTGCCATGGTTTATTCGTTGTTCGTTATCGCGAGAGGGTATATCGTAGGATTTCGGTAGTTAGGAGAACATCTAATTGGTATTCGTCGTCTTCGAGACCCCTCCCCTTTCTTGAACAGCTGAATGGACGGTATGTTCACATGTGTCAATTCAATAAAAGTCGAGAGAAACTAAGGCTAAACAAATTCGAAATTGAATTCAACCATTGTCCATTCCTAGCCTTGCAAATGATTTGCCCTGTATGAGAATGCCCGACAGGAAACGAAGGACCTATTAGACAGCTTAGAGAAAGAAAAGTGACGATGGAGTCGCGATGAAGCTCGCGTGGGTTTAATTGGATTCATATATCGAGGTATTTACCCCCGTATTAGTCATATATTATGGAGAGTAAGCTTATGAGCTAAAGCCTAAAAAGTTCGTACTTTATTTTTCAAACTCAACAGATTTCTCTCCTTGACACGCGATCATCTTTATATATCATCTCAAGACTCGAATTAATATCCGTTTAATTTAAACACTTTATATTTTCGTTAATTGTTCGCTATGGTTCGGACTCGAAAAGAAAGAAAAGCAGCTACGGTAAATGAGATCAAACTAGCTCATCCCGACCGATCTGCTGTTCCCAGCGAAAATACATTATTAAAGCTCGCCCAGGACCGCGATCTTTTCGAACAAGCTGAGAAAAAGCAAAGGAAAAATGATGGAAATGACGATGAAGACGAAGATGAAGATGAGGAACTATTGCCTCCAACAGTTGATAGGGCTATGGATGCAGTTCTTTGGAGTGCTAGTTTAGCCATGCTACATTTCACACTCGATGTGCTTGTACAACATCAATATGCCATCTCCATCATATGGCCTCAAATTATAATCAGAGCAATACAGGCCTTTTTCGGTAAGATTCTGTTATTAAAGCGATATAGCTAAAGAGGAATATTAGAACTAAGACGATATTCATATATAGTATTTCTCTTACTGGTCTGGGTGCTTCATCCACATAAATCTGTCCCAGTCTTCTTCCCCGGACTACCGGTGAGATTCCAAGCCCCACTACGGCAAGCTATCTTTTTCGTTGCGAGTATCTGTTCGGGCTGCTATTTGATTCACATCTCAAATAGGTACGGATATCTCGCTGTCTTAAAGCGATCACCACCATTAGGATGTATTTGGGTCTGGTCTGTTGTTGAGCTTAATTTGTCATACGCTGTTCTCTCCCTCGCTTTGGCTGGTGGATTCTTCTACCAAGGTGGATATACAATCAAAGCACCGTATTAATATTTACATCTTCTAACGGAAGGGCTATCCATCATCTAACCATGTAACACTTTATCGTCTTCGGTTATCAGAAAAGAAGGAATCCTCTATGTGTAATTTCGACCCCGAGTTTTTCCTGGCACGCGAGCTTGTTGATGATCCACTCATCTCCTGGTGAATCCGATTCTGATGCATAGTTCGTCGAAGAAGGTCCTCTAATCGATATATCTCTGCTTTCTGATCCTCGACAATGGCTTCCAACTTCTTTAAACTATTATCAACCGCTGCTTCCCTTGCCTTACTCTTCCGTTCAACCTCACCAATTCTCCTAAAGAACAGATTAGCATGTTACACATAATTCGCACGGCTTGGGGTAACATTTACGAAGAGATCATGCTTAATTGCGTAAAGGATATTCGGGCAGTCAGTGCATCTCTCTGGCGGCAAAGGTCTAATGCTTTTGACCTGACTGGTAACCATGCCGCCGCTACGGCCATAGTAAAGCCCCAACTCTTTGGCACAATTGTCCACTTCCTGCCCGTATCATCTATCTGTTCGACTCCAGACTTGCTCTCTGTCTCCTCTACTAGTTCTAGCAGCCGCTGCTCGAGTTTGACCAGATCGTCCATCACAAATGTGTACATCTGGTACCCAGGTTGTTCACAGGCGTCCGGTCGCTCTTCTGCGGACTTGATGAGCTCTGCTAGCCATTCTGACTCTGTTTTGTACCATGAGAGTGAAGTTTTGGTTTGGAAATATTCCTTGTCGCTGTTGCGGTAATATTCTATTCGTACATAGACCGCTGCTATAATGGCCACAATGAATGTTAAAATCCCGGTGACGTTAGCAGTGATCGACAACGGGGAATCCTGCTGTGATGCGTCGGCCATTGGGAATCGAATTTAACCATGGGCACTTGATATTATTATACGAATTCTAATAAAAATGAGCGTAAAATATGAGTTCCAAAGTAATAAAACATCTCTAATTCAATTAGGAAAAGATGATGTTCTAAGATTTAAGATGTTGAAGTGATGTGGCTATGTACCAACTTCAGCTGGAGTGGAAGGGAATCCCCCCCCCCCCCTGCATGAGGACTTCATCGGTGGCGTAGATGTGGCGCTTGCTCACGTGATACCCCCAAACTCCAACTCGACCCCTTCACGATAGTGAGAATACGTATTTATCATTGGCGTATTTTATCGATTTATATGATACTACGTTGTGGCTAGTTTGGAGCAGTACCAAGGTAGTTTTTCCCATGCTATGTTGTTCCACTCTCTCAAGTTTGATCCGAAGTCAATATTTTGGCAACTAGGGTCCCTCGACAACACCAAAGAACCAAGCAGGAATTGTAAATACAGACCATCTACTTGAACACATAATTAAGGTCATTGTTTTCCTATTTCTTCTCGCGTATCTTTATGTTAATATCAGAGAACGCGTTCGGTATTCCGATTAGATATCAAATCTGTTGGGTTTAAAGGCAAGAACACGATAAACACGGTGGCTGTGTTTTACAATTGGTTGGCCCCTTGAAACACGGCGTCAGGTACCTACCTTCATCCCATATACCACTTACCTGCTGTTTATAAGTGAACAACACGGTTAGTGAGTCCCTTATAGGGGATTGTAACCACTAACACTGTGCATGAGCCAATCATCACAGTAAATTTTACCAATCAACCAGCGCAACTGTTAGATATTGTAGCCCGGCAGCTGCAAAATAACTCAGCGTGCTCAAAACACGAGAAGGTGCGCCGCCTGCCTTCCTCCTTTCCTCTACACCAACCAACCTTTCTCCCAAATAATTTCCTCCGCCGTCACTAAAACACCTTCAAACCTCAATCTTTCACCACTCGAACCGTCATCGTTCACAATGTCTGGCATCGTCAAGTCTGTTAAAGATCTGTTCAAGAAGAAGAATAAGGAGCTTTCAGAGGTTCGTTACGAAATTGTTTTTTCTACTACTCACTTTTATCGCACCTCTCGCGGCTTCATCAAGGTCTACAACGTAGCTCGCAAGAGAAAGTACTATCCCTAATCCAATCCATCACATCTCATGTATGTCATTCTCCCTCACGTCAACTTCTTCTTTGTTCTGGCAATATCCACGTGACTTCTCCTTTTTTTCTTTTTTTCTTTTTTTCTGGCGATATTCACGCCGCCGCGATTGTAATTATGAATTCTCATCCCTATTTTCTCCTTTCCTTCTTCGCCGAGAACGCCTGTTTTTTTTCTTTTCGGACTCTTTTTTTTGTACGGCGCGTCCACGTTGCTGACCCAACTTCCTGTCGCCGACAACAAATAAATACTGACTCCTTACCAACAGCCCTCCAACGCCACTATGTCTAAGCCAGACAAGTACAAGACTCCGGAGGAGAAGGGTGTCGGCGTTCCCGGCACTGCCAACAACGACTCTGGATGGAAGCCTTACACTGTTCCTTACACCGGCGCTGGAGCTTCGCGTTCCGCCAACGGCGATTGGGTCCCCTCGGCCCAGCCTATTCGTGAGCAACGTTCACACGCTGCACCCCCTCTGTACATTAAGCGCAACAGGGAGGACAAGTCGTCTGGTAAGGGAAAGGAGACTTCTGGTCAGAAGAAGAAGACCGGCAACGAGAACCAGATGTTCTTGACCAACACTCCCCTCAACCGCAAGTAAACAGGTAAGTAATTATCCTGATAAACACAATGGTTGACTCACCTGCTAACGATTAATATTCCAGGTCACAATGGTTTTTCCTTGTCTTCGCAACGGACGCGTCTGGGCATTTTCCTTTCTGCACCTTCTTGTTTTCGGCAAATTCATTTTCATTTCCATCGTCGACGCTGCATTATGGTTTCCCGGCATGAATAACGACATTACGACTCACGACAGCATATCATTCGCGATGGCGTTCCAGCTTGAGAAGGACTGATACCTAAGGAAGGATGGCTTTAGTTTTGGTGTTGGCTTTTTGCTTTCATAATTGCATTTCTGCGAGAGAGTCGATAATTAATTAGGTACTACGACCATATGTCAATACATCGCTCAAGTTTCGCTGTAAATTTCATGACGACTTACTGGACTATGTGAACTATATGTCGCACATGTTGATTGGAGTTGTGATAAATCATTTCTTTTTCTTTTTTCTCCTCGGGGCCATCTTCATGGCTGCTTTGCTGTGGTCATCTTTCCTTCCATACGTAGTTCTAATCAATCCTTCATTGCGCATAAATATAGCATATAATATCGGGTATCATCCAATCTAAAGTGTATTCCTTAGGACTATTGAAGATGAGAATACTTACAAATTTGCCCTATGTTCTCCCTTCCACAAGGCCTAAATTATAGAACCTTTAAATTCTATCATGAGCGGCCGTGGTATGAATACTCCTTTAATATTATAACAATAGCCAAGGACAATTAAAGATTTTTCAATCCTTCATACCCGGCTCGGACTAGGCTTTCAGGGCCATTAACGTCGCCAACACCCGTCCAGAAGAACAACCCTCCTAACCCCATCCCACGAGCATACTCAGCCTTGCGTCTGACCGTCTCTGGTACGTCGAAGCTGACAAATCCCTTCCCTTCACGTCCATCGTCGATGTAGCTTGCAGCAGCGACATTTGGGTTCACGGAAGCAGAACGGATCCAATGGCGTGGTAGATCGTTGTAGTCAAGCTCTGTGGCTGACGTGAAGGATTGCCCGACGTCACGGGCGCCTGCGAATGAGCGCGCGTAAACCGGCACACCTAGTACGATCTTAGATGCAGGGAAACCCCGTGATAATAGGCGGTCGACGCCGATGTGACACGAATTCCGTAACGCGGGGTCCACCTCATCTTTGCGGCCGGGGGGAGGTAACAGCTGGGCATGATGACCTGACACGTCGGTCCAGGGGCCATTGAAGTCGTAGGCCATAAGATTGAGGGTATCGAGGAGTTGCGCTGCGGCCTTAACGTTAATATGTTTCAGGCAATATTCCCCTGTGGGCAGAGCTGTGGCGAGAAGGTACTGCGACGAAGGTAGCACATCGCGTAGGTCGTTGAGAAGGGCAAGATAATTTTCGCCTTCTTCTGCTGTGGTTGGATGTTCCCAGTCGAGGTCGACACCATCAAATTCATACTGATCGACAAACTGCCTACACGAGTCCGCAAAGGTAGCGCGGCGCTTAGGATCAGCAGCTACATCAGGGAACTCGGCACTCCCGCTACCGCCGCCGACGGACACGAGCGTTTGGAGGCCGGGCCTCTGACGCTTCAACTTAGCTATGGCGCCAAGACATCCTTTCTCTCCGTCTACCTCCTTGTTGCAATCAGCGAATTCATCGAGGAACCGGAGAGAACCGTCTGAATTGAGGCGAACGAAAGCATAGTATATGCGGTTGATATAGTCTAGCTGCATAGTTGAGGGAGGGAGACCCTTGTAAACCCTCCAGCTGGGGTAGTACACAGCATTGACGAAGGATCGATTAGATGGCATGATGGTAGCTTAGGGATGAACTATTGACACATAGGATGGAAGGAAGTTGATAGAATTCAATTGAGGCACTTGAGTAAGTTTGGATAGAAAATGACTAGATTTGATAGGGTCAGGATAGGTAGATGTTAAGTAACAGTAATGAGATATGAGTAGGGTTAGAAAAGAATAGAAGAGGAAGAAAATCCAATGTGACGGAGACGTGATGAAGATGGCCTTCATAAAGTTGAGACTAGACATGTACGTTAATAGCTCCTCCTCTAGTTACCTACAGTACCTACAGTACCTACCTACCTAGTTCAGGTCACACAACATGAAAACATTAAAATGAGAACTTTGGAAGTCGGGTAACACAGGACCCCTCATTTTGGGATGAACCTTTGGCATGGAAGAAAGAACGTCCCTAGTCATGACATATGTGGCCTCCTACTTCCTCCTGACTTATTAACTTGGTGCCTTGAACTCTAACTCATCCGCTTGGTGTTTCCATTTTTTGGGTCCTGCGGGAAGTCAAAGTTAAGCTCGAAGCGATCCGATATAGGATAGGTAGCTCTTGACACTGAAACAAACTTGTTTCGTAATAATTATCGTGGCTGAGTTGAAGTTTGACACCACGTTCACATGCACCTCTTCTTAACCCGACGATGAAAGAAATGAGACGATTTCTTCAATCCCGTACTTCGCGGATGATAGATAAAAACAGCACTGGGTTAATTGTAAATCATTCTTGTCTCTAAATGTTGTATTCATTTGATGGGAGGGCTTAAGAAATGCCACTGGGGGATGAATTTGGATACCTAGGTACTTAGGTAGGTATATACAATTACTTAATACAACATGAACACGTCTAAACTGTACAATTAATGTTGAATCGTCCGATCGGATGGAATTATGTGCTGACTAATCGTCTGATTGAGTAGGTACATATGTAATTCCGAAGTTTCTAAATGTACGCTTATGTAACCATATATACAAGTAGGTAAGTACGATACGTATTCATAACTTATGCATGAATAATGCAAGTCTATGCCAATAACTTCGCGCCAATTTTATCTTGGCGCTCAATCTTGGACATCACCATCATTTTATGCAGAAGCCTCCATCTATTCAACCTTCACGAAGCGAAAGTCTCCCAATCATCGGGAGCCATGTTCGCTGTGAATAACTTCATCCCTTCTCTATCGAAAGGAAATCGTACCCTCGGATTCGAAGAGCTATGTGTCATTATATACCAATGAATATCATCTCTAAGGACACCACATCTCGATCCTAACATTCTCCTCTTCTTCCATTTCTTCGAGGATCTTAAAATCCATCCCGGTTTGTCTAAACGACGCAATAATCATGTCGAATTGTCTTAAGCTTTGCTTATTCCAATCGTCCATACTAAGACGAGGGATGTGTGGAATGCAGCTTTGCTCAACTAACGCATCGGCAAACATAACATCAACACGACCCGAGTCCGCTAGTGTCTGGATGAGCTTCAATCCCGGAGAGTTGCTCAAATGAGACTGCCCGGCCTTGAACCCAACACCAACAACGAGAACTCTTGGTTTAACAATACTAGCTCGTCTTACGTTGGCTCGTCCTATCTCACTACCGCTGGTGGCGATGTCAAGGGCAAGCTCGACAGCAGATACCTGTTCCCCACTGTGGTCAAATGGCGACTTGTAGCTTAGGAATGGGTTCTCGTGGAGCGGGTTATGAGTCAAACTATGCTTCCTCGCCCGGACTTGGCCTAGAGTGTCCTGAGGTTTCACAGGCAGAAGTGCTTCCAAAGCTCTCTGTCCAATCCTTTCTGGTCGTTGCCACATAGTCTCAGTCGCTAGTTTTAACAACGGGAACGAATTGTTGGCCATAAGATAGTATGGATTAACAGGAATACAATGGCCTCCGACACCAAGACCTGGAGTGTAGGGTGTGTAACCGAAAGGTTTCGTGGCTGCGGCTTGACACACTTCGTAGGGGTCGATGCCGTGGCCAATGCAAGCATCAGCCATCTCGTTGGCATACGTAATCGCCACCATCCTTTGGCAATTCTCGTATAGTTTGGTCATCTCAGCCGTTTCGGGAGAGGAAACTGGAACGATAGTATCGAACACAGGCGAGTACAACCGGATAATAGCGTCAAGCGATCCTGGGACAACGTCATCTAAACCGGATAGTACCTTCGGGATCTCTTTCATTGGCGGTTCAGTCCGGCCAGGGTCGACTCTCTTCGGAATAGTTAGCAATCTGGTACGATTCTGCTCGTTTTCACTCAGACACGTTTGAACGCACCTCAGGGGACATGCCCGCAAAAAATCCCCTTTCTTCGGCCAAAGGACCGAGCAACTGCCTCGTCATACCGATGGCGACCGAACTTTCAATTACAACGGTTGAACCCGCTCGAGCATATCTACGAACGTTTCGCAGAGCGCTCTTGACATATGAAGTATCGATCGTTTTGTCCGCTTTCAGCAGTGTTGGGACCGAGATAAGGAAGTGAGTAGCCTTCGTGAGGTGTCTAGGATCGAGTGTGAAACTTGCGCGGCTTCCTTCGCCTCCAAATTCACCCTGTACTCTTCGAAGCTGATCCTTGGACACATCGAAGCCGAGCACATCGTACTGGGTCGAAAAGCTCCCAATGAGCTGGGTACCAACATAACCACATCCAATAATAGCTACCAGGGGCTTTTCATCCTCACTAATATGGCCAGATTCGGTTGTCCCCAAGTCATCCGCCTCGTTTGAAAAGGTACCAAAATGCGGTGTGCTGGGCGGCGATGTCTGTTGACTTGGCCGACTACTCTGATGCAATGCGTCGAGAGTTATGGAAAGATCACGAACTGGCAGGACCCGGTTTGGTCGACCTTCTCGTTTGGCGGCATTTTCCATAAGAAACGGATGCATACTGGATTTGAAATTTTAAACCCAACAACGTAGCGAACGCAGTTACTAACGAAGACGAAAGGTAATTCTTAAATGCAACGAGGCCCGTCAGAAAGCAACGCGGATTAAATAAAGTCGGCACAATAAGAGAACCCAAAGAGAAGGATGGTGAATGACGCAGGGCTGCACTTTGAATCAGAAACCCGACGTATTCAGGGTATAAATAACGATTGTTGAGATCCTCGGGGGAAAATACATCATAACTGACTCGAGAATGGAGTAAAGCGAACTGGGTTATTCAGCCATTACCCATTCTCCTACATACAGACGGACATGTTATAGTAAAGTGGCTACGCTTTGGCTCCGACCTAACACCAAAAAATGGTTCCTCATCGGTTTACTTAGTGGATACAAAATCCATCCTGAGTTCTGGCCTCTATCCAAGGCTCATACAAGGTTTTGCTTCTCCCGGCGCGTGGGATGATGTATTGATGTGTAGAGGTGCAGATATCTACGTACTGGCTTTAGTAAGTGGGTACCTTTCCTGCGAGTCATGCTATAGCGATAAATGTCTTAGTAGCTCTATTTTCACATTATTGATGCTACCTCTGGTCTATAACTTACGTTAGCGAAGCTAATAGATGGACGAGCAATTAGAGTGATGACATGGGTCCGAGCCCCCGTCCGTCCGTCCTATGTCCCTCCGCAGATGATCTACGTGGGTTGCAGACGACCAGTTCAGTGCTCCTAGTCGCTCATTGGCTTCCCCACAACTTCGGTGTCCCGACTCAGTATTAAGCTCACCATTTAAACTCGTAGCTATCGATTCCCGTACCTGAGAAGCGCCACAGAGTTCTGCCGGACCCTGAGTACAACAGGTACCAGACCCCGAAATACGCCTCGGTGCTCAGACGAATTATTTGCGCATGTCTGATAGCGTCAGAACTCTGCTCTTTCGCCAATAAGCTATTCGGAATCATCATTGCAATAGATATATGCCCTAGCATCATTAGAACCGCGCGTGGGTCTGGGGTTGATACTCCTCCCCGCTTGTCCTATTTCGTATCGATGCGATTGGTTGTCTAAGGCGACGCTAGCATTACTCATCATTGGAACTATACAATCGCTTTTGATATACTATTTCCCTATTCTAAGCATGAAGTTTTAAGCCGCTGTGGAGAGCTATAGCTTTATATCCAGCCGTTTGACTCGTACGGATACGACACAACAGCTTTTGTGGCCCCGTTTCCTGAGTTTTTGTCTTGGATATGATGATAATGTATGGTTGATCAGGTGTATAGGTTAGAATATGCCAAGTTATTTACCTGCGAAATCCTGCAAACCAAGGCCAGCCCGGGAACTCAAGCTCTCATCGTGGAGTCTAACCACGCAGGTACATACCCGTGCAGGCATACTTCGATATACCGTCCCACGGGTTCGGGGTGGATTTCACCAAGCTATTGAAGCTTCTGGAAGAATTTGAAGACATCTACTACGCAATGGTTTCCTGTTTCCGAATAACGCGCCTAGCTCTAAGGGCCGAACCTTGTTGTGGCATTGCCTCATTGACGCCTACGATGACCACCCTGGATACCTCCTCGGAATCAGGTTTACCATTAGATTGGTTCACGGCATCTTGGCCTTCCGAATAGAATGAACGTATGTATGTTTGGTACGAGCCTCAAGTCTGCGTTCAACCGTATCATCCCGGTTTACCATCCTTGGCATAGGTAAGAGTGGGAATGCAGGGAAAACATATTGCTCCTTGCCTCTCGCAAGACTCAGTTATATCCCGAGCTCTCCCCCTTCCTTTGAGAAACTTCACTAGTCAGTCATTAGAGTCAAACTAGTAATGTTTGAGTCCTCTCGCCGTCAAAATTTTTTTTTTGTTCTATGAGCTACCATCTGTTTTCTTTTTTTCCTTCGCGTCGCGCTGCTCTCAAAAATCACGTCTGGAATCACGCCTAGAACCACGTCTAGATCCTGCGATCGTAAGGTCTAGATTGTTTCTCACCAGCAAGCTCCTGGCTTCTAGTGCTAGATCTCTACCATTATACCGAGGCGTCTAGGTCGACAATACATACGCCATGGCAGTGTTCAGTCAGCCTGCAAGGGTATGTCGCATTGACCGCTCCTTACCATGAATGTTTCTAACTGTATCTTACAGCAGGAGGGAAATGGACATCTGGACGCCAGAGAAGATAGACGTTCATTTGGAGAAGATCCCTTTTCAGATAGGTCTAGACGCAACTCCGGATCTTTTAGCTCGACCAGATCGTCTCAATCATCGTCCCATTATGGCACGCCTGGAGTCACTCCCGGAGCTGCTCCCGGGATGGTTCACTTTCCCCAAGCGATTTACACCGTGCCGGGACAGGCCATTAGCACCGATGTTGCGACAGAAATACAGCCGCCACCACGTTCCCGTCGACGTAGTATAGCCCCCGAGCACCTTCCTGTCGTGACGGCGCCAGCGGGACCACGGACCGTGTCTTTGACTTCCGGGTCGTCCGTGTCGACTCCGTCCGATGTACAGCGACGAGCGACTCTCGCTAGTCTACCACCTCTTACTGTCAACGCGACATCTTCGGCTATAGCTGCCGAGGCTACAGATCCCGTTCTAATAAAGAAGGGTAAAAGGAAGGTCGCCATACACAAGTACCTGGCAATAGCTTTCATATTTTCCGTGAAGTAAGTGGTACACTTATTTTTTGCGTTGGAAATTCGTTGCTAACAGCTTCTTAAGCTTCATGTTGATCTTCGCCAGTTGGTGGTGGCCTAAGTTCTACTTTATCTACCTTCCACTCATCTCTTTGCCTCTTGTCCTGAATTGTATCATGATTTTCGACATCATAGTTTGGTCACTGAAGAACCTGGTATTCAAGCCGAAAAAGACCCCGCCTCCAACACCAGAGGAAATGGTACTACTCATGCCATGCTATAACGAAACGTTCGAAGAATGTTCTAGGTCGCTTGATTCACTAGTCAATCAAGTCAATATTTCGCATCATAAACAAGCCATTATGGTTGTTTGCGACGGCAAGGTACGGGGGCCCGGAATGGAAAAAACTACAGGCGATTACCTCAACCAGGATATATTCGTCGAACAAATTGAACGCAAAATGATTCGTGCAGCATACGTCGCGTGGGACGGTCAATCTATGGATGTCGAAGTCACTAGAGGAATATACAAGGGCGTACCTTATTTTTGCATCGTCAAACAGCAAAACCAGGGTAAACGGGATAGTTTGATCGTCGCTCGCTCGTTCGTCTACAATTTCAACGTGCGTCACAGCCAGCCTAAAGTCATTTTCAACCCCGACTTCTTCAAGGCCATGACGGACTTCCTAGTTAAGGATGCGGGCATCAAACACGTCGAATTTTTAATTGGGATGGACGCAGATACGGTGTTCGCGCACGATTGCATTAGCCATCTGGTCACGGAAGCGCATTATCCCAATACCGTTGGTGTTTGTGGTTATGTTGCCGTTGACTTCTCTACCCACAAGTGGAATATGTGGTCCATTTACCAATCGGCCGAATATACCATCGCCCAAGGTCTCCGACGGCTCCACCAGAGTCTCTGTACAAAAAAGGTTTCTTGTCTTCCAGGATGTTGCCAATTGCTGCGCGTTTGCGAGGAGACATGCGGTGACTTCATTCTCATCCAGGAATTCGGCTATCATCCTAAGCCTACGGATGGTATCATCAAACGTATCCGTGCCACTGCATCTGAGGACCGCAACCATGTCTGTTTAATGCTTATGACGTTTCCAAAAGCACGTACCCGCCAAGCGCTCAGAGCGTATGCTTTTACCGACGTGCCGCATTCTCTATCGGTTTTTCTTAGCCAGCGTCGGCGCTGGACACTTGGAGCGACAGGGAACGATTTAATGTTATTTATTGAATCATCGATTCGGTTCAATCTATGGGAGCGAATTGTGGCATTTTGTAATTGTCTTACTTGGCTCCTTAATTTCTTCGTCATTGCCAGTTTGGCTTGTATGATCTACGCGTTTATGCGTAAGTACTTCCCCTTTGAGGCCCTCGAGTTCTGGATTGTGATATGAGGAGAATGCTGACAGACAACAATCGCAGACCAACCTTTCTGGGTTATTATGATCTTCGCTTCTATCATGATTATACCGCTTTGCTATTATGTGGGTTTGGCGGTGTGGTTGTGTAAGAATTCGCTCGAACGACGCCAATACCTTCTAGGGCTTGCTATTTTCACGACCTGCGGCCCTTTTATTAATATCTGTGTAACATTCTATGCCTGCATATATATGGATAATTTCGGTTGGGGTAAGACGCGCAAGGTCATCGCTGAGACTGGTGAAGCCGAAGAACCCAACTTTGAGGAACAGCAAGACCGATTCGAGGAGGCGCTTCACAACACTGAAAAGATTATTGGTACTTTGGTACCTGACGAGGAGAACCAGCTTGATCCTGAGGTCTACAGAACACCATTCACGGCGCCTACTGGCAGTAGACTCACTCTCGACACGAACACTAGCGAAAGTATACAGGTCCCTCCCCCCACCCATAACCCTCATCATACTATCGACACACGCGACTTCATCTAAGTCGGAACAAAAGTCATTATCATTACATAAGGAGTTTGGCTTAATAAAAGTTCTGGCGTCTACGAACCCAAAAATTTATTAGATGCCGCCCGTCTTTCCTTTTGCCTATTCTTTTTTATTCATACGCATAGGTCACAATAGACCCTGAGGTACGGAGATGGCGAGTCGGGGGAGGTATATATTGATGTAAAAAAAAGTTGGATATCGAAGAGAAAGAGTATGAATGCTAGGGATTCGCATTTTAAGGCGGATGGTTGCATGGTCGATCATTAACTAGATCGGGATGAAGCGTTGGCGAGGCCGCTTGGTACAGACATTTTTGGCATACCAATATTGGATTGATTTAGGTGGATTCATCTTAACGAATTGGTATAGTCACGACGTCTTCCGCGGCTTATGACCAAGCGAGGTTATATGGTATTATAAAAGTACATGTATAATGCTATGACTGAATGATCAAATATTATGACGTATATTATTGTCACTTTGACATCATTGCGCCCACCCTTTTAAAGGTCAATTCGTATACACAATTATTAGAGGGGGATATTACCCTTCTTAGTAGGCAAGCATCACCATTGCATTAATAGGTACAATTTTAGAAGTCGCTGCGTAGTCTATATATACAAATATAGCGAATACCGCCTTCCAAAGACAATACATATAGCGTGCAATCGCAACCCTTGGGGCCTTCATACATCGTTGGCGCCTTCGGGTATTAACTGTCTGGGTGCATATGCGGGTACAGTAATGATATGCTTACTTTTCTCGGGCAGAATAGGAGGACACCCATTGTCGCCAACTCCCACAACCATTCCAAGTATCCCTAATTCAAAATGAATAGGATATCGATATTTACATTCATCTTCTTCGTATGGACTGCGGCCTTTTGTAGCAGTGCCATCACGAGCCAAGGCCATCAGAGAGACTACCGTGATCTCGAAGGATATACGTCGCACAATCACAGTAGGCGATATGGCCATAAAAGACGACGCTCGTACGTTCTACAATACTCCCCCCCCCCAATTATATAAGCTTGCGAACTAACCCCACAAAGTAACGATGATAAACCTCACGGTGCATCTACCATCGACATGCCACGCCCACACGTCGGAGATGTACCGTACGGTGGTGAATCCACCATCTTCACATGTACAAACCCGGGACAGATCGCACTTACCTTCGACGACGGGCCATAGTACTGGACCGAGCAGATCTTAGACCACCTCGACAAGTACGACGCGCGGGCTACATTCTTCGTAACGGGGCATAATCTATTCCTCGACAGACGCATCGACGACGAAGACTCGCAATGGCCGGGCTTGCTTCGAGCCATACACGAAGCAGGACATCAACTCGGTTCACACACATGGACACATAAACACCTAGAGAATATCACGAGGGAAGATGTGTTCGACGAGATGATCTTCAACGAAATGGCCTTCCGAAACGTACTCAACCTCGTGCCGACATACATGCGTCCACCCTACGGTGCATGGCGGGACGAGAACGTGCAAAGCGATATGCAAGCTCTCGGGTACCATGTCGTGATGTACGATGTGGATACCAAGGACTACAAACACAACGACGCGGATGGGATCGAGGAATCGATTCGTGTTTTCGAAGATGCGATCGCGAGGAATGGCACGGGATCGTATATTACGCTTTCGCATGATATCCGACAGTGGACGGCGTTGAAATTGGTTCCGGCGATGTTGAAGACGATTACGGAGAGGGGGTATAAGGCGGTTACGTTGGGGGAGTGTTTGAATGATCCGTGGGTGAATTGGTACAGGTATCCTGACAATTGATGGGTTGGTGGCGGGTGGCGTTTGAGGGGTTGTTTATGAGTTACTTGACCTACAGTTATTGCTGTACATTACGCATCGCGCTGAGTATTGTTAAGAGTATCCTTCTCTTATTCGACTAGTAATATCCTAATGACAACTAATTTCGATGATTCGCTTCATCTTTCACTCTTGTGAATTCCTATGATAAACGTTGCTATGTACGGTGCCAGGTATCTCTCGATTGGATCTAGATCACGATCCCGGAGATCTCAAACAAAACTCCAGCTGTCGTGTTCCCCCAGCCTCTTCATTTTTCACCACTCGTTTGATAGATTTGACGCCTCGGCGGGTGGTCACCACCGTCCCCTTAATTTTCCCTCTCGCTCAAAAATTCTTTCAACGATAGACTAATAAGAAGCTATCTTTCAGCCGCAATTCTATAGCGTTTTACGTCTGAATGAAATGACAGAAGGTTATGGCAGGTGACGGTAAAACGAGACGATTTTTGCTGCAGGTAAGCTTCCGCTTTGACCCTCTGTTGGGCTTGAATATTCACTTTTGATTGGAGCGCGTATATCATGATCTACAGATGTACCTAGTATATCCCCTAGCTCTAGAAGACGTACCGGACTTACACTAATATTCACACTTCTGAGGAGAAATTTTCGTGTGCTATGAAGAAAGACAAGGTATAATAACGAAGATAATAAGCATGTGAATCGACCGGCCCGGAAAATCGAACCAGACGAAACCAAAAACGAATATAGTCACGGTAGAGGCTCTCTTTAGTCTGACTTAGTACATAATATTTGGTGTGTTAAGAAGCTTGGCCGGCTCTTGATCGGAGAGCCTCTCGAAGCTAACCAACAAGAATCGACCCCTGTCTTATGGCGGGTTCCTTTTTTATTTTCCCCTCGCTGACCCGACCCAAACTTTTCACCCAGTCCATTCTTTATGCGGAGGCTCCACGGGGTTTATTTGAGGGGGGATATTGGGGTGCGTTTTGCGCGCGTCATCTTCTTTTCCCCTCATATCTATCTTCCCCTTGCTTTCTCTTTGGTCTAGAATTAAAGGACGTACATGTACATAGTTCCTATGTATGTCACTATGTCACTAATCCTACCTAAACTTGCATATTTGGGGGATTTGGGGGGCAGCATACAGTGGGGTTACTATAGGTCGGGTTGGGTTAGATCTCAGACAAAGCCAAAGCCATCGAATTGTACCTTTTAGGTTGTTAGTCGAACTCTTCTTTATATTCTGCCCCATCCTAGTCCATGTCTTCTTTGTCTAGTCCATGCCATATTCAGGAAACTTCGGCTTGATGTCGGGTACGAGACATGGCGAGGGCCGGGTCTCGTGGCTTGTTCGTCAAGGTTATTGGCTCCATCGTGCCAGGTATGCTGTGGTGTAAGCCTAACTATATCAGGTACTAGGTTGGGTAATGCTTCTTCTTCCCCAAGGTTATTTCATTTGGTATATATCATGTAGATCACCCCCCTCTCCCGATTCGTCTTCTTGTGGCTTTCGGAAAACCTCTCACACCCCTTGGCGCTCATTCTCACCTACATGAGAGGATAAGGCTCTTTGCTTTTTGTGCTTGTGTATGCATGTTCTAGTGAGCGCTATCGAATTGGTTTTGTGTTGCCCCAAGAGCAAGGACGCAAGATGGAGAGACTTCCCGGTCTCAATGTCGCCAACTTCTTAGAGAAGCGAAAGCTTCTCATCGCGATAAATTGTATAGCGGCGTTGGTAAGTCTCGACAAAATGTCGCGTGCTTAATCGCGCAGGCCTTCTTTCTATACCATTTTCCGCGCGAATCTAACTTATGTTCACCGTAGTCCATCTTTTTCTTCGGTTATGATCAGGTATGTACTCATTTTAGTATCCAATTATGCCACGCGATTGACAATTGGTTAGGGCATGATGGGTGGCGTCAATAACGCCAAAGATTATATCGATCTCATGGGATTCGGTTACGTGGATCCAGTTACGGAGGAGCCCATCGTCACGGACAGCTTGCTCCAAGGCGGTATTGTCAGTGTTTACTATCTCGGAACATTATTTGGATGTCTAGGTGGCGGATGGGTCGGCGACAAGATTGGTAGAATTAAGACTATCGCATTAGGTGCGGTCTGGGCTATCGTGGGCGCCAGCTTGCAGTGCTCGGCTATGAACCACAATTGGATGATCTGCGCTCGTGCCGTCAATGGTATAGGCACAGGAATCCTAAATGCCATCGTTCCAGTATGGGCAACTGAAACAGCAGAACACACCTCAAGAGGCCAATTTATCGCCATTGAGTTCACTCTCAACATTTTTGGTGTCGTCGTCGCTTACTGGCTCGAATTTGGCTTGTCCTTCATCGACAATGGAAACTCGCCGATCCGATGGAGGTTCCCCATCGCATTCCAGATTATTCCTCTCCTCGTTCTTTTGGCGGCAGTTTGGTTCTTTCCAGAGTCTCCTCGGTGGCTCGTTAAGGCCGGGCGCACCGAGGAGGCTCGTTTCATCCTACATCGCCTAAGAGGATCGACCGGAGAAGACCTTCAAAGGGCCGAGTCCGAGTTGCACGATATCAGCAACATCGTTACGCTTGAATCTAAGGAGTCCAAGAAGAATTCGTATGTCCACATGCTTTTCGGTGTTGGCTCAGGTGAGCTACATACAGGACGTCGTGTGCAATTGGTCATCTGGCTTCAGATTATCCAAGAATGGGTTGGTATCGCAGGTGTTACCATCTATGCGCCAACTATTTTTCGGATCGCTGGATTCGACACGTTTAAGAGCCAGTGGATCAGCGGTCTGAACAATATCTTCTATATGTTTGCTACCCTCATCTGTGTCTTCACCTTGGATAAAATTGGCCGTCGATGGACTCTGTATTGGGGGGCTGTTGGTCAAGGTATTGCAATGTTCCTTGCCGGCGCGTTTTCGAAATTGGGACAAGATGCGACTGCGAATGGTGAAATCGGCAAGGCCAATTCGTACGGAGCAGCGGCAGCATCTTTCGTCTTTATCTTCACATCCGTTTTCGGTGCGACTTGGTTGACTGTCCCGTGGTTATACCCGGCTGAGATCTTCCCTTTGCAAGTGAGAGCTAAGGGTAACGCTTGGGGAGTTGTCGGTTGGAGTATCGGAAACGGGTGGCTGACACTACTGTGCCCTGTTATGTTCTCAAGTAAGTTGAACTCATCTTCCCCTTCATGTAGAAGCCGTCTAACCAAGTCGCTATAGACATCGGCTCCACAACTCTACACATTTTCGGCGCATGCAACATAATCGCGATTCCTATCGTTTGGGCATTTTACCCCGAGAGTAACCAGCGAACGTTAGAAGAAATGGATCTTCTATTTGCCGCACCAACTCCTTGGGTCTGGGATGCCGAGAAGACTTTTGCTCGCCTTAAAGAGGAGCAGCCGGATCTCATCCAGGCTGCCAAGAGGGGCGAACATGTTGACCCCGAGGCCGGTCTTCTAGTGCATCCCGCAAACTCCAAGCCAGGTGATGGCATCCACACGGAGAGTGAAGGACATGCCACTCCGTAAACGGACCATTACTGCAGAATACCAAAATCATCTCTTCTCGAATTAAATCATGTTAGAGTAGGAAACTGATTTTCGTCGCTACCTAGAGGTGTCTGGATTTCTAAAACACCAAAAAGAAAAAGAGAAAAGGAGGTGAAGAAGGAAATACGTATTTGATACCCTAAACTTGGACATGAATAGCCTGAAATAAAAATATTTCGCATACGTTTTGTTGTTTATATACGATAATACCCTAGCGTGGCATCGCTACCACATACATCAACGTTATTTGATCTTGATCAAATCATTTGCTGTGGAGTTAAGAATTGCAATCAGTCGGAGAAAAGACAACGAAGAGGCCGCCAAGGTCGAGGGGCTTGACGTTGAAACAATCTACCAGCAACGATCTACAGTAACCTATTGCCTTGTCTTATTTTTAGATATTGCCGCACGAAATACTCTCGTGCGGCAAAGGAAACAAGCTGAGACGAAATTGTAGTGTTGAAACACTCTTCTTCATTATCTTTTTCTTGGTATAACTTGGCATTATGTCTTATCCGCATCAAGCATCGCATCCTTCCCGTCCACAACTCCCGAGATTTCTTCTCGCCTCACCTTAATCCCCCAGCATTGAGTTGTTCGTTCGCCAAAGAAACAAGAAACTCCGCGCTCCGCCTTAATTACTCCGAACTCCACTCGCGCTCTCGCGATACCTAGGCTGGCGTTTCTAGAGCTGCGCAACAAACGTCCTAGCGCCAATAGCCACTGAGACAATATCGTCGTACAAGCCTTTTCTCTACTCCGGGTGCCGTATACCAAGGTCCAATGATCGTCGCAGCGCCATCTACTCCAATGTGGTCACAGTGGGGGTATCATTCTATAATGACAGGTTAATATCCGAGACACTATGACTAGAATATCTGAGACAACTTACTTTGAAGTTGAATGAGAATCGTTCAAAATCCACAGGCGTTTATTTAGAAGCAATTCCTTCGCCTTGAAGGGCCGCGGCACCCTCAGTAGCAGCCTCGCCCTCTGCACCATTGAACCCAATGGCACCATCACCGACTACCAAGGCAGGCGAATAAGCTCCCAGGTTGATGTTTAGCGGGGCAGCAACGGCGAGGGCTGCGAAAGTAGCAAATACGACGGCGAATGCGGACTTCATTTTGATTATTTTGTTTTTAGGGCGGGTGGTTTAGATGGTGAAGTCGGGATGTAGATCTCGAGATGGGATATTGCGGAACCGAGAGAAGACAGATGACCAGACCTGGATGTAGACAAAAAGATAATGATGCACCCGTGCACTTCTCTAGAAGAGACAAGAATTGTAGTAAGATATATGAAAGAACGTAAATTGGGATAAGGAGGACCGGCTACTAAAAGAAGAGGGGAAGAAGATCAAGATCGAGGAGGGACCATCACTTTTATTATGTTTCTCAGATCCCATCTTTGATGAACATATAAACGCACTGACTGGTCGAGACGCATTCCCACATCAGGGCATGTAGCCCAAAATAGGTAGTCTGGCATTTGCCACGGGATTTCGAGCAGCTTCCTGCTGTGAGGTCCGACTATCTGAATCTGCCAAGATGCGTTGCCAAGGGTCTCAGATCGGGCCAAGCCGTGGGATCGCTACATTAGCTGTCGCAACCCCACGAGCTAAATACACGCACAACGGTGTCTGAGAATGAGAAGAAACAACTCTAATCAACCAACTACAGTCCTTTCGATATAAAAATGGAAACACAATATCCACCTATTCATTCCCAACCCCGGCTTTCGCCCTAGTAGGTTACGACGACTGCCGTGCCGCTAATAGGGGAGTGTGCGTTTCGACCTTATCGAAGTCATCGAATCAGAGGAATTGAATCCTAATAGCTGCGAGAATGGACGAATAGCCACATGGTGGTCCGACAAGGCCAAGATGTTGCAGTGCGCGGGCGTAGATTCCGCCATTCTATCATAGCACACAAGGAGTGAAATATTTGCTAGCTCAACTTGCGGTTGAAACATCGCACTCGATGAGCGTCCTCGAGGACATCAGACGGGGGCCGGGGCAGACACAACAAAGAGCTAACCCGTGCCTAAATAACATCAAAATAGACGCGGCGCGATCTAGGCGGGAGATATGTATACTCGACGACGACGGCCTCGGCCAAGGCACGGAACGCGATTGAGTGCTATCGCCAAGCTGTATCATGAAGGGATGCTTGGCCGAACATCACACTGTCCAAAAATAGGTATGGCATACAAGATAGTCAAGCTATTTCAGCCTCCTACTTGGGATAGCACTCACCCGATGCTCCAGCCACATGGTGGGTGTGATGTACGGAGGGCACCTAATGAGGCTCTCCCCTAAGTCTACTATATCGAAGAGAGCTAGCGGCACCCTTAGTAGTGTATTCCCTCGGATTTGTGGGTTTACCTATCTACTTAGATGATAGGTATCTTGCCCTGGGACTGTGGTTAGACGGGGCAGACACACTTCATCAATCGAGTTAACTCGAGATGAGGTACGTCCGAACTCCCCACCACTCTTTTCTACGTTTATGTCATTTGCAAATCAGCCATTAATTATTCTTATAATCAGTTCGATCACATGTTTATAATGGCATATATCAATCTCCCCGACGCTTCCACTCACAAGCTGGACTACGTTTCTTTGCAGCGCCAATGGAGTCTGCTATTCGAGTTTCTACAAAAGGTGATGCTCCTTCGGTTGGGACGCTTGCGTGGCATTACCTAGGGTCGAATGTAACCCTGTCCCTAGCAGCTGAACTGCCTCATCGCGAACTTCAAAGGCTTCGATCATGTTCGAAATAACATAAATCTCTAACAACTAAGCTATAAATTCTGGAATTTGGCCGTAAAGCGGCGTTTCTTTATCAATATGCGCCTATTAAATACAAGCACCTACGAAGTTCATGAATTTTTAAGTGATGATGACAGTCGACGCTACGCCATCCTCTCTCATATGTGGGGCGACGATGAATGCACGCTACAACAAATGTCAACACCAGATGTGTCAACTCGAAAGGGGTATTCCAAAATCAAATATGGTTGTGAACAAGCCGTAAAGGATGGTTTGGAATGGGCCTGGGTGGATTCGTGGGTGTTGAGCGAGGGCGGGTTCACCAAAAAATGGACACTACAAGAATTAATTGCCCCAAAGGAAATGCACTTTTATTCTATGCATTGGAGATGCTTGGGATCGAAGCTCGACCTACAAGACCAGCTACAAGATATTACCAACATAGATTGAAGTGTTCTTTTAATCGGAATATTTGATGACATCTGCGTGGTGAAAAGGATGTCCTGGGCAGCGAAGCGACAAACAACATGAACAGAAGATTGGGCGTATTCTCTCCTTGGTATATTCGATGTCAATATGCCGCTGCTTTATGGGGAAGGTAAGAAGGCTTTCCTCCGCTTACAGGAAGAGATTATGAAAACTTCAGACGACCAGACTCTTTTCGCCTGGGGTTTGCCGCAGGAGTTTGAGCCTGCATCTTTAGACAATCGACAGCTCCGGTATACCTCACAGCTGCGGGGCTTGCTTGCGGAGTCGCCCTTGGAGTTTATGACATCGCATGATATTAGGCCCTTGTCAAGCCCCCAGTTCGTTATGCCTCCCATCATATTCAGTAATGGGGTACGAATCGAGTTGCCTGCATGGTCAAAGATGCCTTATGCACTTGCCGTAATAGCTTGTTATGTACACGGCTGGAGTACAGAATATCTCGGTATTCCTTTGCTTTACTGGAGAGACAAATTTACCGCCCGATGTGGCCCTCCGGTCCTAATACCCAACACCCCTGGGCAATCTTGGTCGACACCACAGATGAAAACGTTTTCAGTGAAGGCACCTAGCTTGAATCTAGGTCATACGCTACCTCCCCCAAGTAGTTTCACTCTTGTGAGGTCGGCGCCGTGGGAACAATACGATTACTTCGGAATTGATGAGGTTTATTGTCTACGCGACGCCTTTTATTTTCCTGCCACCCAAAAAATCAGTTTCCGAACTAGCCATAAGGGTCCTCTCGCGGTCGTGTTCTTCAGTCCAGGTCTTGAGCCTGAGGAAATCCAGCGCCAGCGAATAGAGAACCTCAAAGCTAGGTTTTCTAGGTACGGCTCTAGATTCAAAATCAGCGATGGGTACGCGATCTCATTCGCCATCGTCTTAGGTCTTGATGCTGAGCATTGGGCGGCTTTTGTACCGATCCTAGATGAAGACAACCCTAGTAAGGAGTTTCATCATCTGCTTAAAGACCAAGGGGAATTGGCAAAACATTGCATGACGAAGCACCAGTTGAAAGATCTTTTGAATGGTAGAGAGGATGCGAAATTATTCCTACAAAGCAGAAGCAACCATCTTGACCAGACGCTTTATAGTTATGAAAATACATGGCGTAGTTACGGAACATGGCCTAATGGGGGCGGCAAAGAGCTAGAATTAGGGGTAGTAAACCTGTGCACCAGACTTCGGATAGGTCTCGTCGACATGTTCGAAAATACCGTCTTTGTTTCTATTCAAATTGCCCCTCGTATAGTCAGCAGCTCGGTACCACCTGATGTCGACAGCAAGGATTTCAAAATCGCTGAACATATGAAGGTAGACCACGCAAATTTTATGCCGGACTGGTGGGAGATCGGTAGATTACAATGGTTCCAGGAATTCTAGGGATAAGAATACCTAGGCAAGGGTAAACTAACACCATGGCGATACGTGGGATGTAAGCTTCAATCCGTTGAATCATCTTAATAAGAGACAGAGGTTATCGCTGCGTAATAGGTGATATGCGGATATGAAAAAACCAGAGCCCATATACCTACAACATGTAAGGATGGTAAAAGTTAACACTGAAGGAGAGAGAGAGAGAGAGGCCACAGCTAGCTATCTTGTGATTGATTAGCCACACCTCCGCGCATATCTAATGAATTCTTTATAAAACCAATTAATCATTACTAAAATGACATAAAAATATTAATAATTATTATAGCCAAATATAATTTATTTTATATAATTTATTAATATCAATTATATCATTAAGAAATATCGTGGGAAAGAACACAAAAGCAAAAAGTCGAGAACTGTAGGGCAATTCTGAGGATATGATTGGCTCCTGAAATGTGGCAGTGGTTTGTTAAATAAAGAAGAGTTGATTACTGGCAAAAATGCTAATTAAAGCACTGTACCCGTTAGGGCATAGGTGAACTTTGGTGGAATCTGTGTTAGTAGGTGATTAGATGCATATCTATATTGTGGTGTGGTAGGTTCACCTTTTTGGGGCGTTGTGTGGTCGAGCGAAGCTACGAATCACTGGCCGAGTTTTACTGTAGGGTTGCCTTTAATGGAACCCTACGTAACAACGCAGATCCCGAAACAGCAAAACCGATCTTACCAGGTAAGATGGTAATTTCAGGCATGTTTGCATATCTAGGTAGGTTCCTGACGCTCACCCTATAAGCCCCATTTGACGGACCGTTCCATCAGCCTCGAATTTCATAGCACTCTTGCAACATGGCCATATCAAACCAGAGCCGTAATAACTTAAAGCGCAACAGCTCTTCGAGTTATAAAAGCAGCGCCATGTCGCGCTGGAAATATCCAATACCTTACGAGGTGCCTTCAATTAGCATATTGTCGGAACCTCGCGCATAACTCTTTGAGATCAAAAAGACATCATGGAGTCCATGGTTCTATCCGACACACACCAGAAGACTAGACTGCTTTTCGACATCTGCGGTATCAATGATACTACTCCTACTCCACCAATACGGATTGAGTCCCGCAATATGACCCGAACCCCTAACGGAAATATCTTCCCCGTTAAAAGGGTACGCCTACCGTGCCAAGTATTACCTGGCGGGTATACACCCGCGGCCTTTGTTTTCAATCTGTCGTCTCAATTCGATAGCGTTGAGACCGTGCTAGGTAAGCACCCTCGGGACGTTAGCCTAAGCGTTGACATTGAAAATGGTGGGATTCTCAGCGGTATGTATCTCGATTCTTCGTTATACTTAGGCCTTGCTGACTTTCTGAAGGAGTTGTTATGGTGGAGTCGCGATACGTAGACTCCAATGGTAATCTTTGGATAGGCCATGGATCAGCCACTGTCATCGATGAGCACCACGTTGTGACCACTGCTCATAACGTCTGGGACGACAATTTAGGCCTTGCTAGATCTATCAAGATTTCTCGGGACCACCGTGTAGACCCCGACGACCGCTATGTGGATTATGGTGCCGTTCATTACCAGTGGGCACACGATCTCTCAAAGCGGAACGACTTCGCCGTTCTTCGCGTTTCAGAGCCTTTCCACGATGGGATCCGACCCTTGGGATATATGAAGACGCCATTCGACGTAGGCGCCATGGATTTTACTGTCTATGGGTTTCCTTGCGATATGCCCAAGGATGAGGACGGCGAGCAGCTATACCAACTTTGCTTTAGTCACAGTTCGTTCCGGGACGAACCTTGGAACCGCAATCTCATCTACCATGATGGAGACACATATTATGGTATGTGCAACTAAGACTTATGAGAGCTAAGTGAGGCAATGACGCCAGTCTGTGGAATATTTTCTTTGTCATCGCTCTCCGTTTCCTAAGCTGACATTACTGGTATGCCGAAGGTAACTCTGGCGGCCCTGTTGTTGGCCCTGACGGGAAGATGCTTGCTGTGCACAGGGGGTATCGTAATCTGTCTCCTACTGGAAAAATAAACGTGGCAGTTGCTATCAACCATCACGGGAATGATATCGAGAAGTTCATTCAAGCTCTACGTGCTAGGGCCGGGATGGCCCTATCGCGAGACTTTCTACTCATTCAAGGAGACGCATTAGTTGATTATCCCAATGCCGCCTGCTTTGGTTGGGAACAGAGCCAAACACTATAGTATCGACGACTGGGTCAATTAACACGTGAGTCTGACGAACGAAATTCATGCTAGAGCGCTTGGAGTTTGGAATGAGACATAGGGAAAATGCTTGGTGCAATGGGCGATATTATGGGATTGATTATTAGTTTATAGGCATACGGTATAGGCAATGAAATTTACGTTACGGGCCTTCACAACGGAATTATTTGAATAGAACTCTACCGCCTTGGCTATTCAAACAATGACTTTACCTAGAATCCCTCCCGTTGAGCATTTTCTGCCCATATCTCTAAAATGGGCTTGATATCATCGCAGCTCATTTAAAGCCCGGCATATCCTTCAAATAGCTCTCCAAACCCTGGAGCTCAATCCCACGTTGCGCATTAATCGTCTTCTCCATATCCCACGCGACACCCCGTCCCGCCGCCCACACACTCGCATACTTAATCATTCCATCACCAGGCTTCTCCCTCAGCTTCCCACTCAGTGTCTCCTCATCCCACAGCTCCTTCGTCCACTGGCCTCCAAATCTCTTCTCCACCAACCCCGCCACCTTCTCGTACGTCACTGTGTCACCGGCGATATACACTACTTGATGCGATACATCCCCCGGCTCATACGCAATTTCCGCGGCCATTCTTCCGATATCCTTAGACGTGGTCAATGATAGCTCCGCATCCCACTTTCCTAGAGCGCGTAGTGTGCGCGCCTTTAAATCCACGACCCCAAACTCAGGCAAGAATAAGAAACTCATAAATAACCCAGTCGACACGATAACCCAACCGGTTTTACTTTGCCCTCGGAGCAATGCGCGAACTCGTAATTGTTCATCGAATAAATCTTGCGCGCTCCCCGTACCGACGACATCGTAATCAATACCCCATTGCCAGGGAATATAGCGCTGCACACCCGCTTCTAAGATAGCTTGTGTGATTTTAATTTGAGTTCCTGCCGGTAGACCAAAGCCCGAGCAAGAGATTATGGTATGGTATCGAGCGAACACTTCAGCGAGTTGTGAGATGGAGTCGTTGGCTAAATCCCCAGGTACCAATTCGGCGCCTAGTGATTGTATGCGCTCATTTTGCGCTTTTTTAGCTGAGTCCTGCGTTGCGATAGTGGACTGTCGTAGAAGCACAGCTAGTTTTCCGCCGGTTCGTTTAGGATGTGCGGAGAGTGCTTCTAGGACAGCTGTGCCGAGCTCGCCGGCACCAAGGATGAGAATAGAAGGAGAACCACTCATGATGGGAATTCGATTTATGATAGTGCTTCTCATGCGTAGAACTTCGATAATTTGGTTGATCAGTACAAGTACAGCGAAAGTTGTCGCTTTTTTATAGCTTTGAAGAAACCTACTAGAAAACATATGCGGGTCGAACCTCTATAGTCTCCTAGCCAAGCTCCCTAAACGTAGGTACCACCTATAGAAGCAAGGAAGCACCAATTATGATGGTATAAACGGATGATCTTTTGCGCTTGATTGGTAATACTTGTAGACTGTCTGCGAGGAGTTAGGTGAAGTCTTGTTAGAATTAAGGAGATAACCAAAATTAGATAGCCTACTTGCCTAACGCCGAAATTGGCACCTTGGCAATCGTAATAGAGTCGAAGGTTAAGAAGTTATCGTCGCGGTTAAGTCTAATAAAGTTCAAGCCGACGTCCGAATGATGCGGGGGCCGGACCCGTCTAGGTATGTGCGACCTTCACCGAATATTTTTTGAAGTAGGGCAAGTACCTACAAACAAGACAATTGATAGAACGATCGCATTTACATGGGCAAGTAGTTTCAAAAAGAAACCACACTAGAAATAAAAGGTATAATATTAATCATCAAATATGAGGGAAAACAATGCCTATATCTAACGATACCCGCTAGCAAATCTACTTGTCCTTTTAAGCCAAAGCCGAGAAACTAGCGGAAAGACACCATTATATGTAAAGTAACACTCATTCATACAATCTGATCAATCCAACACTTTTTGATAATAGAGCACACGTTCCAGTTTACAATGCCATTGGGTCCCTTCGACGATGGCTTGTCGTTCTGATTGTCACCTTAATCCAAGACTCGTCCTGCAAGGCCGGCGCCACTCCTGTCCTTGGTTTGTGTCTTCTTCAACGGCTTGCCCATACGAACTTCGCTCAAGAATCCAGATGGCCTTCCACCACTGGATGGAGTGCTCGGTAAGCCACCCGCTGGTGGAGGAGGCGGAGGAGGGGGAGCTAAGCCCGGAATTGGCGGTGGGGGAGGGGGAGGAGCACCGGGACCGGGAGGCGGCGGGGGAGCACCTGAAGTAGCTTCTGGCATAGGTGGGGGTGGTGGGGGTGCAACGGGCGACAGCGTATCTCCACCAGACGACCCGCCAATCGGAGGCGGGCTAAACGGCGGGGACGCTATAGATGGCGAGGCGCCCGTAGACTTATCGCCCGTGGCTGAAAGTGGTCGAGGAGGACCCATGGAACCGAAGAGAAGTGATGCTAATTGAGCAGCCCCAGCGGCAGGGCGTTCATCTTCCGAGTCTTCATCATCTTCCTCGTTTCCGGAACCCCATTCATCATCCGTGTCAGGTCGCTTTCGAGACGGCGGCGGTGCTGCCTTCGCTTCCTGAGTTATACGGAAGAAGGGATTTGTTGAGACTTCTGGCTGGGGCGGGGGCGGCGGGGGGGGAGCAGGAGTAGTGGCGACCGGGGCGGGAGCTGGGGGTGCTGATGGGGACTCGGACGACTGAGATAGCATTCGGCGGTAAGGGTTGCGGCTCTCCGTTTCAGATGGAGGGCTAGTCACTGAAGGGGGAGATAGTACGGGCGGAGCAGGAGCGGGAGGTGGTGTAGCTTTACGCTCCAATTCCTGGCTGCCCAACTGGCTGCTACCGAGAGTGGGGGTAGATGCTTGAGGAGTAATCTGTTGCGGACCTTCGTCGTCGTCGGAAGACGAATCCTCTTCTTCCATCGCTGCAAGTTGTCGCTGAAGCTCGAGTTCTCGTTGGCGAGCGGCTTCGATCTCGGCACGTTGAGCAGCCAATTTAGCTTCTTTCTCCTTTGCTTCAGCCGTTGCAGCCTTCTTTCTCTTCTTTTCTTCCTCTTTCTTGAGTTTGCCTTGACGGACTTGCTCTTCTAGAGCCTTGAGGCGAGCAGAAGCAGCTTCTCGCTCCTTTGCAAGCTCGTCTTCCTTTTGTCTAGCCTCATCCCTGTTCCAAGTTAGTTGAAATGTACTAGTCATGGTGAGATGTTCACTTACTCTAATTGTTGGGTGGCCCGTTGTTGCTCTTCATGTTCTCTAGCTAGACGTTCCTCCTCGGCTTTTCTGGCTGTTTCTTCCTGAGCTCTCCTAGAAGACTCTCCTTCCTCGGCCTTCCTCGCAGCGTCTTCGTTCTTCGCACCTTTCCTTGCGGGAGGCGGGGGTGGCCTCTTGGTTTCCTTGGGTTCCGGTTTGGTCACGGGAGGAGGCACACCTTGCTCTTCAGCGATTCTAGCTTGTCGCTCGGCTTCACGTCGCGCATCCTCCTCTTCTGCTTGTCGAAGCTTCGCGGCCTTTTCTGCTCTCTCGCGCTCCATTCGCTGGGCGGGAGATTCTCCGGGTTTTGAAGCCGACTTAATGCCAAGAGCAGCAAGCCTTTCGGCCATGCGCTGCTCTGCCTGTTGCTTAATGAATGCGGCTCTTTCTTCGGGAGTTTTATAAGATGAATAAGACCCGCCGCTGGGCGCGGGCGAGCGAGAAATTGGAGGGGTGGCGGTGCGAGTTGTTGAAGAGGGACTGTCCAATCGAGCTGGTGGTACTTCGGCTCTGACGGGTTCTGCAGTAGCAGCTCGTCCACCCTTGCGGTCCTGGGCTCTAACTCGGGCCGCTCGGCTGGAACGCTGCAAGTCAAAAATGAAATCTCGGACCTCATCTTCGACACCTAGAGCATCTTCCCATCGCCTTTTCTCATGCTCATTAGCAGAAGTTTGTCCACCTTCCTTGAGGTTATCTTCGATGCCTCGTGAGAATTCTCGGACGCTGTCTTCTACGTCTCGGACCATACGCTCGTTGTTTTCTTTTTCTGTCCGGATTTTGAGATTTTCCTCTTCCAACCGCTTTTGTGCGTCCCCGTCGTCGTCGCCGAGATCTATTTTCTTACCAGTGAGGGCTGCAGTCCTCTGCTGCATCATAGCTTTGGCTCTAGCCTTGAGGCGGTCTGACTCAGTGATCGAGCCGCCTGGTCCAGTGCCAATGATGTTAGAGGCACTTCCGGGATGAGCTTTCGCATCTCTGAGTCGGAAAAGTTCGAGCTTGGCATCGGCAATTGCCTTTTCAGTCTTCCTGACTTGGGAGGCTAATTCGGGAATTTTGTCAGTGAGGTTTTGTAGTTGGCGCTTAAGAGCTCTTCTTTCGGCATCGGAATCACCGCTAACTAGAGCCGCATCGGGATGGGCATCAATGTCATCTTGTATACGTCTAATGCGGCGATACAGTTCTTCAGCCTCGCGACGATCGCGCCTATCAAGAATGTCATCTTCCTCAGCAGCAGCTTCATCCTTGAAGTCCATAGCATCAAGGAGTACTTGTTTCTCCCGAATCTTCTTCCTTAATTGGTCGAGGGATATCTCATCATTAGATGTTACGGATGAAGGTGACTCGGGACGAGGTGAGGAATTGCCAATTCTGCGTCGTGCACTCGACCTGTACCCGACATCATCGTCGTTGTTCTTAAATACGGTCGCGTCTTTCCGCCCGCCGGCGGTGCCCTTGAAGGAATGACTCTTTAGGTAGCTAACACCAGTCTTCTGGGGGAGTAAAGAGGCTCCTGACGTCTTGCGGAAATCGGACTCTTGATTCAACATCGACTTAATGGTGCCCAGTGATTCAGTAAAGTTGCGCGTCGAAGGGGGGACAAGTTCAGGAGGCAAAACATTAGGAACAGGATAGCCATTCAACTTCCTGTAGATGAGATGCATGGCCACAGCAAACTCATCAAGATTGAGTTTACCCTTGTTGCCATTGTCTGCGAGCGTCCAAATTCGTTCTAAATCAGGTTTCTCGAGACCGCTCTGTCCGAAAATTTCGATCGCCTGGTCACCACCGATGAAACCCTTGCCCAAGCCATCCCATGCCCGGAACAATTGATCGTACCGTGTCTTCTCGTCCTTGGTGATGGCCCAAGGAATTACCGCATTTCCAGATAGACCGGCAGTGGTATAATCCTGCTGCTCTCGACCTGCCTGAGGCATCATTCGAGCTTGTAGTGCGTCGATATTGGGAAGCCCAGACGCGGGTGCGTTGACAAGCCCCCATTGACCGGGCCTTCCGGTCGGCTGCGCGTTAAGAGGAGCCGCGCTCGCGGGGGAAAGACCACCAGGGAAACCTGTAGGGATCGGTGGGATCGGTGGTCTGGGTCCATTATATCCAGTCGCTTGTGGGTTGTTTAACCCTCCTGGGAACCCAGTCGCTTGAGGCTGTAACCCTTGGAAACCGGTCGGCTGGCTCGGGAATCCTGTCATCTGCGTTTGAAGAAGCTGGGAGTTGGACGCGATAGGCTGAGGATGTTGTATCGTCGGTGGGGTCGCAGTGTTCTGTCTAGTGAAATCGGGGGCATTGGTCGCAGCCGTGGGGTTGCCCGCTTCCTCTACTATACTGAAATTGATTATATCAACCATACTTGAGACTTCATTCTTAATATTTTCTGGCAGACTTCCAGGGAGAGTCTTTCCCACAAGTTTCAAGTTGCAGAGGTACATAGCCAACGCGAATTCTGGGAAGTGAAGTTCACCCGATCGTGTGGTGTCCGCGAGAGTCCTGTAGGGTGTTAGGTAGCTATCCAGAGAAAAACAGCATCGCATTACTATACCAAATGTGAGACAAAGCATCTCCGTCTAATCTGGATCTCAATAATAAATCTCGAGCCTTCTCCCCAGACATCGTTGTCTGACCATCACCTACGGCTGACGTGAATAGTGTCTCGAATTTGGCTTGGTCTTGAGCCGTGATAAACGATAGTCTGATATTCGGGATTTTATTTGCAGCCTTCTGGATTCTTCGACCCTTCTGTTGCGTATCGGAGGCACCACCCGTTTTAAAAGAAGCAGCCATCGCACTAAATCCTGTAGGTTGAGGCTTGATCGCAGAAGCAGGCGCGGTCGCTTGAGGAGGAGCTTGCGTCGAAGGCGAGGAGAACGAGTTCTGCGGCTGTTGCTGCTGCTGCTGCTGGGTGAACTGGCTCTGGAATTGCGAAGGTATTTGTGGCACTGGTGGAGCGCCTGTTTGGAAGCTTTGTTGTTGAGCTTGGCCGGGATAACCGGTGTATTGAGGCTGTTGAAGGTTCACAACTAAGGGGGATTGTTGTTGTGGCATTCCCGTTTGCTGTGGTTGTAAGCCTTGGGCACCAGGGAAACCGGTGTATTGCTGAGTTAAGGGAGCCTGCCCATATCCTGTCGGCTGCGGTGCGAATGGGCTCGGTTGCTGGCCTGGCTGCTGTTGAGGCTGCTGCTGACCTGGACCACCAGCCCCCATGCCGTACGAGTTACCATACTGCTGAGGACCTGGGCGCAGTGTGTTGCCGCCCATAAAGGAATTGGAATTGGAATACATGATGAAAAAGAGACCTTTCCGAATCTAGAATGAACTCGCTATAATGAGAGACGAAAGAAAGGTCCAAAGGACCCGAGCAAAGCTCCTCGATGAGAACGTTGAGAAGGCAAGAAAGTGTTGTAGTAGATGACGAAGCAGCTCACAAATGGAACTTGGAAATCAAGAGGAACAAGGAGTGGCTTGGCATTAATTTGGCGTAAGGGCTTTTGGACCAATGAGAAACGTGTCCGAGCGCCCCCGAACTATCCCGATAAGGGGGTTTAAGGAAGTTTAGGGGAGTTTGGGGAGTTGAACGTTTAAAAAAGTGTGTACCTATCTAAATGCACAGGCCACCTATCAACGGCTAGCAAACTCAATTGGTTAACATGAGTTGCTCACAGTGGGCTAATCGCTGCGCCTCACGTGCTTATGTGCATAACACGCCTCCATTATTCGCCATCAATCACCAACATTAGCCGTGTCAGCTATCTAACCTAATCATACTTCATTGGTGCACGTATGTCTTATACGAGGTATAGATGTATCAGCTATGCTACACAAGCACGAGGTTGATTCGGTATTCTGTGATCAAACTTTGTTCATAGGAGGAAGGTGCATGTCCATCTACTATTCATATGAAGTGGATGTCCTGCCTTTCCATGTTCACTACCTCTGCTTCCTATACTCATTTGTCTTTTCTCCCGCCCCTCCATTACTCGAAATTAATGTCTATAATTCTCCGCGTACATCTACCTAAAACTATCCCTTCTTACTCATCGCAACATGGCAGCATCGAAATGCCTGGAAGGATCAGAGACCTAGTCTCTTCCCGCTCCTAACTCGTCTGCTTGTAGCACCTTACGAATGCATCGTGGCGCTCTACTGGACAGTCGAGGTAGGGAACTGGTCGGCGTTTTTCTTCGTCCATGCTTTGAAGTCGACCTTGGACTGAGCCTCCTCCAGTGCTCCGGTTAGGGCGAACTGTGTTGGGATACCCTCAACACGGTGAGTGCAGTTGAGGTTCTTGACTAAGGTGATTTGGAAGCAGGTAGCGGTACCCTGTCGCGAAGCGATAGTAGCAGAAGCGAGGAAGTATTCCCAAACCTGTGTCATTTTCATCAGCAATCAAATGTATAGACCCTTTGCACGTTTATCGATAGACTTACTCGGAACCATCGCTTTCCATATTTAGCCTCGACCTTCTCGCGGTTGGCCAGCCAGTTCCTATACCACCGCCACAAAGTCGCAGAATAGTGTACACCAACCGTGTCCAGTCCCTTCACTTCGAATCCGGCTCCTTCGAGTCCAGCAACGACGAAGTCGAGGGGAGCCGACGCATCAGCACCAGGGAAGACATATTTGTTCATGAACAAACCCCAGATAAGATCCTCATACTGCCAAGATTTTCGGAAACCCGCAATCTGTAGGAAGAAAATTCCATCATCATCAAGCATATCGTAGACCTGCTTCAAGAACGACCCGAACTTCCGCACACCGACGTGCTCTGCCATCTCAAGACAAGTGACTTTCTTGTATTTACCTTCGGGCACCGGGATATCGCGGTAATCCATGCAGAGAATTTTGCTTTGTTCCTCGGGAATACCGGCGTTGCGCAGGGCCTTATTGCCCCAGGCAGTTTGGTTGCGGCCAAGGGTGATACCAGTAACGTGAGCGCCGTAGTTGACACTAGCGAATCGGGCTAGAGTACCCCAACCGCTGCCAATATCTAGTAGCGACTCGCCCTTCTTCAACTCAGCCTTTTCGCAAACGATGGCCATCTTGTTGTCCTGGAGTTGTTCGAGGCTCTCTTCAGTGTCGATATCTGAGATAACACCGGAGGTATAGACCATACGAGGACCCAAGAACCAGCCGTAGAAGTCATCACCACGGTCGTAGTGGTCACGAACCTGCTCCTCATCTTAAAAAGTTTAGCTGGGGCATTTGGGATTGAATACTGTGATGACTTACCTTGACTTCGCGAGTGCATGATGACCTCGGGCATCATGCCGAAGAGGAAGTACTTGCAGAGACCCCAGGTAAAACGAAAGCTTGCCCAGTCATGCCTATACTCTAGGACCTCGAGACAATCGCCGTTGAAATCGACATCTCCATCAAAGTACATTTCATAGAAAGTTTCCATAGGAATCTTGCTCCTGCCATGGTACTTGAGCTTGTCGGCTTGCTTCTTAAAGGTAATATAGTGCTCGACCGGTCGCCCGGGGTATTTGACCTTCTCGTTCCTTCTCGGACTTATGGAAGAGATGGTAAGCCAGTAGCCAGCGAGAATGGGAATGCTCGTAAACAAGGCGAAGAATATGGTAGTCTTCAGACCACCGCCGACTTTCCATGATAGGTACAACGGAACACCACCAATTAAGGAAAAGAGAAGGGTGTTGGAGAAGGTATCCGATCCTGGCCCATCAGCGGGAAGAGGGCCATTTTTGATGGACGGGTACTAGATAACGAAGGTTAGTTTGAGCATTGAATATTTTTGAAGCAAGTTTGCAATTGAATTGAACTAGATTAGACCCGAGGATGCCGACGCGATAGAGGCGAAACAACGGGATAGAAGAGAAAATAACGTACCGAGGTGGTTCGCACACCACATTCCTCAAACTTCTCAAATGTAGGAGTGGGAGCTTTCGGAGTTTCGATAAATTCGAACTCGGACTCGCTCCCGTTGATACTATGAGGTTTCGACATAATTTGAAGCTGCAAAGCCGATGGGCGTTTGACAGACTTTGTAAATAAAGAAAAACCTCTCAGTCTCTCACCAGAACTTGATATTTGTCCTGTGAGATGTTGTTGGTGAGGAAGGAATTTGTGGGAAAAAACCGACGAAGTAGTTTGATTCGTCTTGCCCTTGAAGGGGGGGTTGTACGGTACTTGATGAAAGTTTCCCGTTTCCCGTTTCCCACTTTCCACAGACCGCCCTCTTTCCTCCTACCGGCTTCTTTAAATTCGTTAACCCTTTTTCTTTTCGAATTGGCCTCTCTGATTGGCTCGGACACCTCAAGCTAGGGGCCACACCTGCAGTTCCGTCGTAATCACAGTGGGGTTTGACAACCGCTAGCGCGAAAGCTTCAGTATTAGGTTCCAACGGTGAGGGACCCCCCACCTTACGTAGCTGCGTAGCTCCTCCGAACGGGGACGTACCCCTTTAAATATTGTATTTAACCCTAAGTTTGTTGACCCCTATGTTCTAAATGCCTGCGTGTCAACTCCAGCTTACCTATGATGATTTTTTTTAATATTTTTTTTATCTTTTTCTAATGACGGAATTGGCTACGAGCAAATGTCAATGGATATCCTAGCGTCTATATATTTACATATATGTAACTATCTATCTATAAGGGGGGAAGACAAATACTCAGACGCTATATCCACATCTTAAATAGAACCATCTTGGCGCGAGCGCCATGTAAATTGATCAAGTAGGTCGATATCTCCCTGCAGATCAAGTTTTAACATTTAGAAGACTGTGCCCAAGACTTGGGTATAGTTATTAGTCAAAGCGTTAATAATAATGCCACGTATTCCAAGACCATGATCTAAAGACAAAAACGTCTGACCCAATCCTACCATATCTTACTAGCGAGGACGACTCTTATGGTAAGTAATTGATGATATAGGTTCCTAATTTATGCATCGGGAATGTCAGTAGTTTACCCTCAATAGAATAATAGAGGAACATAGGAAGTCGCGGAGCCGATAGATACGAAGCACGGGACTGTCTGATAACATAATGGGCGACCTCCCAAGCTCCAGTGGATGAGCACCACAAGAACGGGCAGGATAATACCGGGACCAAATACTCCTCCATTGGGGCTGTGTGGGCGCAAGCTGACGCCACGATGGGCGTCATAATAGAAGTATTGGTCCCATCAGAAGCAGGGGACCGATTACGAGAGTGTCGAACTAGATTTTACACGAGTCGTTCAGGTTAGGCGTTATATCGTAGCGATATCGTTTCAGGATAGCTGGCTATGTCAATGATTAGCTACTGTTAATGATATAAAATTTTGGTGTATTTTCTAGTTGTATTTAGTATCAGTTCGGCAGTGCGTAATAACCACCTGTTTTCTGGTAATACTTCTAACAACGTTACGTTAGCACTACTTCAGATTACTCCTATTTTATGGATTATTGACGATGTACCTTTGCCCTTGGCCCTTGAGTTATCTAAGAAAGATAACTTACTCGGTTTGAGACCAGGTATCCGATAAGGTATATAGGCCGAAGGTGAGTGAAGAGATATTGACTGAGTAGCCATCATTGACGAGGTGCACTCCCTGTTGAGGGTATTTGGACCAGAAATAGTGCTGATACCTTTCGCCTGTTCGGTGTGCACCACCTGGATACTGGTATCAACAGTATCAGGTACGAAGATATGAATCGTCCCTTTACGCAGTAGGAGCGGACGTTTCGTTATGGGGAACCTGAAGGGCGGTAGCTTTTCTGTTGGCTGAAGCCGAATGGGTATCCGCTATAATTTCTACTCTAACGTCTAGAGCTTCGCTCACCATGTCTGTGGCCGTGACTCTGGCTGGTTCGGTCCCGTTCACGATGGCTATGACTGTGACTATAATCTCGTCGGTCACGATCCCGCTCGCGTTCGGACTTGTAGCTATCGCCATGGCGCTCCTCGCGATCTCGCCTCTCTTTTTCCTTATCCCTTCGGTATTCGTCTAAGCGTGGCCTTCGCTCACGATGTCCATGTTTGCGGGCCAATTCTCCTTTCTTAATTTCCTCGTCTTCCTTTGAACCTAGACCCATCAAGTTAGGTCGCCTCTTGACTTCCTTAGGCTTAGAACCTCGTTCTTCGCCATTCCAACCCATGCCACGAAGCATAGCCGCCCCAAATTCGCCTTCAGGTATCCGATCATATTCCTCTAGTGTAGATACTTCCCCTGCCTCTTCCATTCTGCGACGATACATATCTTGTTCTGAAGGGGTTGTAGGCGTATTACGTTTCGATTTATCTTCGATGACAAGATCCTTTGCGGATTTCCGCTTTTTGCCAAGAAGAGCACCCATGGCATCCTCCTCACCTTTAGAAGCTTCGGGCTCAGTGTCTCGCGGCATTATCGTAGAGTCGATTGCGGTAGACGGTTTCTCTTTGGGTGAAGACTCGTCGGGTTCAACCTTCTTCGTCACGTTTAAGCCCCATTTGATTTCTTTGTCTTCGTCAGTTGGCTCCGTCTCTGCATATGTTTGAATTGGCCGACCATCTTTTGTAGCCTTCTGCGCTTTTAATTCCGCCTTCCAGTCGCGATTCTTGTGCCCGCTAATCACATAGGGCGTGTTCGTACGCCCAGACTTATCTGTTTTTACATTCCGTCTTTTCGCATCTGACTTGGGTGAATCTCCTCCAAAAGTTGTTACCGCTTCATGCCTAGAGCCCGCCTCTCCATCACTCTCGGAATCAGAACCGTGGTTTAAGACTTGTGGTCGCTGACGTTTGCCTAATGTTGACGATGGCTGTGGATGCGTTTGTTTCTTTACACTGTTGGTCGATTTCGAAGAAGAGGACGTGCCGAATCTAATGGCTATTCGCGGAGCTGGTTCAGTCATGTTTTTTTATCTTTCGGCGTCAAGACTAGGAGAGGCGGTTGCTCGATGCTGATGTGTAGAATAAGGTATTTGATTGTTGAGTGGCGCAAGTTGTTGGGTTGAAGAAAGTAAAAGAGCAGCTGTAATACATGAAGCAGGAATGTGCTGATTGACTGGAACATTGAAGATACCCAGGTACATGTACATATGTATTACTGTGGCTTATGTACACTTCAATGTTGCATGGGAATTGTGGCTGACATCCAACTTTATGAATTCCACTTTATGTACCTAGGTATCTCATATTGCCAGTACATAATCACTTCGTACAAACATCTGAACTTTTACCATTTTTTCTTGATATGTTGTTAAAACCACTACGGAATCGACTATCTAAGCAAACTGAAATCATCTAAATAATCCAAATGGGGGGTTTTTTTTTGGTTTGGATCAAGTCCATACACAAATGGAAATAAATGTACATGCGTGTACCTATGTACCCTGATTGTGGGAGAAAGCACGAACAGACAAGTGAATCCATTGGCACAATGTTTGGAAGTAACTCTTGTTATTCTAGGTGCATGCAGATAGATATTGGAGTGGCCCCGGTCGCGCCTTAACTGTGAAAACTTGGGGGGTTTTTGGCAGTAGCCTGGAGGTTGGTATGGCACGTAATAGCAAGGTCCTAGAAGGAACTACCACTGTACATGGGGGGATTCTTAGGCCTATTAGGCAACCCTGTCCACTGAATAGCAACTGTACCATACCTATACCATACCACATTGTAGGCTTCGTCTGCGAAAAGAAAAAAAAATTAATTAATGGAAATCTTCCATTCCACGATCACCAAGATACAAAATCAATTAATACACCACCACACCATCACTTCCATCATTTCTGACCATCTTAATCATCTCCAGCAACCTCATTAAGCCTGGAGAGCCATCCGTTTTCATGCAAAACGGATGTCGCGGTGGTCGATGCTATGACTGAGGTCGTAACCGGCGACCGCACCAAGCTTCTGCAATCAAAGCGGGCAGAATGCAGGTAAGTAATTATATTGAGGAGATAGAGCTAATTGATCCGATACTTATTTTATAATTTATTAGTGCAATCGCACGGTCGAGGAAGAGGAAGTTATGTGTTTTGTATGCCGTCGCGACAACTTCAGATGGCCTTCCTCAGCGCAGCTTCGCCGACCCAGACGCGCCCCCTACTAATCCTGCCGAGTCGCATTTTTTGGACGGTTGCGACATATTACAGTATGTTTCTTCTAACCTACCCTATACTTATACACTCTCATATAATACCTTCGTGTTATTCGTCGCCTCTGTCTTATTTTTATAAGAAAATACCTAACCGCATCGTTGGGATACTGGGAGGAGAGAAACTTCTCTATATAATAGTAACCGTAGGTAGTTCGTTTAGCAAACTAACATGATAATTATTATAGAGGGAGGAAACTAAACGAGCTGAATATCCCTACGCGACCGCGAGATCGATCCGATTACCCTTCTATCCCTAGAGCCGGCGATAGCTTCATCTCGAACGAGAACGCGCTCTCTTCTGCCGTGAATAAGAGGAAAGATGTTGCTCCTATCGTACGACCCGTTATCTCGTCGCCATCGGTGGCATCGCGACCTGGAATTGGCGACGGCCAGGCGAATACTCACAACAATGTGCCTGGCCATGGATCCGGATTAAGACAGCCTCAACATCAACACCCACCACATTCTCAACCTCAACCTCAGTCTCAGCCCCAACCCACATGGCCTATCCAACCTAGTCAACCTGTTAACCGACCTACAAGACCTGAGCCCTCTGTTCCTGCCCCAGAAAATGGTCAACCCCAACCGAGATTTCCACCTAGCGAAAGAGCAGACAACCTCCCGAAAAACAGCAGGCCCGATGGAGCCCCCAAACTGCCGGCGAACTTGCCTACGAGCTCGGTCTCTACCTCGCCCTCACTTCATCAACCTCTGTCTCAATCACAGGCGGCTCCAGGACGTATGAACGAACAGCAACAACAGATATTACAACCAAGGCCCGCCCAGTTTGCGAATGCACAACAACAGGTTACGCGTGGGGGGGAACCGATGGATATCGATGTGGCTCCAGTGAAGAAGCCTGAAGAGAATATTACTCCACAACCGAATGCAAGTCGATCCAGCGATAAAATATTTCCTTCGAATTCAGCCGCTCAAGCGACAACAGCAGCGACAACAACGGCAACACTGCCGACCGCAGCCATTCCCGATACGTCGATAAATACTAACCCAAATCGTGGGGATGTACCATTTGCGGGCAGCGCGGAAACTAGGTCAATAGGAATGAAAGACATGGCCCCATCAAGACAAAGTCCACAGAATTTAGTACCTTCTGGGTCAGCTCTGGCTGGAAAGTCTGAAAGCATTCCGGATCAAGTCAAACCCCCCCCGGTACTAGAGCCAACTAATGCCGGAACAAAAGCGCCCATTGTTGGCAATGGTGTGAAGGAGTCGAGCGCTACCGTAAACTCACTTCCTACACCGAGGGGACCATCGTCACCAGCAGTCGGCGCTGGGTCCCATTCTGAGAAGCCCGTGGCACCAACTATCGAGCCACGTGAGAGTAGTTCGCCAACAAATGCACAACAGTTCGCGCAACAATCAGCGCAACCTACCAATAATGCTTTCCATGCTCTTCCGACGACAGATATGAGAAGCGACTCGCAGCGGACTGACTCGGAACCAACAAACCTAGACACAACTAACTTCAATAATGGCATTCTTCAAGGCAGTGCAAAGAGCGATGCTACTACTATGGAGAAGGAGAGTTTGGTGGCGTCGATGGACACTCCCCGAGCCACACCACAGATCCCATCTCAGGAACCCGGACGCTCGCCCACTCCAGCGCAACCAACCCAAGCGGATCGCAGGCGGGCGAGTAGTCCTACAGGGGTCGCCCTACAAAAGCCAGTGGCGGAAATACTAGGCGAACGGCCAAAGTCTAGGGGAGAATCCGAGGTCGATGATACTGCATTAATAACTCCGACTTCTCAGTTCTCTAAGCAGCATTCCCAGAGTCTCCTACATAAGGCCAGACTTAAGGAGAAGAGTAAGCACTCTACGGTAATCTTCGGCAAGCAACCGAAGCGCACTACCGAGACAGACAAGTCCCTCGTCCAAAATCAACCGAAGACTGGTCAGATGGCTAGCGATGACTATTTCACACCCCTCTTCGTCCAGGCCTTCACTACCAATTCCAAGTGGATGAAGCCTTTGGATCAGATTCTCAACCAAGCCCACAAGACACTCTCTACTCCTGATTCCTACACCCATATATTCGATGCCCAAGCTTGCAAAGTCCTTAAGAGGGTTTACCACCTTCAGCATCATAATAAATGGTCTCTTCGTCAACCAAAACGATGTCCAGAACCTACACGTCAGCCATGCCACTGGGATGTCTTACTAAAGGAGATGAAATGGATGCGGACCGATTTCCGCGAAGAACGCAAATGGAAGATGGCAGCCGCTCGAAATCTTGCCTACTCGTGCGCCGAATGGGTTGCCTCTTCAGCGGAAGATCGCAAAGCTATGCAGGTCAATGCCATCATCCCTCCGTTAATTTTAGCCGATGTCGTCGAAGGGTCTACAGCTGACACACCTCATCTCCAAAACTTAAAGGAGGATCCAACACCGGATCTTATCCCATCCGCTGATTCAGAATCGCCACTAGAACCTGATGACGAGCCTCATGATCTTATCCCTCAATTTGTAGCGCCATCGACTATATTCGCGTTGGATAGTGACGATGTCGTCTTTCCAATTCAGCAGTCGCCTAGTACGGACCGCCTTTTGGAAGAGTTACCCCTATATGGGGCGCCCCTCAAAGTTCCCAAGCCTGACCTCATAGCACCGGAATATGATCCTGATGCATCATGGAGACGGCCCGCATTGCCGCTAAACAGATTTGTAGAAGGTGTAATGGAACTCACACCGACCGAGCCACCAAAGAAACGTAGTCGATACCGTTATGCGCAAGAAGACGAGGACGACGACGAAGTTGTCTTCGGTCAGCTCACCGATAGCCAGCCTCAACTAGAACCACAAAACCCCGATGTTGCGCTATTCAGACCAGAAAACAAGAGTTTCAGAGACAGGCTACACGCCGGCCATCAATTCCGCCCGCCTAATGAGCATACTATGCCTTTCCAATCGTTCTACGAGTCTCGAAGTCCCTCTCAGTGGATACAGTCCGAAGACGACGAGCTAAAGGGTCTCGTACGCGAATACTCTTATAACTGGTCTTTGATTTCCAGCATCCTTGCTTCCAAGTCTATGTTCAGCTCCGGGGCCGAGAGGCGAACTCCGTGGGAGTGTTTCGAACGCTGGGTCATGCTTGAAGGGCTACCTCACGATATGCAGAAGACACAATACTTCAAGTTGTGGCAGGGTAGGATTGAGGCATCTCAGCAGGTTATTAGGCAACATCAAGCTGCAGTGCAACAACAGGCAGCCCAGCAACAACAAGCAGCTGGCACTAACGGTCCAGTTACGCCCCTTCCTAAACGACGCTATAACGTACCGCTAAAGGTAGAGAGACGCCGCAACCAGAAGCATCTTACGATGATAGACGCGATGAGGAAACTAGCAAAGAAACGTGAGACGACGATCCAAAAGACGCAGCACGCGGCTTCTCTTGCAGCAATGAGGAAACCCAGCGAAGCACCCCAACCAAGAGCTCCGACGAAAACACCGAGAGAGTATAGTATCATGCGATATGAGCGGGATCAAGCGATGGCCGAGAGACTAGCTGAGAGGATAGCACAGCAACAACGCCATGAGGCCCAACGCAGAGTATGACAACTCCCTCCCTCTTCCCCTGAAACCGTCATCAACCGCAAAATACTAACGGCCAAATCTAGGCTGCCTTGCAACGCGCACAACAAGGACAGGCAGCTCAAATGGCAGCTGCGCAAACTGCAAACCAGCTCTCGCAGAATAATCCTCAGATGGCAGCCTCTCATCCTCATGCGGCTATGAATCGTGTCAATGCTCCTAACCAGATCCCAATCAATGGCCAAAGACGTCCGCAGATGCCAATACACAACACTCCAAATGGTACCGGCACGCCTAATCACATGGGCGGCGGGCTCGTTCCTCCTATGCAGATGAATGGCACTTCTCAGATACAAATACCTGCGGTTAATGGCCAATCACGGATGGCGATGCCCTCCCCTCAACCAGACATTCAACTACTGCTACAAGCACAACATATCTCTGAACAACAACGCCTATCGGTACAGATGCGGCAACAGCAACAGCAACAACAACAGCAACAACAGCAGCACCAGCATCAGCAGCATCAGCAGCACCAACAACATCAACCTCAACAGCCTCAACAGTCGCACCAGTCACCCCCGGGGAACATGCCTTTACAAAGTTCACCGCCCGCCATGCGAGCTGCGATGAATGGGTTGAACCAAAAGAGTTACATGAACAATGCCCAGGCACAAGCAGTGATGGCATCGTTTAACACTCCAAATGGATCAAGGATGTCAACTCCTCCAGTCCCAGGCCTTCCCATGACATCGCAAGCAGGCTCACCACGGCCGAACACTACTATACCTCAGCAAACACATCAGACATACGTTTCACAGCTTCAGTCCATTGAAAGCCAGATCAGGCAGCAACACCCCAACACACCCCAGGATGTAGTTCGTGAGATGGCACGGCAACTTCTGAATAACCGCCATAACAATCACAATCTTGCGCAATCTGCGATGAACGCCGCGGCCGGGGGGACAGGTCACGCAGCAGCAGCTAACGGGCCTCATCAATACGCACAACTTCTACGAGCGCAGCAACAGCAACAAGCTGCGGCTGCGGCTGCTGCTCAGGCTCAACAAGCACAAGCTCAAGGGGCTCAGCAACATCAACGCAATTCAAGCGGGAGTGCAACACCAACCCCGTCAATACCGAAGTAGGAGGCCGGAATAACAGGGCTCATTAATGAACTAGTTATTCATTCTCGTGGTATGAGGATGAAGCCATGCGATTCGCCTTTTCACGCACTGTGTCACTACACTACGATAAACGTAGAACGCTCTACTACGTGCCTCTACATTGGGTATGAGGTTGCTTGGAAGGCACGTGGCCTCCACAGCATTATCGTCAGACATATCATCTGTAGATAAATCTCAGCAAAAAATCACCCAGCAAGTCTCAAGGCTATATACGCTGAGGATTATGGCATGTGGTGATCACCCACCAACCCTCAACAGTCGGGAAGCAATAGTCAATCGAAAACTGGGTTCTGATGAGTTCAACGACTAGGTTAACGAATGCCTTGAATTCTTGAATCCGGTCATGCGATGGCAACACTTCTCAACTAGTTTTGAGGAGTCTAACGGCCCTTATTTGAAGAGGCTATGATTGTAGAAAGACTTGAGACTATTGCTGTGTTGTCTGAGTTACTAGGCGATGACCTCGCGCTAAGATAAAGCGCCGATGAATATAATAATTAAGATGAAATAAGAAGGCTCATGTGATGTCTACAAATACCTACCTGAGATATTGGTAATAGCATGTGAACGTAACTGCTTGCGATCCTTTATTTCCCTTGTATCCTTATAATAGAGCATAGTACATTCGGTAAAGTATCTTGATCCTTGATCCTTGATTGGATGATATATGTATATATACTTGGGTACATCTGGATTGAAGCTTTAGGTTGCCCCACTTCTAGGAAAAAGAGTCTCCACTTTAACTTTTCTATATCGATAAAATAATTGATACGCTTTCTTTTGCGAAAGATCCAAATTTTCTTATAACACACCAAGACAGCTAAATCAACCTTGAAATCACCTTAGAATGGGCAAGCGAAAGCGGACAGACGGTGCTTCTAACGGAGCACCAGCTCAAGAATCAAATTCTACAAAGAAAACAAAACGCACCGAACCATCTACAAGCCCAAGCAGTTCTTTTCCATTAACTGTTCAGGTCGTTACAGGGTCCTACGATAGAATTCTTCACGGATTGACTGCTACTATCTCCACCGACGACCAGGTCGAATTTGCTGATACCTTTCTATTTAATGCGCACAATTCTGCAATACGATGTCTAGCGCTATCCCCTCCGTCAGCGCCAGAGCCCGGCAAGCTACAGAAGGTCATGCTAGCTTCAGGTAGCAGCGACGAACGGATCAATGTCTACAACATCTCAGCGCACCCACCTAACCGCAAGAACCAAGATGTCCTCTCGTCCGTCGCACCTCGAAAGATCCTCGAGAACCCAAAAAACCGAGAAATAGGCACGCTTTTACACCATTCATCTACGATCACAAAGTTATCCTTTCCTACCAAGTCCAAGCTCATTTCTGCATCCGAAGACTCCACCATAGCCGTTACCAGGACAAGGGATTGGTCCGTACTATCGACTATCAAAGCCCCCATACCGAAACCTCAAGGTCGACCTAGTGGTGATACAGCAGCATTAGGTGCCACGCCCGCCGGTGTTAACGATTTCGCCGTCCACCCAAGCATGAAGCTCATGATAAGCGTGAGTAGGGGTGAACGATGTATGCGGTTATGGAACTTAATGACGGCTAAGAAAGCCGGAGTACTCAATTTCAATCGAGATATGCTTCAAGAGGTGGGAGAAGGAAAACATTCACTAGGCGAGGGCAGGGAGGTGGTTTGGGGAAGCACTGAGGACGGCGACGAATTCTGCGTTGGATTCGACAGAGACGCATTGGTATTCGGTATGGACAGCACTCCAAAGTGCAGGGTCATGCCAGAACCGAGAAAAAAGATACATAAGCTCTGCTACACTGTAATAGACGCGACTAACGACTCGTCTTTATTGGCTGTGTCGACGGAGGACGGAAGGATTCTATTCTTCTCTACGAAAAGCGAAGATCTCGCCCATGGCAAACCTACTTCGGAAGGGAAGGGGAAGAGTTCGCTACCATTAGCTAAGTTTATTGCACAGCTAGGTGGAAAAGACGTCGGTGTCTCGGGGCGGATTAAAGACTTTACCGCAGTAAGGGTCGAGGGGAAAGATGGAAAAGACAGCTTCGTTATAGCAGCCGGCAGTAGTGATGGCAAGCTCCGTGTATTCAAGGTCACCGTCGCCGAATTCGAGGATGCGAGAAAATTAAAAAAGGTCCAGACCATCGGCAAATTGCTCGGTACCTACGAGACACAAAACCGGATTACCTGTGTGGAGGCATTTGCAATGATACCCCGACCGGAAGGTGTGGAGGAGAGCGAGGATGAATTCGAAGATGATTCGGAGGAAGAGGAAAATGAAGACGAGAAAGATGAGGATTAATAGATGATATCAATTGCGAGGAATAATCCAATATTTCATATCCTACCATATTCTAGGCGCCGAGAGACCGCATATCAAAAAGGATCAAGAACATTAAGATTATCACGACAATATTCAATCTATTCCGAGCAAATGTTATGTTGATCATCTATCCGTTGATGACACACACACGTGACGTATTACCATCTTAACATACATAATATAAAATGCAATATACGAACACGATGTCATGTTCCCTCGGTTGACGACGGTTGAGATGGTGAAACCATTCCAGAGTGAGATCTGGAATCTGCGGAGAAGAGATGGGTTATACAACATGCATGATACAGGTTTGTCGGATGAATGTTGGCGCCAGCGGAGGGCAAGACATGTATCCGATGGTACGATGCGCGTACAATAACGGGAATAGATGATGGATAGATGCCTGCGGTCATGTCGAAGATTCCCACGCGGTAAGGATCATCAGATTGGACGCACAATGGTGTCACGGAAACGAAGAATTCGTACCTATGGGATTGTGGGGTAGAGGGAAACGGCAGATCATCCGGTCATGTACTGATCCGAGTAAGTTGAGTGGATATACTTGAGTCGGTATTACGGGAATATCGGTGTGACAATCCCGTACCTAAAGAACCAAAGAACCAGAGGGAAAATATGTGTCACGATGGACGAAGCATGTGATTCTTCTTAAGCCGAATTTGGTGGGGTGGGAAGAAAGAGAGTCTACCTAGGTAGGCACAGGGATATTCCTTTCATTAGTTCAATCACTAGTCGGTCAACTTAAACAGCCGATTGTTCGAAAAATGCGAGGAAAGAAAGACCCAATGTATGCACAAATGTACATAAGTATCTACATTTATACATATTATGGGTATTCTGGACACAATACGGGCGCAGTAATTGGAGTCGAAATGCAAGCCACGACTAAAAAGAGTCTAGCCTATAATGAACGTAGGGTCCAGGTTGCTTCAATTTCAAACTTTTTTCCCCAACACAGCTGCATTGGCCTACATTGGCAGCTTTCGTGGCCCACTAAAACAAATGCTAAAAGTCAGCAGCAAGGTACTAATTCAAATGTACGAATTATTCAACATTCTCTCGAAACAGGGGTTGCATTCAAATCCCTCTTAGGGTAAAAGAGAGACGGTGGTATACGATCTTTGCACATCAACGGGGAGGGGCAGCCGGCCAATTTATGAATGGCTACGCGTGTTATGTACGTATTTCAAGGGACGTATGAGCCTAATAGGATGATGGAATGGGGGGGTTTTTTTTTTTTACTAGGTTACCATTGCATTCGGCAACTTTTTTTATGCCATCGGAAAGCCACGAATTTATAGAAGGTACCTACGTACAATGCAAAGAATAGCGAGTAGGAGGAATTATGTAGGTTGTACAACTTCGATTATTATGTACTTGGAGAACATACATAGCCTTGAACTTACTTACATACATACATACATACATACATATGTATGTATGTATGTATATGGTCGGCCTAAGGCGGAGCACATGCAACCCATAAGCGCGGGGATCAATTCGCATGTGCCGTGTCGCCCCTTCCGATCAGACCTACACGTAGTAAGAGCTTTAAGATCAGGTACCTACCCAAAGTACTAAGTAACTTTTGACGCACATGAGACGTGACCCCGAACGCTTTCTTGCTATATTCAAACAGCAAGAGCAGCAGCGAGCAGCTTCTTCTACTTTTACTTCTACTACTCCTACTTATTCAATGTTCCTTTTCCAGTTTCTCTTCTCCAACTAAATATTCATCTTAACTCATATTGTATATCATCGCCCTCATTACTACTCTTACTTTGATTCATATTTTTGCTTGTCTCACTTTACGAATTTACAAGGCTATTTACTCCAATATATACAACCCTTGTCGGCTTGGCAACTCCGCCCAAAGCTGCAAGTACATAACCCGTTGGTCAACCACCAGATCGGAATGCAGCGCTACAGAGTTTCGTGAACCCAGATTCGGTCGCGATCCTCCCCTCCATCTTCCATTCGGATAGAGTTCTTCTACTCCTCCCCAACGTGTAGCCAACCAATTGGTCTTATAGCAACCTTAGCCTTGGCCACGCGGCAGAATCGACCTGTTACTTCTACTCGCCATCTCTTTCCATTGACGCTGGAAATCTAGACAGACGGCGCCTAAATACTCATTCCTCCCCTGCCGCTTTCAACACCAATACCTAGCTTCTCGAATATTAAACTGTACAGCGTATACAACGACTTCTTTTTTGCTATCAAATATATAAATAATCGTCATCATGTCCGACTCGCAAGCAGACAGTGGCCCACCATTATTACGACCCATCCCTCGTCGCCCATTCCAAACCCATAGAGAACCTACACCCCCCGAAGATACCTCCTTTGTTCCTCCACCTCCTAACGATTCGGATTACAACACCGTGTTGAACCTTGAGTCTCTAAACTCTCGGCTACTCGATCCCATGAACAATGCCTCCGCTCCCGAATCCGCCTCCATCAGCCGAGCGCAGTCTTCGCTTAACTTGACGGGCTCGACGCTAATGGGCATATACTCACAAACCCCTTTCGGGAAAGATAAGTTCTACATGGGGGATGAGCCTAATACGCCTTGGGGAACCGGTGCGGAGACACCCGCTAAGAGCTTAAGCTCCGACAACCCATATTTCGAGATACAAAAGGAGAGGGCGCAACCGACCCGACGGCGATCCTCTCTACACTCCGTCACACGTCCGCAGCCTTTATCCATCCCGCAACGTGCGTTCTATCTAGGCTCGCGTGGCCTCCTACTATATGGTTTAGGTGTGCTATACGGAATGTTAGTCGCCCAGTTACGAGAAAGACGACAACCGACGGGAACGTTCCAGATGGACGATGTACTTCATGGTGGTAGCGGTGGCTACGATGCTAAGTCCATGGCTTTCTGGGGGATATCCGCGGTAGTAATGGGCTGCTTATTGCCCTGGTTCGACAATGTTTGGGAACGAACTTTCGGACGCGAGGAAGAGGCTATTGAGTCAGCGGGGGAGCACACCATGGCAGCAGACCATGTGGAAGATGATTCTTCATGTTCCACCGACTGGCCGCTTGCGGTTAGAGGCATAGGAGCTTTCATTGGGATTGCGTTTGCCATTGTAGGTTTCCCGTCCCTAATTTACCTGCACACGTGATTCATTACATGATCCGGTTTTGCTAATAAAAAAACAGAGAAAGCTTCCGTGGGACTCAACTTTGCAAGTTTCGCTCACTTTGGCGCTTGTAAACCCAGTGCTCTGGTTTTTGATAGATCGTTCCATGCCTGGGTTCGTGCTCGCGACCGCTGTGGGAGTGGCCGGCTCCGCAGTACTGTTAGGGTGGAAGCCGGATATGGTGCCAACCCCGGCAAACCCGTCCATATCGGCTTTCGGAACGTTCGGCGATTATGACAATGTGACGGGTGGTGTCCCTAGTGATTTTAGTCACCAACAGCAGCAGCAGGTATTGTCATTTGGCGGCATGACAGTGAGTCAAGAAACACTGGGAATAGCGATCTGGGTGATGAGCGTCTTGTTTTGCTGTTGTGTATGTTTCGGAAACATCGGACGGTGGCTCGCACTGAATCGGGGCGCAGCAGTAAAAGGCCGATGGGCTGAACGACGATAATTAGCTGATCATATGATACCTAGATAGGGGCTTATGGAGCGACGAACGAGACGGGAAAGAAAATCCCGATGTCCAAAAAAAACAGGAATATTCTTAACAGCGAGGGGAACATATGTTATCAGGTATGTTCTACAAAAAAGCGATAGGATTGATATGATTTGTGCTTTGGCCGGATGGTTGGGCGCGGTTCGGTTCGGAATGCTCTTGTGTTACTTATAGTTTACTATACCGTCTTTAAGCGTGGCTCGAACGGCTTGCGGGATCTTGCATTTGGGAATGGGATGGCGCGCTTGAGAATGGGTTCGGATAGGCACGGGAATATCTATATCGTCATTGGTCCGCTGAATGGGATACTATACGTTTGAACAGGATTGACATAAGCCAGATGCAAATAAAGCATCGCATATCTACTCCATGTGAGCAGTCTTGAATATCGGTGAGAACGTGGTTGTAACACGTGCCGCGTATAGTTCTTCCAACTCATCTAGCTTACACAACAGCAGCTACATATGATTGAAACTCATGATCCGTTGATTTATGGAAATAGGCACCGGGGAATTAGAAACGCCACTAAGTTATGAAGATTCTAGAGACTTGTTTTGTTGAGTCGGGTACTGGATAGGTAAGCAGTAGTACTGAAGAATGTTTTATCATCCATCACCATTAGATACAACTTCGGTACCAGACTAGCGAGCGCAAATAAGTCAAAATATCTTCAATTTCTATAGGATACCACATCGCTCGTATAGATATCTATAAAGGGATATATCATAATATACATGATCGCACTACATCGTTTAATGAGGTTATCAAATGCACGTTGTACGAGAGGGGCAATTTACATACGGCTCATCACAAGGGTTGCAATCGCATGTATACAACTGCGAATATACGACGAAAGGATTCAGATGATAGGAAGTTGTTTTATGTTAGCGTCATACATTTGGTTGGTTGCGTTAATGTAGGGTTCTTTGCTGTATTAGATCGAGGCTGAATGGAGCCGCTGGCCGAGATGGGTAAGGGGAGAGAGAATAAAACGAACAGTCCCAATTCGGATGCATGCTTCCTAGCTCTTTCAGCTCTCAATCCATGGTACTGATATCGGAAAAACATTACGCGGACAAACCAAGCACGAGGGCAGCTGGGCTGAGATATTTCTTTCCTGGATGCTAGGGATGTATCGAGTACTTCAGTACAAGTTACCAGCTTTTAAAGATTGTTTGTTTGTGAGATTATGTCTGGAATTACGCGTGTATGTGTATGGCATTGTAGTGGATTATTCGGAGACAACAAAGAAATAATTTGACCCAAGGAATAAGTAGAGGTAATAAGTAGAAGAAAGGTGTGAAGGATATACATATGTATTGAAGCTTGATTCAACCTTAAGACAGGGGCTACATGGATTATATGGACTACTGGACTTTAGTAGCGTCGATTTCCGGACGAACCCGTGCTGCGTCGGCATCGAGCAGCAACTGTTGTCATCGAGAAACAAGCGCAAACATGCCTGTTTTGGTTATGAAGGGGGTATTGTTAGGATCGTGGAGATGAGTATAATTTCAAGATACAGATATCTTTTCGGTAAAGAGAGATTCCCAACCAACCGGAACCTTTGATTGTGATGGTACAATATAGAAGCTTGGTACCTTTTAGGGAATGTTTCTGAAGAATGGTTCGTCACATCACGTTGTTAGCGAGAGATGCGAGATGATAGTGTATGAAATAACGCGCCTTAATGTTAGATATCACTAATCATCCTCTCTTTGCTAATTCTATTACTTTTGGGTTTTTTTAATTCAAGACAAATGATGTAAGTCTTCCGTATGCTACTTATTCAAGTAGCTATTCTCAATAATCTATAGAAATTATTAGAGTTGATAAAGAAAATAAGAAAATAAGAAAATACCAAGCTATAAACTAAGCCTCTGACCTGTCGCTAAGAAAGTATTACACCTAGGTAAGCACCTAAATGTCCCCGCATTCTACCAACATTCAATATTTTAGCCTTATGAAATCGATGTCGTTACCAAAACGAAGATCACGCAACACATAACGCATTTACATAAGCACGAAACACCATGCGTTTCTATATCATTCTTAATATCCAATAATATTGAAGTATTATCTGTATACAATGTCATCTACTGCCCAAATAAAAAATGTATTACGAACATCTTATTACTCTTATCGGATTTAAAAGTACCGAAAACTTGTCTAAACTCAAATCGAAAGCTCCAGGGTCCTGCAGGAGAAAGCAATTGACCCCACGGCAGCATTGGGGCGTTACTTTAGAAAGTTTAGGTACCGCCTTTAGCACCTTTAGCATCTTTAGCACTACGACTTACCAAAAATTATGGCAGCTACGGGCCAGCTACGTACCCGGGGTACCTCATTAGCGGAATGTTAGCATTGCTGGCAGAGAAAGTGGCACCCTTCTAGCGTCGCTTTATCAGTGGTCTGATTGTCTCATCGAGATCATCAGTCGCCTGATTAACCAATCAGAAGACGGAATTCAGTCTTTGACGGACGTATCAAGTACCCCTACGACGTCAGGACTTTTCTTTTCCTTCTCTTTCTTACTATTATTTTTTTTTTCCCCAGTCAAGTAGGCATATGTACTTTTTTTTCGATATTCTATTCTATTTCCTGCTACGGGACTGGGACTACGCGCATTACACAATACACGCACTATCAATTCTTCCACATTTTCTTCTAGCCCTTCTATTCTTGTCTGCCCTTAGTTGAGCCAAGTCACGCACAGTCACGTACACACAACATTCTGGATCCCCCCCCAGATGTATGATGACTTCTACATCTTTCCCATCCTTTAATACATACAATATGGTACAAATTTGGTATATACCGTTGCACCTCCCTTGATCTCGGTCTCCGAATCGCACGCTTTTAGGCGTCTTGTCTATTGTCACTCGCCTCTTACCTCTTACCTCCTATCACTATCACTATCACTATCACTTACACATACCAGTTCTCATGCACTACTGCATACGACACTTCTTCATTCTCTTCGGCCTGTACATATGAGCTCCGAGGGAAATTCCTATCAAGTATCGACATTCTCCTCGTCATCGTAACCTCGCATACACCATTCATCTGGGTCGAATACGCTTAGATATATTACCATTCATCCGTATCTATGAACCGAGATATAACAAAGACTCGGGGTTTACCTGTCCATGACACTCTGTAGAAAGATTAATACTACGCTACCCATTCAACCGCCGCGGGCCAGCACACGTTAGGTCCTTGCTGTCAGTTTACTTTATTTTTATTTACGTAGCCATTCATAACCGGTCTGACTGTTAAGCGTCACTTGTATTTTGTGGTTCTCACCTATCATTCGTTGCGGCTACAAGCAACCAAACCAAGCTCTCAGGTCCCAGTGTTACAAGAAGCTTTATACTCGCCTCTTGGAACCCCTTAACACACAACATTTATCCGACTCTCAACATCCGGACACAATAATCACATATACTTTCATGTCCTCAATACGGTCCAACCCGACTCTGTCGAATTTGCCCTCGTCGAATCCTTCCGACAGCTCGACCTCCTCTGAGTCTCGCTCGGAGAAGGAAGACGTCCAAGCTCCTAACCCTGTCGGGACCGAGCATCCCTCGGCCGCTTCCGAATTGCTCCTCAATGCCGTTAAGGATGTCAGACAAATCATTAGGCTCGTCCAATGCCAAGTATGCTCCCAAGCACTAAAGGAGCCGACGACCTTACCTTGCGGGCACAGCCTCTGCAGACAATGTGTACCTCAGACTTATGCTAGGGCTAATATCTCGTGGCCCGCAACGGCCAACCGTCTGCGTGGCTTCGTGTGTCCTTTCGACGACTGCAAGAAAGAGCATGCACTTGGAGATTGCGCCATCGACGTCACATTGAATAAGGCCCTAGCTATAATAAAGGGGGCTATCGAGCTTGATCGGGACGTAACAGGGCTTTCTAATGTTTCCACTCAAGTCACGGTGCAAGACCAATGGCAGGTTGCCGGGATCCCATCGCTTGCGGAAAAGGCAGATGAACCGAACATATTAAAAGGAGGTCGTATTGTCGCGACCTATACACTAGCGGAATCCGGCAAGCTAAAATATGGATGCGAGGTGTCTTACTCCTCCGTAGGAGTGGTTGATGACGAGGTTGAGAAGATTGATGTTGCCGTATTGACCCGATTGAAAGAGTCGGCGAGAACAGAAATGGATTGTCAGGTCTGCTATGCATTGTTCCTGGATCCCTTAACGACAACATGCGGCCACACGTTTTGTCGAGGTTGTGTCCATCGCATTTTGGACCACTCCGACCTATGTCCCATATGCAGGCGCCCCTTATCGATACAAGCTCAAGTCAACCGGGAATCTTACCCTTCGAATGAACGGCTTTGTAAGATTATTAATGGTTTCTGGGCTGACTTGGTGGCGCTGCGCTCACAAGCTTACAGGCTCGAGCAGCAGGCCAACCACGGTGGATTCGACATTGCACTCTTCGTCTGCACACTTTCATTCCCACGTATGCCAACCTTCCTTCATGTGTTTGAACCGCGTTATCGCCTCATGATCCGCCGGGCAATGGAAGGCGATCGAACGTTCGGCATGGTTCTCCATACATCACACAATGATCCTGGTGAACCTGACTTCATGGAGCTGGGGACTTTGCTCCGGATTGTCAACATCGAATTCTTCCCGGATGGACGTAGCCTTCTAGAAACGGTTGGCGTATCTCGATTCCGGGTGACTCGTCATGGATGGCTGGACGGGTACATCGTCGGTAATATTGAGAAGATCGATGATATCAGCGTAGCAGAGGAAGAAGCCATAGAGGCAGCAGAGACAACATATGCCAGAAGCATAAGGGAATCGGCAGCTACCGAACCATCGACTCCGGACCCAGCACACCCGGGACAAGCTATACCTGTTCGCTCTCGAGGGGTACCTGTCGCATTAGAAGACCTGGAGACGATGTCTACCAGGGAGCTAGTTGAATTGGGTATTGACTTCGTCAGAAGAATGCGAGCGCAGAGCGTCGCTTGGCTAACCGCGCGTGTTTTGGCCATTTATGGCGAGTGTCCGACGGACCCGACAATTTTCCCCTGGTGGCTCGCCAGCATTCTACCAGTTAAAGACGATGAGAAGTATAGACTTCTAGGCACCTCAAGCGTGCGGGAGCGTTTGAAAATGTGTTGTCGGTGGATTATAGAATGGGAATCAAATCGATGGTTAGTGTTCTGGTTTCTTGATATCTCCCACCTTAACTCCTAGTACTTTTCACATCGAGGTAGGTATGCTTTCGTCTATACAGACAGTAAAATCAAGATCACTAAGGCTAAAATCAATCCAGATCATACTGACGCGTGCATCCACACATCCAGGTCTATATCAGATTGCCTTGTCTTGTGACGGCTATCAAACCACTTATTTTATCACGATGCTTACTGATTTCGTCCTTTGTTTTAAGTCAATCTATAAACAAGCACCATAGATTGTAATCGGGCATGAAGTCATCACGAATTGAAGGAAATTAATGTTTGAAGGAGTGTCAACGTTTCCCTTGCTGTCTTGTACTGCATTGCATCACCATTATCATCTGATTGATTTCGCTTGATTGACAGTTCCGTCGTTATCATATTAGTGATATCAAGAAAGCGTCAGCATTGCGATGCAAGTAGATTTTTTAAGGAGTTTTGGATTTATATTTTTAAGCATTGTTCGAACTGCATTATATCATACCATATCATGTATTGTCGGCATTGCGGATCATGTTGAAGAGTACCCAATTAAGTATTGTATATATTTTGCTTCGAAATTTATAAAGATACCTTTTTCTCATAACTATTTTATGTATCAGTTCATCACGAAAAATCGTGTATCTTCCAGGCCCGTATAATTCGGCATGCCTCGGTAAGTAAAATGTTGTTACTCATTGTATATATTTGTGAGGCTATTACTTATAGTGCGGGGCGATTTTCCCGCATTATCTGAGATCTTTCTCTTATTTATACCGTTATACATGAGTTACGACAATTATTAGATATACAACAGAGTAATCCAAGATTTACTATTAAAATAGTGTCGATCGTAAAAACTATTTTGAATTGATCCTTACACTATCGACCCAAATCATTCCGGAGACTACCAACCATGGAGTACACGCATATCGCAACACCTGAACGGTGTTACGCAGACTTCTGTTTGATTCCTGTACGTCAATTAAATAAACCTAACCTCTATATACCTGCATGTCTATCCGTCTACATACACCTGTTTGACTAGAAACTTTATGCTCAATATATATAAATACAAGAACATACGAGCTTACACGCGAATAGGTCGGTACAGGCAGCGTATCAGTAGCTGAAGAGGTAGCTGCAGTACAGAAATTGCTTAAGGCGAGCGGATTGACGTACACGATGCACTCTGCCGGAACTACCGTTGGTGAGCATATCCCCATTTTCCCATATTTTTTTTTATCCCTACTTACATATGTACTAGAGGGATCGTGGGATGAAGTCATGAAAGTCATTGGGCAGGCTCACAGCGTCGTACACTCCAAAGGCGTCGTTAGAGTCCAGAGCTCGATGAGAGTCGGCACTCGAACGGATAAAAAGCAGACGGCGCAAGACAAGGTCAAACGCGTTGAGGATATTCTAGCGAAAGAGGGTTCTAGCTCTTAGCGCTGCCAGTCCCAAGAATTATTGTTCACGCATTGCGTAGTACAAATATAAGTCATAATTAGGTGGGAACTCATACTTCGATCGTGGATTATTTTGCAAGGTGATGATAAATAAGTTTCGTACAATTATATAATAGAACCCACCGGCATACACCATAGATGTATACTCTATGCTAGGCTTGATTTTCTTTTCCTCGTCCGCCTACATATACAAGCTAATCAATCGTCACCATATGCAACTTTTGATGCGCCCCCCCGGTCCTTATCCATTCACTCATTCAACCCCCTCCCCCCTTTGCTCCCCCTAAAATATCTTATATGCCTATAAGTATTCGCCAGAAGTGAAATCCCGACTCCGCCCCAGTTTTTACGTCTTTCGTCTACGCTCGAACTGTCTGCTTCTTGGACGACTTGCGTAATTCCTTCTCCCTCTCCTTCTCAAGGTACTTCTTCTGCGCCTTAGCGTCTAGGGCATTTAGCTCCGCATCGCGCTTCGCCTTCTTAGCCCTATCACGCTCGGCCTGTCTCTCTTCGGCCTTCTCTTCTTCAGCAGCTTTCTGGATCTGCTTGACGTTTTCGTCTCTGACACTCTTGATCTTTCGTAGGACTTCAGGTCGGAAATGAGCCGAAGATGCCAGGTGGTCAGAAATTCGCACAAAGTAGGAAAGCAACGGCGCCAGGTCATCATAGTTGTTAGAAGAGGGAAGTCGGTATCGTAGATAGAGGCGCTTGCGTGGGATGGTTTCATCCATCCTGTGTCCTGTTTAGTATCCTGTAATGTAACGTCTTATCGAAAATATAGTACTCACTTCTTGGGCTTGTCAACGGGTTGATCGCTGACAATAATGTAGTCAAACAGATCACCGGCCTGCTTGATGGCAGAGGCAAGTTCATTAGTCAGAAGGGCTTCGGTGACCTCGGCGCTTTCGCTCATGACAGTTGCCCAGATAGGTAGCTTTGAGTTATCCTTGGTGAAAGTAATAGACACGTCATATCGCTCTTCTCGAAGTTGCTTCATCTTGTCCTTGTTGACAACAGCCCAAACGAACCCGTCGAAAGAGCTCTTGGAGTCCTTGCTTCTTAGCTCGGCAGCACCTGGGAGGGCGGGCACGATCTGGGCCTCCTTACCATCGAAGGGGTAGATGACGGCCTCGATTGAGTCCTCGGGAGCACCGAAGCTGTCGAAGAAGAAGCTTAAGGTGGTCTCTAAAAAGGTCATGATCGGGTTGAAGCGCTTCTTCAGCGATAGCTTGACATCCATGAAGGCGACATTCTGTCGGCCAGTCGCGTAAGTCGCGTATTCAAACAGACTCTTAGCCTTAAGCAACTTCTCAGGGTTTTGTTCGGACCTCTGTGGTGTCCCGCCGAAACCAACAACGGCGAATTCGCTAGTCAGGATCGGGGCATGTGCCTTGATCCATGCTTTCGACTTAGCTCGGTTAAGTCTCGTGCCGATAAAGTGTAGAGTGAATATGACGGCAATTATAACCAAAATAACACCCTCGGCGCGGAAATCGTTCAGTGTATAACGCTCATGAATGTTGTACCATTTTGTGTATGGGCGGTCAGTCGGTAAAGCACTACCGAAAGTGGCAGATTCGAAAGCTGCGGGCTCTGGAGAAGGCGCATCGGCAAAATCGGCGAAATCTAGATGATGAATGGTAAGTCATGTGCTCAAGTGAATCGGGAAATGGCTTGAGGCGCAACAATGGCAAGATCTGGCGATCTATTCCGAGTATGTAAATAGGATGTATTCGTCCTATCGCGTAATTATAGGAGTACATGAGGGAAAAACTCACCAGAATCAGCAGATGGAACAGGAGTAGCAGTAGACTGACTACCCCCGATAATATTCTTTAGAAAGTCCGCCATGATTTGCGGAACTCTCGCGGAATTTGTTGTACAAGGGGCGAGGTTAAGAAGAGGAAGAGGAGGAAAAGGCGAGAACAAATTGGAGTTTAGAGTTGCATTCAATCAATCAATCAATCAATCTCAATCTCCAATAATCGCTTACCTAATTACCTAAACTTAAACCTTGGCCCTGGGATAAGTGGATCTTTGTTGGGGTTTCTAGATTGGGGACCCCATAGTACGTATGTGGCTTAAAAGCGTACTGTGGCTGGTCTGCTGGCCCAGCGCAACCTTAAAAACTCTCCGGTTAGTTCCGTTCCGTCCCAAGCGTCGCAACTTCTCGGTTCCATCGTTACCCGGCAACAACCGAGAAAGTCAACAATCATCTACTTTGATGTCTGCACTGACACTTATCATCATTGAAAATAATAAGCGATGAATGCAATTGAAGTCCAATGGATAGTGCAATGACGGCAAAATGTCGAAACAGACTTCCTTACGAAAATATGGCAAGCAATCCAGGAAACCGAAAGCCGACCGCTTATTCGTCGAGTTACCACAAACACCAGTACGGAACCAACCGAAGCCGGTAGAAGTCGACGATGAACCTCGGAAGGACGAATTAGAAGCATTAACCAACAAAATATCTTCTATACATATAGAAGATGATATACCACCACCAAAAGAGCCAGTCAGAAGGTCGCCTCGACGAAAAGAGCAACACGCTCCCCTACCATCACCACAACCCGAGCCAGTCAAACTCCAAACCCCTACGATATTAAGCCCGCTCAAATCGAAAATATCGGATACGGTCGAGGTCGAAGAAACGGACGAAGAACTGCAGATCCTGTCCTGGTCCGACATATGCCCACCAGGAGACAAGATTGTCAAGATAGCCGAAGCTTCTTACGCAGAAGTGTATCGAGTGACAAACGAACGTGGAACTAGTATTATCAAGGTTATTAGGATGGAGTCACCGATAAAGGCACAGACCAAGGCCCAGCAGAAGTCAGGACTTGTCGACGAGGAACCGCACTCCGAATCGGATTTAATGGGAGAATTGAAGATCTCGGAATGGCTAGCGGATATACCCGGCTTCGTCGTATATAAGGAGAGATATATAGTACAAGGGAAAGCTTGCAAGGAGCTACTAGAAACCCACCAGGCATTCCACAAGAAAATAAAACGACAAGACCCGGGCCGGCTTCAATTTTATCCCTCGCCGAGTCGATATCTGGAAGGCACAAAATTCTTGGTCGTTGAGCTTGGTGACGCAGGAATAGCTCTCGAAGACTTTCAATTGGAGTCTGTCGATCAACTATGGGATATCTTCTTTCACGTTGCTATTGCGCTAGCGCGTGCCGAAGTCCACATAGAATTCGAGGTAATTAAGTACTGCGATCCTAATCAAGATGAATTGAGCTAACCTTAGCAGCATCGAGACCTTCACGAAGGGAACTTGTGTATTCGGAGAACAGGAAAGCCTATCCCTAAGGAGGATCGGGAGCGCTCTAGTTGCTTTGGTTTCTCCGGTCTCGACGTGACGATTCTTGATTATGGACTTTCCCGGGCTCACGCTGATTATCAACTTGAAGACACCCAACCGATTGCTTATGATCTAGAAAGAGATTTAAGTATCTTCAGCAGCGAGCACGCACCACAATGTGAAGTTTATAGGCGGATGAGATCATTCATGCTACGGGGAGATCGCACATGCCTACCACCACAAAGTCATAAAATAGCTTACGAAGAAGGTATCGATGGGCCAATAATATGGGCACGACACGAACCGTATACAAACGTTTTATGGCTTGCGTACATCTATCAGTGGATGATTAAGCATTTCAAGGGCCTCAAGAAGGAATTAAACGCCTTCAAGCGATTGACGAAAGAGTTTTGGACATACCTCGACCCCGACGCGGATGACAGCGTACCTGGTTTTGGCAGTGCTAGTGATGTAGTGAGGTTCGCTTTAGAATCGGGATGGATTGAAGAGGACCAGTTGATGGGTGTTAGGGATGAGATTGAGAAATCGATATTATCGATTCTAACAGATCACGATCGAAGAGGGCTAGATGAGGAGGTCCCTATAGAATCATCTCCTCGAAGGTCACCAAGAAGGCGCCAACGAAATGCTGTGTAAATTAATATTGTATTATAATTGGCGTTGGCATTGGCGCATGTCTCAGCGGTATTGATTTTCGAACTACGTTAGCTGTCTTATAGAATACCCACGTATTATTCCAAATTACACCAAGGCAATTCGAATACAGTTACATTCCTCAAGGTTGACCTACACTCGCTATATTAGACTATGATTACTATTGCTTAGGTACACTAGCAAAATTAACTAGGAAGATAGCAGCAATTCCTTTCAACGGAATAAATGAATAGGCATGAGACATAATTGTGCTCTAGGAATTGACTCGCTCTATGGCATATGTATTTATAGTTCGCGTCACAACATAGCCTACCCGCTGAATGATCCCATGACCAGTATGGTAGCGGTCTACGACGTATTATATCCATATTGTATAGCGGTGTCAATCATATATACTTACGAACCGGTGAACCGTGATGCAGCGTCGTGCTACAAGTACTATCGACATATGAATAGATGCGAGAACACCTTATGGAGTCGACGAGCCACCCGAACCTGAACTGGTGCGGTGTAGACTAGATAGGCTACACCTTAGCCGCCAAGCGTTCGTTGTGACCAACTCAGATGCGAACGGGACTGTCGTATATATATAGCTATATGCTTTCGCGCCAAGGAAAGATCTACGCTGTCGAATTGATTGGATATGCAGATCAAGTTTCCCAGCCGCGCGCGATGGTACAGCGGGAAGAGCTTGGTTTTTGAAAATGCAAGGTGAGGCGGTGGACTTTTCAGCTCATCCACTCTTCCCGATTCCACCATCGTGGGTGACACAATATCTTAACACATTAACATATTGAACCTACCCGTCGGGATGGTAAACTATTGCCGGTGCCACGTCGTCCGACATTAGTTCCCGTCGCCTTGACAGAATTTACTGTGGTACGGATAGATGCTATCACCAACTTGTATGTAAGGTATTTGCTTCCATATGACCATAGTTTAGCTTCTTACGGCAACGGGATGACGAGCATATGCTTTTAGCTATTCTTCGCTACAAACTTGGCTTAAATCCGTCACCAGGGTGTGTACAATAAAATAATGAAATAATAAAACAATAAGATTTCGTCAATGCTTACCCTCGCAAAAAGAAGTCAATTTCAGGTGAAGAAAGATGAAAGTTGATAGAAAGTTGATTGGTATCCGGTTAAGGGGAACCGAGGAATAAGTTAGCAATAGCGGCAGCACCCGGGGTATACAACCAATCAGAACGCAAAGTCTATACCACACCACTTTATTGTTCCCACATTAGTGTGTTTCAGATCCGGCCGGGCTTAATGCAAATCAACTATAGGCAGGGGTAAGCAGACACAAGCAGGGACAGGTACAAGGTTACTTTCGTATCTTGCTTTCTTTTTTGATTAAAGGGGTAAAAGATCTGTTACCAACTTCTTCTTTATCCTAGCAATTATCAATACTTATCCCAGTACAGTGGCGTCGAGGTCTGGCCCACAACGATCGCTGACATGGTAGGTAAAGAAAAGAAGACTGCTGGAAACAAAACGAAACTTGATCCCAGTTTGTTTTCTAGCCGATCCCCTAAAACGCCTTACCGATCCTATCCACCAAGAATGGGAGCCAAGAGAGAGCTGAATAAACAACGACGACCAAGATGATATGAATGATTATGATTATTTTGAGAATGATACGACAAGTGCGACATGATCGCAAGAGAGAATAATAGAGATAGAATTTCATCGTCTATTCTCTACCAACTACCCCTATTATACGATCATATACGATCATCTATAACCATTAGGGCATCATAATACGAGAATAAGGACGAATCGCTTACGCCAATCTTACCCTCATCATGGAAGGTCACTTTTCGCGACTTTAATTCTGGATTCTTTTCCCTTTCTTTTGGGTCCGTTTGAGAAAAGAAAGTGGGCTTTGCCGCTTACACCATTACCCAAGCCTGCCCAGCCATGCCATTCCCCTGCATGAAGAACTCGGCGAATAGCTTCGCGCCACCCATTCTTCAACTAGCGTGGCATACAACCTGACCTATCACGCCTCACCCTCCCGCACCAGCTAGAATCTGCCAACCCCCTATCCCGTCCCCACTTCAACATCCAACCCGTTCCTAGTTCCTGATTCCCACATGCATACTGTACCTATCAAGCTATCCATGAGATTTTTTTTTTTTTTTCCCTTACTTGGCTCGGTGGCCTGGCCACTCGCCAGTTATACCCATACCCGCCTAGGTAAGTACCTAGACCTCGTAGCTGAAGAGTTCCTGTTCCACTAATTAATATACAAACTCCTCGGTAGCCTGGTCTGTTCTCTCCTTTTCCTCTTCTCTCTCTCTCAATACCTCTTCACCTTAACAGTATCCTCTCTGTTGTGTTGGGCTTTAGCCATTTCATTCTTTTCTTGTCAACTTCCCTCTTTCAGTGCTCCGCCGGCTGAGTTTATCATTCATTTCACCAAACAAATCTTTTGTTTGTCCCCTCTTTCTTGGACAGGTCCCTGAATCAATCCTCTCTGAAGTCAAGACTTTTGAGTCATCGTACACGAAAACAACCTGTTAAGACAGTCTTTATTAAAACCGTGCTCCGGTATCAGCATTTTGAAGAATTACATTCTCTGAGACAAGGGCTCTAGAACCTACAGTACCATTACTCGTCCATCACACAGAATAACATACCTAGAGGTACACGAAAAAAAAAGGAGAAACAAACGAAACAAACATGAGGTTCACAACAATCAGTGCTCTGGCCTCCGTGGCCCCTTTGGCCATGGCAGTCAAGACAGAAGGAACATTTGCTGTTATGCACTTTACCCGTAACCAGTTTTTAACTGAAGGTCCTATGGACCCCGTAGTCAACCCCGGAGAGCAGGCAACCCATTACCACAGCATTATGGGAGGAAGTAACTTTGGTCTCTCCACCAGAGGGGATGACCTCTTGAGCTCAGACTGCACTACGGCTACCATCAAGAACGATAAGAGCAATTACTGGGTTCCAAGTCTTTTCTTTCAGGACCCTAAGGACCCGACCAGCTTCGAAAAAGTCCCCCTGTACTACATGAACGTCTACTACTTGTAAGTCGCTACCCCTTATTGCAAGCGTGAATATATGATATATTTTTGGCTAACTCATATTTAGTTTCGAGGCTACTAACGGCACCATTGAGCCGTTCCCCGTCGGCTTGAAGATGTTGAGTGGTGATGCTCAAACTAGGGACCCTCCTAAATTCGGAGGTGGAAGAAACCTTGATCCTACTCAAGGACCAATCCAACCAGTTCAATGGACTTGCCCTCGACAGAGCTACGACCCACCTTCATATCCCGTTGACTCGAACGGGACTATGGCGGGTCTACAGGATCCTGGTAATCAGGGTGCGGGTGCGGGTTTCCCCTTCTACGACTGCGACGGCACCTACTCTCCTCTCCGACAGGATATCCACTTCCCTTCGTGTTACAATCCCGAGGTTGGAATTGATGACTACAAGAACAACATGGCATGGCCGACCACAGTTGATGGACTTGAAACGTGCCCGGCAGGATGGGTTCACGTGCCTCATCTGTTTTACGAAGTCTACTGGGATACCCCCTCGTTCAAGGACAGGTGGACCCCTGATGGAAAGACGCAACCTTTCGTTTTGTCTAACGGAGATGCTACTGGTTATTCTTCGCACGGTGATTTCATCTCTGGCTGGGATACGGATACGCTCGAGACCATCATCAACACTTGCAATGCCGGTACTACCGGTATGGAGAAGTGCCCTAACATCCCAGGTGGCGTCAACGACAACAAGGACTGCTCAATCGCGCCTGCTATTGGTACCCTAGTAAAGGCTTCCCAAGTTTTGAACGCACTCCCTCTTAACTGCCCCGTTACCGGTTGGGGTAAGGGTGGTGTATCTAGTGGTAGTGGCAGTGACTCGAGCTCATCCGAGTCATCGTCATCACAAGCAGCCAGCTCGACCGTGAGTACCATTCGGATTCATTTGTTCCCCTCTTTAGTATACACAGGGAGCCTGTTCCTTTTCTACGGCCGTACTTTCTTACCAGAATGATCAAATTTCTCGGATGTTGGCCAAGTCTCTGAGACATAGTTACTAACTCCAGATCCCCTATAGTATGCTGCAAGCAGCGCCGCCGCAGTGACGAGCCAAGGGACCGTAGCGATTGAAACGACTCCGTCTGCCTCAGCCCCCACCGGTAACGCCTTCCTCCAGCTTTCTAATGAAGTCTCAAGCTCTTCTGCCGTAGTCGCGGAACCCGCCGTTACCGCAGCCGCTGAGGCCTCATCTGAGGCTGCAGACCCCAACGTCTCAACAGTCTGGGACGTGGTTACCGTGACCTCCACCACCACCGTCGCTCCCGCATCAACCCCTGCCCCTCTCCGCCGACGCCGTGCTCCCCTACACACTCACGGCCATATTAAGCGCCACATGCACGGTTCGTTCGCGGGCCGCCGATAAGCAAACGTGTGTATATCGGGCACTCACATATTCGATTCTTTGTGTATACACACAACTTTTTGTTAGGGAATGCACGGCGTAGCTGGGGGTGGATAGCATGATAGAGGTTTTGCGGGAGGGTCATATCATCGTGGATATCATTGATTGGATTGGACTTTTTTTTTATTTGTTTCTATGGATACCTAAGCAAAGCGGGAAGGCTTGAAAAGCATACCAGGACCAGCGATGAGATTAACATTCTGCTGTTGATACCTTCTTCTAGCGTGTGCAGGGCATAAAGCTCACTCAATTTCCGGGGAGACGGTTACCGATGTACTTTTATCTTGCCATGTAACCTATACCTCACCCGATTTCACTTCTTGATGTACTATATTTACATACAATTTATCGAACATAAAGTTCAAATCGGCCTACATAAGTTTCTTTGCACTGATGTCATTAATCTCCGGTGTTCGTATAGTCCAAGCCGGGTAATCGGTGTATGTCGACGCCTCCCTTACTTCCAGCTAAACGCCTTCTACGTGAACCATATCCAGCTAACGGAGAAAATCGTTCAATAGTTCTTATCCAGGCTCTTTCGGAAATTGATGGAAATGACATAGCTCACTTTCCACGTCTTCTTACTGCCAACTTATCAATATATATACATATCTATAACCTACAAATTAGACACCTGTGGTAATGTCGACGTGGAAGATATAAATAATCATCCCACAAGGCAACCATACCAATCATAAGAACACTGCACTCGCGGGATTAGACACATCACGGATATAGTGGGTAGATTAAATTGATCTGGTTTAATTTCAATCACCGAATCCATTCCATTCGCCCTCATCGGCACCACTTAAATCGCTGTCGCTGCTAGGCTCACTTAAATCGCCAGAGCCCATGGATTCATCCTCTTCTTCATGCTCGACTTGCTCATAATGACCATCTTGAGTGGATTCATTATTAGGGAGGCTACCTCTCAAAGTTTCAGGCCTACATTCTAGCTTGGAAGTCGGCATACCTAGATGATCCCTAATGATCCGGCCATTCTCGTCGCGGATGTAGGGGCCGTCGCCATCCTCGAGGCCGGGACGTACGTCACGGACAAATGCAGCTACGAAGAAGCCCATGACACCTCTTCCGTCATCTTTGTATGATCTAATACACGCATCAGCAACCTCGGCATCTCCATCACTAGCGTCGACAGATCCCCGAACGGGCCACTCGCGAAGACCTCGGACCTGTCGGTCTCGTGGTAATATGCGCCAGCCTCTCTGTTTACCGACATCCGATTGTAAAGCTTTCAAAACAACCTGTTCATTCTCTTCAGCGTGAATCGAACAAGTTGAGTAAGTGATTCTCCTAGCTGCGGGAAACTTGAAAGCATGAAGAAGCAGCGTTAGCTGGAACGAAGATAATGCTTCTAAACGTGCTTTTAGTTCCTTTTCGGAAGAGACTAGTGTCTCCTTTCCATCGTCATCAACCAAAACTGGCTGAGCCTTTTTCTTGCCATCGTCGTTGGTCTCACGCTTACGCTTTCGGCGTGAATCAGATAGCTGGCTCTTAGAAGAACCCGGAATATCGGGCAGATGTACGGTGGGCATGTCGTCCCTCCCGACTATACCGCTACCCGAGCAACTCGGGTCAAGCAGAAGGCAACCAACATTCGAGAACAGGTCGGAATTTGGATCAGCTTTAAGAAAATCTTGGCCAAAGTTCATTCGAATGATATCCTTAGCACCTGCAAGCTTGACCATCTTCTCTAGCGTACGCGAGCGTTTCGAGTCCTTCTCGAACGCGTACACGGTCTGCGTAGGTTCTTCATTCTCCGGAATCCGGGAATGCACAATAGACGCAAGATGCGTTGTCTTGTTTCCAGGGGCGGCGCAAGAATCGATGACATCGCCATCTTCAACGTGAGGATCTAGTAGATAGGCGGGGAAACAAGAAGCTTTATCTTGCAATATTATGGCCCCCGAGGTATACGCTTCTGTTTTCGCAAACTCGAAGCTTGGAGATACAGCCAAGAGATTCGGCACGTGCTCATCGACATATAGAAATTTTCCGGGCGTAGCAGTGACTTCACTGACACTAAGTACTCTAGAGAAAGTAGCAAATGTAGTTGCTAATTGGTCCTCAACCGTTGTTTTGAGAATATTCACACGTACCCATCGAGGGTAAGCGGCTGCTTCACCTAGAAACTCGGTGGCTATCTGTTCCCTCAATGCCTCGAGGGATCCAGCCTTCCTTCTTAAACGTGCCCTGGTGAACTCAGCATTTAAGCGCGCCTTATGACGCTCAATAGAAGCTCTCAATCCATGAGTGGCTGGTAGTGCAATGCCTCCCTTTGCGAGAATATAATCATGGACGAGCAGTAGAGCTAATAAAGGGCTAAGCTATTGACCCCTAAGTAATTAGCCAGGCCGGAAATGAGTGATGCCGGGGGAATTCCTTCATATGACGGCTACTCACCTTGCGCTCGTGTCTCAATAATTCCGATTTATCGATGACTTCTTTTAATACCGGACTCCATTTACATGTCTCAAGAGCCAAGGCATAGACCTGTTGTTGAGGAGACTTTAAATCTTTCTTGCCGAAGACGCCGGTCTTCAGGTTGCCGCCGGCAGTGGATGATGTTGCCGAGAGGATTTCGGCTGTCTCATGGTATAAGGACATCGTTCAGGGTGCATGTTCAACTACATGCTCAGGGGTCACGAGATTCTGCCGACCCGCATGACGGAAGCGGGTTGTTGAATACGCGGTTGTAATCGTAAAAATAAAAATAAAAATAAAATAAAAAAAAGTTGAAAAAAGATAGTGGAGATCTACATGTACCTAAGATACCTAGGTACTACTATGCATGTCTTGGGATCTAAACCTTCAATCGATAACAGTCAATCTCCACAATCCCCACTAAGAGATACTTAACATATGCACTCCGTAACCTTATGAGTTTAAGTACCGATATCTACCCGTTCCGTTAAGCTTGGCGTAAGCCTTGAATACTACCCGAATAAGTACTTAGATACATAGATACTTGAGTAGGTATGCCATTTTTTTCTTATTTTTCCTCCTTTCAACACAATACATTGATATATGTACCAATATATGCAAGACAAACGCGGCTGATACGCAGTTCTTCATATTCCTAAAAAAGCACTATAGCTACATTACGACAGACTCGAATTGAGATGGTCTGACTATCACCCGTTATTCGTCAAGGTGGCTTCAATAATCCTCTTCACTAGACCCTCCCTTGGTAAAAAAACCTCGATTTTACACAGATAATTACCCAAATAGGTTCTTCTACATCTACTGGCTGAGAACAGGTTTCGCCCTACCAATCTAGCTGCGTAGCTGAAGGACCCCAATATGGTGGAACAACCTCTAAACTCCGGTATTGTCCTACATATGCAGCATCGTTTATATGTCTCATCGAATACCGATCGCGACCTATTCACAGTTATGAATCGAGTCGGGAAGGCCCTCTATCCGAGGAGAAATCTAGGTAGGAATATTTGTTGGAAGGGCAAACAACGACCATATGGTTGCTTAATAGAGAAGGAAAGCCGGTTCATAGATGATGACGATATCTCAAAACACCAATAGGATGGTGCGTTTTTGTCAAAGATTAGCAAACACCATCGGGTGGTGACACGGACAGTGACCATGTAATAAAGTCCGCCATCATATCCAAATACGGCTATCTACAGTCCGTAGCTCATATATGACAAAGTCCCGGCCAATTATACAATGCACACAGATCAATTTTATGCAATGATTAGATGGCGGAGATCGGGTTCTCAAGTCCGTATCCACTATAGCATACATCCAATTCGCTCGTTCTGGGATGGCTTGCATCATAGTAATATTACGAAAAAACGCCTTACTCGCCTACAGAGCGTACGGGACCGAACCAATGATTTTTTCCTCGTTCTTTTCACTTCCTCCTACATAATACCAACCAACAGGTTTTCTTTATTAACATGCACTCGGACGATCGGGTGATCGGCGTCTAATCGAGTCCGACTTGACATTCAATCCTGCTCAGGCCAGGTTCAAGCCACGCGACGTGCAAAATGGTCACATTATCATGATCCTGGATTACGCCTCGGTCCCGCGTACTTTCACCTTCTAAATCTTCTCAGCTCTATTACTAAAGATAAGACAACGAGAAAATCCGTCTCGGGTATTCGTACTGGAGACACTACCTTGTGAGAAAAGTTGAGTCGAAACGCCGGATGAGGATTGTGATACCTACAAAATCACCAACCACGTGGCTGATATCTTGGGGTTGAATTCCGTCCTTCGTTCCGTTATCCACTTTGATACAACCACTCTGACATGAATAGGCCAATGTCTAGATGTCGAATTCATAAGCAATGGGCAACAGCTCAAACGGGAAGGATAAGAATCCTTGCCACGGGAAAATAGAGAGCGAGCCTCAAACGAACCCGACCCGAACGTATATAAGTGAAGTATCTTATACGTGTATAAATATATACGGATTTAATGTCTCATACACAAGCCATCTACATGTGTAAGTATATCTAATATAAATGGACTTGAACCGGGTTTGCAACGAATTCCGGTAGGCAACTCCCGTGTCATTGTCACCCTCTATCCGCACACTCCACTGATCCGTCAGGTTGGGTCTTCTTTTGAATCTGTTGCAACGCTGGTGATCCATCCAATTCTGCAACGTTGACGTTGTAAGAACCGATGGTCCCGATCAAAGGTGTGTCATTTGGGATGTGATGTACGCAATCATTGGATCCAGGGGGGAGGGCTTACAGCATATCATGAAAGTAGATAGCGTAAGTCCTGCATGCCATCCCCTTAGCACTTGCCTACGGCTACTAGAGTAACTTGTTCGGCACCGTACCTAAATAATATTAGCGCCCATCCCGATAGTCCGGACGGCATCGTTCCCCAGCTCAGAGACAGCTAGCGGTAAGTTCCATACCTTTGTATCACATTGCATAATCTTGCATAAGTCATATATGATTGCTCACCGTCTCACAACAAACATGCTAGATATGCCCTTATGAAGACTGGAACACCGATGTGCCGATTACATATAGTATAAAGTAAGGGCACGTTACCTAGGTACTCCGGACCTGAACAAAGGAATGTATATACAGACTATGTACCTGTCTAGTTAGAATGGGAAACCCCGATGGGCTATTGATATAACTTGGACATCCCCGTAGCTCCTTTTACATATCCTGCGTTTCTTTATTCCCTCGGTGACCTATTCCAAGGAAAATAATCTTGTAGCAGCCGAGAAATTGGAGAGATCAGGTATATCTCAAGCCTAGCCGAGGCTAGTGAACTCATTGACCATGCCGTCAGAAGACTCTTCTTCGTCGTCCCAATCGTCCGCCACGATGACGGAACCCGAACGTGATGTCGAGTCGCAAAAATCTCATAAGGACTTACCTTACCACAGGCGCCAGTTCGACCTAGCTGCCGTCACTCCAGCAGTATTACAATGGCATTACAGAGGCAGCGGAACCGCCGAGGACCCCTACATAGTCGACTTCCTCCCCGATGACCCCAAAAATCCGATGAAATTTCCGACATGGAAGAAATGGGGAATTACTCTCCTACAGGCCCTCGCAGTTCTCGCTGTCACTTTCGTCTCAACAGCCTACTCAGGTGGAATTAGCGATGTAATCCGCGAGTTTAAGATTAGCGAAGAGGTTGCAATTCTTGGGATTTCGCTATTCGTTATTGGTTTTGCTGTAGGGTGCGTATAAGTCTGTTTACTCTCAACTCCCATGGCATTTTGTACTAATATTTCCCTATTAAAAGACCTATAATATGGGCACCCATGTCTGAAATGTATGGCAGACAGATAATGTTTTTCTTCACAGTAAGTTGGCACCCGTTTCACAAAACGTTTTCCCTGAGACATGCAAGACATACTGCTTGACAACCCGTTGAAAACAGCCACTGACGCGACGATACCGCAGTACATGGCGCTGACAGCGTTCAATGCTGGTTCAGCGGGAGCGCCTAATATCCAAACATTAATTATTCTCCGTTTCTTTGCCGGTACGATTGGCAGTTCGCCACTAACTAACGCCGGCGGTGTCATTGCCGATATGTTCCCAGCCACCCAGAGAGGAATAGCTACCGCTATGTTCGCATCAGTAAGTAATTAACTATGACGCCGCGCCCCCTGTGCAACTGTGCATCAATTCGGATGTGTGAAGGCTAATTTCATACTCTCTAGGCCCCTTTCCTAGGTCCAGCTATTGGTCCGATCGCCGGTGGCTTCCTTGGTGATGCGGGAGGATGGCGATGGGTTGAAGGTCTAATGGCATGCTTCACTGGCCTCCTTTGGATTCTCTGCACTTTTCTTGTTCCTGAGACCTATTCCCCTGTTCTTCTTCGAAGGCGCGCAGAGAAATTATCTCAAATTACCAACAAAGTCTTTGAATCCAAACTTGACGTCGGTAAGCCCAAGAAAACCGTGGGCCAGGAGTTTAAAATCGCCCTATCGCGACCCTGGATCATGCTTTTCCGCGAACCTATCGTCCTTCTACTTTCTCTTTACATGGCAATTGTATAGTGAGTAATACCTTGTCCCTAGAACAGTGGTGGAGAAAAGGGGGAGAGGACAGTGAAAGTTAACACAATCTTTAGCGGAACCTTGTATATGATGTTTGCTGCCTTCCCCATCGTATTCCAGCAGGGGCGTGGCTGGTCTCCAGGAATCGGTGGTCTCGCCTTCTTGGGTATTGCCGTCGGCATGATGTTCTCGGTCGGCTACAGCGTAATCGACAACAGGAGATACGCAAGGATCTTCGCTGCCAATGGCGGGAAGGCTCCACCCGAGGCACGATTACCACCCGCTATAATAGGATCCGTTCTCTTACCCGTTGGACTTTTCTGGTTTGCTTGGACTAACAGCCCCTCGATCCACTGGATTGTGTGTATCATTGGTTCAGCTGTCTTCGCCTCTGGTATTGTCTTGGTGTTCTTGAGTTCAATGAACTATCTCATGGATTCATGTAAGTCTGGGGACATTACTTCTTTCTACCATAATACAGTAACTAACGTAAATACTAGATGTCATCTATGCCGCCTCGGCACTCGCCGCCAACTCCGTATTACGATCCATATTCGGTGCCGCGTTCCCACTGTTCACCACAGCTATGTACAATAATCTGGGCATCCACTGGGCCAGCTCTATACCCGCTTTCCTCGCTATCCTTTGCCTTCCTTTCCCAGTCTTGTTTTACCGATACGGTGAAACTATTCGGATGAGGTGCAAGTTTGCTGCCGAAGCCGCCGACGTCTTAGCGAAAATGCGGACAAGAACCAACGATGGTCGATCAGGACCACCACCGCCGCCACCCGCACCCGCACCAGAATCTGAATCACAACCTCAGACGGATAGCGAAAAGAAAGAGGAATAGAGGAAATATTAGGAATGAGGTAAAGCCAGAGATAATCACAGCTTTATGAAAGTTACGAATAGGCTCGGATAGAAGAGCTAGATACGCGGGAATACGGGCGCTTATGGGTATGGTAATATCAGGTAGGGGGTTTGGGGCGCATTGATAGAAAACATAGCGATCGTTAAGTTTATCGCATTGCATTTGGGATTTTGGAGGGGCGGTGAATTCAGTTCACCAAGATACCAAGGACATTAGCAACTTTTGCACGAGACGCCGATACACCTCCCATATAGTAATCAAATCAAAATAATACTCATTTTTGAAACCTGCCTCTCCCCTTTAACATTGTTATACGATATAGATTATCCTATAACTCATCGCGACCGCCGACTCTGATCTTGACACCGGGTATGTTCCTCATAGAGACCTTTTGTGTAGCCTTAATGCGCCCGCCTAGGTCATCATAGGTAGTCGTCACACCCGGCGGCGTCCAAGGCTTGATGCGTCCCTGCCACACGTCCATCCCCCAACTCTGGAGTTCGCTCGAAGTCCAACCCCTACCTTTGGGGTAGGGGTAGATCCTATCTTTAGAAAGCTGATGAACGGCACCCGTCGGGAGTGATTCCGGGTCGAGACCAAGCTTGGGAAGCAGCTCGGGGAACTCAAGTGGGTCAACTATGACCATAGTCAGACTCTTGTAGTACCCGCGGGCCATCGAGTGCAGGGCCTTGCGAATCTCTGTACGCTTAGCTTCGGTGGCGGCGAACACATATACCATCGACCAACCACGCTATACAATCGTCAGTCTAGATCAAGTACTAATAGCCACGAGAACGTGGGTTTCAATTAGCTTACATCGAGGAATCGCTGGTGATTATGCGGAAGAAGCTCCCCTATCACAGGCCGCGAAGCATCCTTGACAAATTTCTCCAGTGCAGCTACATCCGACGGACCCCCAAACTCGTGCGTATCGCCGTCCAGTGGCTTGTAGCACTTGACCAGTGGCGCCGCCACCCCCTCTTCTACCAGCGTAGAAGCGTCCGTAATAACACCGAATGTGAACTCTTCGTGGTATTTGCCTGCTACTTCGGTGAATGCAGCTTTAGGGGCTTCGTCGCCTGCATTAAGATACGCAATGAATACGGTCTCGTCCGTCTTTTTGAAATCTTCTAGCACTGTGGCGCTAAGTTCAGAAACGATAGGACGCTGGACACGGTCGGCCCAGGCGAGGATTCTGTTGGGTGTCAATCGAGTCTCTTACTATAAATGTGGTGAGGAATTCAACGGACGCTGATGCCCTCCGAGGGCCATTATATGTCGCTTTAACCTTGCCTTCTTTAAACAGCTTAACGACCGATGTTGAAGCTACTCCATGTGAAGCGCATACACTTAGGTTTGCAGCACAATCTATGCTCACGAACGGCGATCGAGCCTCTGGAACAACCAGTGCCCATTCTGTTTCTAGGTGTTCCGTTTTCTTGCTACATCCGCATCTTTAGCAGCTATTCCCGGCAGAGGGGGCTGGGGGCTGGGAAGTTACTAACTCCGAAGGCTTTAACACAAACCAGCATTAGCGTACCCAGTCTGAAGAGAGCACTTGTCCACTAATGATAGAATACTTACATTTACAACTATTTCAATATTAGCTCTGTATGTGTAGGTATGTCTTTCAGCAGCTTTTCACTTACAAGCCACTATGACGGTGTTGTCATCGCTAAGAGCCGATTGGAGCTCGGGCTCGGAAGCATGCATCCAAGCATGCGTAACACCACATAAAATACCCAGAGACAATGTAATAATTCGCATCATGATTTAATGATACCTACCTAGGTAAGTTAGATTTAGATGTTGTTGGTCTTGAGTTCGACTTTCATTCTTAGAATTATGAAAAGAAGGGATGGATGATGTTTATGCCAACGCTTGAAGCCATTAACTAGTTTCATCCTTAAAGAGATTAGTTCGTTCGTGATGTTTGAGGTTATCGACTACCCCAACGGCCCGTCAGGCACTGTTAATGACGCATCATCTTGGCGGATGTTCATTCAGGGGTAGGCCCCTTTAACACCAACGTCGATAAACATGTTATAAATATATCATCGTCCTATTAATACCTAACGCCAATCTATATACATCTATCTAATATGAGTACAGGAAAATCTATATCGTCCATCGAATTCATCGCTGTCGCTAGAAATTACTTCTTACATGCAACTCATTTGTTCTGGAGCATAATTCCATCGTCTTCGCTGGTGTTACCAGATCCCTTGAGTCCATTTCCTAATGGCAAGAACACAAAGCCGGGGTGGCCCACACATAAAACAAGAACGGAGACGACGATAAGGACACCCTCGAGCCCAATGAAGAGAGGCTCATTGTGGATTAGGTCGCCCGTGTACCCATCGCTCAACTCTGCCACTCTGTATGCGCATCGGGCTAGGATTAATACGACCGCGGAGCTAAGGAAGCCCAGAAATATCTTAAGGCGAGGTGTGATGATCGATCGATCCGCGCTTTTGAAGTATCGGAACATGTAGTCTGCCAAGAGACTACAGAATACCACCATGGAGAACACTTGAAGACTTAGCCCGGCGAGGGATAGGTTAACCGCTGCTTTATTCTGACCCGAGCTTGTTGTCGATAACGCACTACACCATGATGTCTTCGAGTTAGCAAACGTTAATTGTAAGTACCATCGTCTCCGATATCATATGATACCACAGGCACGAGGGATAGATAACAGGATTGAAAATAAGAAAAACCCTTGCTACATACCCGCCAACACCTTGTAGTACGAGACAGAAAACATCGGATATAATAAAAATGATGTAATATAGTCTAGGTTGAATTCTAGATAAGGACGAATCGAGACTCTCAACAATCTTCGCCATCGTCACGTAAATTGCTGCGGTGTAAAAGATCGGAGCACAGGCGATGCAGACTATCAATGAAAGAGGTAAATATGTTTCTTTTGCTGGAGTATAGTGTCCAAGAGGAATCTCGGTCATAGGGGAGACTTACTGATTTGCATCATGAACCCAGGAAAGCTGAATGGATTATAGAAAAGCATTATACGCCCTCCGTAACCGATGATCTCCAGTAAGCAGCCCGTTACTAGGCAATACATAAACCACCAACTCCTCCATAGCGTTCCGAGGATACTATGAGCGAATAGTAGGAGGCTGTATAGACATATGAAAGCGATGCTACTTCCGAGAGATGGGCGATACTGTAATACGGAAGATTCTATTGGACATAGATCCAAATTACAGTTGGCATCGGGGCCGAATGCTATAAGTCGTACCCCATCCATCGTTAGCCTGGGCTTCAGAGGAGAAAGAAAGAAAAGGGAGAATAGGAAACAAGGAATATGGTGAATGGTATAGGCGGAACAACTCGTAGGTGACAGTCACAGTTGTCAAGCTTTACAGTTACGAAGATTCGATTGTACACTATATAAGATTTTTTTGTATATGTGATGACGACTGATTTCTAGATATATTCAGCGTTTTCTTAAGCTAATCCCCCTATCCGAGCCATCCATCGAGAAGCCTGCGCCCTAAGGATTATCGTCACCATTAGGCAGCTCGAGTCAGGGCACAGCACAGCCATATAACGCCATTTCAATGGGCACGGGGTAATTCATGAACCAGATCAACGACAACGTCTCTGATAATGCGAGTATATGGATGCCTAATGAACTTTCTATAGACGACCTGACCAATTATATGAGATTTCGCACTCGCTTAACAAAGCTGACTAGGTATACACTTGTGGGTAGGCCAAGGAATCCGCGGGGCGCGCTACGGCGCCCGAAGACGATTTGAGAGATAAGCGAATACGGCGAATACGATAAAATCTTGGGATCGGACAAAATAAGATCTAATCCGACAAGTCTTGAATACGTAGATCGCCTTTGTGTGCGAATTGCGGATTATTTCAGGTTGGTTTTATAATCCGCTGATGCTGTGAATGTTAACCTTCTGACTAGGTCGTATGCCGGATTTGAGACGGGGTCGTCAAAAAATACAATCGAGGGTGTAATTGATTCGCAATGTGGCGTCCTTTTATCGTAGCCTTGAAGCCTCAATACTATCAGCACATACCACCATTTCTTGTGAGAATTCGCAAGAACATTTGGATATAGTTGACGTCTATATCAAACTCTGCATTTGAAATGATACTGAGCGTTGTAGGGGTTTCAGGAAAGCATATCATGTTTATTATGCGAAAAGAAGTCTAGTTGATACTCATATCGGTCAGAATAGAACCCCAACTAATTGGTTGGAGGTTACACTGGCCATTCATACCCAAGTATCTCCCTAGGTTGGCTAGTTAGATCTGATCTGCCATGGAGTGTTACGATGTAGCTGATGCCCAGGTGGCTAACAAATGATATTCTGCTATCAAGTATGAGGGGGATCACTTGAGCGACGAGAGTATCAAAGACTGCAGAGTGGCTGCAGTAGTATGCCTAATGCAGAATCATATGATATCATAGAACAATGTGAAGACTGATAGGTCCCAAGATGAAATAGGGATAGCATTAATGCACTTAGGTATTGATATACGGGTGTAATTCTAAAATAAGGAGGGTCTTGGCGGTTGGTGATATATCAGAATACTCAAGAGGGAGTCGTGGTTGCAATAAGTTGCTCGCTGGCTCTTAACGTATTTACCGCGGGGATTCAAATACTCCATCGTAAGACATGCATATACATACGTAGCAGACAGTGAGACTTTGAATCAATTATCTCACGATGTGACTAAGTTCAGGAAAACGCCACCGCGTCAAGTTAGGCATATCAGCTACAAGCCGGATGATTCTACGGAAATTATTTGAATACCGAAGGGCTACCAACATAAATATTACAAACGATATCTCTTTGGATGCTGGGCAGTAATTGGTTCAATATCTATTACATGGCGGTAGACGAATTGAGAACCTCAAAAGCCCTCAACCAACCAACCAACCAACTTCACTGAAAGCGTCGTCATCTTAGTCGCGACCGACGTACAAATACAAAAACTAATGGCTAACATGGAAAGCCTTAATATCTTCTGAGATGTATCGGTAAATGTGACGTTACTCAAAGTCATAAAACCCAAGAACACAGCCCCAATACGGAGGTTACAAGGGGTGGAAAAAACGAAACAGGGACACTACAACGAATCACAATGGCCGGAATACGATCTCCACCAACCCCTAATTTCCCGGTCGCGTGCATTTCAGGAACACCAACCTATAATTGAACAGCTCCTCACAAGGATTCAAGATTGCACAGTAAGGAATAAAGTGACGATCGACACAGGACCCAGGACTAGTAAGAAGCGCTAAATTGTCCAACTACAACATATTTCGACTACACTAACAATTTCCAAGTCACCACGAAGAGAATAATATGCTTGCAAATACAGACATTGAATGGAGGTTTGTCATAGGCATTCGAAGGCCCATAAATGCAATTAGGAATTAAGTACATATGCAACCGAACCGCTTAAGTTCACGCCTCATATTGCCATTTGCCTACCAGGCTTTCGAATCATTAACAGAGAAAACCAAGACGGATCGCTTAAGCGAAGAGAAGAGCGGCAACACCGGCAGCAGCGGCGAGGAGGCCAGAGCCGGCCATGGTGGAAGCACCAGCAGTAGGAATGGGGCTGCCAGTGGGGTAAGAGGGAGTACCGGGGTTGCTGTTTTTTTTTTGTATGTTAGCAATTTGATATCATGAAATTCAAATATTCGGATCCAACTTACGAAGCGGTGTACGAGCCGGTGGGGTAGTTGCCAGGAGCACCAGGGGCACCAGGGACGCCAGTGCCAGCGGGGGCAGAGGGGCTGAGCGTCACAGTCGAGTAGCTGACGGTGGTGGTGGGCACGCAGGTGGTGTAGGTGACGGGAATCACGGAGTAGCTGGGCTGCTGGGGAGCAGGGCTGCTGATGGGGTAGGGAGCCGGGCTAGAGCTGGGGTAGCTACCGCCAGGAGCAGAGCCGCTGGGGGAGCCGCTAGGGTAGCCCGGAGCAGAGGGAGTCTCAGACGGGTAGCCAGCAGGCGAAGAAGCCGAGGGGTAGCCGGCGGGCGATGAGGCAGGAGCAGAGCCCGAGGGGTAACCGGGAGCCGAGGGGGTCTCGGCGGGATATCCGGGGGCAGAGCTGGAGCCGGTAGGATAGCCAGCGGGAGAGCTGGGAGTCTCAGCCGGGTAACCCGGGGCAGAGGCAGAGGGGGTCTCAGCTGGGTAGCCAGGAGCGCTGGAGCTGCTGACAGGGTAGACGGTGCTGGAGGTGACAGTCGACCTGGCAGGGCAGTTGGTGACGGTGGGAGCGCACGAGGTAACGGTGACGAAGTCAGTCGAGTAGATGGTGCTTCCGGCCATAGCGGCACCAGCGAAAAGAACAGCTCCGGTGAAACGCATTTTGAATGTCGTTGGTATTGAACGTGAAAACGAACAAGGTAGGTTTGTTTTAGAAGTGAAAAAGAATGTGATAAAGCTGTAAGCTTAAGAGCGTTGTGAAAGAATGGACGACCGAAGGTCAGAGCTGAGTCAATTGACTAGAATAGCGGTATTGGCTTTTGGGCTGAGGAAGGGAAAAAAGAAGAGGTGTGGACATGATGGAGGCGGTCGAGTATTAATAGGGTGACGAGCACAAAGGATTCCGAATAGGGGACGATCCTCGCAGCTTGGGAAATTAAACTGAATAGGAACCTCCATGGGACTTCCAACTAGCGCGTCCAGGGGGGTATCTTCTCAAGAAGCACATCGGCGGTGGGGAGTTGTGGGCGAGGACCCAAGTAACTATAGTAGAACAACTGGGGTTTGCCGAAACGCTGTGGGAATCCGCTCCGCTTCAGCTCGACAGCTAATTATTTTGACAATGGGTCCTGCTTTTTTCTTTTCCCTTGTCGTTGGCTTTGAAAGTCTCGTGGCTCTCTCGTTTTGCTTTGTGTGAGGCAACACAAGGGACCCCAAAAGGAGGTTTGGCCCGACATATCCTTAAAGACCAAGGACTAGGAATACTTGACTACTTTAGGTACTTTGTTGATGGTTGGTTACTCTGTGTGGTACTACAGCCGCTGTACGACTGCATCGTTACAACGCCTGAATGTATACACTAGCCAAAAGGTGAAGGTAACGGATAGACGGACGGCTGATTCGTTGGTGGAGGGCGCCGGCAGGGGACTTACTCCGCAAAAAACGACAATCTTCGCCACTTATAAGCAAGACTAGGATCTGAAATATAGCGGAGCTAAGTACCACCGAGAAAACCCTTTTTAGAAGATGAGATTGGTTCACCCCCGAGAGTTCACCAGCAAGCAAGCAAGGCAAGTTAGCATGAAGTGTGCGAGATGATGACATTCTATTAGCTACTAGGTATTGTGAAAGGAGAAACTACCTACCTAAGTTAGTTTTTTAATAGACTTGGCGGATTGAAAGGGTGAAAGAACATGCAGATTTTTCTAGACCTCGAATACATGACAACAAGGTCCATAATAATATGTATTAACAAAAAGTAGAGACAATGATGCTTTGTATCTTTTATGAGATCCATCTCCATGAAAATAGATAGAATCGTAAAAGGAATTTACTTATTACATGCTATAGACTAAGGCTTACGCGTCTGTGTTTGGCTTCTATAACAATACCTATACAGACCTCTAAGCACATTCTTATTCGACACCCTTCTCTTTCACCAAAGGCAAAGCCGATTATAGGAAGGTATTATAATAAGTATGGAAGGTATATTGATTTTTAGCTCACATCAAAGAGGTTGTGTGGACTTCCCCGCGGCGCGCCGCTGACACGTTCGTCCAATGTTTGCTTTTCTCTTCCTCAGGGGTATTTCTCCTTTCTAAGCCTATTTCCTCACAGACTCGGTGGCGGCAATCCTGTGCGTGCCAATGCAGCCCCGGCGTCGCAAACGTGCGCTAATGCAGGAACACATGTCCATCTTTCCAAGGATCACTATTCTGTAAATTAGGCCTCGAGATCTCCCCGTCTTGTCCGTTTAATGAAAAAAAAAAACATCAGGCGCTGAACCGTCGTATAACCTGAAATAGGCGCTCGCTTTCGTTTTCTATTACCCACCGAAATAAATTCGCCTTAATTCACCGCCCGGGTTCGCCATCGTCCACCCTTCTATCCTGGCATATATCATTGGGTATCGGATCAAGGGTTTATTTAATGAAAGAGGCGGACTGGCTTGTTTAGGCAACTGGCAGGTCACGGCGACTACGAAAATGGCGCAGCAAACATTTAACCCCCCCCCCTACAATTTCTCCCTGACGATCCTACCTAGGTAGGTACTTATGTAGATTTTAAGTCGCTAAGGCATAGACGGTCCCTGGTCTGCACTTTTCCCACCTGCCGACAAGAACTAAAGAACCAGCCGAAATAGAAAACGGGTCAAGTGTTAATGCTAAGTCTGTAGATTGATTACCTTCCCGTTCATAGGTAATCGTTCCTTATTCCTCTAGGAGAGTAAGATGGCCTTGTAAGAATGTTGCATGTGAGATCTGTTTCCTTGTCCAATCATGCTTTTGATTCCTTCGTCGAGGCGTGCGCTATGTATATACTTCTAAGACCATTATAGCGTTGTTAATTTATTGTTTGAAGGAAGAAGATCGACATTTGATTGCGTGTATGTATTTTGAGAACATCATGAACAGAAACTAGTCAGGAGAAAATATTTTTTATGTATGTAAAATGTCGTCATGTTTCTGGGCATTCCTTCGGTTGGAGCCAGCGCATTTTCACCCGACAGAATATATCCAGTTTTAATTAGGGAGAACGCACCGCTTTTTCGATATAGCGTGCCGTAAAAAAATACGTGAGCGTATTCCATAATCATAGTGTCTTGGTAATATGTGCGCTAGAGTCGCTCAGACCCATCACGTCTTACTTGTAAGTGATGGATCGCCAAATCGTCCCCGGTTCTTGGAAGAGCTTACTTTTCTTAGGCTTGGGCCCGTGGATCATGGTGGAAAAGGGAAAGGGGAACAGGATCTAATCAAACTGGAGAATCCAATCTCGGACTCATTTATCTTCTCGTATTCTAATCTGGGTCTTCTCCCCGTCGAATTGGGTATAACCAAATTGACCGCTGTTAGTATTGGTATTCCTAGACTGCAATTCTATCATTTATGCGGTATGATCCCCATCTCCTGAACTATTCTTCGCCAAGATTTAGCATGGTGACACAATCGATCTCGTTTTCTTTGAACAAGCTTTGGTGACATCGTGGTTCTAGATCAAATTTGAGTCAGTAGCCATGGTTAAGTGAGACACTCATGTACACCATACACACCATCGCAACGGTTTACCGATACAGTTCTGACAATGAACCTGATAACCCGCGAGCTCTGTCGTTAAGACTATTTGGCGTCGCAAATCCATGGTATACAATGTGCGAAGAATGTTGCGGTATTCCCAAGGTCCAATCGCGTGTCCCAAGTGTGGAGAGTACTGCCGTCTGATACCACGATTAACCAGCAACGACAGGAGTTGGATTCGCTTTCTATAGGTGATATGAGGCCAGTGGGCTTTGGTATTGAAGACCGAATTACTAATGTCGCCCGCGTCCTTAGTTTGGGGGGGATTTGTCAGTTGTGGTATCGCTGATTTTACTAATAGCTTCTTCGCAGTTTCCAGGTGCAGAGCAGCACGTTTGCTAGTCAACGGTCGACCGTGATAATGGTGTTGATAGCCGAAACATCCCAACGCCGTTTAACAAAACTCGTGATATCGTTGCGGACTGAACTATGTGAATAGTGGGCAAGATCACGGTTGTGGCGTGCTTTGGCTTTTTTCGGACTGTCTGTTAGCCCTATGGAGTGTTTAGCGTCTCTAGTGGTCGGCAATTAGGGCCTGACCTTTCGCCCGTGGATCTTGACCCGAGCTCGAATGACGATCTCATCGACATCGGATACCTCCAACTATCGCCCACTATGAAAATCCATCGAATGGGTTTGATAGTAGACAGAAATGGGCCAGCATAACTTGGTGAAGGACTGCGTATACCTTCTCAGATTCACTCGAGGTGTCGATTTATACCGAGAAAGCTGTTATCGATGATGCGGCGTGTGGAACAACTAACAGCCCCCGACCCGACGAAAGCTAAGGGAAATCGCGGAACCAGGCCAAATTAATTAATTTGCTATCACGAATATGTCGCCCTATTCACCACATGTAGGCTTCGTTCACCAGGCCTCAAATCCATTGCCCAATTCTATCGATTTGGCATCATGTCCAAAATTAGGGGTGAAGAATTGGGATGATACGCATATGATGTCGTCGTCTCGTGTTGGCTCCAAGTGAAGGTTCCAGTTCTGAACATCGTGCGGACAAGCACAGTCTACCTAGGTAGCTGTTCGGTGCACAGACGTACGCTTGCTTGCATAGGGCTGAATGGAGCGAATACCTGCCAAATAGCGCCGTATTTTGGTGTTATTTGTGATAACAGTTGCGCTAAAGGAAAATAACTATAGCATTGTCAAACTTGGGTTCAGCGCATAAGATATCATTTGGTGGTGAAACGGCAGGTAGGTATTTTAAAATATTTGCCCGAGATATATTGTAGCAATTGAATAAAATTAGAAAATGATGAAATACAATGCTCGTCTTATCTTTCTTTTTTTATGTGATTACATAATTATATGCATCTGAAAAAAGAAATACATCTTAAAACCTGGCCATAAAAAAGGAACAAATAGTATCATACTCTATCTAACACTAACCTTATATTTTAGGTGCCTTCCTTAAAGTATGCTCACCGCCTGCCCGCCTAGGCTTTTGCGCCTAAAATTGACGTGGTGAATGGGAATTTTTAACGCTAAAAGAAGTAAGTGGGGGAGACGGGCAGGTGGGATGCCAGTGCGGGCAGGAAAGAACACAACGAATGTCATCGTTTAACGACTGAATTCAGTGCCGAACCCAAAAAAAAGTTCAACCCAATTCACTATCAAATACCAAAATCGTCGACCATCAACTCTTTTCTCACACGACCACCAACGCGATCAATACCCTTTAATATTCAACAACATCAATTACTAAATCAAAGCTTGATAAAATAATACCTCTCTTCATTCACCCACCATCATAAAATATTTTTTTTTCTTTCGGCCTTCCTTGCTGATTTCCCCCCCATCGTCACCGACCTCCTTTGTCCCGCCCGATCATGGTAAAGCAGCATGCTGCATGAATCCACATTTACTGTAGCATTTCCAAACATCGTTGACACTTGATATTATCTGGGCAGAAGTTGAAGGGTTCGGATCCAGCATCTTGTCAAGATGGAATCTCAGGTATATATAATCATTAGTACCCACCACCACCGCCACATCATACCCATCGTACCTCTCTATATGATCGACCTTATGTATCACAGCTCCATTACTAACCACACACCTATGTATATATAGATCGAGAACGCCATTGAGATTGCATGGAATCCTACCTCCGACCAAGCCCTTAAAACCCAAGCCTTTGAATACCTAAACCAGTTACGTTCCGACCCTCAAGCATGGCAAGTCTGTGTTGGTCTGTTCACTCGAACACCCAGTCCCTCCGAAGTCGTCCGACTCGTCAGCCTTGAGATAGTCAACAACGCTATCCACATACAAGCTCTCGACCACCAGAGCCTAATTACCCTTCGAGATGCCCTCCTCGACTACGTGCGATCGACCTACAGCACTAACCGGCAGGCTCAGGCAGACTCATCCGGTTTACAGAACAAACTCACACAAACCCTCACGTTACTCTTTGTATCGCTCTATAAACAAGGATGGGAGAGCTTTGTCGACGATATTCTGGCCCTAACGAGTCTTCCTAGGAGTAGCCAACGCGATAACGTCGCCGGCGTCATCCTATATCTGCGCCTTCTTGGATCTATTCACGATGAGATTGCTGATGTCCTAGTTGTTCGTCAGGATGTTCAAGTTCGTAGCCACACTGAACTCAAGGACCTCCTGCGAGCGCGCGACGTGGGAAAAGTTGCCCAATCCTGGCAAGAGCTCCTTGCCCAATACGGAAATCAAAACGATGGCATAATTGAGATGACTCTCAAGGTTATCGGTAAATGGGTCAGCTGGATTGATATATCTCTCATCATCAACGATGGCATGCTGAACTTGATCCTTCCTTTTGTTGGACGTTCCAACGAGTCTGGCGGTGAAGACAAGGTTCGCGATGCCGCTATCGAGGCTTTTACCGAGATTGTTGGTAAAAAAATGCGTCCAGCTGACAAGGCCGAGATGATATCGTTCCTCAACCTACGGGATATCATATCGCAGCTTATTGCCAGCCCTCCCTTGAACGAGTTCAAAGGTACACCTCGATATGACACCGATTTGGCCGAAGCAGTTGCCAAACTTGTCAACACCGTCGTGGCCGACATCGTTCGCATTTTGGAAGATCGATCCACTGACGACGCCACTAGAGCAAAATCAAACCAGTTGCTCCACGACTTTATACCCCTGTTGCTGCGATTCTTCTCCGATGAATATGACGAAATATGTTCCACCGTAATTCCTTCCCTGACGGATGTCTTAGCCTATTTCCGTAAACTGTCCGAATTGCCGGCCTCTTTCTCCGAAACATTACCGCCGATTTTGAATGCCATTATCATGAAGATGCGCTTTGACGAGACGTCTTCTTGGGGTAATGAGGATGAACAAACAGACGAGGCCGAGTTCCAAGAACTGAGGAAGAAACTTCAGGTACTCCAGAAAGCCGTGGCAGTTGTGGATCAAGGCCTCTACATAGAGGTCCTGACCAATTTGGTTGCAAACACTTTCCAATCTCTAGATGAGCAAGGGTCACAAATGGATTGGAGAGACGTCGACTTGGCTCTTCATGAGATGTTTCTGTTTGGCGAGCTTGCGATGCCCAATCAAGGGCTGGGTACCAAGAATCAGCCTTCTCAAATTGCATCCGAGAGACTCGCGGCGATGATGACCAAAATGGTACAGTCAGGTATGTCGAACTCAGAGCTTCGCCAATTTGTCATTTTCTAACCGTTGTTTGACTAGGAATTGCAAACTTCCCTCATCCAGCAATCTTATTGCACTACATGGAGATCTGTGTTCGATACTGTGCCTTTTTCGAGAGCCAATCATCGTTGATTGGTCAGGTCCTTGAGAATTTCGTGCGCCTTGTGCACCATGATCACGTCAGGATCCGCACGCGGTCGTGGTACCTCTTCCATCGTTTTGTGAAGCATCTGAGAGCACAGGTCGGGAACGTTGCCGAGACGGTTATCCAATCCATTGGGGATCTTCTCCCTATCCAGGCGGAAGTGCCAGGGGAAGACGCCGATGACGATATGTCCTCGGACCAAACTGACAATTCAGCAGACGCCGTTTTTAACAGTCAGTTGTACCTATTTGAAGCGATCGGCTGCATTTCATCCACTGCCGCAACTCCCGTCGAGAAGCAAGCATTATACGCTCGCTCAGTAATGGACCCTCTGTTCACAGATATGGAACAACATCTCCCAAGAGCCAGAGCCGGTGACGCCCAGGCCATACTACAGATACATCATATCATCATGGCTCTTGGTACGTTGGCACACGGGTTTTCAGACTGGACCCCTGGAGCGAATTCTTCCAACCAACGGCCACCCCCTGCTAAGGAGCTGTCTGATGAGTTTGCCCGCGCCGCTGAGGCTATCTTGATTGCACTTAGCGAGTTGAATACTTCCTCGGAAATTCGTACAGCTTGCCGATCTGCATTTTCACGCTTGCTTGGTGTGCTAGGATTGGCCGTGCTTCCGCAGCTACCTCAATGGATCGACGGACTTCTATCCAGAAGCTCATCAAAGGACGAAATGGCCATGTTCCTTCGCCTCTTAGACCAAGTAGTCTATGGATTTAAGACGGAAATCTACGAGGTGCTGAACCAGTTGTTGACTCCTTTGTTGCAGAGAGTCTTCGGTGGACTTTCGGAGCCAATCAACGGTACGGACGATCAAATTCAGCTTGCCGAACTCCGCCGCGAGTACCTAACGTTCATCGGGGTTATTCTAAATAACGAACTCTCCGGTGTACTCGTATCAGAGGCAAATCAAGGATTTTTCGAGTCGTTGATCAACTCTATCCTCAGCCTAGCAAGAGACGTTGGCACTAGCTCGGGGAATATCCCAGCAAGCAGGCTGTCATTTGGACTACTTGCCAAGATGGCAGGTGTCTGGGGTGGTCCAGACGTAGCTAACATCTCAGCAAACCCAACAGCTCCCACTGGGTCTTCGTCTCCCGTCATCCCTGGATTCGATCAATTCCTCATCGACAGATTTCACTCTGTATGTTGGGAGGTTCTACGTGACCCGCAATTCAACCCAGCAGATGCACAGGCTAAACAAGTTCTCCACGAGATTGCCGGGTTAGAGCAGGCTATATACCTGAAGACAGGAGAAGCATTTTTGCGCCACCTGCAATCAACACTTTTCCCTGGACTTGGCATCGATGGTACCGATTTCCTACGGGCTATGACTACGGCCACAGATAAAAAAGTATTCTCGAAGTACTTACAAGATCTCTTGAAAAACTTGAGATAACCTAGCCGGAAAGTGGTCAAGTGGCGGTGATACTTTGATATAATTGCATAAACGGGAGTTTGGCTCACTATACCAACGGCAATTTTATTGACTATAGATGAAACGTATGGGTTAGTGCTAGCAATGGCGAGACGTCGTTGGTAAATAAATGAAAAAGAGAAGCAAATTTCAACTTAATGAGCTCTTGATTTGCACACTAGTGACTATTGCTTGTTCCAGATACCAATTTGGGGCATTGAATTTACTACTAGCACATTACTCCCACTCTCAGGATTCAAGACCTACTGATCTATTAGGTATTAATTAATCGACCGCTTTGATAACTACCCAGTTACCTAACCTATCACACAATGTGCGGTTACCGAACAAAATACATAGAATGTTCAGCATTCAACCTTGAGGATGAAAACCAACGCCCCGACAACAGAATCGAGTTATCAGCTTGATAGCTCAGAAAAGGAAGAACTATTGAGGGGTGACTTGGTATCAGTCTCCAACAAAAGGAGAATTTCCCCCTCTTCCTAAAGGTTAACCAGTTTCTCCTATTACTCCCACTCCTACGATGAACGTGCTTGTCCCACATGGCCGAATTCACCATCATTTGCCCGTCTCCTCCTCTCACTCACATCTGATCCATCCGTCTCGGGTGTACTACCAACAAGTAAATCACGGCTCTTCACCACAGTCGCCGCCAGGGAAGTCGGGCTAGGAGCGCTAATAGACTTGGGCCCGACACCGTTCAAGCTCCGGAGGACGCATAGGTCCTCGTTAGTGCGTGCTCCTGCGAAGTACATCATGTGGAACGCACACATGTGGTCTACCATGCCGAACTTCGGAAAGCCACGACAGAATTGGCATTTCCGGTCGACAAAAGCAGGCGCCCGCGTCTTGGGTAGGAAACTCGTCGGCGGGTCGTTATCGGGGTGTGTTATATATGCTAACATATCCTGTGTCGTTATCAGGGGTTGGATAAGTTGGCATTCTCGCCCCCGCGGGTAAGGGACTGGATCGCGACACCAGTTATACTCGTGGTTGTCTATGCGAAGGCGGTATTTCCCTAGTGGTCGTGGGGGTTTGGATGCTGGCTTGTATCGGTGTAGCCAACGTAAGTCGGAAGAGTGTAGGTGAAGGCGCCAGTACGCCTTTGCAGGCGGAAGATGCTCCGAGTTATGGCTACTTGGACCCATTGGTCCTATTTAGCCAGGAGACAATCCTCTACCAAGTGCTTGAAAAGTAGTAGAAGAGGAGAGGGCGAATGTGCCTACTCTCTCTGTATAGGGATTCACGTTAGTACGTCGAGAGGTGAAATGAAACATATCGATAGAGATATAACCGACAAGTAAAAAAACTTGTCTTCGAAGCATCAAATAAGAGTAGAAGAGTCAACCGCGTACCTAGTATCAAATACTTCCCTTACGTTTTGCGGATTGCATTTAGTCCTCAACACCGGGAACGAAGCTGTATTATGTAGATGGTCTCAAAACTAGAGTCTTCCGCATAAACAAGAAAGGGATTACCGGAAGAGGAGTTGGATAAGATGAAACTAGAAGGCGGTCTCGTTAACGTCGAAGGATAATGGGAGCACGACGATTAGATGGCCGTGTGATAGAAAATGACATCGATTTCCCGTTTTGCAGTGAAATACAAGCGTAGTAGAAGTGATGTAGTGGGGAACAGGCGTATTACAAGTATTTCGAGGGTTTCAAGTATCCAAGTGGGTAGTATTTAGAAGGGCAACCCAATGGTAATAAACCGAAAAGGTAAATCAGGGACTCCAGGGGAAATTTCTGCTGTGTAAAGTGTGCCGAGCACGCCGATTTAGAAGAGAGGAAGATGCCGAATATAGATTCTCTACTCAAGTTGTCTATTAGGCGGATACTCACAAGACTAGCCTTGCTGAACAGACTTAGGAGAGTTAGGTACTATGTAAAAACGACAATGTTTGCGATAGTGACTTTCTCTCTTGTATAGTAGGTGCTGACTGTATTAGGGACGGCTACACATATGTATTTATTGGATGGCTGAAAATCAAAGGATCACATAGGATTTCCCCCTCAAAATACAGTTGCGAATCGCCGTGGTGGTTGAGAATGTTTTTCTTAGTTACCACGATACAGGAAAACCCGTCTCATGATTCGAAGACCCTGACAAACAGTTTTGCAGTTCAAATTCCAATTGACTATTGACTTTGGGTTCAATCAACAAAAATCTTAGCCTCAAGGTCGGAATAATGTGATAGGTATGCCTCAAACAATTTGATGGCATGCTCTACGTCGTAAGTCCCTCCTGTCTCACGAATGCTGTGCATGCTGAGCTGGGGATTTCCTAAATCTAAAGTACGCACACCCAATTTCGCAGACAACATTGGCCCGATTGTGCTTCCGCAGGGTGAATCATTCCTGACGACGAAAAGTTGTAGAGGGGCTCCCGCACGCTTTGCTGCCTCTTGCAACAAGACAATGCCAGGCGAATTGGTAGCATAACGCTGATTCGCGTTGATCTTGATGACAGTGCCTTGATTACAAGCTTGAGTTAGATTCAACATTCGATACTTGACTCCCGAGCGGGACTAGAAAACTCACCTTTGTTTATCTCTGGCTGGTGGTGTGACTCGTATTTACCAACATAGTTGGGATGAACCGAGTGAGCCATGTCAGCTGAGACGAGGAACGATGCTGCCATAGTTTGCTCAAAAGCAGTGGATAAGTCTATATCTGGGTCAGAACTGATATGTTCCCATGACTTATCAGATCCTGAATCACCATGACGACCACCAGCAAGAATAGATAGTCGACGGACAACTGCTGGCAGAAGGTCGGAATTAGCGCCTTGAGCCGACGTCGATCCGATTTCTTCGTGGTCAAAGCAAGTAATCAGACGAATGCTGCTCTCGTTGTCGAGGCTACTAGATGAGACGGAATTTATCAGGCCCATGACGCTACAATAGGTCATGTTCAGATTGTCGAGCCTAGCAGAATATATGAACTCTTCGTTTAAGCCACCTAGGCAAGATTTCTGTACGTCGTAGAGAACCATCTCAAAGTCGACCACGTCTGTGACTTGCACCCCCGCATTCTCAGCAATTATTTCAATGATATACGAGTGGTGACGTTCGGTAATTTCCTTGAGTGGCTGGAACGCTTCATCGGGATTGGCCTTCGCCTCTGATGTCTTGGGGGCGTCCGTCTGGCCGGTCCTATTTAGTTCGGCAGCCACCATGCCGGCGATCGGGAATAATTCAGTTTCCTTGTTTGGATTGAATTCGGATGAGCGATCGAGATGTATGGCTAGAGTTGGGATGCGAATAATCGGGCGATCGACTTTAACAAGCTTTTGTACGAAGTTTCCCTTCCCATCTTTGACTAGAACACGGCCGGCGATGGACAAATCCCTGTCAAACCAACTATGCCAGATGCCGCCTCCGTATGTCTCGACGCCGACTTGCATAAACCCAACACTGCTCTTCTTGCTAACGGGTTTAATGCGCAAACACGGAGAATCCGTATGAGCACCTAACATAGCAATGGGGTTTCCCGGTTTCCATTTTGCTCCTATCGCGAACGCTACAATGGTCGAACCATTTCGGGTCATGTAGTATTTACCGCCAGGTCGGAGGGTCGAGGACCAATTGTCCCGCTCTTTGATGGATGAGAATCCGGCTTTCTCTAGGCGTTCGATGGAGGATCGGACTGCATGATAAGCTAGAGGATTGGAACTGTTAGTGGAGGCAGGCAGTTTCAATGCGGGTTACTTGACAGGATTCGTACGCGTAGGGGAAGCATTGACAAAATCTAGGAAGTCTAGGGCAGACTTAGGGGGCGCCATTCTGTAAGCCACGGAACTGAATGGTGAAGTGGTTCGAAGCTGAGTGGGGAGTCGAAAGCTGCGGAGAGACGAATGACCAAGGTGCAATGAGACCTTAGCATTCATTTACAGGCTGTGAGGATATTTTGTAGACGAATGGATTTGAACAAGTCTCAACTACAGAAGAGGCATTGAAACCAAATGGCATTTGATGTTAAGAAGTGTAATTGGGAGTTGTTGTTCACGAATTGGAGGAGTTGTTACACGTCAATGTACTGTACATATATTAAAATGGAGAAGTGGGATATCTAGGGATATCTTATCGGCTTACACCAATCTAGTTTAGTGCTAATGTAGAGTCCAAGTCTATCTAATTAGGTTACTTAGGTACCCTGGGAAGGGCGATCTACCGCGGCATTTCTCCACAACCCACCTACCGATTTTAGTTTATCTTATCCGCTGTATGGGACCCAAGGAGGTCGTGACCTGAATTCGATTTAAGTTGGATCATCGAGGTCTTCCCCCTGACCTTTTCACCCTCTCGGCTTTCTAGGGTTTAGACTTTAGACTCGATTGCCTATATTGGAAACCGCCCCAAATTAAAAATCAAAACAATAAAATAAAATAAAATAAAAATATTGAAAAAAAAGAGTCCCTCTCTCTACCTAGGTACCTTATGTAGGTATACCCTTACATCACGACCTTACATCGACCACCTGACCTTTCTTTGAAATCCCTTCCACATCCATGTTACTCTATCCTCTCCAAAGTAAAGTTATTCCCATTGACCAAGAAACGTATTGTTACTATTACTATTATCATCGTTATCATCATAAACAATCCCGAGGTCATTGAAGTACCTAGGTACCAATGGGGATATATGAATTATCCTGACTCGTATCGCTTACGTTGGGCGTTTCCGCTACACCGTCCCCGGCATCTGAGATATGAGATATGATCTTCTAAGCGGGAGATAAAAGTACGAATCTCTGGGTACGTATGTGTATGCGTACATAATGTAGTAGTCATTTCATGCATATGTATTTACATACATATATCTATGCATCTGTTCGGATAAGGGTGTGTGAGATCGAGGGAACGGGAGAGGATGAGGACGAGGACGAGAGTGATAGACAAGAGATCCTGGAATGTGAGAGGAGTGCGAATGAAAAAAAAAAAAAAGGACATCCTTTTTTTTTTTGCTTCTCTTCTTGGACGGTTTATCACAGGCAAATAAGGCCGCCAGCTGGCCAGCAAACTAAACTTGGGCAAATGCAAACCGCCTTATTAGGACGATCGGACGCTCGCCACACCCACCGCCCGCATTCTGCAGGATGAGGTGGCGTTTTGGATTGTCATCTAGGATGGGCGACGCCATTCTCTTGAAAGTCTCATACACATAGTGTAAGTACACGTAAAAAAGAGGGAGACGAGACGAACGACTACACTTACTCGTCTGCGATCGAACAACCACAACGACAACTATTTCGAATAAAACAAGCAATACGGAATGTGTTATAGAAATAATAAAAAAGACTAGACACGACCCGACAGACAGGGCTCCTGGGTTGTTAGCAGCCATTCCATTGGACCCTGTTAAGCGAAGACACCTGCGGAGTCAGAATTTAAAGACTAAAATAAGATGAACCGCTGTCAGGGCAAGGTATTCCCTACCTGAAGACGATGATTACCTAGGAGGTAGAGCTAACTTAGCTTCTTAGCTTCTTTTTCTTCTCATTTAAACTGGAAGATCATCTCAAGGGTCCTGGACTCTGATCTCGAGCCTCGCCCATATCCTCGGGTAGCTATAGAAATGCCTACTTATTATTTATGTATTTGTTTGTTTAACTGACATCTTTCTCTCTCCTTTCCCTCTCCCTCCGTATCTCTCTTTCTCTAGTTCCGTTTCCCCTGTTCTTCCCCCCCATTCGTCTTTGGGTACGCGTATAAATCTAAGGCCTTGTTCCTTTTACACAACCTACCTAAGTAATTAACTATTATATGTTGGAGAGTTAACTTATAGTAATACTCATCTAACCATACATGTATATGCATACCCTCTTCATATTAACCCTTGTCACCTACGGGATGATTATCCGACTATTTTTTTACGGTAAGATTCGGAAGATATCTTTCAAGTTTTTGGTTCCTTGCTGGGCTTTTGCTAGGCACCGAGGAAGGGAGGGACCTTACTATGGTACCTGTTGTACTCCGCCCACCTTTTTGAGGGTGCACTTAGCTGGTCTAATCCTTGAAATACCATAATACCTATCCATACCTGTCTTTTAGTCGATAAAAACAATAACATTTTCTTAAATATTAAGCATATGGCATGAATAAAGCGGCATTTACTATACTGTTTATTAGAACGCTTTATAGTACGTATTGAGTTGAAATCTTTGGAATAGACAAATACTTAGATACGTATTGGTGGGTCAGGTCGTTAGATGCTTTTCGGTGGGCGCGGTGTGTGATTCGTACAGGTAGGTAGGTACATTCGCAGATACACAGTATGAATTATTCCTGTGTACGAATTCAATGTAATGTATCCATTGCGGTACTTGGTGCAGAATTTCGGTACTCACAGATACGCCTGCTCATTCTTCCGAAAGGCGGCCAATCATAGCAACCAACCAAAAACCACCTTAGCACATCCTGGGAGATCAGGGGTCTCTTTGAGGCAAGGGGGTTGATTAGAGCAATCGACTGGACCAGTGTCGTGACGGTAGAAAGGAATAAGTACATGAAATATAAACAATACAGTACCTAGGTACACATTACGAATGTATACCCGATGCTCTGCTCAAAACGACACGCCATTCATCGTTCATATTCTAAGCCATCATCGAGCACCTCCACTCTTATACTTCTATACCTACCAATACCTACCCACTACTCAACTATTGTAAAGTTCTACCCAAACAGGATTTCCCGAATTCCATTGGCATCAAGATACTTATGTCTTCAACATAAAATTGGGCGGGTGGTGCCAACTTGATTGGCGTGCCGCGCTACGATATTTAGCTTGCCATCGGCCAGATTCAAATAGTGAACGGCTACCTAATTCAGCATCCAGACGTCAATGGCGTTTTCCTTGTTGATACACCAGCCAGCCAGCCCGTGGGGGAGGCCGTCGATCACACAGACACCCCATCGTGCGAAAGAGAAGAAACGACCCCAAGTGCATTTTACCACCCCATATGTGTATAGGCTACCACATCCAGAGATACCTATCTAGGTGTTTTTCAATACCTACCCAAATATACTGTACTTATAGATAATTTAAAACGGAAAGGGTGGGCTATCTACGTATAGTACCTAGGTAGGTAGCTTACCCGCAAATACCGAAAAGCACCTACATACATACACGCATAGACTTAAGTAGCTCCCGCACGCTGATCTACCACCTACCTACATAATGTAATGTATGTAGGTACTCTAATAGTTGTATGTATGTGCCCAGTCGAGATGAGCCATGCGGATCCTAGAGGTCATACCCATGCCAAGTACCTATAAGACCTGAAATAATCAAGACAACCAGGATCATATTATATACCTACCTCCTCATGCATTACTCGTCGCGCTTAGACAGTTGGAGATTTAGTATACTATGCGTACCTGGTATACATCACCGAAAAATGTCGCGATAGCCACAGATCCTTTGAGTGTTGATGGATTTGTACGTTGAATGGGGCAATGGGCAATCATGTGGAATTGGATTCAAGATCAGCAAGCAGTATGGTAGTGCAGCGCCACCTCTAGTATGATAGATATTTCTAGAACATTTTAATACCTAACTTAATAACCGAATTCCACTTCCTTGAACTAGGTAGATAGGCTCAATTACATGACAACAACTCTCGGGTCAGGATTGACGTTGTAGAATAGTCGCAGAGCGCTTAACGAACGTTGGATCTTGCAATTCCTTCGAAGAACAATAGTACATACTTACCTAAGACTTGGTGATGGTGGGGTTTTTGAAGAACGAGCGTGCCACTTTTCTTTTCTCATTGATGCAGAAATCAGGTCTAGGAAACAGGTTGAGGAACATTCAGGATTTTAGTATCATTCCTTTTCACTTCCAATGTCCACTTGACATCTTGGATGATCAGGTATATGCCAACCTAGACAGGTATGTTCTGTTCCTTACCTAACTCCTTTTACTTGCTTTCTTAATTGATAGATCGGATACTTGGGCTGGGTTTCTCTAACTCTTACCTACGCATCACGGAATTTAGCGATGACACCAAATTAATGTATACCCATTGAATAATACTATTTGAAGGTGCTGTGCAGTGTAGAGCGTAGACGTAGATCGTAGAGCTGGAACTGCCGTGGGTCGTCCTAGACGTGGAGCATTGGAGAATCCGTTCTATCCATTCTGACACTTCCTGAAACGAAGAGGGAAGCCAAGCAAGCTGAATCTATTTTCAACTCCAATGCCTTTTCTTCTCGGACCCGTATGTTGAACAGCCCATCAGCAGATCAGCCTTAAATAGACTATTGAAACCCAGGCGAGAGAATACGGTTTGGATTATCAAGATAGGATGCGACAGTTATTTTCTTCCCTTTTCTCTGCCTTATTAATACATTAGCAGTTACTTTTTCTGCCCCTTCTACTGCCCCTTCTATACTCTCAATACCGGCACGGGATACTAAACATCTGCCCGGCTCCTCATGTTGGTATGCCAGATTTTTGCCCGGCGTCAAGTGTCAGGGATGCGATGTGCTACCTGAAATATCATATCCACTTCTGCATTTCCATCACTAGAAAAGCCCCCAATTCGTACCTTAGGTACCTAGTAATGGAAGTAGTGGGGTCGGAAGAATGAATACGCACATCATTAAGATCTCTTTCACACACACACACACACACACACTCTCTCTCTCTATGTGATTTCCTAACGAATGGACTTAATTCTTTGCACTAGCAAGATAGATACAACTTGTTAGACAACTTGCTGGAATAGACCCGTGCAAGTTCATGTGATAAAGTAGTAGTTGGAAAACACCAGGCAAAATCTCCGACACAGGGATGAGCAGCCTTATGATCAGTCTTGAATCAATCCAGCTGAGGAAACGACTATGAGGCTGACTCGACTCATTACGTACGTACCCCTTATAATTACGCCGTGCTTATTATACATGTATTGTGCCCGTGGCAACTTGTTTTTCGTATCATGTGTACTCTTTTACCGACACTCTAATGGTTTAAACCATTCCATGAATCATCACCGCAGGATGCTCGGCCACCTCCGTCTGGTATATGGGTAGGTCACCGAGCCTCAAAGAAGGCTTCGAGAAAGGACAAGAGTAGCCTGCCAGTTACTTCCTTAGGTACTCTTCAATTAATTGATCAATCGAGCCCTAGTGTGCGAATCTGCTATTGTATGAGAGTTAGGTGCTCGGACTATCTGGGTAGCGCGAAACGCATAGGCCTATCATGAACGCATAGCGTGTCTCTATGAGGCTGTCTACCGTGCGGATACCAACATATGAGGCTTGGGTAGTTATGTATCTTAGGCCTTGGCTTGGCTTGGCTGTGTTGGACGTTGGTGTCGATGTCGATGTCGGTGTCGGTGTTGGTGTTGGTCTTATAAACAGAGAAATAGACATACAAAGTATATACGAGTTGGTCTAAAGGGCACCCTACTTGTTGGAGACTATTTCTGATAATGGCTAAGATGCTGGCGTGACACGATACAGGGTCATGCCGCCGCCAGATATTTTATTATTATCACGGGGATAACGTGTATTTGTCATACCCACCCTCGCATATTTAGCAGCTTAGTAGAACGACGAAGCGTTTGCCCCCTCGGATCATCGACTTTCTAGTAGGTATAGGAGATATATAATGTCGAAATATTCTTGACATGAAAATATAATAATGAGGAATATAATGAGTCTGTTGATGGATCTCATTACTAGATAGCGCTGTTACTTCTATTATCAATGGAATATATAGGACGTATAAATGGTATCACGGTACGAGTGGGTATCGAACAAGTGATATGCAAACGATCTCTTTTAAAAGTAGGAGGATGAGGCAATTTACGGTCCATAACGTTCTTAAAGATGAGTGATTATATATATGTAGGTAGGCGAATTCATAAGAAGCGCCTAATCAACAGTTTGTAAAAATGAAATCGCGGGAACAATCTTACATTTCAAGGTCTCATGGGATTTAAGGAACATCTTATTATTGATAAGAAAATAAAAAACAAAATAGTTGTTATATCCTATTTCTCTTGTTTAAGAAGATATATTATATTTTATTTTGCTCTTAGGTGTTGAATGTCGCGTGTGTATACGGATGCACACGCCAGCTGACGTGTGTCTGTTACTGACATGGGTAAGATAAGATGGCCTACTAGGTTTATCTGAATGAAGTGGGATATATTTTGAGCAACTTTCTCCGGTTAGTAGTTAGAATAAAACGAGGGGGGGGGGGGTGGCGAGAAGGAAAGAAAAAAACGCTATGATTGTTCCTTTCTAAATTGATTAAGAGTATAGGTAACTTTTGCTCTAATACGGCTCTCGTTCCCTTTAAGTTAAGCACTACATCTGTGTCTGCAGATACATATGTACATATATCATGTATACACATGTACGTATACACGTATTGTTACCCTTGTTTAGCCAACACGCCTCATTTCGTCAAATTGATGAATTTCTCGATTTGTTTGAGCTTGTTACTGGACTCGCGTCTATAGTTATTATCTCGACAATGCGGGTAAAAATATTTCTATTTCCTTTTCTTAGAAGATGACTTGAAAAACCTATAATTTTAAGTGGTTCTTTGGCACTGCCTACAGCTGACACCCGCATACTATGGCTATACAAGTATAGGTAGATTTAAATACATCCTAAGTATATACGTCTGTACCTACATATGTAGATACATATTCGTTATGATGTATGTGCGTTCCTATTGGATTTTACCTACGTATATGTATATGTATGTATGCATTTGCTTTTTAAATTTGACAAGTGACTGGAACTTCAAACCTTTAACACTTACATTGAATGAAGCAAGGTCCTGACCGTTCGTGTATTCGTACTACAACGTAAAGTGTAGAAGAGAAGCAGAGGCAGAAGCGCAGAAAAAAAAGAAAGGTACGTGCGCGGGGAGAAGAAAAAAATAATAATAAAAAAATAAGGTTCATTAGGTACATTCCTCACCGTACCAGACCCCACAAATTTCAAAGTAGATCCCATGGATCCATCTCTCTTCTTATTTTTTCTTCCCTCTAGGGCTCTCTCTCTCTCTTGCGCACCATCAGGACCCAAGACCAGGACCGAAACAAGAACCAACCCCAAATAGGCACCCTTCCTGTTTCTCATCTCTATTTCGGTGACCGCTTCACTACACGACATAACCCTACTAACCTGCCTTACATACATCATACATGTATTCGAGGCAACTTAGCAAGTCCTGAATTTCTTTACATTTCCTCCTTACTTACCTACTTTACCAAGTCTTTGCGACGTTGCGACGGTCGTTGTTCCCGACTTTAGGGATCTGACGTTTGACACTTGACCAGAGAAACGAAGCAAAGGAAGACGAATGAGGATATCCAAGCTTTCTCCCGTGAACTTCAAACTTCTTCCCGCTGGCTATTCTATTCGTCGTTTCTACTCGTTAAAGAATTCTACGCGAGACACCACTTACCAGTACTCTCGTTTAGTAAGTCTATAGGTTCCTTTTCTTCCGCCTACCTACCAACATCCCTACTTTGTGTGTTTTCTCTCCGTACCTTGTTTCTCTCTCCATCTCTTTCCTTCCTTGCCTACCTACGTATACGTACATATATACATTTAATGTGCTTAGCCTATTGAAAAAAACACACTTCCAGCTATATCATATGTATCAATATACTACACACATCTACTTCCGCACATACGCTGAGGTACTGGTTTCGGGCGCAGCAGGTGTGAGCGAAAATCTCGTCAGGCTGCTTGGTACCTTACTTCGAATGTCGCAGTGCGAACGAAGAAGAAGATTGAATCGTGTGCGATGCGGGTTGTCCTGTATCTCTGTATCTTGTATCTTTTTTGGATGACTGAGCTTGCTGTCGCCCGCAGTAGTATAAGGAGGTACATCCACGTACCCACGTACTGCAGAGTATAAAGGTGTCGCTAAGAACATTGAAGGGACTGGGGCCCCCCCGATCGGCACCAATCATTGTGCGCCATACCGCACAGTACCAGACAGTAGCGGGAAAGTACCTACCAGCGTACGGTACTTAGACGCATCTTAGTGGCTGTTAGTCAGTGGGAGATCCCCAGGAGGCCCAGTTTTGTCAATATTTGAATTCACACTATTGGGTGATCGATCATTCAACCACTTGCACGCGGCAACCTTGCTTGGATGAGTGTCCCAGCCAGGGACCCTACTACTTTTTGCTGGGCTGGCTGCTGGCTGCTGGCTGCTTGCTTGCTGGGTACCTACCTACCTACCTTACTCTCCAGGGCTACTACTCCATTCCCTTTTTCCTTCTTTCTTCTCTACCACCATCATCACCACAACCTCATTTTCTACCCTTCTCGTTTCTTCTTCTCTCCTCCCCCTCTCCTCCTTCTGGATCGCTCGGGATTTATCACTTTTGTCACATATTTGCCGCAATTTCCATAGTGGCTCATCCATTCTCAAATCCCGTCAATATTGCGTTTACGCTATTAATCTCGACCGTGATCCACCTATACTAATACTATTCGTTCTCGAAGTTGTTCCTCGCACCTCGTTTCAGCCACAGCTTCTGGTACACTTTCGTCACTCGGATGCCCTTAACTATCTATATTTCGCCGCCCGTCCTCCCCAACATCATAATATTGGACTGAGCAAGGCATCATTTGCCTTCCCGAATCATTCTCCCGGCGCGCGATCTACTATAGTTGTCGCGATCCTCGCTACTCGAGAACCATCGCGGCGAATTCGTTATTTCTTCCCACCGTCGTTTGCCTATCATTAATATCGACTGGACTCGTCTTGCTGCCGATGAATGCTTGGGCCGCGCAAAATTAATATTACCCTCGAGGCCTATATTACTCGCTCAAGTCGACTAGTACGGGATTGGACGTGCGAATTTTCTAACATCATCTCACGGAAATGAGGTGACTGGTTGCGATAAGTTCGGGTTTGACGATAAATACGTCTTGTTGCTAAAGAGACGGGTCGAACCATCTCCCCTATCTCCTATAGGGGCTGGTCTGATTTATCTCACTATATTTACACTTTATACTTACGAAACAATCACCGCGGATCTGATCACCCGAAGGCTACTCGGACAGATTGTTTGGAATTGATCACCAGTAGTGCAATCTTCTAAATCCTTTCTTGCGAGCTCTGTGTTAGTCTGGTTCCGCATGGACTTGCTTGGATCACGCTAGGAACCCTATATCATTGGACGGATTTCTACCTTACCGCAAAGGGACTATTGAAGACTGTTTCATTAAATACGCCTGTGTCTACAGAAGGATCCAAGGCCTTACTGAAACGCGCGATCCTTGTTGGATAATTCCTACAAGCTCAACTCATTCTATCGGCGAGGATATATCGATCTCAGGATCAACTGGACCTTTACGCTCTGACCGAAGCTACACTCTCCCGCGGCCATGGCCGCCAATATGCCACAAATGGGCGGTGGCGGCCCCGTACGGCCCCGACCGCCCCATCAGCAGCTGTCACAGATGGTTTATACGCAAATGATGGCACAGGCCTCCCAGACCAATGGTTGGCAGGATCAGGTGTCGGTGAACCTTCGGGTCAGTAACGCTATGAACTTGTGAGTACTCCTGGCTCAAACCCCCTCCCCCTCTCCCACTGCTGCGGCCATGTATCCATTGCCACCACTGATCTTTCGGTGACGAATTTGCTGACTCACTTTCTTAGGATCTCTAATTCATTCCTTGCCATGCCTACCGTACAGTCAGATCAACTTATCACGCATGGTCTGTCTTTCGAACGTGAAGCATATCTAAATTCAGGAGATAAGGTGAGCACCATGTTCCCCGCGTTTTCTAATATGAAGTGCCCTAAATTAATAATTTATTCAGTCGGTGTATGACCAAAAGATTAGCAGTCGCGTTCAAGAACTCTTCAAGCGGCGACAAGCACATGAGCAAAGCCTTCAGAACAGCTTGAACAATCATACTGCACAAATACAGGCACAAGCTCAGGCCCAGATGATTATGAACCGGAATATGATGCCGGGAGCCATGGGTCAACCGCCACAACATGGATTCCAGCATCTTCAACAACAAATGCAACCCTCGCCCATACCTCAACAATCCCATCAACCTGGCATGGGAATGGCAGGCCCGGGTGGCCTTTCAATGAATCCGAATCAACAGACAATGCAAATGAATGGTGGACAGATGCGTCCACAGATGCCTATGAATGCCAATATGGCTGGTCTGTCGCCTCAAGACAGAGCAAAAGTCACGCAATTGGCTGTCACTAGGTTAAATCAGACTCCAGAGCAGCAGAAGAACACCATTCGTATGATGCTTCAACAAAAAATGTCCCCACAGCAGATGGCGCAGATGCAACAAGACAACATAGACCCGCTTCTGTTCTTTTTTCAGAACCAAATTGTGCAGTCTATGAAGGGGCATGCTGGTGCCAACATGGGCAATAATCACGCAGCGATGCAAATGCAAGCCCAACAACGACAGATGAACCAATCTGGGCAGCAAATGAATGGAGTTCCCAACGGCGATTTTCCTTTTGAGAATATTATGAACCAACAAAAGGCAGGAATACTAGCTCAAGAAGCAGGGCAAATGGTAGTGCCGGCGAGCAGTGGACCTGGTCGCAATGCTACACCTCAGCCCATGGGCGGAGTACAAATTCACAACCCCGGCAATAACCCCGGCATTAACCAAGCCGGGATCCCAAACCAACTTCAACCGCAATTCACTCTGCCGCAAGCTCAACAACTCAAGATGGACCAGAGAGCAGCTCAATCTCAAGCGCAAATCAGGGCACAAGCTCAAGCTAAACAGATCCAGGGCCAACCGGGTGGAATAAATGTCCCAGGTCACATGTCCCAGAGTCCAGGTATGAATACTCTTAATACTCCCGTTCGCCGCACTCCCGTGGGGATGGGCCAGGGTGAAGGACAACCACAAATGGGTCAACCCAACGGCCCATTTGCGCAGGGAATGGACCCTCGGTTTAATCAGGGCAACCAGAGGCTTCAGAATTCTAATCTTGACCCGCGGGTACTCGCCATGCTTGGTCGGTTGCCCCCGGAGCAGCGCGGCCAATTTTTTGCTCTCCCCCCGGACAAGAGGGGTGAGATGATTAAGCAGTGGACATCACAGACACCAGCCGGAGCAACCGGTCAAATACCCGGACGAGGTCAGCCTCCGACGAACCAGTTTGGACCCCAAGGCAACTCCATGGCCCCGTTTGGTCCGGGGAATAACGCCGGCCAACAGCCAAATCCCAACGCGCCAATGAACCCTCAGAACCAAATGCATCTCCAACAACTGAACAGGATGCGGATGCAAAATATGGGCCGGCAAATGCCCGCAGACATGAACGCATTTATGGATTCTATGGATGTGGCACCGAGAATTTTAGAACAATTGAGACTGTCTCAAGGAGTCCCGCCTGAACTTAAGAAATGGGGACAAGTAAAGCAATTGCTTGCCCAAAGGAATCCTGCTAATCCGATCTTGGCTCAGCTCCAGGCCTTCCAGACCGCCCAGTTTCAAAATTTCTTGAAGCAACGAGCCGCCGCTGGAGGAAACCAAGGGCCGCAACCCAATATGCCACCCCAGGGACCACAACCTACACACCAGCAAATGCCTACGCAACCTGCAGCTAACATGGGCCCTTTCCAGGGTATTACCGTAACTGCCCAGGAAATGCAGAATCTCAAGAATCACGACAAATTCAAGCATTTGCCGGATGATAAGATTAGACAAGCTGTGATGCAGATGAAGATGAATCAGCATTTGAGGGCGAGAGCAGCCGGACAGGCGCCAAATGCCCAAATGCAGACACTCCAGACGTCCCAATCAGCTAATCCGAGCCTCAACACGTCGGCACCGCCTCCAAACATGCCCAACGTACAACAGCAGCAACCACGCCAGCAAAACATGGCACCTGACGCTAATGCGGCGGGTTCTACGGCTCCTCTGAGGAATAATAAACAAGCTCCGAATAATCGCCAGCCACAAACTACAGCTCCGGCCGCCCCCCAGAAAAATAATCTGAAACGTGCCAGTACCGACGATGTAGTTGAGGTGCCCAACCCGTCTAGCACCCCGGTCCAACGTCCCCCCTCTCAACAAGCTCAAGCTCCTGGATCTGTCACCCATTTACCTCAACTGAGCCAACAACAGATCGCTAGCCTCACATCCGAACAGAGGAACAAGTATCTCGAAGCTGTTAAAAAGGCTGGTGGACCTCCAATGTCAGAAGAGATGCAGCGCCTCAAGACCATTGGCCAAGAAGAACATACTAATACGGCTAATTTGAACTATAATGAGATTCCGATGGCGCCGGAAGTGTATCAGGAGATGGCGCAAAAAATCCGGTCGATGGTTTCCGAAGTCCAAAAGATTAGTAGAATTTTGGGCCGATGGTATACCCTCACCAAAGATGAAAGTCGAGCTAGGATGTTTTTCAAAATGGTAAGTTTGATATGAAATATTATATTTTCAGTATCACTAACGGTCTACTCTTATCTTTAGCGACTTCGTTTAGTTAAACAATTTGCGGACGGTGAGAGGATGACGACCCTAAAGAAGGCGTTCTCTTTGCAACCAAAGGATCTAGAGGCCTTGAGGGGGATGTTGGAAAGCATGGCTAAGGACGTAGCCACGCAATATCCACAACATTCTCTAAAAAGAAATATCACACAACAACAGAATGGGGCGGAGTCGGGCACCCAGCAAACCACCGGCGAGAACACAACCGCACCGCCGGTTGGTCGGCCAGCGCCGCTTAACGCTGTCAATCTCGAGAAACAAACGCAGGCCCTCAACAAAATGCACCAGAGGACCGGTAGTAAGAGTGGGCAGCCTCCTGCTGCACCAACTACCTCACAACCTCCGTTTCAGTTTGGTGCGCAGTCCCCTGATGGCCGGCCAACATACGGCGGAGAACCGGCTATCACTCAGACAAATCTCCAACTTCCTGCTCGCAAGAAAGCCAGAACTGGGGCACAACCTGGTGCTGGATCGGGTGGTCCGAGCGCAAATTCGTCCCCTCAAGTCCAAAAAGCTGCTTCTCCCGAAATGGTGAAACGACCGGCATCTGAAATCAAGCTAACAAAGTTGCAATTCCACTGTCCCGAGGCGAACTGCGATGCGCATACCATTGGCTTCTCTACAGAGGAGGCTATGCGAAATCACATCGAGGAAGAACATACTAAACCTCGTCAGAATCCGTTGCAATATGTGACGGAGAGTCTGGCTGTGGCGCTCGGATTAGAACCGGACGGCAATTCCAAGCCGGCACCAGTTGCTCCAGCTGCCGCTCCTGGCCCGTCTCATACGCCAGCCCCTCCTATGACTCGCGACATCTCTAAGCAAGGTCAGACGCCTATGAGCAGAGTTGAGGGAACGCCGATGTCTCGAGAGGCGTCTTCGATGAAGCGGCAAAGTAGCTCTGTTGGTGCTAAGCCTACGGACCTAAGCAAAGTAGCCGCCGGAAAGGCGAGCACACCGAAGCCCGACTCTACGATTAAGGGAACCGACGGTGCTTTGGGGGCTGGAAGACCAGCGGATGAAAGGCCGCAAGCAGTTGGAGCGGACGCCGCTTGGGCAACAATGACTATAGATCCGCAAGATTTGTTCCAGAACTTGGGAGGCCTTGAGGGCGGTGGAAATGGCGCGATATCTGACATGAGCGTGTACCGAGCAATATCACCAAACAACACGCCAGAGTCTAGTAAGGATAGCGCGTCTTCGGAACCCAATAGCGATGTTTCGGAGGGTGTCTCGCTTAACCTGAAGGTGGACATGGGCTTCGATGTATGGCACCCGTTCGGAGGTGGCCAGTTTTTCGACCCAGAGTCGGCCGCCTTGGACCTCCCTGACACGGATTTGAATGGTACGGGTGCAGGCGCATTTGCACCATTCTCGTGGGATGACATAGACAACGATTTCAATGGCAAGTTTGAGCTAGATACTAGTCTCTACTCATTGGATACGACGTAGAAACGTTGCGTATGTCCTTACGATGCCCTAATCGAGGATAGAGTGTTTCTATTTCACGAATGTAATGCAGGTTGGGGAATTGCCCCCCCTTCAATTTTTTTTTTTTTTCGCGATGGACGGATCCTCGGCCGGGATGAGAAATGCTATGCAATCGATCGGGCGGAGGCTTCCCCGGGCGAGGGGGAGGGCGTTGCGGAATCCTATCAATTTTTTTTTCTTTCTATCGGAAGGTATTTATGGATTTACGACGAGGTGAGGCCGGGTAGGACGAGGTAGCGGAAAAATTCTTTGATCTTGACATGGCAATGGGGTAGGTTCGAGACGGGGACCCAGCCTAGGTCTTTATGGAAGCAGCTATATAGAGCTGGATGGCATCACGATACCCACAAAAGATAGGTGGACAGCGAAAATAGTATTGATTATACCTTTACAAAGACAATGTTGTTGCACACTTCTTATCTTGAGCTTTCATACTTGAGTAAATTTATGAACTACATATTACCTAGGTACCTATTTTTTGAGTTCATGTAGTCTGGGGTACGAAGGCAATCAACTTAGAGAAGCTTAAAAATGGTGGGGTACATACATGAGTAGCACTCCAGGGCTGTATTGTACATAAGGTGGATTTTGATTCAGGTACCTGAGCAGCTAGCAAGGATTACCGGACGATCCGTGTTACATTTACCCCCACATTAGACAAGCAGACCAAACTGGAAAGGGAAATAAGTAAATATTACACGATGCATAAAAATGTCATAAAAGACGTATATCGATGTATATCCAAATCAATTTCCATTAAAAGAGACGCGAGTTTGGAAAGAGAGAGGCGCGCGACACGCGAACTCAACTAGTCCCTCATTTGTGTTAAATAATGCGTAACAACTTCCAAAATAATAAATTGCTAGTTCATGCTCTCTCATAACTTATTTGAAATACCAACTTCAATCCTATTCTCACCAGAAAATATATAACCTCCCGACGTACCTAGGTATCTAGGTATATACGAACAAATCGAGTCCTTATACCTTATACTACGCGTATCCGTATACCTATCATATCTCCAAGGTAGAGACGCACTTATCCAAGCGGAACCGAATTAATATATTAGTATATCCCCAAAGACGAGGACAGCAATATGAACAGTTCCCCAACCAAACGACGCGCCTTGGCTCCAATGGATGCCAATTCGCGAACCCCATCAACTACTTCAAAGCTTCAAACGTCCAAGCCCAAGCCACAGGTGCTATCAACTTCACCGATTCGAAGTGACCATAGTGCTACCAAGAGACTTCTCAATCAGGAATCCAGCCACGACCAGCATCCATCAATACAGCCTTTCAAGAAGCGACGGGTTTCAATTGACGAAGATGTCCAATCCACGCCAGTAGGAGATGACCCTGTGATTGAGGTGTGTGTCATACATCTCATAATATCGTCTTTACATGGAGCACATGGGCTAATAAAAAGGCTATCAGGATTCATCACATGAAAACGAGATTCGTAGTTACGATATTCTCCGCCAGCGATCAGACTCGCCCGACGAAGAATCCTCCCTCTTCGATAATTCGGCCATCGACGCAACCCAGGATACTACAATAACGGAGCCGGACGTGGAAGTACTCGCGCGAGTTCCCCCAGTCCAGGCACCAGCGCCTGGCCGGCAACGAGCTATTTCTCGCGAGGAAGCTAGGCGAGTAAGTCAAGCCTGGGAGACTGCTAGTAGTATAGTGTAGGTGAATGTAGCTAATAGTAGATGCAGAAAGCAGAGACACTACGGTTGAGGTTAGGTCTCGCGAGCTACAAGGTCCGGACGGGGCAGACAGACGTGCCCTTAGACCAGCTCAAAGTCAAGCCACTGCCGGGTAATAATACCCGTGGTAGATCGGGATGGTATGAGGAACAGCCGTCTCTACCTCCTCTCCCGCGAATTACGTATACGAGGGAAGAATCCGAAGAAAGGGAACAGGATGAAGAGGAGCGTCATAGTAGACCAAGAACAGCGACGCAGAAGCCAGTGTATACGGAATCATTCTTCGGCCAGGAAAACAGCTTTGATGAGGCATACCAAATATCGGAATTGCCAATGCCGTCTTCAGAGACTATGCGAGGCTCGCCAGGCAAAGAGCTTGCTAACAGTGGTCTAAGTGGTATCGCAGCTAGGGTTCTGATGAGCACATCTCAGTCTTGATATCGGAGTAATCTTCGCTGAGATCTTCATGATCTATACAGGAAAAGCATATGGGCGGCGTTGGGCGTCACAAGTTACTCACTGAGTTATAAAATACTGAGTCTAGTTGATGGTGTTTGCTTTAGAAGTCTTGACACTGCATAGAGACGTATAAGAATGCATAGGGATGCATAGAAACGAACTAATGAATATTCATTATCTATGGTGATCGAATGAGTCGCACTTTCCAATATGTGAACTATGATGAGGATAGAAAGAAGGGAAGAAGGAAAGGGGATGTTTGACAATACTGACTGTACCTTCCTTCAGGTTGATGCATATCATGAGCAGCGCTTGCCTTCAGTAACCTCCATCATATCTGAAACCGGCCTGAATCAACTACTAGAGGTTATTTTGACTGCAAGCACGTTTAAGGCAGTCGAGACCCTCATGTCACTATTATCAACATGACCAATTTCATTTAGATACACAGGTCCTTTACCTATTTCCTCTCACTCCCATTCTTTAGCTAATATTTCTTCCTATTCCTTCCACCTTCACCTTCACCATAAACATAAACCATCATCCCCTAAGACCTAAGAAACATCACCCAGAACATCATCCAATATACACACACGATCACCTACAATACAAATTAACTTGAACCATGTGCTGGGCCGTTCTCTTCGTCTACCGCTGTGGTTGCAGCGAGAGCACTACTTTCGAATGTCCGGGATCCGTCTATCACCATCGTCGTCGCCGTTCCTGCCATGGGGTTGCGGATTCTGTGACAACTCTTCTAGATGAGATATGCTTTGACTGTTCTCGAAAAAATTACACAAACGTCACTTTGCTGGCCCCTGATTTCCTCGGCGTCTTGACGGAGCGCTCTATTAACCAACCCACGGAACGACCACCTAGTCCGATCTTGGAGTTGGACTCGGATCAACCAGATTCTCAACACAACTCCTAGATGTACAGAAACTTTGTACAAGAGCCCGTCGGTCGTCTTACCCTATTCTAACGAGGGTTGGTAACAACAAAATGTAGGCAAAAAGGGGGAGACGATACATACATACTGTGGCTACATACAATGTCATACATACTATGTTAAGGCTTACTATCTCCGATGATATAAATGGCTATTCACTGAATTAGTATCCCTATTTACCACTTCTAATAAATAATGCGTGGAGGCAAGCGAGAGACGATGAAAAGACGAGCAGGATCTCGATTGAGACACTACGATGGCTTTGTCGTATACTTAAAGGAGGTATTATGTATGATCCATAATGAGCATCTATTGAAAGATTAGCTATGGCTTCTTCGAAATACTTCATAAATATATCTACCTACCTAGGTACACAACAATACCTTTCATGCTATGTTGGATTGATCTAAAGTAAGTGCTAAAAACATGCTACAACTCACATTCTTCAAGACACTCGATATAATAAGATTTGATATGTCCTAGTATAATTGCCTGGGTACGTGTACTACATAGGTCCGCATTGAGTCACCCAGAGCTTAAATACCAAACACGAACGAGCACCATTATATACCCTAATAGAGCAGTATCTAAGCATAAATAATTTTTTACTAGGACGAGAACGTGCTAGTTATCTAATCCAGGTATTCGATATGTTGAACATATGATAAGCTTCCTAATACTTCCCACGACCCTGATCGTAGCACCTATCGTCGTGAATACTCATATTATCCACTTATAGGTATCATCGCCCCCAAAACTGACCACCTCAAAGTATTCATTTAATTGCCAAAATTCATCTTCAACGCGATGGTTGGTTGACCCGTGTTACTAGAGTCCTTCGCTGGGCCACCTGTCTGTCGGCCAGCACGGATGACTTCCTCCATGAAAGCTTTTTGCCCTTCGCTCATTGCGGTTACAACACCTCTAAATCCGGCTTGATCCGTTGAGGCCAATTCTAATAGCCTTGTACTCGTCTCGTGATACACCTCGGCCCCTTCACTAGCGGCACGAGAGAGCAAAGCCGGTGCTACGACGGACATTGCAATTTGAGCGTGGCCACTTCCTAGTGTCACCACATACTGCGTCAATGTGTGTGCTACCAACTTGCGCGCGTCCTCCGGATCCTCCGGTTCCGTATCTACCACAAAAGCAACTAGGCGAGGAAGAAGATAGCGAGCAATTGACTGATCGGCATATGTCGGAGAAGGTTGTAGTAAGAGAGATCGAATACAGTTCGCTACGATTTTTGCTGTCTATGAGAGAATTAGCAGAGGGAAGACGATGAAATATTAATACTACTTACCATGCGATCTGTTAGACAATCAACCACTTCATCTAGGTATTTCGCGACGAGACGATCGCTAGCCGCAAGTCGATTACTTCCACTAGTGAAAAGGATCGTAATTGCAAGCAAACAATTCTTAACGCACTGCAAAGAAGTCGGAGCCTCGCGTTTTTGCGCGTTTAGGTAGATGGACAAGTATCGGCGTAGACAGCCCACAACTTGCATATCAGTAGCAGATTTCGCTTCTGCTGCGCTACGGGAACCGGACATGCTTGCCATAAACCTTCGGAATATCGGTAGGGCTTGAGGAACGATAACCTCCTGGCAGGAAGGGGTTGCAAGTATAGTGGCGAATATATGGATAATACATGCGTGCAAATCGGTCTTAATGATAGCTGGGAACACCTCAGCCGCGTCCACAATCGCGTTGAGTCCTGTTCTTATAAGAAGGACAGACTCCTCAGTGAGATGATGCCGCACTGGTTGGTTCGCCTCGGTTAAGTTAGGTAATAATCCGGAGAGAACTAGGACAATAATCCTAGTAAGTTCGAATAATTGCTCGATATCTTCGCTCAAGTCTCCATCTTCGGACTGTTCCTGTTTCCTCGCGGAGGGGTGGGCGACACAAAGAGCACGGGCGATTTCCACGATAACTCCCTGGACGTCGAGACCCTCTGTTAAGACAAGACGATCTAACAAGTCCATGGTCTCGGAGAAAATAGCCTCCCGGTAAATGGCATGGCCCGAAACACTCGGATGCAGAATCTTCTTAAGAGCCTGGAGAATCTCCAGTGTCTGTTCTTGGGTGGCCAACGAGTCTGTTTGGCCTGACCTCGTCGCAAGTGCTTCAAAGGCGATACCGAAAAGGACGAAAAAGAATGCTACTGGCTCATCGCGGTAATTGATATCAGCACTTTTAGAATGCCCGTTCGTGCTTGATGCGTCCGCCTCCTTTCCGTCTAAAGCATCGAAAACGAATTCACTATCTTGCTCAATAAGACTCGCAATAGCGTCGACCAACTTTAGCCATGACTCTTGATAGAATCTAAGAAGTGTCTCCCGGTTAAGGGCTGCATAGATGGTATCCAAGCTACCAGACATAGATGGGGGCCCCAAAGTCATTGAAATATCTGGCTCGAACCTCAACCGAGCGAACTCTCGTAGGGACGCGAGCCATAATGGCGTCAAAGTACCGATGTGAGGCTTTAATACATCTAGCAAGTACTTCTGCTCCGAGCTGGCTACCTGAAGGTCTGCCCAGGCTGAGTAGACGGACATTTTAACCATTACTTGGGCGTTGGAACTAAGACCCTTGAGATCGCCGATTCCGACGTTCTCCGTCTCTTTCGAGAAATTCTCCAGAGCAGTGACGAGTGTCTTCAGGATGCGGCCCATGCGGTCGACGTCTGTTACGATACCGGTGGAGATAAATGCGGCACAAACATTAACGGCTTCTGCGGCCAATTCAGGAGATGAGTCTGCAGCAAAAGCGGGCGTTAATGCCGAGCTGATTTGTGCTTGGTATTGCTCAAGAAGCATTGCCTCGTCAAAATCAGGATCTGGTGTTTTGCCGAACATTCTCAGAACAGCGCCGATTATCTTCAACCCCCAAATTCTTAGTTCTAAAACACTAGATGTTGAGGCTGAAAATGCCATCCGGATGACATCGGCGATCCTAGCTTGAAGATCAGATTGTGCGGGAGACTCGCCATTTGTGGCGACGTCTTTCCCGATTAGGATGAATATGTCATTAATACAGCCTATTGCGAAAGTCCTGACTTGCCAGCGTAGTGGTTCCATTTCGGAACTCGAAGGAGCCTCTTTATCATCTTTAGCAGTGCCCGCGGCCGCGGCAAAACCAGCAACTTCTTCGTCCTGTAGATCGACAGTGGTAGTTGGTCTTCTCTCAGCACCGCGTGAATCTTCGGTGGCCTTGAGCCTCGTCATCTTCAGTACGTTTTGGCAGCGTAAAAGCCAAGCACCTGTTTCGTTTAACGAGGTCTGACGCAACCAGTTCCGAATGACATTACGGATTCCATCGTGACTAGGCGATTTATCTAGTACAAGCCAAAGTTGATCCTCGAAACCAGGGTTTGCAGCTTCTAATACATCCCGAGAATCCCTCTTCATCAGATTGTAAAGACCGTCTACCGCGACATCGCGAAGGCCTGGAATATCGGAGTTGAGGTACTTTTGAAGGGTTTTAACGTAATCACTGAACACCATATGCCCAGGGGCGTATAATGATAGATGTTCCAAGCACCCTAAGCTTTCCCGTTGCACAAGAACGTCATCCTCACTTTGTAATTGGCCGACAAGAGTGAGAATTAGCTCGCGTGATTTGGTCGAGTCTTGTAAGTCCGGTCCCACCACATTGATCAGAGAGTCAATGCAGCGTGTGATGGCGGCTGTCGTAGATAATTCCATTTCTAAACTCATAGAAATAGCTGAAGACACCTCGGAATGGTGAGTATCCGAGAGATATAGCTGAGATACCATGCCTAGCGTTCCGGAAACGTATGGCGAAAACCCAAGACCCGCAGCATCAGCGGCATCAGCTAATGCTTCAAGAGCCCAGAAGTGTACTGTCGGATGAGGATCGTTGCAGAGAGACATCAAAATACCAGTGATGGTTTTGAGATGATAACCTGCACCCATACCACCCACCTTCGCCTGGATAGAACCCAGAGCCATAGCACATCCCGCTCGGGCACTAGGTTCTCGATTACCAACAATGGTATCGACTAAGTGCTTTACTTCATGGTTAGTAAAAGCATTGCCACACGCGTTGCAGAGACGAGCGACGGCGCCGTAACCTAAGCTACGAATATATTGATCCGGATCAATCACGAAACTCCTGGCCATTTCTTGAAGTAATTTTTCTACCGCCATATTGGTGACGTTTCCAGGGGATGACTGTGTTTCCTTGACTGCCACCTTTAGAGTAAGGAATAACGCGCTTGCGACGTTAACATTGATCGCTGCCTTACGGCCAGGATCGCGCTGCAAAGAACCAGCTGAGATGAACGTTGCAATTTGTTCGAGAACACTTTCTTGCACTTTGGCTGGTGTAAGAGGAAAGACGAAAGCGAATAGTTGGATTGCCATGTTCACCACTTCAGTGGCTGGGGGATCTGGGAGATTGATGGATGGGTCTGGTTCGCCTGCGTAGAGAACAGCAGCGTCGTGTTCCAGCGATGGGCAAATTGGTGACAAAAGTAGGTTATCAACAATTTCATCAGGATCGACTTCGTCGGTTCGCGAATTGTCGGAGTCATCATCCTTTTCCCCAGGAAGCTTCTTGACTTTGAATCCACGAACTAAGTCGTTTACCCCGAAGCCAGAATTATCACCAACATCCCAAATAGTTTCGAATGTACCAGCAGCGGTGGCAATGGACGCACTCAGAGAATTGGTTCCATAGTTCTCAGGATCCGCAAATAGGGATATAGCTAGCGTGAGAAGGTTGGATTGCAATAACGCCTCGCTGCCTCCAGCCGGACTTTGGTTCACTAGCATAGTGTAGCATTGCAATACTCGCCGCTGGACCATCATGTCGAGGTCTTGTAGTTGCAAGGCAGGAGTTAACCTTTGAGAAATATCGTCTGTGGTTTTCTTCGAGGGAAGCATCCTAAGGAATACACTGGTATTTTGAAGCATTGTGGCGATACGCTTCGATACGTCAACTGTCAATAAACGACTATTGAATTGAAGGAATGAAAGAATGGAGCCTAAGGCGCATTCCTTGACGTGGGTTAGATAAGCGACTTCGAGAATATTGCGATGTGCGAAGTTATCTTTGGCGAGTGGCTTTGGTAAAGCATTCTTCCAGAGAACGAGCAGTTGAGAGAGGTGGATTTTGACAAAATTAGGTCCTAGAGACATAAGACCGCCAAGGAGAATCCATGCGACCTGGACTTGCGTGCTCGAGACACGAAGTTCGGATTGCCCGCTGGATTTGAGAAGGTTGGTAGCCATAGAATATACTCGATTATTGATATCAAGGGAACCGTATAAAGGACGTGATGGGCTAACACTTAACGTTGCAGCCAACCCATGAGCAAAACCAATACATCTCCTTGGGGAATTTCGCGCGCCCCCGAGCAGAGAAATTTCTCTACTAAGACTATTCATACAGACAGACAAGCATGGTAAGAGTTGTTGCGGACACGCAAGAACGAACGTCTTCATGCAATATGAGGCGGCGACCTGGACGCTGTAGCTTGGGTGTTGCAATACTTGCAAGAGTCCGTCTCGACAAGACTCTGCGAAGTTATTCGCAGCGGATCCAAGTGACCTAATGAGCGAGGCGACCGAACCAAGAGCCGCAATTAAGGTATGCTTCGTTGGCTCGGGTCGTTCTTTAAGAGCCTGGGGATAATTCTTAAAAATATCATTGATGAGCACTTTCGCTACGGCCATTTGACCTGATTCACCGAGGATCTTGCGGCCAATTACGACTTGAAGGACCGTATCCACGATACGGCGCGAAATGAGTAATCGATATCGATTGTTGATTATATTTTGGTGACCCAATAGGTCAACAGTCAAGCTCTCTGTGATTCTCAAGTAATTGGCTTCGACAAACTTCTCTCCCAATAGCTTTAAAACTCTTCCGTAGCAGACGCCGATGGCAGCTCTAGCTCTGTTGGTGGTGGAAAGCCGAACGTATTGAGTGGTCAATGTCTTGAAGATGTCGTTAAGCGAAAGCACAAGGTCCTGGCTTCTTTTCCCAGGTGCTGGGCTGCCAGGCCGAGAAGGGATATCCTCATCCTCGTCAAGCCCAACTCCAGGTTGGATAGAAGCCCTTTTACTAGATTTAGTCTTTGACCTCTTAAGTTTTGGGATCGAACTGGCGGCTGCTGTAGACTCGGAATGATTTTTAACCATAGCTTCGGCTAAACAATCGGCAGCGGCATGTCTTACGGGGGAGGAATTAGAATCGATGGTTTTAAAAATGGTCGATTTGAGATTCTCAAAGTCGCTTGAATTTTCGAAGTACGAGGTATGTCTGGCTAGAGCCCTCAAACAACGGCAGGCCGATACAATGATCAGTGAGCCTTTATCGCCAGATGCCGCACCTCGTGCTTGCTTCCAAATATCCCTGGCAATACTCTCATCCAGACTCGTCTGCACCATGCCCACGATCTTAGTTAAAGCAACGAGGACAGCTGCACGTAATCCGGCGTGAGTCTGAGAGGACTTGAGTAGCTTGACGAGAGCACCACATGCCATCTGGTGCAAACCAATGGCGCTATCACCAGCAGAAGCATATACATCGCCCAGGCAACTGACAGCAGCATGTCTCGTTCGAATTTCGGCTTCGGTCTTGGATTTCCCACTGGATATAATAGAGACCAGCTCATTTATGGTATCGAAAAGCAATTTCCTGTCGCCATTGCCGAATACGTATGCAAGTATCTTGCCAAGATTTATTCGTACTACTCGACTTGGGGAGGGGGTCGACAGGTTGATAATCTGAAAGACTTCTTTCTTGAGATAGAACTGCTGAGCAGTGCAGTCATCTGCAGCCAAGCCGTGAACATGTTTGCTCAAGGAAGAGACAAAGTTCAGTAGAAAGAGATCCTGTTGTTCGGCAGGAAGCGACTGGAGCTTGGGAAGGTCGAGTTCGGGATTGGATGTAGCCGTCGAGGAACTGCGCGGCGGAGGAGCTGCTGCGGCTTGAGCAGCGCCGTTAGACTCTCGAACAGGGGAGCTTGGCGCTGACATGGAAAATCATGGGTATATGAATCGAGGCGCTTTTGATAGGAGAAGAAGAAATCGAGGGTTTCGTTTACGAATCGCGACGTAATTTTAGGGCAAGGACTGGGGTGTAAACGTCGCGGATCAGAATGAAATGGCATCAAAGTTGAGAAATGTGTAGATTAGGTACACGAGAGAATGTACCTAAAGTGAAAGGGTGATGGCATAATAGCATTCACTAAATTAAGAGAAGTGACCAATCATATCATTTGATCTTCTTCCTCTAGGTGTTTTCTCGGGTACCTCTTTCTCGTCTGTCTGCCACTGCCAGCCTACCAGCTAACCTTGGATTAAACCTTGTGTGAGCGCAATACTGCGGGTTAATTGGTTGATCTACCCCAGCCCTGTGGAGACACAGGTACTTAAATAACCTATGGGCATTCCCGAATGAGCTTAGCTCTTTAAGAAAAGAAGTTTAATTGATTATCTACATCGGAATTTCAATGTTGAAATCGAAATTTAATAATTCACACAAGCATCACCAGAGTTTGCTATATCAAGATGTCCGCACTACTACTCCCGCTACCATAGTCAACTTGCAACTCACTTACACGCCTCTCTTGACGAGCTAGTCACCCTGGCCCTCGTCAAAATGTCTCACTTATTTTCAATTCCTAGTCAGAGGCTTGTACTAAGGTCAACCACATCTACCGTCATATGCGCTCAGTGCCGCCGATCCTTTACTGCAAACCCGGTGTTTCGTAGCGGTCACAATCGTTGGTCTAAAATCCGACACGAAAAAGGTGCCGCTGATGCAAAGAAGACTGCTCAACGGACCGCCTTTTCGAAAAATTTGACGCTCTATTCAAAACGTCCGTACTTCGTATAATAGTCACTAATTTTTATATCAGCACTGACGGAATTCAGGATAGTGTATGGCCCAGACCCAAATCTGAATACACAACTTGCTTCAGTAATCACAGCTGCGAAGAAAGGTATTTGAAACACCAGGACGGCTCTGGATAAAGCGTATCCAACCCAGGTTTAGAGGAGTTGCGAGACAAGTACAAGAATATGTCTAACTGTGAATCGCCATCATAGCCGGTATGCCGAAGGCCAACATTGATGCTGCTATTGCACGGGGCCAGGGCAAATCATCAACTGGCGCTGGACTGGAATCCGTTACTCTCGAAGTCATGATGCCACCATCAGTAGCCATAGTTATCGATGCAGAGACTGAGAGTAAATCTCGTACCTTGCAAGAACTCAAACTTCTGGTCAAGAAATGCAAAGGCACCGTCACACCAACCACATTTATGTTCACAAGGTTAGGCCGATCCATTTTGAGAGGCACAGGTGACGAGTTTGATGATGTCTTGATGCAGGCGTTGGAGGCGGGCGCCGAGGATGTTGAGCAAGATGAGAACGGCGACATAATACTCCTGACCCAACCTAATTCGACACACCAAGCAGCGCAGAATCTAAGCAAGGCTCTATCTACAGAGATTCTTAACTCTGAGATCTTATGGGCGCCTACAGGTGACAAGATCAAACTTGACGACGCCCAAGAAGTAGCGGCCATTGGTAACTTCTTTGCAGCACTGCAAGACAACCCAGAAGTTCAAGGGGTCTAGTAAGTACCTTTCACCCCAAGTATCCTGGGTTCTACCCCCCGTCTAAGCCTCTCTGCATATGGCTATTACTAATATTGGAACACTATAGCGCAAATATTGAACGAGGAAGTGTATCCGAGGAGGTATGGAAAACTATAGAAGATAACCTCGACACATAATTTTTTTTTCCTTAAAAGAATATGTACAATATGTAAACGTAGACCATCGTCATGGATATCCACGCTCTAGATATATATAGTTCTACACTCTTGTTTAATACCCGCCTGTATGAAGAGCAGAGAGAAATGGGCCCGTCACCCAATAGTTGATAATTCAGTGTTCGAGGAACACCAAAGTTATATGATTCCGTTTTAATGCCGTTTTGTCCCGTTCCTCAAACGCCGCCAAAACCAATATATACATGTACCCACATCAAATCCGAAAGCTTAACGGATCTTATCGTGATTTCATTCTTATGATTCATCGCTCCCCTGGCTGTCACCCGGTGATGGCGGGTTTCTCGCCTCATTCTCGAGCCTCCTATCTCGAATATACAACCGCCGCGCGCGCAATCGTTGTAGCTCGGCGTGGATTTCGTCTCTGTCGAGAGGCACTTTGTTGGCTTGCTCTGGTTTGGGCCAGAACTCGGGCACGGCAAATCGCTCGTCGAGGTTTGTGCCGAAGTAATACATGATGCCAATCGGAAACATGACATACATGCCGAACTATTCCGGTGAGCATGGAGTCTCGTATGAAGAAACGATTCGGAAGGAGTGTACTACTGACCTTGAAGACTTCTAAGTTTAGCCCGCCCATTCTGGATATAATATGCGTATAACTTGGGTTGAAGTGAATTGAATCGATTCAGGACAGATTGGACGCTCGTAGAAGAGGCCCAGGCGAAAAAGTTTGGCAATTACATGTATCGTGCGACAGAAAAAAAGAGCTATCGAATATTACCTACAATAGGTATCAAGTGGGATGTCGCAGTTGGATACCTAAATACCCAATTAAAGCTTTTGGAATTTGATGTAATTTTCTAGAGGCACTAGCTTTTCATTGGTCCAAATCGAAATCCAATGACCCCGCAAGATATCCATTCTTTTCTGGCACTACAAGCAGCCCTGCCAACTTTCTGGGGTTACACCACAGTATATTCTAGCCATTACGTTGGTTGGGTAGGTGAAAGAGGATGGGTGAGTATTTCACCACTTACACTAATAGGTAGCTATAGAAATATGTGAATCTTAATCTCGTTAGTTGTCACGGGGATTTAAACGGGAACACCAGGTAGACATTATAATTATTATATTTTCCGACTTCTTAGTCTTTTCGGACGGCCACAGCTCTTTGTTACTCTCCAAGCTGCTAATCCTCGTCTTCCAATTACTCTTTGCAATGTAGGCCACACTCCATCTTCAGCCCAATCTAAATCATCGAGATTCAAATGTCTGTTAAACCTCCAAACTTCTCGAAATCTGAGCCCATCCAAGCCCTTGTTGTCTAGATACGAATCTAGCCATGTCGACGAAAGCGGCGCGATGAGGTACGTGCCATTTGGCTCTTTGAGATACCCAAGACTCCTCCTATCCGCCGGTGTGTCGCAAGTTGCGATCTTCTCTAGTTCGTCAAGCAATTTATCGCCTTCCATCCCTGCTACGTCCTGGGTCCTCAAGACTGCATTCTTGCCATTCAGGAGCCATATCGGGGGCATATAAGTTTTCCACCATATAGCTTGTGTCGCATCTGGCTGGTTACTCAAAAATACTTGGGCTGGCACGATACCACCCTGATGGTATATTCCCATGAGCAAACCGAGAACCACATTGAAACCAACCCACGAGCCAACCCAGAGTTTGAAATATATTGGCTTCTTCGGAAACCGCACAGATGATAGCAACAGGGGAATAGCTGGGAGTAAGAACCGCGCTTCTTGATGTTGAAAGATGGATAGGACGAACACTCCCGAAATAGCAGAGGAAAGCCTTAGAGACAGGTTCGGCTTAGTGAATAAAAGAGCAAGAGCTGGCCCTATTAATAGTGGGATGTTGACTAAGATATGTTGATACCAGGGGTGCAATCCATGCTCCGCCAAATTTGAGGGCTTGAGGTTGTATTGTAGATTGTTGAGCGGCGTGATAACCGGGTTTCGGTAGAGATCTGACCACGAAATGGGGTGTGGGGTGTAGAAAGAAGTATCGAGGGAGATGGCAATTAAAACAGTTAAAAGCCCGGATGCTGCCATGACAACCAGGGATAAAGGTCTTACAAAACTAAAGGTTAGCAAATTTACTGTCCCCCGGACGTATAGAAGAAACTAACCTATTTATAAAATGGGGTATCAATCGAAGTCCAGGAATGATCAAAAACGCAGGGAAGGTTATTCTGTTGAAAACACCAAAGACAGCTATGATTCCGAGCACTAGGGATTCCGCGAAAGGGGTGTGCTGTAACTGAGGGGTCAGCTAATCCTCAAAACTGGAGTAGGTCTGGATACAACATACCGAAGTCTGAAGAAGAATGCGCTCGATGAGCACCAGACACCATGCGACGACAATGGTTTCGATAGAATTGGAGAAGGTGTGCGTCTGAAAAGTCCAAGTCACATATGACGACGCCACCAGCAACACGGCGGCTTGACGTTGACGATATTTTGACTGGAGTAGTTCATAAATCGCCCAGTCCTCGAGGACGAAGCTGAGAACGAACATCAGGACGCGCAACGTCCAGAAGACCGCGATCGGTGGTATCTCGCCATCGTTTCCATTACCAATCCACAACCACTTCAACAACAGCATAGGCAACCCGTAGATCGGCCATAACGGAAATACGCTACGGATAGGATTATCGCTGGTGAACTCCCAGGTTAGTCGGACGGGATAGCTGAAAATTTGGCCTATAATCATGCGCACAAAACTATTAGTTTACACTCATAGATAAGCGAAGTAGGGGTATATGTGTATCTCCATACCAGCAATAACCTCAGGGCCCTGGAAATTCTCATCTGGGTGAAGATAGCTCGGCGAAAGAGCAAAATATAGCCGCAACAAAACCAGGAACAGATAGGTACGCCGCCACATGATTCTGTCTCGAGAGATACATCTGATTTGGACCAAGTTCGATTCGGTACGGGTAGGAATGTCCAACTATCGCAATTCGTAATCGCAGTCGCAGTCGCAGTCGCGTCGCAAACCACAGGTCGCAAACGCTCTTGCTAACACAGTAGCAATCTTATTCCTACACACGCTCGTATACGATCGCGAACGCGCCAGATATCTAATTAATAGGTGGGTACGTGTCGAATATTCATTCAAGCAAGCTCTCTTCTAAAGTTGACAAGGGTTTGGCATGACGGGTGTCGCTCGGAATGTTGGATAGAATCGGTAGATAAATATACAACCGCAAAGATTAAAAAATAGGTGGATAAGGTAGAAGAGAATGAAGAATAATAACAATAACAAAAAGGAAGAAGAAGAATGGGCTAAATGCACCGCTTGTTATCAACAGAACAATAGAAAGGCAAGATTAACACAAATAATTGAAATAAAACAAAATAAAGACAAGCCGAATATAGTAACAACAATAAATTACATGCAAGCTATGTACCATGTAGGTGTACTATGTTAGGTGTAGGTAGGGGGTGGAAGGGTGTAGGGTGTAGGGATTGGAGGTAAGATGACACGGGTCACGAAATGCTAATATCACACAACCCGTGGTCACCACTTTCCCAGCGTTTTGGGTAATTCGCATAAGCATCCTCGTTCGATCGTTCAACCTTGATAAGGATCTAGGACCTTATCAGTGTGGATACTCCAAGTATATATACAGCTTGAAGTATTATGGGCAGCCCATCTCTGTATGTACCGTATACTTTATCCACTTAGTCTAATCTCACGGAACTCTGCATGTGTATAGGGATTATGGTTGTTACCGTTTAGGGATGGGAATTGGGCGCATCCATGGAGGACCCACCTGCAAGAAAGAGAAACTAGCAAATCTTATTAAATGGGCCAATTTTCAAGCCTAGCCCTTGAGCAATTCTACGGCGATACCAAATAAGGCTGACACCTGTCTTAATAGCACCATCTTGCCATATATGATGTATTTTGCGCATATAGAAAAACGCCGTTCATACAGGCATTTACATCTGTGCTCTCAATTTCTTATAGTTTATCAGTAGACGTGGAAATATCCGTATCAAATGGTAGAATGCCATATATATTAACTTAATCTCATTATCGATACATACCTATATATGCAACGGGCCTAATAATCCGGCTTACAATACGACTTTGTATAGTCCGGAGTATCTATTCCTCTCATGAAACATCCATCATATTATTTAGGGCCCAGCCAATATAATAAACCCCCAAACGCCATATTAATAATCAAATGCTGACCTAAACTCCAAGCCATGCTGTATAAGTACTTTGGCGAGAACACCGTCCAAATAAATAAATGCGTCCTCAGTGTCGTACAAGCGACCATCACGAACTCAAGGGCAATCGCCACAAACACCGTCAAGAGGGCAGCGTGTTGTTGATACACACGGCTATACCCATCCTTTGTTAACTGCCTATTCCGCAATAGTAGTAGGTTGGAAGCCGACGTCCACCACACTGGAGCAGCCCAGTTGCTAAGAAACGTCAGAATTCCCACGGCTATAATATTGAACCCGCTAACGCCATTATATGCATTTGAAAGATCTACACCGGATATCGCATTAGAACCTCCCATCGCAAAAAAGGAGGTAAATTGAAGAAGAAGCGACGATATGGTGATCTCCGCCGCTCCCAAACTAAGCTCGCTTAAGTAGGAGAATATGACCTGATATAATAAAAAGAGCGGTACGTTAGTCACCCGCGATTGTGTTAACACGAATAGTGTGAATAGATGGTGCAAAGCACGCATAGCTATGCAAGCATTAGTAACGCAGCACCCTTTTTCTTTTCAGGAGGGAAAAGAAGATAAATAAGGAAGCTCACCTTCTTCTCTGGATGACTTAGTCCCATGTACCAAAAGGTTATATAGGGGATATATCGAAGTGATCCCAAGGCCGAGAAAAACTGCTCGTGCTCGGTTCAAAAGCGAAGGCCCATCAAATATGTTTACAAGAGTCCTAGCAAACCCAACGATCAATTCAGGGGCATCTTCGCTAGTGAAGGCTAGCTTGAAGGATACTGCAGACGTCGTAAGGCCCGCGATAATGGAGCCTGATACAACGGGAGGAATATTCCTGAGGTTGTTGAATAACTTCCACGAGACTATTGCGTACGTTCCGATGACAAGAGACCAGAGTAACTGGGGGTTTGATGCCACAAAACTAGTCATAATATCGGGTTCGCCAGCAAATTTTTGCCCAGTCTGGTTCCATCCTCGGATGAGCCTCATGGCGCCGAGCGCAACTAAACCCATAATAAATGGCCGTTTGGTTGCATTAGAGGGCCTAGTCCTTAATTAGATATGCATGCGGTGAAATTACGATTGGAGCTTCTTACGATCTTATGACAAGGTAAAGGAGCCAGGCAGATGTAGACCAATACCAGAAATGTTGCTCTTCCTCGACATAACTACTAGCAAACATCATTATGCCATATAGGAGGGTTATAAGGAGGAAAGCTATAAGGCTAGAAGCTGTCAAAGAGGCTGACGTTGTTGCAACATATACAGCCATGATAGAAGCTGCCGCAGTTATTACTTCGCCGTAGACTAGCATAGATATGTCATAGTTGCTAGCCATGCTACTCATCAGAGTCTGAGCCTTAGATAGCCACTGCTACTAATTAGTATGTCATCTTCAGTGGTGAAGTAGAAGACCCGTCTCGTACCTTTGAGGCAGCTGTAATCCAATCATCGTCCGCATCCCCCCCTGTCGATATCGTTTCAGCTAGTTTGCTGATGGGTTGCCATTCACAGGCCAACTCCTCGGCGGGCGACCCAGGACGGATACAATTCGGGGTATGTTGTCTACCCGGTGACAACGAACCGCTATAGGTCGCGGTGATTATATCAAGGATCTGTCTTGCATTGCGCATGAGAATTTGGACCTTGTCGTTTTCTTATGACGGTTAGTTGCGCCCTCGTTAAATCTTCTGACGAGTCTGCTCACTTTTTGGCCACAAAGGTAGAAAATCTAACATGAAAGAGCCTAGGTTGTTCTTTGGTATTGGAAACCCAAGCAAAGCGGCAAGGGTTGGAGCTAGATCGGATTGTTCGGCAACACTATAATACTGGAAATCCTCGACAAAATCCGCCGGTACTTTGACGGGTTTAATTATAGATTTCAACTTGGGCGATACGAACACCAGAGCAGCCGAGGTCTCTCCAGGAGACGAGGCTCCATGATTTCCAGCATCGTTCATGCCATGGTCTCCACAGAAAACAAGCAAAGTCGATTGGAGGTGCGGCTGCGTTTCCAGCGCCTCGTAGATCGTGCGGACAACTCCATCCATCTCCCTCTGCTTTGGTATCATGTTCGGACCACGAGGACCGGTCTTGTGGCCAATATGGTCCAGACCAAGGTAATGAAGAACCATAGTGTTCCAATCGTCATTGCGCAATTCGTCGGGAATATGTCTCGTCACATTGTTATCCACTTCTGTAAAATCGGAGACGAAGAAGCTTGAAGTACCATCCGCTCGATCGAATACCCCCGGGAATAATTTCAGCCACGTGTCGTCACCGTACATAACTAGCTTCCCGGCTCGTTTCGCTTTCATCTGGGCAAGCCAAGTATCCTGAACGGCAAGGGTGGAAGAGGTGTCGGCTTCATCGAAACTTAGGATAGCATCGAGGAAAGAAGGCGTGGAACCGGTGGTGATAGCCTTTATTCGAGGCATCGTGATAGTGGGCGAAGTCGCATGGGCGGTAAAGGGAATGGCGACACCGTCAGAAATCAACCTACAAGAACAGGTGAGCGGCAAGCACTGGCTAGCAACTTGTTTCCCAGTTTATCTAACCGTTGAGTGAATTCAAAACCCGAGCCATTTGTATATACGAAGTCGCTAGGCTAGTCAGTCGGATAGGCGCGTAGGATCGGGTGGTTATTGCGTATAAGTGGGCACGAACCTGCGCAAAGCATCAACGACCATGAATATCAAACGATCAAACGGTGCTTCAGGTGGTGAGCCATACTCGAGCGGCTGATACTCGGCTAGACCTGGTAGGAAAGGCTTATAGGGAAAGAAGCCTATCGCAAAGAGAAGGATTGCGACAGGTATGAGGAGGTTAGCCGCGACGAGCAGCATGGTCGAAATAGGGAGGACATGATGACGGTGCATGTCCAATTGAATATTGTACGGGTTACTTTGGCGCACAATAAGAACTATGGTCAAATGTGTAGGTTCAGAGTCGCTTTTCGCGGTGCCCCATTGTCTATAGATAAAAAACGAGAGTGGCGTTCGGAATGGTGATTAGAATTAGATTATGTTCGCGATGCTTTAAACATTCAATGTTTGAATAATATTCGAGAGTTGAAATTGGCAGCCCACTTAGCTACCTAGCTACCTAGGTACATAGGATACGTAGGTACATGTCGGCGAGTGGAGATTTCCATGTCCCGCCTGCCTTAGTGTGCCGTCTATTCACCCCCACATCGCTAGGTATTTATCCCACTTCTGGAGTTTTGCTTTCGTAGCTTCAAATGTACTCAACTCTATTCAATAATTTCTCCCATTATCGTCACTTTCTTCCTTTAAACTACCTAGGTTCCTATCGCTGCGGAATCAGATCTAGGTATACATCTATAAATTCATAAATTCACACAATCACCAGGCGTCGAAGCATTATCATGCCCATCGACGACCCACCCGAAGACCTTTTTATTCGCCTTAGGAATCACATATTCGACGAGTTTCAACGAAGTTTCCACACTCTTTCTCAATCGCACATGGAGCCACAGCATACTGAAAATACACATTCAAACAATAACGGTCATCCTCTACCTTTGAGAAGAAGTTTCACGGTAGGAAATGACGAGGCGTTCGACGTCTTCAATTGGGCCACCACATCTCGATATTCACCTCTGAATCTGCAGTCCTTGCCACAACCTCGTCCAAACGACGCACCTGATAATTGCCCAGATATCTTCATTTTTCGAGACGCATTCGAAGACCTCTTAGCAGTGAGTGCTGGAGAACCACTCTCAGACCTACGACAGCTTGCTTTCGAAAAACGTCTCGAACTTATAGAGCACTACCTCTATGGCATACCCATCGAGCATTGGATCGTTAAAGTTGGACAACGAGACCTTTGGGGAGCATACTTCAATCTTTCCTCACACGCCAGGCGGTCGCTCGCTCAGGGCATGACCCCTTGGCGTTTGATGCAAATTACATCGACATTTCACCCACCGTCAATGTTTCAAGCGCCAGTATCTTCCCCGGCTTGGGAAGCTCATGAAAAATGGCGCCGCATCTGGACTAATGCTGCAGATGAGCCGCCGAGACATGAAGAGGAAGCAGGTACTGAGGCCGATTTATACGAGGCGAACAAATCTGAATTTGCTACCGATAGTGGTGCAAAAATCGTCGCTGCACCTCAAAGAGGTACAAGTACTAACGTAACTGGAAAAGAGGAGTCTTCCACAGAAACTATTGAGACAACGGATGGTGGCAAGATTCTTAAAGTAATCCAGCAACGCTCTTTTGACAACGGGACAGAACAGAAGACCGCTATAAAGCGATTTGATGCAAAAGGTGACTTGGTAAATCAAAGCGAAAAGGTAGTAAGAATATGGTCGACCAGACACCCAGAATACAACTCACAATCTAGAACGGAACAATCAAGTCCGGATACCAAAGGTACGGTATCCGCCGCAGACCGGGTAGACACGCATTCTAGTGAGCAGAAAGGTTGGAAATTTCTTGATTGGCTCTGGAAATAATAATCAAAAATTCGGAGTTTCGTTCGTCTCCGCTCTAATTATATGGTGTCACAATTCGAATATACCTTATCTCGGACTCCTTGAGTACGCTCCTGGCTTAGTAATAATGATAAAAATGCGCAAAAATAGATTGAGATTTATGTATGCTTTTGATTTGCCAATTCTTCATTAAAAAATTGGCGAATTAAATTATAACGTCTCAACGGCGAGCTTGAGCTTTCTTCTTTCTCATCATCCTTTTCCTTCCGATAATCTTCTGCTGTAGTTCATCCCGAGCCGATCCCTCTTGACCCTCCTTATTGTCGTCCGTCGCTTTGTCTTTCTGACCGTGCCGCTTTCCCTTGGACACAGAGAAGTCCTTACCCTTGAATTTGGAGGGTGTATTTGCGTTCCCAAGGCCCTCTGTAACGTTCTGGCCACTATAACTTTGACCACCGTGCATTCGTTGTTTTGCCTGCGAATCCTTTCGCCTCGCTACGACTTGTGCGTTCTCGATAGCAAATTCCACAATTAACCGTTGCGTTTTGTCGGCCGAATTCTTCAGCGCATGTCCATTCAACCATCTTAGACCCATGAGCGCCCATCGATGCGAAGAATACTCAATGAACCCATAACCTCGGCTTTTACCAGCGCCATCCGCTTCAGGTACCTTTGATCCTTCTTTATTTTCGAAAATGATCTTTGCTTGCTTTACTATGCCTTTCCCCTTCTCCTTGCGTCGGCGTTCGGCCTCTCTATCTTCCTCACCACCTCGCGCGGTTTCTTCCTTCGATAACGGCTCTCTCCGGCCTTCCTTCACGTCACTGGCAAAACCGACGACAGCCTCACGGGCTAAAGCTTTCAGTTTCTTAGGATCTATGTCGCGGGGGATGTTACGAATCGCCAAGCGAGTAAGACTAAGATGCAGGCTTGGGTTGTTTTGGATGAGCTTTTTCCGCTGAGTAGCACTCTGCTCACGGATCTTGACTTCCGACGGGGCCAACATGGCATATAGAGGCGAGTCCTTCGTGATGGTACCTTCAGATAGCAAATATAGCCGCCGTTTATCTTTTTCTTTGCCTTGCCGAGCGGCGATACCGGTTTCTGCGAGACGGGTTGCTTCGTCTTTACTCACGGCTTGTGATACCTGGAGGATTCGGCCTTCAAGAGTATACTTCCCTTGCTCATCAGCCAACTCGTTCTGTAAAATAGATTTCTTATTTGGTATTGCAGACTGCTGGGCGTGAGGAGCCCCCTTCAGGCAGGCCTTTGAATCATCCTCGTTGGCAAAACAAACAAACCCCGTGCCTGCCGGTCGATCTGTTGCTCTATCAACCACTATACGAGCATATCGTATACGTCCAAATTGCTCAAAATGGGTCTTGAGCTCCGCATCTGTAGTCGTAAAAGGAAGGTTGCGAATGAAGAGGGTGGTCTTATTATCCGTCATCAAAGGTTTCTTTTGTTGCGGGTCAGCGTGGTCTTCATCGTCGTCCTCCGCTCCAGCTTCGTTTGGATCGGCATTACTGTCTTCGTCTTCAAGGTTTTCCATATGGTTTTTCATGAAATTCTTAATATCCTCATCTTCTTCATCCTCCACTTCATCTTCCTTATCCTGTCCGTCATGACTGTCACTTAATTTCGCATCATCGCCATTAGACGTCTCGTCTAAACCGGAAGGCTTAGCATCGTCTTTCGGTTGGTTTTGTTTTTGCTGCTCCCATGTTTGCTTATCCACAGCCCAGTCGACAGCAAGAGTTCTTCCATCGACTGTCTTCCCATTGATAGCGTCCATAGCCTGTTGCGCATTCTTCCGACCGCGCATAGTAATAAAACCAAATCCAGAGAGCTTCCCTTTGGCATTCGGGAGATCGGCGTATTTCACCTTTCCGAAGCTCTGGAATAGGGCTGCCAACTGGTCGGACTTCTTAATGCTCCAAGGCAAGTTCCGCACAATTAATTTGGGCGCTTTGCGAGCCTCTGCTAACATTGCCTGTCTCTCAGCCTTCTTCGCAATAGCGCCAGCCGACTCAGAGGTTGCTTGACGGTGCCTGGGCTCCGCAACCTCGAGCACTAACGGACGGCCATTCAACTTCTGCTTATCGAGCTTCTCTTTAGCCTCCTTCGCATCGTCGGCATCGGTAAATGTAACGAAACCATAACCGCGAGAAAGTTTGGTCTGGGGATCGAGAATGACGGTAGCATGTTTCACGGGGAAGTGCTGAGAGAAGAATTCGGTCAAAGTCTCGGCGGTGGCCGTAGGAGGAAGCGATCGTACGAAGAGAGATCTGCTCTCTTCCACTCGGGCTTTCTTGGAGGGTCGCTCGATGGTAGACTCGGCATCTTTCGAAGGCAAACTTGACTCTGTACTTTGTATTCTAGACCTTTTGAGGTCAGTGTTTCCAGCCATATCCATAAAAATACCAGGCCCAATTAGAACCTGTAGAATGTTGGAAATATGATTTGTTTTTGGCGGAGAGGATGGGGAGTAGGAGATGGGAAGAAAAAAAGTTATGATTTAGCAAGAGAAAAAAGATCGATAAGATCACTACCCATTATCGATAACCTTAACGCACTGGGGCTTATGTGGGGCCTATATATACATTACATATGTACTCTATGGATGCAAGGAGGGGTTTTGATTTGTTGTCGTAGCAGCCCCGGTTTATTGATTTACTTACCCTTTTCAGAAACCTAAATAGATAACAAATCGCGGCATCACGGCGCAAACACAATAACATCAAAAAAACATTATTTCGTACCCTTGATAGGATAAAACAATAAAATAAATATTTACTTACATTTTCTGCTCATCAATCCTATACCAGCTATAGGTTCGAATCAACAAAACGATCCGCTATTATTCAAAGCCTACATTCTCGACAACTCGAACGCTCATTATCGCACCCACCCGAAGATCTCTCGAGCGCATACCTACATTCGACTCGTCGCAACGTTGGTGTTTCGAGTCGCCACGCTTGGGAATAAGGATAATTAGGAATATTCGATAAATGCAATCGATTGGATTCCACATACTATATTCAAGATGCCAGCCCGCGCATCTGCGAGGTCCACACGTACTTCCGCCGCCGTTTCTCACAAGGCTTCTAATGCGACTCTAAACTCGCGTGCCTCTGCGGCATCTCGCGTGTCGTCTTCCAATATCGATGTTCCCGAAGAAGCTCCAGACAACCAACTACGAACCCAGATATGCGCAATATTTCGCGATGCGCAAAAGACCACCGCAACTCATAGAAAGCTGGCCGTCAACCTCCGCAAGATCCATGAAGCCTGTTGTTACGAGCCGACGCGCTCCAACAAGACCTCTCCAACTGAGTTCGACGAGGCCGATTTCAATAATGAGTTCTCACGGTGTGTTCTCAGAATTATGCCCGTGAAAAAGAGCGAAAGTGTTGGCGAGAAGACTATACGCTTCGTGGGTCTGTTCCTGCGACACGCCAACGACAAGGATAACGAGTTGCTTGGGGAGGAAGATGTCGATGCTAGTACCATGCCTGAGACCCCAAGCACTCGTCTTACCAATCAGGTAATGGAGGCCATCTTGCCCTTACTTACTGCTAAGGACAAATTCGTTCGATATAGAGCAACTCAACTTATTTCCCATGTCATCAACTCCCTGGATGCCATCGATGATGACTTGTTCCAAAAGCTACGTTATGGTCTTCTTAAGAGAATCCGTGACAAGGAAGCAATGGTGCGTTCGCAAGCCGTTCTTGGTCTCGGCAGACTGGCGGGGAATCAAGTCGAGGGTATGGCGAACTCTGAAGATAGCGACGATGATGTAGAAACCGGGTTGCTTGAAAAGCTCCTCGAAGTTTTGCAAAATGACCCTAGCGCTGATGTGAGACGCTCGCTCCTCGTCAACCTGCCTATCCTACCAAATACTCTCCCTTATCTCCTCGAAAGGGCTAGAGATCAGGATCCTGCCACGCGTCGTGCGGTCTATTCCAGGTTGTTACCCGCACTTGGCGACTTCCGACATCTATCTCTCTCAATGAGAGAGAAGTTACTCCGGTGGGGTCTACGGGACAGAGATGAGAACGTCCGAAAGGCTGCTGGGAGACTATTCCGGGAGCGTTGGATTGAGGATTGCGCAGGCGTAAATCAGCCCGAAGATGGTGAGCAACCGGCCGGATCGGCTCCTCCAAGCATGGAGGGTCTTCTTGAGTTACTTGAGCGTATCGACATCGTCAACTCTGGTGTCGAAAATGGCGTCGCATTAGAGGCAATGAAGGGTTTCTGGGAAGGAAGACCGGACTACCGAGATGCCGTAGAATTCGATGAGAATTTCTGGGAAACACTTAATGCAGAATCGGTTTTCATCGCGCGGAGCTTCAACCATTTTTGCAAGACTGAAGGCAACGGAAAATATGAATATCTGACTGAGAAACTGCCTGAGGTTGTGAAGCTTGCCGACACTCTTGAAAGCTACTTTGATGCCCTTATTAAGGCCATTGGGAGGGTTAATAACCAGGATAACGTCGAAGAGGACGAGGAAGAGGACACAGTTGACCAGGAGTTTATCGTCGAACAATTGCTACATATCGTTCTCACGTTAGATAAGGACGAAACTGGTCGACGCAGGCTGTTCGCCCTGTTGCGGCAAAGTTTGTCCATACCGGAATTACCGGATGAGATTACCAAACTCACCATTGAAGTACTCCGAGATATATGTGCACCCGACACAGCTGGCGAGAAAGAGTTCTGCAGTGTTGTCCTTGAGGCTGTTGCCGACGTTCATGACACTATTGTTGATGATGAATCTAATGTTGGCGACGGTGAAGAAAGCTTCCATTCAGCTCGGTCAGAGGTTAGCGGCGACAGTACTCCCACTAAAAAAGGGAAGCATGGTGCAGACGCCAGCATAAGTGAAGAGGAGGCTCGAGAGAAAGCAATCAAGGAAATCATGATCAACATGAAATGCCTTCACATTGTCCAATGCATGCTCTCCAATGTTGAAGGGACGCTACAGGAGAACGACCATTTGGTTTCTATGCTGAACAACTTGGTCGTGCCGGCAGTTCGCAGTCATGAAGCTCCAGTTCGAGAGCGTGGATTGGTTTGCTTAGGATTGTGCTCGCTCCTTGATCGACCGCTTGCCGAAGAAAATCTTACTCTTTTCATACACTTCTTCAGCAAAGGCCACTCAGCTCTTCAAATCACAGCACTTCAGATTCTAACAGATATCCTGAACGTCCATGGAGCGCAACTCCTGTCAGCTAACCCAACATTGCTGAAAGTATATATCCGTGCACTCCGATCCGGTTCCAAGAACCCCGAGGTTCAAGGTGCAGCGACAGTAGCCGTCTGCAAGCTTTTGCTCGGCCGCGTGGTTACGGACCCCGAGACAGCAGCAGAACTGCTCAAAACGTTGATAGTTGCCTACTTTGACCCTTCAACGGCAGGGAACCAAAGCGTCCGACAGGCTCTGAACTATTTCCTACCCGTTTTCTGCTATTCAAGAGTCGAAAACCAGGAACTCATGGGTTCCGTGGCACTCGACGCCCTGCATGCTCTTTATAACGTCAGAGAAGGTCTTGATGATGATGAAATAGACGTTGGCGATGAAATGGCCAGCCTCACTACCATTGGTGCTTGTCTGGTAGATTGGACAGATCCCCGAAAGTGCTACACACCAGGTATCCCCATGGATGCGGACAGGAAAAATGTGAATGGAGATGTTCACCTTGATTTGGCGAGAGATATTCTCGATAAATTAAGCAGCAATTTTAGCAGTAAGTCTACCATCTATTGTCTTAGCATTGCCAGTCGTACTGACAACATTATAGAAGAGGAAAAGAAGGTCATCGCGCCTCTGCTGGGGAAACTGTACGTGTCGCCAACCTCTTCCGAGGAGAAGATACGCAGTTTGTATGAAGATATTTCGGCGGCTGTTGAAGATAATCTCCTATCCGACGCGACAAGTAGGAATGCCCTATACAAGATCCATGTGAACTTAGGCAAGATTGTCAACCAGTTGGGAGAACAAGATAAGATGTCTAGACGAAGCGGCAGTAGGAGCGTTTCCCTTGCTCCAGACGACAAGACCATAACGGAAGACGTCACTGTCGTACCAGAGCCGACTATCAAGGAAAAACAGGAAGACGTCACAGAAGATGAAATAGATATCTCTGCAACAACGGTTCGCCGGAGTGAGGGTGATTCGCTGGTAGAAGACCTATTAACGGACGAGGAAGCATGATGAGCACGGCTTGGATACAAGGGAGTTACGTTTCGGGTTTATGTGATGAATGAGTGAATGTCGCGCGCTTCTTTTGGTTTGGCGGAGGGGTCGTTCAACGTAGTCTTCTGTCGTTCGGAAGATACTAATTAAATTACTTCCCATATTAGTGATGTCTTAAACTGTTAGTACCCTTGACGAAAAATGTGTTGCCCATCTCGCAGTTTATTTAGGAGCAAGTGGTAATACGAATCCTACAATGCCCACACTTGAAGCCAAAATGCAAGATTTATCTTAATGAACATACTCCAAAGGAATACAGACGTGGCATAGTATAGACTATTTTAATATAGTAGTAGACCTTGACTGACTTTCACATGCGAAATATGAACTTTATTAACAATATGGTGACGTACATATATAATCACAGTATACAGGAAATTCGTTGATTTCATTTCGCATCAATATATTCAATTATGAATGACGCCGTAGGACACCTGTCCTAAATGATTTTTTTTCTTGACGCACTGCCAAACAGACACCATCCTGGTCCCCTATTCCAACCCCGACCGGTCCTTCATTACCGCAGGGTGTCATACATTCTCATCCAATTCTAGGCCTGCGTTCGGGTATCATAAATCCACTGCTCGTCTACCATCGTGCGCTGACTACAGTTGAGAAATAAGGTGTGCTCCTATTTCATGAGTAGAAATCGGCGACTTGGTCAAGCGCAAACAAGTCAACACTTCGTTTCTGGGTGGTTGTCGAGATGGTCAAGTTTCCGATATCGCACCAGTTATTGACGGGCTGTTCATATGTGAGCAACGTTCCAAGACGAGAAAGGGAAACCCGCGGGGACTTACCAAGCAACTTAGATACTTGCACCAACTGCAATTGTTCTGGTTCGAGTAGAAATTCTTGAGCAACACGATGAAAACGACAATAATAAGAATCAGAAAACCGGCACGAACGAGCCACCATGCCCACCAGAGAGGCTTTCTGCCCTTGAAGAAACCAACAGGGTTTCTGTAGAAAGCAGGAAAAGCGACACTTGTGATACCGCCACCCACACTTGAGTAGGAAGGTCCCCCGAAATGATCCTCGCCAATCTTGCGGCGAAGAGCATTTGGCGAATGGAGAACACTAACCCCCAGACATATACCGACGATAAATCCACCGATGTGTGAGAAGTTGTCCAGACCAGGTAGAAGACCTAGGGCGAAAGAAATAACGATTTCGATGATGATGAATATCAATTCCCTACCGGGATTGCGCCTCTCGCCCCACGAATAAAGAAGATCGAGAAGAGTCAGCGCAATAACTCCGAACAAGGATCCCGAAGCTCCTGTAGACGAGATCCCAGCGGCAGCGTAGTTACCTCCCATAACGAAACCAAAAATACCGGCACTCATGTAGACGAGGAAAAATCGAATAGAGCCGATAGCCCTCTCGATCTCTTTCCCCATGGTGAGCTGCAGCAGCAAATTGAAGCCGATATGGATGATACCAGCATGCATAAAGATGGGAATTATGAAGCGGAACCACTGGTTGGGTGCGGGAGTCTGGTTAAGTCCGTCATCAGGGTTCCACTCGGGATTGGGGACACCGGAAAAGCCACAAAGTTCTGAAAGAGAACACTTATTCGAGTCGTTATTGGGATCAAGCGAGGTGGTGTTAGGGCAAGGCCATCCGAAGCCTGGTTCAGAACCGGCTGGAGCGCGGTAATTTTGCACACCGTCGACGTTTTTCATGCACGGGACAAATCGTGAGCCCATGTTAATGAGGACCTGTTGCGAAGGACCAATCATGGGGTTAAACTGGGGTTGGGTTTGAATTGGGGAGCCGGTGAGCTGAGCGGCCTTGACCAACTCGGCGATGAAGACGGCAATTTGGATGATGGAAAATAAATATACCATAACTGGAATCCTTCTCTTCTCCGATCCCAGCATACCTAACTCGCCAAATCGTAGTAGGTTGCGCTTGGGAAGCCCTCGGCCGCCACCCTCTTGTTCGGGGACATCGTAGACATGGTCATTCGAATCGGCAGCGAAACCAGGTGTCTTATTTTGGTGGCGCAAAGGGATATCGTCGGTGCCTACGGGTGAGACATCGCCAGGTGCAGAACCGTGATATCTCGTATCATAGGCAAAGTTCTGCTGACTGGTGTTCGCAGAATCGGAGGTCTGATGGGAATGTGAGTTGGTCGGATAGACGTGATCGTCAAAGACGGACTCGAAGGGAGATACCGTAGAAGCGCCTGGGTGATCCTGGTGGTGCGGCTGTGAAGTATAAGAGGGCGGGTTCACAGAGGATAAGGACGGTTCGTATGTGTTATAGCGCCGCGAGGAATCGTTATAATATTCGTTGGCAGCCATGATATCGTCGCCCTCCTTATCCCAGGCTTTAGGTAATAGAAGAGAGAAAAGAGCGTGGCCAGCACGGATATTGCCCTCCTGGTGGTTGAAGTTGTTGAAACCCGGCGTTTGGTTCGTTAAGTCGCTCTGTTTCAGGATCGGATATCTTGCGTAGTGAGATGTGAAAGGTGATATCGGGGGAGAATGGGCTGAGAAAAGGTCTCGGGAACTAGCTGACAGGTTGATGCAAACCCGATGGATGGATGGATGGATCGGCGGGTGTTAGAACGAATGTGTAGCAAAACAAACCAGTTCAATCGTAAATGAGTGTCATCTGGAGGTACTAAGAAAGATTCGCTTTTCGTTTTCCCTGATGATTGACTTGACGATGCTATCCTTTTTTTTTTTCTAATAATAAAGAGAAAAAAGGAAGAAAAAAAATACAAAACAGAATAGGGAAAATAAGAGACGCCTTTTTGCTTTTTGGAGATGTGTTTCGGTCACCCTCGTGTTTGTTTGAATGAATTATTATGTAATGAGGCAGGACAGTAACAGTACATGCGTGGAGTATTGAAAGTACATATGTATGGAGTGATGGGACACAGCCAGATCCAAACACTGTCGTCACGCAGCCGAATAAGCGCAAAAGTTGATGGGCTGGTTATTACACAGTACATATCATCTAAGTATATGTACTTGTTTTAAGTGCGATACGCTGCAGAAATGTGTGTAAGCAAATACAATTGTATGTACCGTGCTAAGATATATACATGTATGTCCTGACCCAGTCACCACAAAGATTGCGTATTTGCTGTTGATGCTACAGGGGGCTGTGCTAAAGTTTAGCGCATTATCCACTGCATACGCGGTATCCAGGTACATGAGATTCCATGGACCTACAAGGATAGAAGGGCATCTTTGTGTGGATCTCATACTTTTCGCTATACTAATTTTGGCATTTTCAATACCACACCAGCTTCCACGTTACGTATACCTTGCTCGTTGACTGCTGTATATTACCTGAATACATACCTAGGTACATACAGTATCCGAATTGTGTTGCAGAACTGTACATATGTATGTACAAAGTCAAAAGCAGCTGAAGCAGATCATACCAACATCGTCAACGCCATCGCCAACGCCATCCATCGTATTTTTTAACCTCTAAAATATTCACAATCAACTGCGCCTCCACATACACGTATTCAAGCATACAGCACTTACTTCAATAATTAAATATATAGGTACTCGAGATATATCTTAATCTTCAGTAGCATTCTAGAAAAGGACATTATACTTGATGAATCTCCAGGCATTTCTTATCGAATTCACCCCGCCCATGTTAGTATCACGATGTACCGCATCAACTTACATCAGCAATAAAAGAAGTGTGCCAGTTAATTCTAAATACCCATCGAAAAGTAATTAGCTCTTTGCTATAGCCTTAAGTCACCCCGTTTCTCATAGCACATACCATAAGCATTTCCCAACTATACTCGAATACCCTCAACGACCAACTACCTTATTTCGCGCGCGAGAAGTGGATTAGAAGGGGAAAAAAAGCTTCGTAATGTGGCGTGGGAAAAGGCATTTTTCGTCGCGGAACTAGTATCGGTAGCGAGTAGAGTAGTCCTTGGGGCTGACGACTAGACCGCGACCCTTCTTAGCGCCTTTGTAGACCGTTTCGACGATATCGATCAGCTCTTGTTTGTCTTCTAAGACAAAGTTGAGCTTGTTGTTATTTCCCGTGCCTAAATCGCATAGCATGTGCTTGTTCCGGTAGAAAAACATGATAGTGCAGGGGTCATACAACTCTGTATAATTCGTCTAGTCAGCAATCCAATTCTAGGAGTGGCCCAAAACAGTCCAAATATAAAAGGGCGGGAGGATCTAAGAGGCGTGGGATCTACGTACCGTACATCTGATTAAAATCGGGGACTTGGTCGATATCGCAGACGTAGATGACACAGAAATTCTTTACCTTGTCTGCGATACGATATAGAACTTCGTCTTGTCGCATACACTCAGGGTCGTGATCGCGCCCGAAACGAATTGCTATACACAAACCATCCCAGTTAGTATACTGGTCTAACGAGCGCTATACCATAAAAACACTCGTTGTACTCACCGACAACACGCTCCGTCTCCGAAAGGATGGCTTGGTCGACATGCCAGCCCGTATTCAGATGAGGTAGAACTATGGAACCCATCTTCGGGTGATTGAGGAATCTCGGCTCTCGAAGCGGCGGGGAGAGGATCACAGTGGTTATGGATATCGGCGAGGGTTATGCTTCTTCCCCGGAAAAAAAAAAAAAAAAAAAAAAGGCTACCCGTTCGTCTAGATGGGATATGGGTGATCGGTTGTGAGAGTCGATTTATTGTTGGCGATATGTAAATGACATCAGTGTCAAGGTTAAACTGCGCGGGACCTTCTAGTAGAATCCAAGGCTAGAAAAGTTGCGGTTAAAAGCACATATGTAATCCAGTCGAATCTTATAACCCCATTTTATGCATGCCTTATTTAGTAAGTAAGCTTATATTCATATCCAGAGGAGTATGCAATCAACAAAATAGAGGGGAAAGTTTCCAAGTTTACATTATTTCGCAATCACTTTCATAAATTAGACAACTCATAAACATTACAACATTATCAAGACAATTTTCATTTCAGTCCGACTTGTTCAGATGGCTTAAGATGATTTATATCTAAGTCAAGATAATAAATATACAAGTAACTGAGAATTAAATTTTTCTTTCCCTTTAATAGAAGAGCTTCCCACCCGCCAACGCGACGAGCTCTGGGAAAACCTACAGCACGGATTAGCCTTAGATCTCACTTTGTATACAAGGAAAGATCCATTATGGATACGGGTACTCACCGGTGTTCCTAGTCCAGTTACGGGATCCCACCCTTCAACCGCCGGGAAGCCGTCGACACCACATCCAACGGCACTACCGCTAGTGATGTCCGTCAACCCCTTGTACCCCTTCGAATACAACCACGGGTTCAAGAAACCTAGTGGGGGCTTGCCAGTCGAGATGAGTGCGTCGTTCACAAGTGAGATAATACCACCAGTCAGCGGGCAGCTGGCGCTTGTACCACTAATCGTACCTTCCGTGCCGTTCCAGAAATACGCAAAGTAGAGTCCCTGCGCCGAGATATCTGGGTATCCACGACCCTTCTTGTTGTATAGACCATCGTATAGGCCGTCCAAACTCTCAACGTAGCTGCTAGTACGTTTCGCTTGGTACGCTGGCGCTGTGAAGTAGTTGCTAAAACCACCTCCGCTAGTATAATTACCGTGAGAAACACCGTCAGGACCGACAAATGCTGGTCTGTATGCTACCACCTCAGGTTCGAAATTCTTCGTGGCACCCACCGCAGTAACGTAGGGGCAGCTAGGCGGAAACTCCGGGAGAAATTTGGTTGTGTTCTTCCCATCGTTGCTTAGGCACTCTCCATACGATCCAACGCCACTATCTCCACTAGAGAAGAGTAGCGAGGTACCACGGGCACCCACTTGCGCAAACTGTTGGCAGACACGTCGAGCGTACGACTCAGGGACGGTTTGCTCGTCATCGGCATACGAGGTAGCTAAAAATGAGTTAGTTAAGAACGCGAAAATCCAGCAACCTTCTCTGGAGTGTAACCCCTTTTTTAACGAAATATAGGTAGAGCGGATTATTACATACTACAGTCACGTTAGCTTCGATTCACAATACAGCGGCCGCGTCAAAGGGGGTGTTTCAGGTAGAATGGACACTGGCGCAGTACGCTTTTACACATACCTAATGACTTGTGGAAAAGACTCCTGGTCGAGGAGGTAGTTCACCCACACCAGATAGGGTTCATTCGAATTGTCTGGAGTACTCGGGGATGGGTTAAATGGGGGGCTTCCACCCGTAGAGTAACTGATGATGGGAGCTATGTCCAGGTACAAATTAGTTATAACCTGTTTATAAGAGGCAACTTTGGGCTAGTCCCTCAAATTCCAGGAGATGTCCTAGATCAGGGCCGATGTCCAAAATTAAAACACTAGGGATAACATACTTTTCCAGCTAATACCTGCGATGGCCTGGACATCGAGGTTGGCTTCCTTAGAAGTGCCCGACTCAGCTTCTTCGGGCGTCAGAGGGAGGTCACCAGGTCCGTCAGCGATAGAGATCTGCGGGAAATCGTGTGCACTAGAGACCGCCTCAGGCCGGTATTTGGCTAGAAACAATTCCGCGTCCGTTCGAATTGGGTGCTCGCCGAGGTAGTTATTGAAGCCGATCTTGTTCTTGCCGCAAGCGTGGGTCTTGTAACCCTTGGTCGAATAGAGAGTCTGGAAGCATTCCGGGGTGACCGAGTTCACATCGCAAACCGCATTCAGAGTTTCATTAGTAGGAGGCGTGTATTCAGCATCGACATAGACAGGCGCATCGATATGGTCAAACTTCTGGGCGCGGGCGCGGAAGAATGAATTGGTAGGCTGGATCGTGTCAATCTGGTCATGTAAGTGAAGAGGAAGAGACCATTTAGGAGCCCGAGCCACTAGACCACCCTCTTTGTGTTCATAGACATGGTACTCTGTGTCGAGCAGGCGCTCAATCTCCTTCACCGGAAGAGACACAGTAATCCAATCTTTAGCCGAACTGTAACCTGAGGGAGTAACGCCATTGGCTTCCAACCACTCGTGGACAAGATCAAGAGTCTCGTCCGTAGGCTTGACTAGCTCTTTCACCTCATCGGCAGACAGGTGCTGACCATAGCGGTGGTGATCCGGGTCCGAAACTAGACGTTCTTTGTCAGTGTCCAGTTTTGAAAGGACATAGATGGTCGCAATTCATACCTTCGTATAGATGTCTTTCCAGTTCGGGGAAATTACTCTGCTTAACACCGATCTGCAGGTCAATGACATGGTCGGCGGGCGCCCGACGAACCCGTCTCCATCCCCGAGGAACGTGGTGCGATTCCTTAACGCGGTACGGCGTACGTGACCCTACAGGGTTCGCAAGAGCAGCGTGAGCAGCGAGAAGCGCCGAAACGGCGACGACGAAGCCAGCCATGATTGCACACACTTCAACCTGGGGAAGCAGATCTATACAGCCAGAGCCTGGAGGAGGAGTAGGACTAGATCCCAAGAGAAAGCCCCGAAGCCGCGCTCGTTACACTATATATTTATGTACGACAGCACGCTATCACCTACTTACATAGTGCAAGCTGACATCGAACAAGGATTATCAGCGCGACGAAGCAAGGTACTGATCCACTCTGCATGGCGATACCCAATTGGAGCGCCCGGTTACAACAGGCCGGAAATTGCATTAGTTATCCTTTGATATACTACTTATACGTACCTAGGTAGGTGGTATAATCGAGACGACAATTTGGATTGCCTATTATTTAACCTGTTCCTATCCAGCCAGTCACGCCATTCCTGACCTTGACATTTATGGAAGGTCGATGGTTATCTGTACCCAGACGCGTGGGTCTAGATCGTGCCCTGATCTCGTAAGTGCTTGGCCTCCAATACGAAGTACTAGTTAGTACCTGAACGGAATAATACAGATCCTTTTTCTTTTCTGAGGCGTCGAGCTAAAGCCCAGCCCAGCCCCGATCCGAGTGAGGTCTCACAGATAGTCCTCTAATGAAGGTATGATACTATGCGGTCACTATAGAGCCTACATACATGAATCAATATATGATGTAAGAGGCGAGGATTCTCTAACTCCGGTGCGGGACACTGCCTGTTTACATGTACCTGTTCGAATAGCCTACCTGTATGTACATGTTTTCATACGGTGATAATTAATCCACAACATGCCTAGAAATAGCTATGCTAACCCGAATTGCACAATAGATATTCATTTATATCTATGAGTAAGTAATTAATATTTCTCAGCTGTTGGTACTATCGTTGCAACCTCAATTCTCAACGCGTCAGGTGTGTGTCACTCTGTTGTTACTGCATGACATTCCACTATATCACCACCGAGGTATCGAATTACATCACAACTCGACCGAGGTACCTAGGTAGCTATTGTTAATACATCCGAATAGTCAACATTCACCTCCATATTCGAAGACTCAAGCATGCACCATACCTACCTAGGTACCTAGGTAGTTATCTTTAATGATTTCCATACCATGCATATCAATCAAAGATGATTCCTTTTCCTTCGTTCAAGTGTTTCGTATAATGTCATCATTACATGATAATGCAAAATACTAATATTCAATTTAGCGAGATTCTTCCAAAAAAGAAGATAAGAGCCATGCAATTCGTATGAATCTCTGCAAAATGTAATTGATTTGGCGGCTCTGGGAATCGAACCCAGGTTTACACGGGATTTGATACGGTGATAACTGTTGAACCACAACGTGTTGTACTAGCCACTATACGAAGCCACCTTAAGCTTGGAGATTTTGGGATTTTATCAGGGCTTATATGCCACGTGATATTAACCTAATTGTGGTTAGGCGTATGGAGCTATTGCCTACCTTTTTTCTAGCTAAGGTACCACATCAATAGCATCAATCTAACATCTGTCTTAGCCCGATACATATTTCCGTCTTTCTTAGTTCGCCCATAAGAAATTTGAAGGCTCGCATCGCTATAGAAATCACAATTCCATCTGAGCGACTCTTCAAGATACAGCTGAGGTTTACTGTATTACCACACACCATACACTGTTTAAATTGGGCATAACGATGAAATCACCTGGCATCTAGCATATCTGTGAAGAGAAGAAATGTGTGGTTTGTGTGCGGCCTACATGATCATATTGTCGCCTGCTCCCGTCTGCATACATGATTTCGGGCTACTTCCCAGCGATCATCAAAGGTCTCCGTCCCATGTTCAGTTGCGCACAATAGACACGAGCTGAGTTCTGCCCGCTCTGGGCTACTTGTATAACAGCTCACCATTGAAGTCACAGCATCAAGTAGCAACCGAATGTCTCCTATAGTGCTTGTAGCCGCACTCATGATCCCAGAAATAGGATCCAACCCGGGTTGTCTCGGCTAATTTTTATTCGCCTTATAGGAAAGTTTCGTGTTGGTCTTATTCACAAGTGACACCCCGTGTGTAGCATACCTAGGTGCGTTCCTAGACCTCAGAGGCCCACCGCTACATCAAGGGTTAGAAATAGCGTTCTGTCAGTGATACTTTCGCCTCTGCATCGTACAGATACCGACTTTCTTCGAATGAAACGTGCGTAACGAGTAGGTTTCCTTCTATGCATGTCTATGAATAGTTGAATGGTAGACTCTAAAATAGTTAGGTAACACGATATCTTATACTGCGTCGTGTGGTGAATTATATATCGTGCAAAGCTAACGAGTAGCTTTCTAGACTAGAAAGTATCAAGGACATTAACTAGGTAGGCCGTGTACAACCACGCACGACACGTCCCATATTAGTGTTAAAACCTCTTCTCCGCCTATGACTTCCTATAGAAGAAGTTTCGAGTTGTCCCAGTGAGTTTGCAAGGGGTAAAATAGCATACAACAAGTTCCAATATCTGAATAGCGAAGGGTATGACCCGTAAATTGACCAGATACATTTCATCCCTTTGAAATATATGAAGACCTACTCATAGTCGGGGCTTTGTAGGGGAATACTATATCTACGCTGTCATATAGACGTAGGCAAATATGTATAGTACTGCACTGTGTAATCGTGCGACATTTCACTAATTGGGTAAGTTTAATGGTTCGTAACTGACACCAGAAGTTTTGTCTCGGATGATTCGTATTAGTAGATAAAATTTGATGTGAATACGATTCAACAAGCTCTGAGATGCTGGGAAGTTACTAGAATGCAGTTATTGTGCCGGCGGCCTAGACGTGCTAAGCAAATATATCGTGAGGAGTCAGGAGACCACAGACTCTGTAATGTACCCTTATCAAATTAAAGATAGGTTATTCTTGTTGTTTCGGTGCCCTCTTATTACATTATGCTGGGTTTCTAGTTAATAGGATGAAGCAGCTAATATTTAAGCGGGTTGTTACGTTATGTCAAAAAGGCATGATCAATGTGAAAAGTAATATGGTACTCAACAATGTGAAATTCTAGGCTTATGTTCTTTGTCTGTTCTGTGGGTTGAAATGGTATATACAACCATGAAAAGAGGAGGCTAAATGTCAGGGCATTATAATCAATTAACTGATAAACTCATCTATCGACAACTAGGTTGCTTATATATATACAAACGCCCAGAGGCGTATACCAAACCCATATTGTATTATCAATGATACAGAGTCTTACTTAGCATATCTAACTAAGTTAAACTTCATCCTATTACTATCGTCATCATCATCATTCCTTCTGGTTGAATCTAAGAGGACTCGCCGTTGTTAGCCAACAAGTTGGCGGTGCCGCTGGGCACGCTTGTGATAACGTCAGAGAGCGCCGACTTCGCGATGTAGTCGCAGAGATCGGCGACGGGCGAGGCGTCAAGTCCTAGGTAGTAAGCGCCAAGTCCAGCAATGTGGGGGGTGGCCATTGAAGTGCCAGAGATGGTGTTCTGGGGTTATGTTAGCTCGAGCAAATATAGAAAGGTGGCTTTAGGTGTTACTGACCACACCACCATCGTTCCAGGTCGACTCAATGTCTGTTCCTGGGGCAAGGATGTCGACGAGGCTACCGTAGTTAGAGTATTCGGCGAGCTCATCGTCTTTGGTTGTAGCTCCAACGGTGCAGGCGGTCTTCTCTGAGGCAGGAGATGATGAAGACGCATCTGTAGCTTCGTTACCAGCGGCGACGGCAAGGAAGAAGCCAGCGTCAACGATGGCAGCAGCTGCCTGGTTGACGGCTGTCGAGGTGGAACCACCAAGGGACATGTTGACGACGCGACCCTTGGGGCAGTCCTCACTGCTATCCGATGCAACGAAGTTCATGCCAGCGATGACACCAGAGCTATAGATTCAGTTAGTTTCTGAAGATCGATAATAGAACGAGCATGGGCTAAGGGTAAGAAAGCTGTGACATACTTGGTGCCTGAGCCGCTAGCGTCAAGGACCTTGACAGCATATAGGGAGGTCTTCTTGGCAACTCCGTATGTCTTGGAGCCGATAGTTCCGGCAACGTGGGTGCCGTGGCCATTTCCGTCGCTGTCCTCTCCATCACCAGCAAAGTTTTGAAGGAATGTAGCACGGCCCTCGAATTCCTGTTGATTGTCAGATCATTGTTGCTAGAGAGAAGGATTTCACATGTTACATACCTCGTGGTCTACGTAGATACCCGTGTCAATGATGTAGGCGCAAGTACCTTCGCCAGCACTGTCATCATAGGTATAGGTGGTGCTGTCGGGCTTAGCGTTCGACAGGCGCGCCAAGCCCCAGTCGGCGTTCTCTTGGGTTGCCTTGATGGTGACAACAGCATCCTGTTCAATATAGTCGACCTAAGGCGTTGTGTTAGAATTAACGAATAATTTCCAATGGAATGCCTCTTCTTTCTCAGCTTACATCGTCGTTGTGCTGTAAAGATTCAAGCTCCTCAGCTGACAGGCTAGAGGCGAAGCCCTTGAACTTGTTGGAGTTATAGACAAAGTCGGCGTCGCTAGAGACAGACTCGATGGAGCTCTGGATAGACTCGGACTTCGTGCTGTCCTTCATCTTCACAATGTATTTGCCATCGACAAGTTGAGCACCTCGGGGCTTGATAACCGGCGCAGGGGTAGCCCGCTTCGAAGGCGCGGCTAATGCCAGAGGCAGCAAGGCGAAAGCGACTGCGGAACGCATATTGAGGGATAGATGATAGATGATGGCGACGGGCCTGGTATTAGTCTCACGAGTTATCTAGAGTGAGTTCTGCTCGGCAATGGAGGTCTTGGAGCGTGGGATGGGAAGAGTAAAGATAGACGACTAGTGGGAGGTGCATCACCCATTTATATATTCATGATAGCCCCTCGTGGAGGGCTGCGGTCTGCTGAATGTTGAATGCGAAGCTATGATACCGTCCACGATAGCTGATGATCCTTACCGAGGTCGGTATATGGTTGTTGGACAAGCCTACCAGCTTCTAGTAGCATGTGGACTACTCCCTCATGTGAGGTTGAAAGAGTATCATGGATAAGGTAAGGGTCTCAAGCAGGCGACGATATTCCTTGTCCTGGCCGGCCAATCCGACATGCATGACGAGTGCCGATCGCAGCAACACCTCCTAGAAAAGGCTTGGTTAAGCTAAAGTCTACCATTCGTTAGAGATCAAAGTTGTTTATTGTTCCTCCAATATCAATAGATACCACTCATATGTCAGTCGTGCTACTTGGCTATGTAAGCGCCTGTGTCGCCGTGCTTTGGATCCAGGGATTCGGGATTATTCAGGTTTCGCGAAATTAACTGCGAGACTCTTGTACTTCCAAAGTGACCAATAATATCGGGATGGGAGATAGCCAAGCCTGTGTCCCAAGCAGCTAACTACATACGCCGAGCATGCTGCTGCCAAGCTACGGTCAGCCTTGGGTTGGGCTGCTAGGGTAGAGAGCTTGGTTGAGCTTGGTCGGACTTGAGAGCTCGATAAATGGCCTTCCTTATCAGGAACCATTCCCTCCTCATCGACTCTAAGACCTGCAGGGGCCGTCAGTGCCATTGTCCAACCAAGCTTTGTCGATAGGGGCCAGGGATTCCTTGATATCTCCGAGGCGCAGGGCATGGTTTATGATATACCCTTAACCCTATCTATACTGGGCGTAGCCTACAGCTCGATGAGAATGGGAAGACATGGCGATGCCATCGGGCAGGACTCCTATATTATGCCCCCCAGATTGCAACGCTATTTCCCCACATGATGTGAGCAGAAAGCGGAATGTGACTGTTTCATCACATTTCCCGAGCAATACCAAGGCCGACCTACATGAGTTACTTGCTCGTATCGGTGAATTTGGCGGCATATTGTTAAGCCCTCCTTGTGCAACTATGCAGCATCGGGAAGGCATTCATATCGGAGTTGGGTGAGTTCAAATTTCAGCACACAAAAGCAGAGCCTTCTCTAAGTAGAGGTAGAAGTAGAGGTAGAAGCGAAGGCTCCGGGCTTATCGTGGGCCCCCCACATTCTCTGGGCGCCCCCCGCCTCTCCCCTGACCACCATCACGATTTACCAGCCCCTGTTCATGGATCCATGGTCCACCCTGGTTTCTTCAATGCCAAGTGCCGGGCGGCGGTCAGCCCACCCCCATGTGCATGTAGGTATGTAGGTATGTAGGTATGCGGAACTCGCTGGCACTGCAGCTCATTATTACTTGCTCAGTACCAATCTACTGGAGGTGTATACGTATGCAAATAATGCATGGGCGGGTACCTAGGTATGTGGATGGACCGGTTGCGTGAGTGTCGATCAGTCCCCGTCTGGGCAACCCTGAGTGCCGTGTTTATAACTCGGATTAGCTTAATGCCGTTCTACCTCGCCCCGACTGATCTACCAATCTCACCCCTAGATGCGGTAAGTGTACAGAGTCCACTTACTTACTTCGGCAGGCCGAAAGCCTCTAACGCACGGCGCTATCCCGGAGTGCGCCGCCATAATAATTATCGATCTCTCCATCATTGTTTCTCTTTCAAGGAAACAGCGCAAGCTTGTTGGAACCGCCGCAGTGCATACAGCGCTTGGCAGGCGGGATATACCGCGCGCCTCATATATCCTAGGTACCTAAGCAGGTAGGTATTCGTATTATTCGTCCTAATAACCGCTACCGCCGACTTACGAATCCGTGAAACGACTAGCTGACTGGCTCGCCTTCCCTCTATAGTTTGGCAAGGAAGAAACGATTTCCCTGAGCCCCTATAGTGCCGTTCCAGCCATCGGTGACTACGTGCAAATGAGGCACCGGGTTGCTGATGCCAAGCCTTTAAACGATCCTGACGGTCCGACTACGCCTACGACTATACTTTGTCCATTTACTTACCTCAGGTACCTACATAGTGAACAGTGTATTTGTTTACATACTCCGAAGGGTTTGATTTATGGAACGTGACAATTGACATTTCGTCAGGCCTTAGTCACTCCCTAGGGCTGCCATTCACCCTACGGTATCAAGTCACGTTACAAATTATCCTTGCTGCCTTGTTATTTTACGCATGAAAGATCTTATATGGCGGTGCCAGATCTATAATTGGAAACCAGTCGTGTTTTCTCTCCCTAGATGTATTTTCACCCCCTAAGGAATCGCTATGAGGCTGAGATGTCTTGATAGCCACTACAAGTGTTATGCTATAGCAACGCAATTTATTTGGTAGATACACAGCTCCATAAGGACAACCCCGTGCGATTGGAGTCCTCATCGAATCAATCCTTCCAGCGATGCTCGGCTTTAGGTATCTCAGATAGATATATTAAGCGAAATCTGGCGACGAACGGCACAGCACTTGTTCTCGGTGAACTGAGAAGTACTGATTAATGACAAACCCTCCCTAGAGGTAGTTCCGGACTACCGAGTGCCAAAGACAAAAGTTCCTGCGCCAAGGAAATGCCCGTATAACTCAACCAACATTCGTCCGCTCTTAACTCCTATTAGCAGGCCATTTGCCCATGAGCTGCCTTGCAACCAATATTCCCTACATACTACACACCTAGAAACCCAAGGTATCGTCTTATTATTATTATTATTATTATTATTTAGCTTTGCCTCCTTCCCCTTTTTATTCTAGGCGCGCTTGAATTCCCCCCTCGATCGTGTCAAATCAGTTTTTCGTCAACGTTAGATATTGCGGATCGAGATTTCTGAATAACTGAAAGAGGTCCTTACGCTACGACTCGTGAATTCGATAAGTAGTACCTTATACATCAGTTTGGCCCTCAACTTAGGCTTACACTTCGCCTCACGATTCTAGGGTTACCAAAAGAGCCCCCATTGACAAGATTCGTCAGTTACTAAGCTGCATAACATTGTTCGGGAATATCGCCCTATTCTGAATCGTCGCGCCCATGTCAAGAGAGCAAGAAGTAAATTAGTACGGTAAAGGTCTATTTATTCCAAAGAGACAGTTACTTGTCTAGTAAAGTATGTACTAAAACGCAGACAAAACAACACCGGATTAACTCAAGGATTGGTGAATATATTAGAGCCGACACCATATGGCTCGCTTTACAGCCCATCTGCAAACGACATGCCTCCGGCACCCTTATCCACGGCCATGCTGTGCTGCAGCCCACATACTTCAAAAAGTTTCAAGGGCGTGATGTGTTTAGGTGTACCGACTACACCCTCATTCTTTAGCCGGGTTAGGGTTTCGCGTATAGCCACGTACGCGGGCGCCAACGTAGCAAAGCTGAAGATCATAATGCGGAATCCCATTTCACGAGCTTCACCAACGGTGATAACAGGGCTTTTTCCATTCTCAACCGAATTTAGCAATAGCGGCCACGGTGCCAGGTCCTTCACAGCTTGTGCTGCTTGAGCTTTAGAGGTGAATCCTTCTAGAAGCCCAACATCTGCGCCCTCTTCTCGGGCTGCCCGAAGTCGAGATATGCACTCATCGTACCCAAGGGCCTGAAGAGCATCGGTTCTTGCGATCAGTACGAAATCAGATTGCATTCGCACACGCGCTGCATGTGCAGCTCTAATACGCGATATGTATTCGTCATGTGGCACAACCTTCTTGCCACTGAGATGGCCGCAGCGCTTAGTAAGTACCTAATTCGCCGATAGAGGTCAGCCATTTGTGAAAGGGGGGCGGGGGTGACCTAGGGAGTGGCTCTTTCATCGTGCCAGAGGAGAGTATCCCCTGGAAATACCATTTGAACAGCACAGGTTCAGATTTGAGGTAGAAGGAGACTTACTTGATCTTCCAAATGGGCACCCGCCACGCCGGCGCGAATGTATTGCTCCACGGTGCGAGCAGCCATGATGGGGCCTAAGAGAAGAACGTTAGAGTTGGTGGTACTCTCATAACTAATGACTAGGGTATTTCGGTTTAACATGGCAACTCGAGAATCACGACGCCTGAGCAAAACTTACCACCGTAGCCTGTATCCATGTCGGCGATCACTTTACACGTTGAAGTTAGCCATTGCTGCTCCCCAATGTACTGATATCTATTGGGGATTCTCAGGAATATTTGGTATGAACATCTATCGTCATAAAGGCAGGGTGAAGGTACCAGATGCTACTTACAAGGTGGACCAAAAGGGTCAAGGTTAGCAATCATCTCAGCGTTCTCTCTCATTTCATGCAACTGAGCAATTGCCAGGTCTGGTTGCCCAATACGTGAAGCCGTAGTCCCTGCTCCTGTCTTCATTATATTGTTAGCCTCCGGGAGCATCGTGTATTTAGATTTACCTACCATATATAGTGCATTGAAACCAAGCTCCATCGCCGTACGTGCGGAAAGCCCATCATAAACCCCAGGGCAAACGATCAGCTCGTTAGTCTCGAGTAACATCTTACGGAGCTTCTTAGCTCCAGAAGACGGCTCGATGATGCTAGCAGCAACATGATCGAGTTGAAGCGAGCCATCCACAGAAGGGGGGTCCGTAACGATGTCTGCTGGCGTGGAAGCAGTGCTGCTGTCGTTCTCCGGAAGCTCTATTGTATTGATCAAAAGATTTTGCTTGATTGGCTCAGTAAATTTGTTGGGAATAAAGCCCACTGCCGTTTGGAGAATCATATCAGTTTGATCCTCCAGTCTGGGTCGAGGATCGTGAGGCATAACTACAGGGAGAGCCATGATTAACTGGTACGTTTCGTTGTAAGTAGAATGAAGGTTCTTAATCTCAGTGCGTAGGCTGTCCAGTGCTGATGTCGAGAGGAACAGACTCAAGTTGGACAATTGGGGAGACATGAAATTTATATTCCTTCCCAACCACTCACTTACTTGTACGCTATACGCTGTACTACTACCATCACCCCAGGAATCATATACTATTCTGACACAACCCTCCTCCAGTAACTCCGGCGTGTCCATGGCCTGTCAGTACCACGAATTACACTATTCGGCTTGGCGCATATGTGGCTTTCACTCCTTTCACTTGTCTAGGATGGCTAGATCGCCGATGTTAAGCGCCATTTCCGCAAGACTTGGAGGAGACCAGTCCTCAGGATTCATAAAACAAGTGTGTCACGTATCTCATTGAAGGGTTACCTCAAGGCGTCATCTAGCCGCCGTAGATAGGCTACGAGACACCTTTCGACCCTCAACGCCTCTCATATATACTGTATACTTAAAACTCGCAACGCAGGAATACTATATGGACACTATACAACACCCGCAACTGACTTGTACAATTTCTAATACACGAGAGAAAGGATGTCAAACTGAAGAAAAACACGCGCCATCAATTAGGATACGTATATGTCCTCAGGCAACATGTCCAGCAAATTTGTATGCGGCCAAGTAAGCCAAGTCTATTTCTCCAATTCCTATCTTCCTACCATTTAGGTCATCATATTCCCATGCAGCATACGAGGCACTCAACTGCACACGGTGGACTGATCCTTGCGAGTCTTCAGAATAGGTTATTAGCGTGGATCACCTACCTATGAAAGCGGGTAAAACCCCTTGCCATCTCAAGAAAAAGCACGACCAATGGACATCTCGATGCGACCTGCGGCCTTATCTTGGGGCATCATTTTACTGCTACTCCTCGTCCTTGCTGACGGATCCTCGATACTGAGTCTTCTAGACCACAGGAGCGCGTGATGTGAGTACCTGGCGGACTAGAGAGTATCCGATACAAACTTCCCCGTCGCGCACACTCAGCTTCCCTTAGCTATAGTAATACGCTACGGAGCAAATCGGTCGCAAGTGGCCAATCCGGCTAGACACGCTAGGACTGGGTTCCAAATGGGAGCATTTCCATCCTAAAATATAGCCGAATAGATTATAGAGTAGGGACTAGATCTCCTATTCGTTCAGCTGGGGTTGTCAGCCATCAGCGCCGGTATGATTTACTTTTGTATGGAAAGTCCCGTAGTCGCCGATGGCCCACTCTACACCCTCTTAAAATCGAGACGTATAATGAGAATATAGTTTGAGTCACATCTAACTACCTACTCTAAGACCACGACGCCACCTTCATTATCTACCCCTAATGACCGGTTTGAAGTTTCGCCGTATTTTCTCCAGGTCCATCGGTTAAATAACGGCAACAAAAGGAACTGAGAAGTTCCAGTTCTGGGCGTTTATTATTTACAAGCAGCTTCTATAATTGGTTTAATGTACATGCAGAACGATTCGCGAGTGACGGGCCGAGCCGGGGAAAGTAGCCGGAGATACCTTAGATCGCTTGGCTACATCGCCTACATATATGTATATCACACACAGATGTACTCCTGTCGTACTTCTAATCTTCATCATGATGTAATTCAACCCTTCTATCTACGATCCATAATTCACTGCAGATAAGCATTCCCAGCCTCACTCAGCTCATTCTCGCAAAGCGCTCGTCGACATATTTCCAAGTTGGTAAGACCTAAGGTGTAATGATTGTTTTTGAGGAAAATCTACGAAATCAAGGGGATCACGTCGGTTGTAATTTAGATCTAGTTAAACTCATCCTGGATCCTGCAATCGACCGTCGTGACATCCATGATCGACCACGTAAGGATATATGGAGATACTTAACCTTCCACGCTGAATTTTCCCCGGGTCAGATCCCTATTCTGGCAACACACATATTATTTGCAGAATATGTAAATATACTAGGTACCTTTATCACGACGGAGTTACACAGTAGGCCCTCCAGAAGGCCTGCCAAAAGCAAGCCCATCCTGTTGAGGGTTTTTTTCTCCCTTTCGCGTGCAGACCGAGGAGCATCCCTACCCCCAGCTGCCTTGGCTTGCTTGGCTCATTGAGCAGCTTCTGCGGTGCTTAGAAGTGTTTGATTAGATCAGTCATAATCTATTGTCAAGGATTATTTTTGGCTAACAAGTACAACTTTCAGATAATCTTATAGCAAAGTTACAGTATTAAACAACCTCAGCGAGTCATGGAGGCTGGCCAGTATCTTGGGGCCCTCCTATATCCAAAACACATCAACTAATCACGATGTCAAGTCCGTACATAGTGTTGAGGTAATCTTTAGTGGATTCGATCAATCACATTCTTCATCGGACCGTCTGAAAGTACACCGTCTCTGGCGAGAGATGAGCCACGAAACCCCTGCATCGTGATTAGCACCTAGACCTCAACAGCTCGAGGAGAAGTGGAAAATGGCGTTTCTCAATAAGCTACCTAGGTACTTAATTTAACGACTCAGCTCTCCCTTCTGGTCCGAATGCTTAGGCTTACTCAACCATGCAGCTCGGGATAGTATGAAAGATGCTGGTCTATTTGGCGCTCACGGCCTCCTATTTGACAACGGGAAAACTCCTATGTCATCTGTCTTGGGGTGGTGTGAATTGGCTAAGCTGATTCGCCCCTTGAGGTTACACGTCGCGGGATCCAGCAGGCAACAAGTAACAAGACCCTGCCGCCAAGCACGAGCCGCACCTACGTCCCGGAGATAGGCGTCATAGTCGAACAGCGAGCCCTCTTAGCTCAGCTTTGATCCGAGACATTGATTGCATTAGCCACACTGAACTGTCTAGACCCCCGAATCCGGTGGCGCTGCGGACCTAGATTGTAATTGCCATTGTTTTTGCTTTTGCTTCTTATCATGTAGATCCCGCAGTATGGGTTGTCTGAAAGATAATGCGGATAATAGGTAAGTCCATCAGGAACGCCAACCCCTTTCATTTACCGGCCCAGCCAATTTCTCATCTTGCCACGATCCGGGGGTCTTGGTATCTTCACTTCGCGACGGAAGTCCCCGAGATATTGCGTGCGAATCTGAGGGATTTAGAATATCTGAAGCTTTTCTGTATGTGTATTAGGTGGGTGGGTAGCTGGGCAGCGCTAAGAAGGACATTTCATCCCCGTACTCACTATTGATATTCGTTAGACTACCTTGGTAATCCGCCTTATCTACCTAGTCCTTTGCTCATTTTCCCATAGCAATTTTTCAACCTACAACCTCGTCAATATTCCTCTTTTCTTAAATATCAAATGCGATTACGAATATATAAACCATATCTCGACATCATACCACTACAATCACCGCCATGCCAGAGGAGAAGCTCGAGCCCAGCCAAGGCTACAGCTCAGGGCCAATTGAGCCAAGATCTTACGGTCGTCATCTCTTAGAGCGGTTTTCTGAGAAGGTCGATTCTACTGTAGGGGCTGTACCCCTGTTAGCCTGTTGTTTCGCAACTGGCCTCACTGACGGGACTCTCTATAACGGTAGGGGATAACACGATCCTATCGCCTCACAAAGACTTCATAGTTGACACAACTACCCCATAGCCTACGGTACTTTCGTGTCGATGCAAACTGGTACGTTGTTGACAGTCCTAAATTCCGAAATTGTCCTTCCAGGGCCATTTTAACACTTGATCTAGGAAACACCGTTTTCGTCGCACTCGGTACATCAGGGCAGAATAATAAGCCGTATGGATGGGCCCGTTCGCTTTGTTCCATTGGATGTTTCACCATAGGCTGTTTTGCCTTCTCCCAGTTGCACAAGTTAATCGGTGGCGGTCGCCTTCGAAGAACACTATGTGCCTCATTCCTTGCTCAAACCATCTGCGTTGTTGTCGCAGCATCCATTATCCAAGCTGGTGTTATCGACGGAAGTTATCCTTCAAACAGGAATCCTGCGGATGTAAACTTCGCCGAGCTCGCAATTGTGGCATTACTCAGTTTCCAGGCTGGGGGTCAGATCGTGAACAGTCGGGCATTGGGGATCAGTGAAGTCCCGACTACTGTCATAACATCTCTGTTGTGCGATCTTGTCATAGACGAAAGAATCCTAGAGCCATTCAGGAAGAACGTGAAGCGAAACCGCAGGGTCGTGGCTTTCGTGCTTACATTTCTAGGCGCGGTATGCGGTGGATGGATCTCCAAAGCTACAGGCGCTGTACAGCCAAGTCTATGGTTTGTTGCAGCCATTAAGGGGACGATTACGCTCTCATGGGTATTCGTTAAGAAGGTTAACTAATATTAGTTGGTCTCTGGCTTATACAGTTATTCAGTGATTATTGTTCATATTACATTAAAACAACCTAATCACCTATAAACACCGGCCCATAGTAACAATAACAACATAAGGCGTGTTCACATTCACATATATAATGTCCAATAGTATAGGAATATTTATCAATTATATTTAGGGTGTATAACGAGGCTAGACGCAGGAGTTATGTTCCATATGGACAACCACTGATACCCGGATCCTAGTAGGAGCTAGACCTAGTCCCGTCACAACTCTTACGCCATCCTGATCCTGTTTCCAGTAGGGTATTTTTTCATAGCCCATAACCCCTATTACCCGAACGCCCTCAAACCCAAACCTCTATTTCCGAGCCCATGATCAAATATCGAAGGTCAAGTTGGGAACAGCCTGGGCCTCGGAGCTCCAGACTCTTAACGCCGTCGTGAGAGCTAGGCATGCGAACTCCTGGCCCAATGCCTTGCCACTTCCGAGAAGCTCGAACTTAAAGGGTCTGCAATTCGGCACGAAGGCTGCCGGAAGCAAGGATTTCTCAGTTGCCCAAACGGCTACGACCTCCTTTCCATCGCTGGTCTCGCCCACGGCCCTCGTCGCCCTCGAACCACCCTGTCCTCCTCCAGGTCCCTCACTCCCCAGTCGTACTAGCTTAAATCCCTTGGCATTGCGGAATGCGACGTGGACCTCACTGCCTCGGGTGGCTCTCCATTCAAATTTCTCATGGCGTGAGCCAATTGCGAGCGAGAAGTTATAGCGAACATGCATGCCATCGTCAATTGGTGTGGTCAAGGAAACCTCGATAGCGCCGGTGTTGGAGATCGGGGATTGTATCTTGACGATGTTTCTGTAAGTGCCTTTGTACGGCGCCGGCTTGCTTACCGACGCGAGAACCGGGCCTCGCACGGTTGATCCAGCATGAAGGACCAAGAGAGGTGATCGGCTGGAGAAAGCGTCGACCGTAACCGTGAAACGTAACTCTTGGTCAAGTTGACCTAGGTGAAACATAACCGGGGTCAGGGAGTTCGGGAAAATAGCCCTGAGATAAGTCGGGATCTCGATATCCATGTTAGGTGCCATCTGTTAAATTAGCAAGTGAATTTGAGGTGAAAGAACCATTATCTCAAGCTACCTTCTTTATGTTATTGGCCGCTAAAGTAGACGTTATCTTTCGTCGGTGACGACGTGTAAGACGTTGAATATTTAAGTGAACTCTCCGTCAGAATGATCGATCTCGGGGGTTGGGATGATCAAATCAAAGTTGAGGAAGAAAAAGCGTGATGTTGCTATCTTCAGAAAGATCAATCATGGGTGGGATAGGAAGAGTTGTAGTGAGAAATGTGAGAGAAAATCTCACTTATTAAATAAATAATCCAGTCACCTAGTGCATGGAAGACGCCAAACTCATGTGCAGGTGACAAGACTCTCGCATACGGAGAACAGCATAGTCACTGTGAAAGCACATCGTAGGTATCAACTTGAAGCAACTCACAACTCCCTACTGTGCTCTGTGCCTGAATGTATACAGTGCTGACGAGGAGTAATATAAGTAAAGGGATAGCAAACTGTGCACAGCAGATAAGGACATATAATTAGATGACAGTGTCAGGAGAGCATGGCAACTAAATATTTTACGCATACCGCAACATAGCACTGTGTCCATTATACAAGATGTCCAGTTTGGTTGTCGGTATTTTCGAACTCTTGATCTCTCATGATTCGTTCATTCCTTTAATCGTAAAAAAGGCATATAACGATGCCAACCGGCTCCCACGACTTCCCTACAACCACGGGCCCTTCACCCTAGGCCGGGTGTTAGGAAACCGCTACCAGCCATTTCGATGATACGCAGCAAACTGGATAGATGTGTTTTGCCATAGTTCATCCCCTCGAAGTTGAGGCTCGGATTTTATAATCTGCAAACAGTTGGAATTTAATTATCGTAACGTGGTGGCATGGGCGCATTGTAACATGTTCAACGAATCCAACGAACGCAAGAACGGCCAATAAACGAATTCGAATTTCTAGAACTTCTTTTCGTCCGGTATTTTCAGTGCTGCAGTATCATCGTAGTTAAGTTATCGCCGTACGAATCAAGTCCTTCTATATAATATGCGGAATGCCCAATGCAACTTAATGCCTAATAACTTACCACACAACGCAATAGATATCCCACTTCAATGTGTATTTACCGAAGTATCGACTCCCCATTCACCCATCAAATACTTCACCAGGATAACACCATACTCCTCCGGTCCTGCTTCATGGCGAGTCTTTGGTAAATAGTTGAGCATTGTTGTATATTTTCCGATAGTCAACACCGGCAGACGTTCTCATTCCAGATATCATCAGATTGCTATAAAATCCAGCAAACATTTCCTATATTCGAGTCTCGCGACTAGTAAGCGTGTCCCTGTCTAACGCCTCTATTTCCACTATATCGAAGGAAACGCGATTAACTTACCCCATGCACTGCCGCAGAGGATGGCACAACCGGTACCTTCGCAGCAAGTCTTTTCACTCTGGACTGAGGATGGCACTGCAGAATTAGGTTGCCAATCCGACTTTACAAGTGAAGGATGTCCCACTCCTACTACTATTCAAGAACCAATACTACAAACCGAGGCGAAGAAGCGTACCGTCATGGGCCCCCAAGTGACTGTCAATATTTACAGCTCCGGCGGGGCAAGTAGCAGGGGGTCAAGTGCTGGGGGACTAGGGGGATCTGGTTCTGCAGAAGGAACTGGCGGGGGATTTACTGTCGCCGACAACAGCCTTGCTCGCCATACGAACTCCATTGCTAGCTTGGAAGCCCAAATGAAAGAATTATCCAGGAAAGTCGAACAGCTCTCAGAAAAGGCTGTTTATGGGGTTATGGTCGAAACCAGACAGTGGAGTACGATAGAAGTTCGACCGTGGACTCGGCCTGAATCATCAACAAAGGCACGAATAAGATTCTCAAAGAAATTTCAGTCTGTGCCGGCGGTCACTGCGAGCATATGTGCCGCAGATGTGTCACGAGACCAAAACTTCAGGGTTAAGGTCTACGGTACGGATGTTGACGTCGAGGGGTTCACCATTCATGCTGACAGTTGGGGAAATACGATTCTTTATTCTTGTGGGGTTATGTGGACTGCGATTGGAAGATGATGAACACTCTATGCCTAAGATTTCTCAGGTTATTATATCATTTTTTTTTTCAAATTCGTTTTCAAATCATTAAATGTTTTTGGTCTCTTTTTAAAATTTTTGTAATAAAAAATAAAAAAAATAAGAATTTATTAAATATATTCAATATTTTTTTTTAAAAGTAAATAATTTATATTTTTATTTTATTTTAATAAATTTAAATTAATCTTTTTTATAGAAAAAAATGGGCTACGTTTATTTTAATTATATTATAATGAACTTATATTATAAAAGGGTATAGTTATTATTAAATTAATTAATTTAAGGTATTTTTAATTTAAAAGTAATAATATTAATAATAAATTAAAATATTTTAAATGAATTTTATTATATTAGAAAAATAATTAAAAAATTATAAAAAAAGTAATTAATTATATAATTATTCCTTTTTCCTTTTTTTTAATATTTAAAGTTATTATATTTTAATTATGTTAATTAATTCATTTATATAATTAAATTTATTAAATCATATAAATTATAAATATATTATAATTAAATTATTATTAATTTTTATATTTTATTTCTTTTAAATTTTTAAAATAATTATTTATTAATTTATAATATTATATCCTTCTTTTAAGATTCTTTTATTTATAAAACATAAAAATGTAAAAGCTTACGGCTTAATGGAATTAAAATTTAAAAGATAACCTTAAATAAACTAATATAATAAAAAAATATCTAGTTTTAAAAAGTTCTTTAAAAATTAAAATTAATGTTTATTCCTTAATTTTTTTAATCTAAAGATTTATTATTATATAATATTTTTAACTTTTTAAGATATTATTATAATTTTAAAATTTTTTTATACAATTATAAATTTAAAAAACCTTAGTAATTAATTAAAATTATTATTAAAATCTTAATGTTTATTATTGAGATTTAATTAATATAAAAAAATATTAATAATTATTTTTAATAATATTTTGAATTTATATTATTAATTTTTATAATATTATAATATAATATATTAGGATTTTTATTAATATTATGTTATGACTTAAGAACCTATGTTTATTTTTAAAAGATAAATAAGGTTTAAAATAATTAATGATGATATAATTTTAAATACTTTTTATATATTTAATATATAAAAAAAAAGGATATTTATATAATTATTAAGACATTTCTTATATATTTAATTATTAATTTAAGATTATTTTTTTCAATATAATTAAAAATTTTTTTAAGTTTTTTTAATAATTAAAATGTATTTAATTATTTAATTTATTATTAATATTATTATTTTTAAATTAAGATATTTTAAATTAATTAATTTAATAATAATTATATCTTTTTAAAATATAAGTTTATTATATTTTAATAACTTTTTAATTAATGTTAATATTAAATTAAAAAATGATATAAATCATTTATAAAATATATTAATATTATTATTCATTAAATTCTTTTCTTATTTTATTAATTTTTAAAGAATATTATAATTAAATATAAAATAATTTAATAAATTTTAATTTAAAAAATAAAGAAAAATTAAAGAAAAAGGAATTTTAAAATAAAGACTTAAAGAATTTATAATAATTTAACCTTTTTTTATTTAAATGATTTAAAATTATTATAAATAAAAGAAATATTTTAAAATATATGTATAAATTTTAAAATTAAAAACTTAAAAAGAAATTAAAATTAAATAAAAGAAAAGAATAAAAAGAATAAAAAAGCTTTTAATTAATAGGTAAAAATTATAATTATTAAGATATATATTTTAAAATTTAAAAGAAATTAAAGTTAAAAAAAGTTAAATAAGGGAAGGTTTTCAAGGAATCCTTATTAAAATTTTTTAATAATTAATTCCTTTTTAATCTTTAATATTTTTTAAATTATCAAATAATAATAATAATAAAAATAATAAAGATAAAAAAAAAGAAAGTAAAAGATCTTAATTAAAAAAAAGAATAATTAGCCCTTTGCCATTTATTAAAAGATATAAATTAATTAATCTTTTAATTTATAATAAAATTATAAATATAAAAATTAATTTATATATATATATATATAACTTTATTTATTTTTTTATAAAGAAAATTTATTATAAAAAGAATAATAAATATTTTTTATTATTTAATTTTTAAATAAAATGATTTTTATATAATTTTAATCTATTTTAAAAAATTATTTTAATATATTTTCAAATTATATAAATATTTTAAGAATAAAATATAAATAATATTTAATAAATTATTTAAAAAAGAAATATAAAAAATCATTTTTTATTTTGAAAAAAAAAAATATCTTTTATATGATAAAATTTAAATAATTTATAATTATAAGATAATTATTTAAACATATATAATTTAATTACCTTTATAAAAAAATAATTATCTAAATAAAGGATAAAATTTTTTAAAAAAATAACCTATCATTATTAATCAATATATAATTAAAATAATCTTTTATAATAATAAATCATATAAAAAACATAATAATTTTCATTAAAAATAATGAAAATTTAAAATCTTAACATTATTAATAATAATAAAAAATCTAAAAAAAAAATTAAATAAAATTAAATATAATAATTATTAATATAAGAAATTTAAAAAATAATCATAAATCTTAAAAAAAAATTAATTAATATAATAATACCAATATTAAGATCATTAATTTTGACAATAATTAATATAATTAAGGAAAAATTGGAAAGCCTATTACCTAACTATAATAAAATCTTTAAATAAATACAGGAAAACTTTAAAAACTTTATAAATTATTTAATTAATTATAAGAATAAAATATAATATATATAAAAGAATTTAAAAAAAACATATCTTTTTTCATAAATCTAATTCTTTTTTAAAAATATTTTAAAAATTAAAATATAATATAAAAAAATATATATATGTTTTTAATATAAATTAATAATTAAAATATTATTCTAATATATTTATAAATAATATAAAACGAATAAAATATTAAAAATAAAAAAGAATAAAATTAAATTCCTAAATTAAAACTAATATATTATTTCTAATTAATTAAATAAATTAATTATTATTAATATTATTTTAATAATTTATAATAAGAATTAAATAAGATAAATATTTAAAGAATTTAAAAATATAAAAAATAAAATTCATAAAAAACCTATAAAATTATTATTAAAATATTTAAAAAATAAAAAATATTAAGATTATTTATTATAAAAACATTTAAAAATCTAAACTAAAAAAGAATAATTAAAAAAAATAAGATAAAAAATTTATATATTATCTTATAAAGAAAAATAAAAAAAAATTCATTTTAATAAAATATATTTAAAAGTATTTAAATATTATTATAATATAGAAAAAAAATCAACCATTTTTTAAAAAATAAAATAATAACTTTTTAAAAAAGAATAAAATAATTAATAGATTTATTATAAAGGATAATAAATATAAATAATAAATAATAAAACATAATAAAAAAATTATCAAAAATATTATAAGCTTTATTAATTAATAAAGATAATTATAAAATTAATATAAAAGGAATATAAGTTTAATATATTACTTAATTTAAGATATATAATTAACTTAATTAACTTTGAATTAATTAATAAATATAAAATACCATATTAAATAAAAAAAATATCTTATTAAATTAATAATATTAATAAAAACTTTATTATTTATAATAAAAAAGGAATTAAAAAGGAAATTATAATTATTTTTATTTTAATTTAAGAATATAAAAAAATAATAGTTTTAATACTATTAATATAAATTATAATATAATTTAAAATTAATAATATAAAAATTAACTAAATATATAATTAATTCTGTTAAGATAATGTGACAAACCTATGTCTTAAAGAGGTATAATCATTGTTAGATTAATTAATCTAGGATGTCTTAATTTAAAAGTAATAATATTAATAATAGGCTAAATAATTAAATACATTCTATTTATTAAAAAGGCTTAAAATCCTTGTATTATATTGAAAAATAATGATCTTAAATTAATAATTAAAAAGTAATTAAATATATAGGAAATGTTTATGATTATATAGTTTATTTCTTTTCTTTTTTTTTTATATTTAAAATTATTATAACTTAATTAATTTAATTTTAAATCATTTAAATCATATAAATAAACCAAATCGTAACTCTCTATAGTTCCTTTATGATTAGTCTAAGATATCTCTACCTCTTAGGTCCTTAAATGTTGCCAAATGTTATTAGTTTATAATAGATAAATTGAAAAAAAATTAACTTAAATAAATTAAAATAATAATTAAAAAAGTTATAAATAAATAATATTATAAAGAAATATTTTATATTTTTATATCTTATAATATAATAAATAAATATAAAAGAATTAAATATTTAAAAATAAATTGAAATTAAAAAGAATATATATAAAAATAATAATTTAATTCTTTAATTAATATTAATATTAGGTTAAAAAATGATATAAATTATCTATAAGACATTTTATTATTATTGTTAATTAAATCTTCTTTCATTTTATTAATTTTGAAAAATAAAATAAAAAATCTTTATATTTTTTAAAAATTATGTTTTAAAGGATATTATAATTCAATATAGAATAAATTAATAAATTTTAATATGGAAAATAAAGAAAAATTAAATAAAAAAGAATTTTAACATAAAGATTTAAATAATTTATAATAATTTAATCCTTCATTATTTAAAATACTTATATTTATTTAAATAATTTAAGATTTATTATTAATGAAAAAAATTCTTTAATTTATTAATAAAATAATTCTTTTTAAAATATATTTATAAGTCTTAGAATAAAAAATTTAAAGAGAGATTAGGATTAAAATAAAAAAGGAAAATTAAAAAGATAAAAAAGGCTTTTTTTAATTAATAGGTAATGGTTATAGAAATAAAGGAATAAGTCTAGGAATTTAAGAAGGAATTAATATTAATAAAGATTAAATAAAAAAAATACCTATAAAATCTTTATTGAAATCTTTTTATGAATCCAAATTTCTTTAATTTTTAATATCCCTTAAATTATTAAATAATAATGATAATTAAAATAAAAAATAAAAAAAAATAATAACCTTTTTTTTATTTATT